ATAGATGTACTAAGTTGCGCGTGCTCCAGTCTCCCGCAGGTTCTGGTCCACCATGGTCTATTCCCAACCGCTCCATCACAGCCTCGGATGGCTGTGTCTGTGGATCTACTTTCATTCTATCGCACATTGTTTGAGCGTTCATGTGATGCAATTAATGCTCTCGCATCAGCATTAAAGACTCATTATTCTCGACGGGGATTTCAGATGACAGACGCACAAGTAAGTTTCAATTGTGTATTTAAATTACTACTAACATGCTTTGGAAGGGCGGACTTATCCAGGACCCGTTTCGCAGAGGTCTCGGCTATGCTGTCCAGTGGTTTGACATACTGCAAGTCCAAGTCGAACAACAACTCGAGACCCTTCTCCAACAAAGCCGGGACCGCATCATGACCTTGCAAGCAACATCTGACGTCCCTGAAATTCATTCTCCTACCCTACATCCAGGTCGATGCGCGCCCCTTCTGGTTCAAAGATGCCCTGCTTGTTTCGGGGGCATACTTTATGGTAGATCCCCAGACGATGGAGGCGATATTCATGTTGCAACGGATGGGAATTTCCATCACCGCCACCGACGCGCAGCTGGCGATTGTCCACCCTTCTATGACCCTACATACTTTATCCCAAAAACCTTCGTTGATGGTATCGGCCGCCGGATAGACGCCCTACATAAGCATCCTCCAAGAACTTATGCTTCCCTCATCCCTGACGAGGCTGTGGACCAATGTGAAACTTCTTATGAGGCTGCTGACGGCAAGAAGCAGAAGACCGCGATGGATAACTTCGATGACACAGGTATTATGGCATTAATTTGTCGCCATGATATCCCGTTGTTTTTCGCTAACATCGATTCTCCTGGAGAACAACAGAAATACTCTGTAGCCCTCCTCCAACACTTGTTTTCATTACTCCCGCACCAGGCAACAGTTGTTGCTTTATATGACGTTGGATGTGTTCTGGCGCGATCCCTCGCAAAAGTATGCTATCACTAACGTTTAGATTGCTCGCTCACACCTCTCCAGTATGATATCCTTCCTGAAAGTATCACCACACGACTTCGTTTTGCGACGACTGCAATGCATGCCTACGGCCATGAGTGGGCATGTCAGCTCATTTATAACCCACGAATGTGCGTTGGGCTTGGCCTGTCCGACGGGGAAGGGACCGAGCGTCTTTGGTCGCGCTTTGTTCGCCTGATTGGTATTGAGAGGACCTCTTCCGTGCGTCCCGCCTCAATTTCATTATAACCCTATTCACGCGAAACCTTCTTTAGCGTCAACGTCGCCTCTGGCTGATTGATCGGCAAGCCGCAGCCATAGGGTCCGAAATGCGCGCTGATCTCGGTGATTGGATCAAACGTCGCCTTAGACGTGGCATCAAAGAACAAGGGTCTGCAGCACAAGATGTACTAGACCGATGCGAAATCCCTATCGACGAGTTACGGTCTCAGTGGTCCCACCAACGGCATTCACAGTTATCCATACGTGCTCGTGAGTTCATTTTATTATAGTGCATTAGTATTGATAAACGGTCCTCCAAGACGCTCCATCTCGCCTCAAGAAAGAGCTGGACACCGTGTTGGCCCTCCAGGCAGATCTCGATGCATCGGACAGAGCACTACAGACTACCAGAGTAATGCTAGAAAAAGAATCGGCCTCTGACGATACATTCGAAGCTCTGCTGAGCCTGGAGAGGGGACATAGTCGGCTAATGGACAAAGTTGAGGCTCTTTACTCATCTCTAAACGTTCATGATCGGTTCCCTGAACTTCAAGGGGTCAATCTTGATTTTGTTCGTACCCTTTTAATGGCGCGGGACCTCAAAATTAATGTTCGCAAACGTGCCGTTGCAAGCTTCTTCGAGTGGGACAAACTTGACCGCGCGTTGGAGGCGCCCAACAAGCTCTAGGTGAGTTCGAACCCCATTGTTAATTACAGTGGTATACTTTGTTAATTACCTACAGGCACTAAGCTCCATCAGCATACGCGCAAAGCTATAGCAAAGCGCCAACCTGCCCTCATGACCGCTATTCGAAAATTCAACTCCTACTGTGAACGGTTAGCTTCCCTTTACGAACCGAGTTGGGGGATTCCCCTGCCTTCCCCTCTTCCAACGAAACTTACGGAACTACGCAACGACCCTAAATTAATGGAAGATGTATGGATTACACCATCGGTAGGAGAAGTTCCCCGATGGTTGGAGGACTCACGCATCAGGGACGGTATACGTGCACTCCTCAAACGGGATCGATGTGAAGAAGAACATATCCGCCTCAGCATTGAGGCTGATAATCTTTGTCGTTTCTTTTGATGAGCTGGCAGCGCTCGAACTCGCTCTTCGGTTGCCAGAAAGGGAGTGGATTCTATTCTTCTAGCAACTTTTTGCTGATGTGTAATCTAACTTAGATGAACCGTTTGCTGTCCCATTACAGCAACGGCATGCTAATTTTGTCCGACTTCAATCTCGATGGTCCAATTCCTTAGCTTCTCCGGCATGCTTCGCTAGCCTAGTCAACAATGCACTGGAGGTAGCTACCACCCTCTCGGGAACCTCGCGCAGCACGACACTTCTTGCCATCAATGCTGGCATACCTGCAGTGCCAGATCTCGAGGGTGGGGATGAATTTTCCATTGCTGATCCTGACCATCCTCCTCCCATTGATTCTGAACAAACAGCGCTTGCTGACGTTCTGGAGGGTCAGATAGGCACGGTAGAGTGGGATGATGATGATGATGACTCAACTGATCATGTGCGCGAAGCTACTGCCGTCATTCATTGGGAACTTCCTGAGGTGGGTTGACATTTACTGTCAGGAATACGGCACTGATGTATCATACTAGAATCTTCTTGCGGATGATTTTAATGTTCCATTGCGTGAGCGCGGCATTCTCATATCAGGCAAAATTGTCTCCCGAGTACAACCTAGCTCGGATGGAATCCCGTATCAGATATTGACCCTAGGGACATCGGTTTCCTTAGTTCTCCTACAGCACGCCTGAATGATGTATGCATCAACAGTTGTGCCATACTTCTCTGGCACTCTCAACTCAGGACATCGGGTGCACAATGCGCCATCCTCTCAACCCACGATTCCCCGTATTCGTTACAATGCGCCAGACAATGTCATTTGGCGCAATACATCATGGGTTCGTTATTGGGAAAAGGATATGGGTACTTCCTATTCATCGTCCGTCGGGCATTGGGCACTGGGTGCTATGTGTCATCCGGCTGTCCACAAAAGAACTTCATCTTTTTGATAGCCTAGGTGACAGGCAGCCTTGGCAAAAGGACGTCGAAGTGGGTTCAATTTAAATCATGCGTTTGCGTTTGACTGATCGGATCTTAATGAAAGGATATAATGAGATTAATTGTTCGGTTCCTTGCTATTGCGCGCCAACACGAATATCGTGTTAATATTGACCTTGAAGGCTGGGTTGCTCGACCTTTGAACGTGAGTTTCATCCTCCATTTTTCACAACTTTGCCGACCACTTCGTGTTGTTTTAGGTCCAACGTCTTCAGAACAATGATTTCGACTGTGGTGTATGGGTTTTGGCGACAATTTTTGCTATTGTACGCGGCAAACATATTACAGGAGTACGAGAGCAGGACATGGACGATCTACGATACTATCTGCGGACTATGGTTCTTGCATTACCAGTTTACAGGCATGATTCGAAGTAGAGTAGTACAATAACAGGTATTATGGACTAAGACAATATGGATTCTGCCCAGTAACTAGCAAATCAACCTCCCTCTGGTAAGTTAAGATCCTCCGCGCGACCCATGGCGGTAGCACTCAGCCATAAGCTTGTGTCTTCCACATACCTGTAGGTTGTTAGCGATACGAGCATTCAGGTCATCCCAGCCTGCAAGCAACCTCTTCTGTGCGTCTCGAAGCTCCTCCAAAACTTCAGACGCCCCTCCTGCATCATACACAGCTTGACGATGAGCGCGAGATTCCCTATCCACACGCAAATTATGTCCGTGCATCACGTCAAAGAGATTCGTGTAAAACGCTGTTCTTCGGGTGAGTCGGGTGGAGGCAGAGAATTGTAAGGCGGGGCTTTATCCCACTGGGAGATCCGAAACATCGATCAAGTCAGAACCATGAGCGATTGGTGAAAGAGAAATGATTTGGGAAGAGGAGGATTGGCAAACTGTGAGATTGAAGACGGTAGAGGGTTGTGCAGGGCCCTAGGAGTTGTATGAGGTCCGCGTCGACCATGACGTTTGGCGTAGGCACGAGCATTCTGAGCCTGTCAAATGATCTTGCCTCTGCCAAACATATCAACAACGTTGCAATAACAAGTCACTGAATGATACCTACAGTTTTGACTGTAAATATGATTCCGTATGTTGACGAGCAGCTGCTAGTTTTTCTTCCGATGTGAGGTACTTAGCTCGGCGGCCCATGGTGAGGTTAGTGATTGGACAAATAGTCAAAGTCAACCAAAGTTGATATGAACATCTCGCTGCTGTACCACCCAGTTACCTGTTGAAATGTGATATGGCCATCCACAATGAAGTTCTTGTCAAAATCTTTGTATGAGCATGATGGGGCGTGTTGCTAGCGTCGACGAGGCTAGTCCAGACAGCGTGATAAGTGGTCAATGCTGTACATATGTCTTTCAAGTTCAGCACTATTGGTATCTTCAATCTCATTGGCTCACAATTGCCTCATGTTTATGAAGGATCTTAGCACGGTTTCAAACGTTCAATCTTCTTTTATACCTCCATGTCTTAAACGACACCGCTCACAATGTACGTGTCAAAATCCAAACAAGTGAGCAATGGCAAAAAGAAGATTCTAGCACTACATAACCCCAAGCGTTGACATCTCTCAGCCCCACTTTACTTCAAAGGGACGCCAGAAGCTCATCCACCTCTGCCTCGGCTTCATCTTCCCCACGAGCAGTCCCATCAGAACTCTGCAAACCTTGCCCAATGCAGGTTATCTGCAGAATGAGCTCCTGGACGCTACCTACCAGTGGACAGGTCTCATCCTGGATTGAAACTCGACCTCCAGGAGGGTGGGGGGAGTGGGACCTCAACGAACATCTTGAGTTTCTGCCGGTGACGCATTGCGTGAGCCACTACAGGAGCGCGTGCACCAGATAGCGGCCCACGAGCAGGCCGGCACCATGCAAGAGATGATGCAGGATTTCGTCCACAAGACAATGGCCCAGGAGCTGGACATTGTGCAGAAGGTGGCTCAGGAGAGCTGTGGTTGACTTTGAGGCGAGGAAGACCCAGCTGATCACATCGACCATTCACATACCAGCGCCACCCATGGGGTGTGGTCGGAAATGAGGTGCAGGTGCTTCCTCGATGATGACACGGCTGCGGGAGGCCACAAGATTTGCGAGGGCACCTTGTTTGGTGATGGTCTTGATGGTGAGCAGGTTGTTCTTGAGGGCATCCGCAAAGACTCGGTGCTCACAAAGCGAGAGGTCGTGGTACGCAACTATCGCAGATGAGATCATGCATGGCCTTCGATGATTAATCACAGATGCAGCATGCATGAGGCTGTTTGCGGGAGTAATTAAGTGAGGGCGCTGGGCGCTCGCCGCTGGCCAAATTTTTCACGCGGTCTGACCAAAAAGGAAAATTTGCTCGTCTGATTGCATTGGTGGGATGACGGCTATTTGTAAGTAAGTTTCGTTCAACCACCGCACTCTCACCTACATCTTATCATTGTTTCCGCATCAGTTGGCAGTACGTTGGGTGGCTGTGAGTCTGTGACTCCATTAGTACGTTTCAAACTCAGTACTAGTTTTATTTTCAATCTGATTGAGTCTCGTTAACACCATTAGTGATTTGTACGGAACCCTCCTTGGAGCCTCGCCGCAAGAGGCACGATATTGTGAGTGTAGCTCTCTGACCCTCCACAGAGCCTTTGTAAAATCAATTCGTATCTCATATGTAGCCTCTCTATCAATGCTCATCTATCTCTTTTAGTCTTAATGAACCGATGGTCCTTCCACCAAGCAACGCTGTGGTTATTGCGTCTTAAGTATGAGCCCTTGGGGTACGTTTTCTTTCGCCTCCAGTATTCCCCTCAATTTTATTTAGCATCTTGTACAATTCGCCCAAAAAAACAGATCTCCTCAATGTTACCCTCATTGAACGTCCCTCTGTTCTGGTAAGCAACATTCTTTCGTGTTACTACTTGGAATGATGCCTATGCACATGCTGCCCTCAATTTTAGTATTTTACGCGATCCACTCAACAGACAGACCACCTCGACGTTACCCTCGTTGAACATACCCCCGATCTGGTAAGCGACACCCTCTTGTGTCAGTATGATGTCTATACTTACGATGCGCTGGAGATCAGGTTTTCAAACATCTCCACTCCGATATATTCTCGCCATCGCCTGTTGTATATAGGTACGCATGCCACGTACAAATATTGCTCTGTCATTGACATCTTAACTGCAGACATGACGCAACAAAGCCAGAAATGCCTTCTGGTGTCGACCAACAGCCATCTCCTGGTCCAAGCTACATGGGCTCATCCCCTGCATCCTTCGACTATGTTGAGGAACAGTTTGGCGGAGGTCGTCGATATGAAGCACCGCCTGCCGAGTTGACTCCCTCACGGCTGAGGACCAGACTCAAGGCCACAGTGCGGGATGTCGGTATTGTCAAGGACACCTCTGCCCGACGCCAGGCCTATCAAAATACCTCTAACGATGTTCAGCTTTCCGTTGGTCCATTCCACCACGTGGTGCAGGACGGTGCTTCAACTTCAACAAGCGATATGTCATCGCTTACGCTGAACGTGGCTTACAGTCGGCACAACTCACCCTTTCCTCCACTACAAGGTCCTGCACAACTGCAGGATTTGTTTTACGGCCCTATGGACCAGCAGTCTCCTTGGATGCAGCAAAACCCATCTGGTGATTTCAGAATGATGCAGCCTGATACTTTCATGGCTGGATTACTCAGAGATCAAGCTCTAGGCATGGCTGGAGCGGGCGACAAGTCGCTGTGGCCTGCACCGTCTGTGACCAACGTGCAAGACTGTAAAACTACCAATGTGCAGAACACAACCCACCTTGCACCTCTGCCTTCACACACGCCTTTTCATTTTCCCGCCAGTTCATCTGGTCAGCCTCTCATGTCTTGCGGATGTTCGCTGGATCCAGCAGGCCAACCGTCTTCGGGATTGATGCAGAACTCACCATTCACCCTGCATCCTGCACCATATGTACCGCCTCAAGATCATGCCCATCCTATTCCAGCCACAAACATCATCCCGCCAACACCACTCAAGGATGGTGGCGGTAAGACTCCTGGTGCCTCTGCGTCCACTGATAATGCACTCCTTGCCTCGACAAGAGATCCTAGTCCAAAGTTGGACCTAGGTCACTATTCTCTGGCTACCACCTACCGCGTTCGGTTCCCTGAAGAGAGTGAGCCGAGAATGCACCAGGAGGATCAAGCGGTAACTGGCCGCAGGTCAGCAGATATGAACGCAGCACTCGACACTGGGTTTGTGGGCATTGAGCGTCACTTTCTTGAGCTCGCAGCGTCCACCGCCCTCCCCATGACTCAACTAATCAATTTATACCTGAAGTCTCGAGGACGCAGTGTGAACAGCACTAATTACTGGAATCTGTACGCCAATTACTTCAAGGACCACTTGCAGGAGGAGCTCGGCCACTGTGAAAAAGAGAAATCAGAAGGCAGTGGGACACCTAGTAAGTTCATATGAAACTACGGCATGATGCTGCATGCTTATATTCTTCATAGGTGCAACATTGCGAAGAAAATGCTACGAGAAATTCAAGGACACCTTTCCCGACACCTATCAAGACATCCTATCGAAGCATGAGGAAGTAGCTCTCCTGAGCTCGTCTCCCCAAACTATTGCCCAGCGCGGACAAGCATTCCAAAAACACTATCGGAGTGTGACGAGCATCGTGCGTAATCTCTGCTGAAGTGACAACATTGTCTAACATATGTTATAGCTCGAGTCCAGCTCCGCTAGATTTGGATTTGAAGCAGCCGTTGTATTATGTGGTAAAGTGGTTAATGAAGACGGTTCGCTTGGTCATTCTTACAACACACTGGTGCTGGTGGGGTAAGCTCATTTTCACCTTCAACGTCAACATGTACTCAGTAACTCGTAGTTCTGGGAAATGCGATGCCGTGCCAGCGATGACATGATCATCAGTCATTTAAAGGCCCATGTGTAGTAAGTACATTTATGTTCATGCTACATGATGCTTACATAGCCCTAACCAGTAACACCACATCGCTATCTGCAGTTGATGATGCCTTTCCAGAAACCGGGGACGATAGCCATCAAAAAACAGACACCGACCGTTACCCACGACATAGACCAGGCTTCTGATGTTGTGGAGGGAGGATGGGAGGATAACTTGAAATTCGTGAAGCAGGAAATCACCAGGCAAGCTGGTATGTGCGACCATTGCCACTCATCTTCATTTAGACTGATATATCCTGCATCGCACCAGCCAAATTTGGCTGCAAAATACACGGCGGAAAGATTTTCCCTTGGAAGCTCATGCCAGCCGCACTCTTGGAAGCCAATCTCAGCATCCAAGGATATCCTGCACACAAGTGCCTATTTCCTGGTGAAGCTCACAGTAAACATGCATTAAACAAAGGCATTGGGGCGCTGATGTATAAGGAGATCGCTGCGCTTGTCGATTCGTTGAAGGCAGGCACTATGCGCATCATCAAATTTCCCGACAATGATCGAGGTACGTATCATATTATGGGTAACAATGTTATACTTACACGATATATAGCGGCTGCAATAGCTTCAGAGAAGCCCATAATCAAGGGCGAGGCACCTCCTTCTGAATGGCCCCATCATGGCGCACGACGGTTGTTCCTTGACGGCCATACTGATCACAATGGTCTTCGTCGCCTCAAGCCCAGCACAGCAACTACGAAGGTCAAGAAGGGTGTTAAAGCACCCAAGCACCCTATACCACCCTCCGAAGATGAACCCTCTGATGATGAATCATTGGAGGGTGTAAGTGTCAATGATGCAGTTGGAACTTCTGCGCTCAAGCCCCTACCTCAAGTGAACGTGCGAAAGCCTAACTACAAAATGCGAGTCGAAGTTGTACCTCCACCCTCACGCCCTTTCAAGGTTGTTCGACTTCCTTTACCACTGCTGCGTCCTTCCAAAGCCGTTCCCATGCCATCTGGAACTCCGAGTGAGGTTATCGAAGTTACGTCTACCGAAGAGAATCCTGTGGGAGAGCCCGACTCTGAGTATGAAGAAGCAGGACGTGGAAAGAAGAGGAAGCTCAAGTCCATGAATACATCGCGTGCGTCAAAGAAGATTGCCCCGTCGATTGAAAAGACTAACACTTCAAAAGTGGGGAAGAAAGTTGGGCGAGGTAAGAATAATGTGCAATCCAAGGCACCTCCGCCTCCCTTGCCAACCTCAACTACTTTCCCTGCAAAAGGCGGTCCACTATCCCCATTAACAGTGGGATCGTCGACCGATGGACCTCCATCACCAGAACATAGTGAGTACCATGTGCATCCGCCTTACTGTTTGCTGAAAGCTTGATAGTTAATGCTGGTAAAGCAATGCGCCTTCGAGACGGACCTTCTGATGAGTCTAAAAAGGGTACATTTCATTCTTAACTTCATTGATTCAAGTGATTTAATTTACATGCTCTAGAACATGTTAAACCACACCCAGTCACCAAGGGCTCTCGGGTGGTGATGAATTGTGGCCTGCGTATGGTGTACGGGAACTCGGACTCTGAGTCTGATGTCGACAACAGCGTGAAGGCTAATTCTGCAACCACAATGGGCGTCATCCCCGAAGCCACTGGTTCAGCTAACATCCAGTCTGATCCTTTGGAGGAGAAGTCTGCACAGACGAAGGATGAAGTAGTAGGAGACAAGGAAGAACTACCCCCAACCGCCCCATTGAATGCAGCGGCCCCCAATATTCCCGACCAGCAGCCTCTTCGTGACTCCAACACCCCTCGTCCCCTCACTCCTCACAAGACTCAGGACGAGCGTCCACATGATAACCTCCCCCATGATGCCCCTCGTGACAGCCCACTGCGCAACACTCTCCATGACCCTCCACGCGACCTTGTCCGTGACCCTCGAGATGATCATGACCCTCCACGCGCTCCACGCGACCTTGTCCGTGACCCTCGAGATGATCATGACCCTCCACGCGACCTTGTCCGTGACCCTCGAGATGATCATGAGCCTCTCCGTGACCCTTGAGATGGCCGTGAGCCTCCCCGTCACCCTTGAGATGGTCATGAACCTCATGAAGATGCTCGAAGTGCTGTTCGCGACCCTACATGCAACCATCATGAGGCCGTACGTGACCCTTGTGATGGCCTTCGCAATCCTTGGGATGTTGATCCTCGTTATCCTTACACCCGAGGGTACTCCCATGAACCTGCGCGTGGCCTCGACCGTGGCACTCTTCACCCCCGTGACGCATTCTACCATCGCAATCCCCGCTATGGTCCACCTCAAGATCCTTATGGATCTGGCGATATTCGTATGGAAAGTGACTTGAATACTCGAGACAGCTCACCTGTGTCCGATTTTCATGGTAACTATGGTCCTAGTGAGCGCGAACGTGCCTACCCGACCCGGTACGGTCCTGGGGGTGACTTAGGCTATACTCATGAAGGTGGATACAGGTCCCGGCACAATGACCTCGATGAGCGTGGGCAATCACTATCTCCCTATCATAGTCGTCGAGTTGGTGGAGGGAGTTACCGCGAGGAAGGATACCCTCAAGGCCCCGGTAGGAGATTTCAGGATTCGAGATGGGATGAAGGTGCTCATTTGGACTATGATGCTATACCACGAGCATTCCGTCGCGATCTGCCCAATCCCCCAAGGCCTCCTCCCGCTACTTAATGTCCTCCTTGCTCCTCGAGCGTTTTGTGATGTTTGTCGTTGATTTTCTCTTTTCACCTCATGTGTCGCTCATGCCTACATTCGCTGCTCAAGTGTTTTTGGACGTTTTTAGTTGATCTGCTCTTTTCGCATCATGTGTCGCTCGTGCCTGCATTCGTCGTCTGTTTAGTCTCATTGGCCCTGTCTCGTACCCGCGTGTTATACCCTACCCCACCTACATTGATATCTTTGTAACTCGTTTTTGTCAATATCAGTATAGCGGCTCCTCCAAGCCTGCTGTTGCCTCCGAGATCATTAATATGCTTGCCCGGATCTGATGTTTCCGTTAATCAGAACATCGCAACAAGTAGATTAAAACATGAAGAAAGTACGAGATAATTGAAATAACATGAGTACAAGACAACCATGACTTGAATAAAAATAACATAGGCACCAAAGGATCAAATAACATAAGGAATGTCAGAGACTGTCAGAGACCCTCGACGAAAGCTAGAGGCCTCCCGAACCTCCCGAACTTCACACATGACCCTCCATTGCAATGTAAGACAGCCCTCCAACCAGTATGGAGGTCTTCATTGCGAGGTCCTGGAGGATACTCTGAAACCTCTGGCGGAATAGAGTGGGAGACCCTCTGGAGAGGGTGGTCTCACAGACTGCTTTCCCATCACATAGAAAGCGGGTCTAACAGACCGCGGGAACACGAGCATAGTGCTGCCAAGGGTGAGAAGACGCGCATGACTTGTCATATCGACTTTGTCACTTCACTTTGTATGCTCTGCCGCTGCAATCGTCATCAGTGCCGGACAAGCACTATGAGCATGTGTTTGCCGTAACTCACATATTGCTGTCAATATTGCTGACCAACACATAAGTTACGCGCATCAGATTTTCGCCTTGTGAGCGTTACCTATATCAGCCCTTTGTCATCTTAACGTCGTGCTTGCCAAAGACGGAGCGGTTGATGGATCGAATTGACAAGAATTTAGCAAAAAACTGCTCATCAAGTCATGTTCAGTACCCGAGGCTCGAGCTAGTACATACTCATGACATTCTTTACCTATAAATAGTGAACGGCCCTGGTAAGTCAGGGAGTCCCTTTATAATTCCGACCGAAGGCCCCGAGTTTGCCATAGATCTAGTGGGGTGGTTGACACATGGATCATGGCCCACGTTGGACAAACTCACCATAACTCAGTTACCTCCTCCAAGACTGAAGGTGCTGTGGCACATGGACTCGAGAAACAGAAGGACAACGAACAGGTTGCAGAAAAGCCATATAGCATATATACCCGCCGAGAAAAATGGTTCATTGTAATGGTCGCCTCCTTGGCTGCATTGTTTAGGTGCAGTATTTTCATCCACATGTAGACCAGAGGGACATTCTGAAGGTTTCTATAGCCCGCTGACTGCAAATGTGTACTTGCCTGCAATACCGACAATCGCTTCAGCTTTCCACACGTCTATAGAGTCAATCAACCTGAGCGTCACCGTTTACATGGTCCTTCAAGGTATCTGTAAGCAAATGACTCAAACGTCTATCGGAGGAAGGATTACCTCTAAACCATATTAGCTCCTATGTTCTGGGGGACCATGGCGGACAGCGTTGGGCGACGTCCCATTCTTCTCGCTTGTCTCCTTGTCCTGTGTTTATCTTGCATCGGCTTGGCTTTGGTCCCGACCTCAGCGTACTGGTTATTAATGCTCTTGCGATGCATCCAGGCCGCTGGTTCTGCCAGCACAGTCGCACTTGGTATGCGTGAACTTCGTCGTTATACCTTGTCATCTTACCGGAGCTGTAGGTGCTGGAGTAATTGGAGATATAGGCACTCCTGCAGAACGCGGGGGCTTTTTCGGCCTATTTACCTTGGGTCCACAAGTACGTAACGTATTGCTTTTGTTGCACTATGCACTCTAATACCCGCATAGGTTGGACCTGCCCTGGGACCTATTGTTGGTGGTATCCTTGCAGATAAGCTCGGATGGAGGTCAGTTCTTATTTAGTGCATCAAATGCAGCTGAATGGGTTACAGATCTATCTTCTGGTTTCTATGCATTATGTCTGCCGCATGTTTCGCTCTCATGCTCATGTACGCAATCCGTTTTCAATAGCGTTTCTCTGGCCTCATTCATAACATTCCAGTTTCCTACCTGAAACACTCCGTCGACTGGTGGGTGATGGCAGTGTGATACCGTCGCCTTTCTATCGTCCCCTCGTGCCACTTGTTGGGAAAGGGCGTGTGGACCGTGATGCCCAAAGGCCCCCCAAGCCCGTACTGAACAATCCGCTACGCCTCTTCTTCTATCTGGACGTTCTGAACCTTCTCGTATTCAATGGAATTCTATATGCGGTCTTCTATGCGGTGAATACCACGATATCCACTATATTCGCGACCAAGTACCCGTTCCTGAACGAAATAGATGTAGGATTGTGTTTCCTAGCGATTGGTGGGGGGATGACGATTAGCACTGTTCTATCCGGCAAAATGCTAGACGCTGATTTTCAAAGAACCAAGACTAGGCTCGTGAAGAAGGCTGAAGAAGATCCTGAGAAGCGCATACGGCCCGAAGACGTGACCAAGGAGGAGAATTTCCCAGTAGAAAGAGCCAGGCTGAGGATGATACCCATATTCACCGCCATTTTTGTCTTGACATGCGCTGGTTATGGGTGGTCGCTTCAGCGAGAGACGAATATCGCTGTTCCACTGATCCTGCAAGTTATCTGTACGTGTTTGCCTTTCCTTCTCCATACACCTTTAATTATGAGGATCAACAGTTGGTTATACAGTCACCGCTATTATGAATAGCGTGCAAACGCTACTCATTGATCTACTACCATCACAGAGTTCTTCCATTACTGCATGTGTAAGTTTCATCACCGCTTGATTTATCAACAATCTTGATCACTTCGTTTCAGAGTAATCTGGTCCGATGTTCCTTGGGTGCTTTGAATGGTCTCGGTCATAGACTTGCTTGTCAACGCGTTAGGTCCTGGTTGGACCTATGTACTGCTTGCAGGAATATGCCTGGCGTGCTCTCCCATGATCTGGTTTGCTATTTGGATTGGTCCACGCTGTCGTGCAAAGCGACGGGCCCGTAATACTGCCGCTTGATTATGGTGTTTGCCAGTACGTACAGAAAGGAAGTTACGGGACAGTGCAAGTAGAATATATTGCTAAAACACTTCGGTGCAAGAAAGTGTCATCGATTGAGCATGAAACACATGCAGAACGCGTGCCTGCGGAGCTGCTCAGAGCTTGAGGGAAAACTACTTTGAGAACTGTGCTGACTTTCCTGATATATTCTGCATCTTGATTGATTTTGTGCTTGCAGCACCGATAAAATCAGGATGTTGCAGATTGTTCGCGTTCTGTCCCTCGGGGTATAGAGGCACATGTTGATACTAAGGCGCTTTAGAAGTGTTAAAAGACATGTGAGATATTGTGCTTCTAAAACATTCTCAATAGTGTATGCATACTTGAAATCGATGTCCCGAAAACATGGTACCTACCCGCAATATATTACTAATTTTTAATTCATTTATGCAAGTACACATCGTCCGACCAACTGGACCAATTTTTGGCAGTTTCGAGCAACGATTCCCCCTTCTGTCTCGCAGATTCCAATGCGACCCTATGCAAGGGGAGGCGTATTGGGGGGTCATCCAGACGAGACAACTTGTAGGCCACTTCTGCAAACTTGGCCGGATCGCCATCAAAATGCGTGTCCTCGATGTCAGGATAGAGAGCTCGGTATTTGCGGGTTGGGAGGGATGGGTTTGATTCATAAGCAGGGTGAATGGGTTCTGTCGCATGGCTTTGAATCATCGATGTCCGAAAAAGGCCTGGCTCAATGAGAGTGATCTTTTGTCGAGGATAAATTATATTATGTTCCAAAACTAGGCGATACAAACAACCTACTTTGATCTGCCATTCTGGGTCAAGTTCGCCGATATACCCTTCCGTCAAACATTCCAATGCTGACGACACACGGTTGACCTTCAGATTTTTAAGATGAAGTTGAGAGCCTACTCACCAGCTTTGCTATCATTCGATGTCAGCCTGCGAGGTAAATCATGCAGAATAGATGAACTCACGCCGCAGCATAATGTACAGTGCCAACCTGTGGAACAAAGGCATTCCGGGAAGAAAGATTCAATATTCGCCCTCCCATGGGACGGTTCACATCCCTGAAGCATCGAATGGCTTCACGCATGACATTCTCCGCACCCCAGAGCAACACATCAAACATCTCTCGCGCGGCCTTGTGAGACAGGCCTTCAGCTTCTGATACTATATAGTATCCTGCATTGTTCAGCACGACGTCTACACGATTGAAGTGCGAGATGGCCTGATTGAACGCCGTGGTAATCGAGGGCGTATCTGTTACGTCGAGCGGGACAGTAACGAGGCGGGAAGAGGGATATTTAGTAGTGAGGTCTTCCAACATCGAGGGTTTGCGCAGGGTGGCAACTACGTTGTCTCCTTTGCTCAAAGCATATTTGACGACCTCTCGCCCCAGACCAGCCGATGCACCAGTAACTGAATGCGGAGAAGGTTGTCAGCTTCGTTTCCTAGTCAGTAGTATAAATGAATTAACTGAACCAAACTTTCGGGAAGGTCATTGTTAAATACTGTCTGACGTAGACCTCACCGGCTCTGGGTTGGTATCAGTCTGCAGAAGATGGATATGTAGGCACCCAAAGCGACCACACAAACCGAGACTTTAAGTTATGATAGAAGGGTGATCCGGGCCGTCACTGATACTAACAGGGGCTAGAGGATCGGCCTCGATGTCAACCATGAGAATATTATCAACCTCGATTGGGTAGGTAGATTAGACAAGGACCAGTGATATGCGAGCTGTATGTCAGAAATGAGCACGTCGACGAAGGGTTACAAAATCATGCTCGCCCCTGACGTCAAGATAAGCATGCATCATCTGACCAACTATTGTAATTTTCGACAGCTTGCAATAACTTTTAGCCCCATGTTGATCTATGCCGCTTCCAAGGCCGTTCTGTGCGGCGGGAGATAAGACGAGGGATCATATAGTTGCATGATCATCTACAAAACTTATAGATGTCTTCGTCTGAAAAACGTTCAGCTCCTGGATATGTACTGTGGTACTGTCTAGAAGGCAAGTTTAGATCAAGGTACGCAGGATGGGTTAGCATGAGAACATTGGTCCTGAATGCGGCTGTGCTGCGGTAGTGCGAAAACGAGCATGTTCTTCGAAAGAACCGTAATCTGTGAATAACACGAGAGATCTTGCTGATTCGTGACGAGAACAATGCGAAAGGTGCTGTCTGGTATTGTTACAAGGAATGCTTCCTTGAAAGCCACACCAGACGTCCTACAGCAGAACAGTGGACGACGACGAAAAGTGCACCACCAACCTTCCAGGTGGTCGTTTCTTGGCGACATGGCATCGCGATCTATACCACATGTTTGCGATGCATTGAATGATGTCAAGCATGTCGCACACGAGTCTTTGAATAGTCGTTCATGCTCATCGACGTATGATGACATTTTACGCTACTAGATCACCAACGAACTCAGGGATGTAACGAGCACCCAGCCTGAGGGTCCAGGGACTCGGGGTCGGAGATGGCAGCCTTTGGCAGGGTGCTCGGAGATGATTGATGATCGATGAAGAATTCCGCCACCTCAGGCTCGCGCGGGAATTTTGCGGACTGTTTGAGTGAACACATGAAGCTTGTGCTTACATCAAGAGTAAGAACGAATGTTTCGAAAACATGATAAACCACGAAGGATATTCGACGGTGCTACGACACTTGAGCTTGAAGACTAATATAAATTGCATAGCTTAGTCAGCAGGGCGTATTCAATACTTGGCAGGCACATTTCCAGCCGCCACCGCTTACATAGGCTAAAATCAAAATTCTAGTAATTCCAGACAGAATTTCCAGTTTCGCAGTCCCCGGTGGGACTTTGAAGGACTTTTGATTATCATTGAAGCGTTCGGTCATTTTGGATGAGATGGCGACGTACGCTGATACTCGTGAATATCTCTCTCAAATACTGGCCGGAAAAGTGGACGACTACGCAACCATATCACCAGCCTTCCACATATCTTTCGTATATCTGGGTGACACTGCGAGTCTGCGACTTACTAACATGATGTCAAGCATGTCTCACACAAGTCTTTGGATCTATGTTCACTTTCATCGACGACGACCTCCACCGCCTTGCGCGCAAATCTAACGGACTGTTTAAGTGGGCGCGTATGGCTTGATGGACTAGTGACTGTACGCGAAGGTTTCGAAGACATGATAAGCCATGCACAGGAGATTATGGTAGAGGATGATGGTTGCTGGGACAAGTAGCACCTGGCAAAAATGTGTTGGCAAAACGTCCCCTCCAGACTCTCCTCCTCTTAGTACTAACAGTGAGCGCCAGTGAGCGTTGAAGTCCTGTTTCATCTGATGAGGGCTCACTGGACTGTTTAATTGTCCATTTTTGTAATTCTCGATAATTTTGAATCTTGATCATAACTGCCATGGCAAACATGATTGACCTGAAAGAGTTCGTGTTTGACCGCGTTCTGGATGAAAGTACGTATATATTGTCATGACGCTAACAACAAAGCCACTAACGACAACTTAGACACGCTCGCACATACACTCGCCGTCCTGGGCACGCTGCCTTCCCCATCGGCACCTTCTACACCGCTTCGTACCATCCTTCGCTTCGAGCGCACGGCCCTGTCATCTACTGTCGCTTCCCAGCTCTCATCCGGCATTCTTGAGTCTACTAAGCAGATCGGAAGCACTGATATCGTATGTCCCATCCTTTTCTTCTCAATAGAACACTAATTGACCTGTCCATTGCCATACTTCAGTACTCGTGGTTCTTTGCATGGCTTAACAAGCGCGATGACTTCCCTGACGTGAAGATCTATGTCATCTGCCCCGCCACCGACGTCCACATCCGCAAGGTCCGTCTGATCCGTTTCTTCGTCGTCATTCACGTTGATGACCATGCACTAGTATACAAAGCAGGACGTGCTCATGGTGCACGAGACCCCCGCTCTCTACCAGTCTATCGTCAAACCATACATCCTCGCCTTCGACCCCGCACGCACACAATGGTATTCCTTGTCCCAGTCGCAGCCCACAGACTGACTCTATCCCCAGGGTCCAGGACATCCTCGTAGGTACCGCCGAAGCGTCCAATATCCTGAATGCCTCTCCGGACTTCCTCATCCTTCCCGACATGAAATGGGACACGACCAATGTATCCGCCCTCTACCTCCTCGCACTCTATACGCACTCTGACGTGCACTGTATGCGCGATCTCCGCAAGAAGCCGCACTTGGGTATGCTCAAGACCCTCAGGAGAGATGCTTGGAGAGTTGTGCAGGATAAGTGGGGTATCGGCCGTGGTGGCGTCAGGATGTACGTCCATTACCAGCCGAGTTATTGTGAGTAGTTATTCTATGATCAAAATATCGATTTTAATCTATTGCACAGACCACTTTCACGTGCACATTGTCCACACGGGCCATGTTGGGCTGAACGGCATGGTGGTGGGGCAAGCCCACCTTCTGGATGATATAATTTCGCTGGTGCGTGTTGTTTCCATACTACAATTCAATGGTGATGCCTTTTATTCATTACACACATAGCTTGAATTAGACTCGGAAGATGGCCCTTCTATCCTTGAGCGCATGACGCTTACTTACGGACTTGGCACAGAACATGGCTTATACAAACCCATGGCTGCAACACTTGCAGAGGTGCATGATACGGATTAGATGGCGATGGAGGATGTAGAGCACCGGCAGGGAACTGAAGATACCGTGAAAAGCTATATATACAAAGGTCTAGATCAGCAGGAAGTACTAACAATACTATGCATGAAAAAATCCTTCAGACTCGAGTTGTGTCCGCCAAGTAATAATATCGATAGACTATAAGGTCGCAGTGCCATTGCGCTGATATTCGTCAACCCCTCAGGAACGTATTCACCCTACTCATCTATCCTTGAAATAATCAGAATGGCGGGGGTAAGGGGAGGCCAACATCAAACTTAGCGAAGAAGTTCACGTAAGTCAATTTGGGCATCAAATTATGTAGTCGACAGGCCACAGCGATGGGATCGACGACTGGAGACATGTTCACCAAGATCCCCTCGTTGAGAGTGGTTGTAGGGAGCGGCTCGTTGTTGAAATCGACTTCATATGCCCAAAATGACATGTCAATGGTGTACAGGCGGGGGAAATGATGTATAAGATAAGCGAGTCCCACGAAGGTAAGGGATGGGAGGACTGGATAGCGACCCGCATTTCCAATCCCAAAATTCTCCAACTGAGGTTGGGATTGCGCCATTGTCTTGAGTGAGGCATCGTCGATGACCGAGGGGCATATGCAGTTGAGCCGTCGATGCGTCAAGCGACTAAACGACGGCAACGGGGCAACCGCGTCAAAGTCGGGTGCTCGAACTTTTGTGAGACAGTGATTAAGCGCAGAAAGTGATGGTGCAGCGATGTGCACTTCACCGACTTGGGAAATTTTTTGTTGGAATGAGATTGGAATGGGTCTTGATATCGCGGTACGGCTTCAGGCAGAAGTGCAGAACTTGCAACGATGGTAAAGAAGCCAAGCGAAAAAGCTCTCGTGTACCAAAGACCCATTCGTGAAGGTGGAAAAGCTCCCGCAAGTCACATAGACCTTCGAAAAGTGCGTCTGAACTCCAAGGGAGGCTAACAAAGCAGAATTAGCCAACAAGATGGGTGCTGGTACATATCCCAGTTCCAAGAATGTAACAGGTGAGAGGTTCGGCAAGAGCGATGTGGGTAATAGCGCAGAAAGGAGCGCTTATAGGAACCAATCGCCTATCATGTCTAGCTTAGCGTAGAAGGCCATGAAGGAACGAACGCGCCGTGTATATCAATCAAAAAGCCTCCACTTTCCATCAGAGAGGTCTTTGCAAGACCCCCAGTGCTTATTTGAGGGCCTTGGTGGCCGAACATCATAGGGAGCTTCCGGGAGCCTTCGTTTATTGAAAATTTTGAGCATTCACCATCACATGGATCATTAAATGTTTTGCAACTGATTGCTGCAACCTACGATTCATGAGCAAAAGTTGTCGAGTACGAAAAGTGGATGAAGCACTGACTTGTACAACTTCGCAACACACAAAATAAAAGTCCCAAGTCGCCTGGCATCAAACGTTCAGACACTGCAGGCAGTAAGGAAGATGGCAAAAAAAAATTACAAGCTCGTCCAGTATCGAGTAGAATGTAAGTAGGCTGTCCTGGCGTTCAGATGTCGTGCCGATGAACCTTGCTCGCCTCCATTTCTTGGCGCTGTGCAGGAGATATGACAGTGACTTGCGATGACCGCTCATGTAGGTATTATTTATGTAGTATGAATTCTCCGCGTAGGGATCGCGGTGTGACAGAATATAGACCAAAAGTTTGAAGACGAATAAAATCATCCTTAAAAAAAAAACTCAGCGAGCGCCGTACAGAGGGAAGGGCGACTTGCCCATTGGCAGTGAGCAGCAATACTTCGGTAGTTCCATAGCGGGATCAGGACAGTGATTCAAGCCCAGACGCAAGTTGAAACTGCTGGACGCATCGTGAGTAAGGAAGGCTGTTAGAAGAATTATGTATCACTTTAAGAGGTCCAACTTGTCCAAGACAGAGACTCCAGGTGCAACGCTGAGCCATCGCCTTTCCATTGTAGTAAACTGTTCTCAGACAGAGTCGTCCTCTTGCCAGAGCTTTCATGCATGCGCGGCTGGTGTTGTCCCAGACGACAATTCCGATAAAATAAATCAATACTTAGATTTCTGAGACCAGTAATGATTAATCGGCTAGGGAGACCGCAGAAATTGTGGCTGAGCGGAGTTGTGTGCACGGTCCACCCAGGGTCCAGAGCCACTTCGTTTTCAAGCTTGTGAACCTAACACGGAACCATTCACGAAACCACTATCGTCCCCGCAACGCAAAATTTGGCTCAGCTTTAACCACTCAAGCTAATGCAAGAGGGCCCTTCGCAACCAAATTTCTTGAATTGCTGATCTTGAAGAACGACACGAGCGGCTTCGATACCACTTGACGCACCCACGGACCTCTTCAGATCAGAGTCGCCTACGACGTATTGTACCCCTCATGAGGGCACGCAAGATGCTCGGTCGCACTTCAAGTCAGATCGATCACAGCTCGACATTGCCAATTGCGTCGACAATGGCAAGAACTGCATACTGCGACGGTGAAAAATGCCAGTTTTTTCGTCAGCAACGGCGCTGGAGGTCTTCACGGTTTATGCAGCTTGATGGCATTTTCTTCTTAAGTTGGATCATTGGGTTCGACATTCTTTGCGTCTTGGTGCGCAGAAATTTGTAGAGAATTCGAGACAGCTTACGATGCGTGTAGGGGGGCACTGAGCCGACTCATAGTCATCGGTGAGTGTCTTGTTCACTCCAACCATATTTTGTTTCTGGGTTATATCAATACTGGCATTGGTCGCCACTTGTCGATGTTGATGGAGGCGATTGCATCAGTTGAGACTTGGGGGGGACGATCTTGATGCAGTCATAGTGACTATCTTGACTCATATCAATGCTTGACACATCTTGAGAGCTTGAGAGCACGCTGTTGAGTCGTGTTCATGTTTCATGATGGTGGTTGGAAACTTGCCTGGCTCGTGCGCAAAGTAGCTTTGATGCCCCTTTTTGGGTCACGAAATGCGTCACACGTGTCACGCTATCTTCGCTGACGACGAGTAACTTGGCATTGGGTGTTTTTTTCTGGCATGTTGAGGGGATAGGATTGCTCAGGATAGTTGATCAGCACATCACAGATATATTGTGTCCTGTACAACAGAGAGCTCTCCATAAGAGAGTCCACGCACTTATGCTTCGTATGTACTGACTCTTCTTTTCCAGCCAGGGACGTGTCTGGCTCGCATAGCATCCTTATGATGCCCTAGGCAGCGCACAAGACTCGGTTGAACATGTCGAGGTCCGTGGTGTGTATCGTGGAGGTCCTACAACGATGGTCCATAGCTTTGATGGAGCAACCTGGTGCCCAATCATGGTCACGTTGTCCATTCTGCGCCGTCTTATGCTTCTCGTTTAGTGCTATCGATGGCTGCCTTGGATTGAGATCGCCCACGAAGGTGGGATTGGAGAATTGGTTCCGCGGAAGCAAATCTTGTACCAACACTTGCAAATCTGAAGATCCACGAGTGTCACGCTGGAACAGGCGCCCACCAGGCATTTGGCACTAACTCAGCCCTGTCGGGATTGCGAATTCGGGGTTCTAGAATCTATACTCAAGCTAGACTAATGTCTGCCCCAATTTTTTTTTTCGCTTTCCTTCCATTGAACCTCCGCTGCTATTTTAACCTCAAATGCCTTCACGCAGGACAAACGACATTCCTTTTCCCTCATTTTCGCTCGTGATAAGCCAGTATTCGATGAGCAACATGAGATTGCCGAGCTACAGGACATCTTATTTACTCCGGTTCCACCCTTACCCGAGAGTCAAACCAAGCCAGCGTGAGATCATGGTGAGCGATGCCGCGAACATCATTTCAGTGCTATTTTTGACACTTCTTGTCGCGAAGCACGCTGTAAATGATCATCCCAGCAGCCTGTATGACATTGTTGAAGACGATGACAGTGCTGGACCGGTGATTCTCGATGTCGTACGCGTTTTTTTTTGACATCTTGTAGCCTTATTCAGTTCTCGAATGCAGCCCGACCTCGCTGAAGAGCAACATCCCGATGCTGTGAACCTGCAGGAAGCCGTCGAAGTTGCCGAGAATGACGCCCAACCTCACGTCAGGCCTCAAAGCTTCGCGACTCTAATCGTCGTACGTTTGCTATTCTTGCTTGACAGCACCTGCTCACTCTCACACGTTATGTCGGCAGGATTTCGCAATCCTAGTTGCAAGGAAGCTATCTTTGAAAACCCCATAGTTTGTCATAACTGGACGATCTACTAATCCCACAGCTCATACTGTTGGCTTTCGTTCAACCTGTGTCTCGCTCTTGCTTCCATTGTACCATACGATCGGTCCTTAAACCACAGGAATCTACCTTACATAAATCAGTATCTCCTTCGCTTTCTATGCTATCATGTTACCTACACGAATATCTGTGCTATATACCATACCATCAATACATCTAGTGGAAAGTTGATTCCAAAGGCCTTGCAAACCTGTGTCGATGAAATCGAATAAAAGACTCGGTTCCCATATTCTACAATCCCGCTACTAGCCAGCGGTCATTTTAGATTTTACAAATCATGACCGCAACCCTTCCAGAGATGCATGATGATGCAGCTTAGATGGATATCGTGCAAGGATACCTATACAAAGGTCTCTAACAGTGTAACGCTATGCACGTGAAAAATCCTCCAGAGATTCAAGTTCTGTGTTTGTCAGAGAGATGCTGCGTGATTAGCTTGGAGTTGCGGGAGCCTCACACACATGATGCCGACAAGATATTGCTTTTCTTGGGATCAACGTTAAGTCATGATATTATTTACAAACTGTAAGGCTACAGTACCATTGTGTTGGTAATAATCAATCCTCCAGTAACTCATTCACCCTGTCCTACCCTTCCTCAAGATGTTCAAATGGTGGCGGCGTGGGGATGTCATCATCAAGCCAGTCGAGGAAGTTCACGTAAGTCAGCTTGGGCAGGAATCTACGCAGTTGACTCGCAACAGTGACGGAATCGACGATTGGAGACATCCCCACAGAAAGTTTGGTGATATTTTTGTTTGGAATGGTTCGAGAAAACAGCTCGCTGTTGATGTCAACTTGACATACGCAAAAGGACATTCCAATGATGTATGAGGTAGACAAGTCCTATGAAGGTGAGAGATGGTGGGATCACCCAGTGAGCCGCATTTCCAAACAAGAAGGTCTCGAGCTGAGGCCAGGATTGTGCAATTGTCTTGAGTGAGGCGTCATCGATGGCCGAAGTGCATATCCAGTCGAGCCGTAAGTTTGTCAAGCAAATAAACGGCAACAATGGGGCAACCGCGTCAAATCCAACTGCAAAGCTGAGATCAGCAAGTATGCGTTCATCGATGAAGGTGAAGAACTCGAACTCGAAGTGGAAATGAAGTGGCTCAAGAGCAGGAGAGAAGCACTCCGAGAGGGAAATAATGAGGCCTGGGATATCCAGTGGATCATACAGGACTTTTGTACCGTCTAAATCGCTGGAATTGATGGACACTGATCGACATGACAGGAAACGGACGTTCGTGATACAGTGATTGATAATGCAGTGATGTGCACTTGATCGAGAACATTATTGGAGTGGAGTGGTGCTGCTCCTCGTAATCGTATTCCTCCTCCATGCCGAAGTTCAGAAACTTCAATGACGGTAAAGAAGCCAAGCGAAGAAGCTCTCGCAAGGTAAAATACCCTGCGTTAAGACGGAAAAGCCCCCGCAAGCTATGTAGAGCTTCAACAACAGCGGGTGGAACCGTTTTCGGACAACGCGCCAAACCAAACTACGAAGGTTCGGCAAGAGTAGCGTTGATAATGGTGCAGAAAGGAATGGCTGTATGAACTGATTGCCTATCATGTCTAGCTCAATGTCGGAGACTGTGAAGGAGCAGATACGCCGTGCATATTGGTCGATAAGCCTCCACTCTACGTCAAAGATCTTTGCATTGTCTATTCAAGTTGGGAAATTTGAGTATTCAATGTCATGTAGATCTTTAAATATTAGATGTTTTGCTCACCAACTTTCCTCGCTTTTTTCTAGTGACACTACCAGGCAAGCATGAGATGAATGACTAAAACCCTTTCTAGGACTGTAGTAGTATTATATTCCAGAATAAAGTCGAGGATGAGAAAAATTGGTTGAAACGCAAGAGTCGCCGGAGCAAGGTAAATAGTCGGCAACGCCCGTCGCCGGCCCCTAGTATCCATTTGGACGTTGTAAAGACGATGAGCCCCTACAGTAACCACCTGAAAGGCGCGCACAACAGAGCGCTAGGAAAGCATAAATGCTCACCGTGCAACTTCTCTAGAGCACCAATTGACAACGATGCGACTTTTGCTCATAACCACTTTAGCTCTCTCACAAGAGTTCGTCGTGCTTTCTCAATACGCTGAGGCAGCCTTCCAGGTTCCGATTTGTTCTACTACCTGTGAGGACCAAGCTAGGCAATCAGGTAAGATTCCGTAGGAATACTTGGTCAAATCCACCTTCTTAATTGATGTGTCGCATCAGGCTTGCCCACTGATGGTTGGGAAATGGTTTACGCCAACGGCGGTCCACCGAAATGCCGTCGGATAACTACTCAAGAACTCGGAATCTGCTGTGGTGTTGAGTATATCGACGTGGTAAGTTCGTACATATATTTTTAGGGACGGACACTGAGAGTAGCCGAGCAGGACACCAAAGACGAGAAGTGTTGTGAAGATGTGAGTGGTCTCACATGGATCGACAGGCCTGCAAAGTTAGCCAAGGTATGCATTCGAATAGGGTTCCGTTTGATCATGTTTATCGGTATTTCACAACAGTGCTGCGCCAAGGATCACGTATGGACGTTCGATAATGGAGACAGTCCTACGCACGGAGGGTGCTGCATGGTTGGGTTACACATGCACAATGGGAGGTGTATCCCTCCGTACACTCCCCCCTCTCCTCAACACTGCCCGCCTGGGACATATTCAATCGATGACCAATGTTATCCAATCATTGCTCCCCTTCCACACTGCCCAGTTGGGACATACTTGAACGATGGCCAGTGTGTCCTAAATATCGCTTCCCCTCTTTTGCACTGCCCGCCTGGGACATTTATGTATGATGGCATGTGCATCCAACTTCCGAATGGCATCTGCCCGATTGGAACGCGCATGCAAGATGGTCAGTGTGTCTCATTGCCTCAGACGTGCGGCAATGGTCATGGCAGTATCGAACCCTCATGCGCATGCACGAATTATCCGGTTTGTGGACATGGAAAATACCTAGGCATCAAACATGGTCATTGCTATATCCTTTCCTTCTCTGATGGCCTACAACTCGGCACTGTACGGGAAAACACTATGTACGTCAAAGGCGGCTTCTTCGACGATATCCCTTTCAAAGTATGCAAATCAACGAATGATTGCTCCCATGGAAAGGAGGTTGAGATGAACGAGTCCTTTTATCTCCAAGATCAACATGGATGGTACACGGATCCGAAGTCGACAAAAGGGTGGATTGATAATGCCCATAATGGCGAGCATCTGGGTTTCACCTTTGATGCCAACAAGGCCGGCAGGTTCACGGGCACCCCTACTTGTGCCGGCAGTGAATGCGGAATTCGACTGCGCGGTGGTCCCGTTAACGGCGGATTGGGGTTTACTGGCTCACTGGCCACGCCCGGAGTGACATTCGTAAGCTTGCTCCTTTTCGAAGGATTTTTTTTACTAAATGATGTCATTCGTCCATCAGTGGGCCAACCCTAAAGTGAGCACAAAACTTCGTTTCTCTGAGGTGACATGTGACGACTATGAGGTCCCCCTCACCTTCGGCATCTACCCTGTATGAGGCTGAAGACTCTGGATACTGTGCATACTTTCATTCTGACTTGATGCCCTCTGTTTGGTAACCATTTTACTCTGATTCTAGCCATCCTTGGCTCCAGATTTTCTCGTTCAATCCGACACCATCATCTTTCAAGATGGCTACGTTTGCCCGCTGTACAGCAAATGACAGTCTGATCTGGAATTGTTGGATCGTGACCCTTATTGTCGTGTCCACAGATTGTGATACTTACGGTCAACTGGAGCGCATTCAATATTCACGGAAGTTGCACACAATGCCGATTGTAGTCAACATTATATGTACTATGTCTGATCGGCCAGCAGAAGGGTCATTAAACCCAAAAAAAATCCAGTAAAAAGAAAGAGAGTCAGGGATAAACGGGCCAGTGTACTAGGACGCGAGACAACAAGATGTATGACAATTTCAGTTTCGTCTCATCTACAGAAAAGGGTGCCGAGCTTCTTCCCCTCGAGGGTTCCATCTGGGAGCAACGTCTCCTACGCAGATGTTTGAGCTAATTTCCCTTTGCCATTTGGTTCCAACTAGTTGTACTGGCACCTCCCGTACAAGAATTGGAAGTCAAGGATGTCGGAAATGGTTGATTTGCCCGCCGCAATACCCCGACAACTGGAACTCATTCAGAAATCAGACACTCGGTAATGGTGCGGTGTCTGGTAACCTGTTGTCATTCGCAATGAAAAGACTCCAACTCTGCTCATCATCTTCGCTTCCAGTTAACGTTGCAGCCATAATCGAGCAGTATATAATCCTCAGCCGTGTATCCCCACTACCCGCACGCCGGCTCCCCCCGTGAACGCGCGCCTTGAGTCCCTGGAGCCGCAGGATGACAGCAGTGAAAGTTACTACAGAAGATTGGAGTTTGGTGTGATGAAGTGCATATGCGATAAGAATGGGGGAGCTTTACTTGAGAGTTAGAAGAAGAGGGGTTCTCTGGAAAAGCAAAAAGAAGGGTAACTCAGCACATAACTACGAAGCCTGCTCGAGGCAGTAAGATGGGTCAGAGTGTCTTATTGTAGGTTGAGTCACGGTAGACTGAGGTTTGGGTGGCGCCTAGGCTATCATCATGCACATAGTGCACCGTTGAGAGTAATGACTTGACTGCGAGATGGGAACACAGGTGAGGTGGAGTAGAACAAGTGAGTCGTCAAACTCGCTAGTCACGAGTGCAGTGATATAATTGTGTATAGTATGCCGCGGCCACAGACACGGCTCTGGTAACCCTCTAATATCCGGTCGAAGGGCATTAACAAGTGTGCAGGATGGCACTAGCGTGAATGGTATGGTATTCGGGGCACTGGTTGTTGCAGTGTATCACAATGTTTAGCGTAATGTTGGGAATCGCAGTGCTGGTGTACGTTGCCTGCAAGTTGTGCCAATGAATGGGCCGCTGCAATAGGTCTATATCGCTGTTAAAAATGAATGGCGTGAGCAAAAAACGCATGCATTGACGAGTTATACTTCTCGATACACGGTAGGTATGCGTGGAATCACAATCATGAATGCCAATGCCCTGGCAGTGACACGTGAATAACAATGCTCTGCACCCCTCAGTCGTCAAAAGCTCGTCCTCTCATGATGCCACCTAGAAGTGTCAATTTCACGCCGTCACGGTTGTCAATTGCGGTGAATCTGCTTATTGCCGCCATTCGTCACGGTGGTGGCCTGATATGCACACCATATATCTTCGGATATAAAGCTTGCAGCTTCGGGACAGTATAGGGCCTGCAGCGCGAATTTATTAGTTTGGTATCACCCAGTATGATGGCATTGTGTTGCTGGAGTCATGCAGAAGCTGTCGACGGATGTTTGCAGCGGGTACGTTGCGGGCCCACATCCTAACCTGCCCAAAGGTTGAATATTGTATATATATTATCAAGTCTGCGCTTGTTACAAAGTGTCGATAAAGGATAGCTAATACACTAAAAATGCAAGAAGTTCACATGTCGAAAACGCAGCGAGGAGGATATCGAACCAACAAAGCTGATGTTAAAGAAAGAGAAGAATGCGGGAGAGGGAGGATATGTTGAGGCCGTGCCACCTCGGTGATGGCTACGTCATTAAGCTGAAGCGAAGATGACTTGAGCAGAGTTTGGAGTCTTTTTGTTGGGAATGATGTGAGGTTATTCCACCCTCCAGGGTTCGAAGACGTTCGAAGGAACTGCCAGTGAGAAAGGTCCGAGTGATAACTGCAGGTTACCATAGTGACATTTTTAAAAGGTCCACAACGCTGCCGTAGCCACGACCTCCAATACAGCGCGTGAATTCAAGCATGCTGCAACCAACACAGTGACAAGTTGAACTCTCGCAGGGCAAGCCCAACTCCTCTAGGGATAGTTTCTCCTGCACCGAACAACTTTCGATAATCAAGAGAACGGAGTGGGCGGGCTGGGTATCTGCCGAACGTTAAGCGATATCATTTGGTAACAGGCCTTAGAATATTAATTGAGCAGCCCTTGATCGATCTGATCAGGAATCGGGGACCTCATACCCGAATTCATTATTAAAGCCCCGTTCGTGTTAACGTTCGTGCCACACCTAATTAGCTAATACACTGGCTGTCACCTGTGGCAGATAATGCCAACGGTACACCTGCCTTAGGTGGCAGCACTTCTTAGAACTTCCCAGTCTTTCAGACGGGGTTTCTTGGTATGGAATAACCTATCTGCGGTCCCCTCCGCTTCAGGTGAGAACAACGTCGAGGAACATGATGTGATGTTGTATTTGGCCAGATGTTACATGCTATAAGAGCCTGAGAGTCACACTCGAAATAGCTGGGAAGGAACCTGACTCTTACTGCAGTGACGATCAAGTGGGTTGTTTGTTCTTGATTTCTTGCACGTTGGTCAAAACCCGGTACTGACCAAGTTGGTATTTTTACTCGAGCGCCTCACTGAGAACTTAGTTACGGTCGAACATCGGGGATACATAGGACTTCTATCGTTCTTCCCTGTCACCTGAGTGATATGGAATTTATGAATAGGTGCGCCGTCAGCTGTGGGTGGTACTACGGGTCACCGTGCACAGGTGACATGTATAGATAATAATAGAACTGTAGGTATGACCATATATGTAAAGAATCAATTAATCATGTCACGGCGTGGCAGTAGTCCTTCTCTCTCTCGCATAATTGTTGTAATGGCGCTGAGATCACTGGGGAGCGACAAGTTGGCGAATTCCAGCGTGATGCCAATGCCCTCTAGTAAAAACGCTCAGTCGTGGGCCATGGCAATGAAGGCAAAGGACTAACCAGAGCGCTTGTCCTTCATCCCGGTATTACAGCCTATCAAGTACGTTTCTGATTCGTCTCTTTAGAAAGTAAGTACTTGATATATTTCCGACATACGAGTAATTCGAATTACGCAGGGATTATCTTGTCCACGTTAAGAAGTTCGGGGATGCGAAATGACCGTGCCAATCATTGTTTTCAAACTCTAACTGTAGGGCTAGGTCCACAGCCTTGACCGGTTGACCGGTCAAGTTGGGAACCGAACAACCTCCATTTAGATGATTGTATAACGATGATCCCCCAAGGTGCGCAGAAGAGAGCGCTCGGGAAAGTATAAATGCGCACCTTGCAAATCCTCCAGATAACTAATTCACCACAATGCGACTTTTGGTCGTAACTACTTTAGCTCTCTCACAGGCCTTGGCCGTGCTCTCTCAATACGCTGAGGCAGCCTTCCAGGTTTCGTTTTGTTCTTCTAGTACCTGTGAGGATAAAGCTAGGCAATCAGGTAGGAATATTCTACGGTCAAATACACCTTCACAACCATGCTCAATTGATATATCGCATCAGGCTTGCCCACCGATGGTTGGGAAATAGTTTTCAACGACGGCGGTCGATCGAAATGCCGTCGGGTAACTGCTCAAGAACTCGAAATCTGCTGTGGTACCGAGTATATCGACGCGGTAAGTCCGTACATATATTTTCGGGGACGGACACTGAGAGCGGCCGAGCAGGACACCAAAGCCAAGATGTGTTGTGAAGATGTGAGTGGTCTCACATGGATCGACAGGCCTGCAAACTTAGCCAAGGTATGCGTTTGATGTGGGTTCCGGTTGATCACGCTTATCGACATCTCGCGACAGTGCTGCGCCAAGGATCAAGTATGGATGTTCGATAACGGAGATGATCGTACACGCGGAGGGTGCTGCATGGTTGGTTTACAGTTGTACAATGGGAACTGTGTCCCCCCTCGTCCACAGTGCCCGCCTGGGACATACTCGATCGATGACCGATGTGTCCCGATCGTTGCCCCTCCGCGTTGCCCGCCTGGGACATACTTGAACAATGGCCAGTGTGTCCCGAACATTGATCCCCCTTCGTGCTGCGCGCCTGGGACATACTTGGTTGATGGCCAGTGTGTTCCGAACATTGATCCCCCTCCGCGTTGCTTGCCTGGGACATACTTGGTTGATGGCCAGTGTGTCCCGAACATTGATCCCCCTTCGTGCTGTGCGCCTGGGACATACTTGGTTGATGGCCAGTGTGTTCCGAACATTGATCCCCCTCCGCGCTGCCCATCTGGGACATACTGGAACAATGGCCAGTGTCTCCAAAACATTCCTCCCCCCCCACGCTGCCCGTCTGGGACATACTGGAATGATGGCCAGTGTCTCCAAAACATTCCTCCCCCGCCGCGCTGCCCGTCTGGGACATACTTGGTTGATGGCCAGTGTGTCCCAAACATTCTTCCCCCTCCGCGCTGCCCGTCTGGGACATACTGGAATAATGACCAGTGTGTCCGAAACATTCCTCCCCCTCCGCGCTGCCCGTCTGGGACATACTTGGTTGATGGCCAGTGTGTCCAAAATCCGAACGGCAACTGCCAGTTTGGAAACTGCAAGCAAGATGGTCAGTGTAATGGTCTTGGCTGTGTCGGACCCTCATACGCATACAATAATTATCCGGTCAATGGATATGGCAACTACCTGTAAGGATGATAGTGAGTTCGATGGGGAATGTGATCAATACGAGTTGATTGAGAAAGACGTTGCGTTTGACGAGAGACTTTGAATATACGAGACTTGTTGAGAGATTATGACTGTTGACTTGGGGTTGAAACACACTGGAATTGACGATATACAGATTGTTACAGCGCTCTTTAAGTATTGTAACGAATGGTTCGACTCAAATGTCGAAGGTAGGAACGATGAGGGACAAAGGCGGAGTGTCAAAGCGATGTCGGTGACGAGTAAAGATACGAGACTCGTGTCCTGCACGTTGTGTAATTTTGTGAAAATGCGACATAGATAAATGATAAAGAAATGGATACATCCGAGTGTGTAGGATGCGAAGAGTAGAGCTCTTCGGATCGATGACGCACTAGGAACGCTTGCGCTTCGTTCCATGAGTATTAGTCGGGCGCGTCCTCCCCACTTCGAATATCAACTACTCTCAGTTGATCTATCCAATAAAAAAACCCCTTCGTATAATAATGTATCGTGCGTGAAAATAGAGAGCGCTGTGAGGTTGTGAATGTTGAGAAATTGAGTGACTTCTAATGAGGTTTTGGAACGTGGATGATACGGAATAAGGCGGGAGGCCACAAACTTGAGCTTGGAGATGGATCCATCGACTTCAGCGAGCCTGTAAGAACCTACTTGAGTGCGCAAGATAACAAACATGGGATCAAAGTACCTAGCTTTGCACTTGCAGTTTCGATCTTCTTGCCAAGACTAGAACGAGAGCCGGGAAGAAAATTGTGGTTGTGAGTGGTAGTGGCGAAGCGTCATTCAAAATCTCTGATGGATACGAGACAGCTCTTGAGTAAGCGGGCATGTATAAGGGAGAGGTCGTCTTCGCGTTTGGCTAGTTGGTGACAGCAAATAACGAGAAGATCGTCGGCAGTGAGTTGAGCAGTTATGTCAAGAAGGTGGCTTCTGTGACATCGAAGAGCAAGAGGCGCTCTATGCCATGAGCCATGAAAAACTGAGTGTGACCTGTAGATTTCCGCGTGGTGACTCGATCGCCCCAGATAACGTGATGGGCGAGAGCTATTGGCATGATGGTACGGGGAGCGCATTGGACGGGGGCCGTTCTAGGTACATATTAGGATCCGGTGCTTCCACCCGCGGGCCGTCCGCTGGGAAGGAGCGTGATGGACCTGTTCCTCGGTGTGGTGGCAAGCGGTAGCACGCGCTTGCCACATCTACGTTTTGAATTTTTGGCGATGCAAGATTTTTATCTGTCCAGATCGTCAAAGTCTAATCAACACAATTCAACGCTCAGCGCTCAGCACATACCCGCAAACCACGACGCAGTTGTACTCACCAATAGGTACCAATCTGTCCATCTCAGCATGTTAACTCACGGAGGGTTCTGCGTGGCAAAGCCCGCTACAACTCACTTCAGTACTCCGCAGTTCTTGGTTAATTTGTTTATAGACCTCATTGTCAACGCAATAGGTCCTGGTTGGACCTACTGCATGCCTTGCCTTCCCACGATCTGGTTTGCTATTTGGTTTGGTGCACGCTGTCGTGCAGAGTGACGGGCCCGTAACGCTGCGACTTGATTATGGTTTCTGGTGTATACAGAAAGGTGGTTACGGGCGAGTGCAAGTAGAATATATGCTATAATACTTCGGTGCAAGAAAGTGACATCAACTGAGCACGAGACATACAGAACGCGTGACCTGCAGGGAACTTTAGCGCCCAGATCCATTAATAGTGCTTTAGACGGAAACCCACTGACACTATGAGAACTGTGCTGCGATTTGATCTCCTATCTCCTGCAATTCCTTACTTCCCTCGAAAAACAGTCTCGTACTCTCCGTAACCTCTTTCGTAATAAACTCTGCATCCTGACTGACCATGCTTGTATCACTGATGAAATCAGAATGTCGCAGATTGTCAATGACCTTCCTCGTTCTGTCCCCCCGGACGTAGTCATCCCGTAAGCACTTGATCAAACGAGCTTGTGCTGATGGCGTATACAAAGTTGAGCTCCTCACGAGGATTTCGAGGCGGCGGCATACAGCTGTCCGAGTGTCGAGAGCATCCTGGAATTTCTCAATGAGGAGGATATTAGAGTAGTTGGGGGCGAGAGCAGTTTGAGTGGTTGAAGTAGATGCGGCAGACGAGGACGAGGTGGAAGCAACTTCGTCGGGGGCAATTTCCACTACTTCTTTCATGAGACGGGCGAAGTGATCCTTGTGAGAGAGACGACGCTTCTTGTGCTTGCGCGTCGGTTGACCTTTGAGTGTCTTCGTTGATTTGGCCACCATTGATCGTGCCCGCTCCTGCGGTGTACTTAAATAATGCAACACGTAGAGTGGGGAGTCTTAGTGCCTTGTATAGGAAGCAGGCGACGTGGTATTGTCACTTGAGATACGAAGCTAGTAATTCAGGTGTTCAATATGAAAGAACTTCGTAGACTCACAGCCGGATGATACGAATGGGCAAAGCAAATGGACAGCTAGAAGATCTGAAGCTATGAGCAGCTTTGAGCGCGCGTCTGGCTATAAGAAGTGACCAGGTTGTGACTTGCAACAAGACGTACAGGTGCAGTGACCAGCGGGTTCCTTCCTAATTTCTCGCGGAAACGAACCACTTATTAAGTTTGAACGTTCGAACTTCGCACAGATGATTCGGGGCACCTATCAGTGCAATACCGGTGCTGGTAGTGATCTTATAGCATGGAGGAGGTAGTGGTGGCCCGGCAAGTAGAGACTCAGATTCACCACATCCCCGGTCACGTGAGCGATATTTCATAGAGAATAATCTGATTATTATACGCGTGAGTCGCAACCAACATAACCAACAGTCGGAATTCGCAAGAATGACAACAGTTAGAACAAACTTCGTAACAAGTGTATGATTATCGTTTGTTTTTCGTGAACAATCAAGCTTCAAGCTTCAAGAATCAAAGACGCATTGACCATGGCACATCAATCACGTGCCATGGAGTGCTTCCCGAATCGGATGGAAGTCGGCAGCCGCGCCAGTGAAAGCCGTTTGACCAGGTTGTGACATTAATTGTCGCAGCCTAGGTCATCCAGAACCATCACAACTGTACTGGAGTGCGTAGCACTAATATCTGGCTTGTGTGTTCCAATCTTCTAGTACATGACGGTGAGTTGTTCGCTCTGAAAATATTGCCGAGTCAACCAATTTGCTTTGCAGAGCACTGTGTCTTCCGGTGTCTTCTCAACGAACGTGTAGAAATACAAAAGTACCGTTTCAGTGCCACGGATGCAGTTTCAGCGTATACATGCACTTCCCTCACAAATGCGGCTACTAGTACTATCTTACCGCCCGAGTATCGTCCGTGGTTCTGGGTTGAGCGTCCGTCATACCCTTCAGCGATCACAACATACTGCTCCCTCTCGTTTACAGCCGTTCAAAAGCCCTAACAAGCCACCCACACGGCTATGGCGCAATCTTGCATGGCTTATTCCCGTGACTGGCGGTGTCGCACTTTACCTCTATCCTAGCCAACAGCTCCACCTACCTTCCATCTTTTCCTCGCCGACCCTTATTCCGTGTACAGAACACGACTTAAACGTACACGCAAGAGACCCTATAATAGGATCACCTGCGGAACCCCATATGTCTATTCCCTCGCGGATATTATCTCTGTTGCAGGAACACTTGTGGGAACCTCTGTTGACGGCACGAAGATTCATTCACCTGTTCTATCTGTTCATACCTGTCATCATTACCATGCCTATGCTTCTTGTTGGGAAGCCTGAACGTAGATATAAGGGTGACAAGTGGGGAGCCATTTGGTGGTACGAATTTCTTGTTAGGAGAATGCAGACCGCCGGGCCAACGTTCATCAAGGTATCTATTCCATAGCGTCCTATCCATCTCGCTCACTGACCATTCAGCTTGGGCAATGGGCGGCATCGCGTGCTGATCTCTTCCCTTCATTACTTTGCGAGAAAATGGGGTCCTTGCACTCGCGCGGCAAGCCACATTCATTCATGCACACTAGGCAGATCATCGAAAGGGCTTTTGAACGGCCATTCGACGAGGTGTTCGAAGTTTTTGATGAGAATCCGATAGGAGTCGGTGCTATTGCACAAGTGGGTGTACCGCGGGCTTCTGTGGGCTACTAACGGACTCATTACCTGTAGGTCTACCGGGCAACTCTCAAGCATGATCTTATACCTCCCTCTTACCTTGGTCCAAAACGGCAAACTAAATCACCCGCAGGGTCACTAGCCCCCGTTATCCTGCAAGACCCTCCGCCTTCAGTACCTACTGCATCTGTCGCCATCAAAGTCCTACATCCTCGCGTCGCCAAGGATATCGCGCATGACCTATCCATAATGTCATTCTTTGCGCGTACCATTACCCTTTTTCCTGGTATGCAATGGTTATCACTCCCAGAGGAGGTCAGCATCTTTGGTGAAATGATGCGTCGACAACTCGACCTCAGAATTGAGGCAGAGAACCTGCTGACATTTGAAAATAACTTTGCTTCGAGAAATGTGGCCGTCTCATTTCCACGTCCTTTGAAGACGTTTTCGACTGCCGACTTACTTGTCGAGGAATACGAAAATGCTCTGCGTATGGAGTACTTTTTGAAAAATGGAGGCGGGCCATTTGATGATCAACTGGCAACCGTCGGATTGGATGCTTTCTTGGTCCGTGAATTATCTCCAGTAGTTTTCGTTAACTCATTGTCCCGCAGAAAATGCTACTACTTGACAACTTCGTGCACTCTGATCTTCATCCAGGCAACATCATGATCAAATTTACAAAGCCTCCAACCACCCGTGACCTCCTTATGAGCATGTACTCCTCATTTTTCCCCCAAAAGGGCTCTGCCGAAGTTCTTGTCGAGGGCCCGCCGGAATCTGATCAAATTGTAGCTCGACTACGCTCACTTAGACATTCCCGTGAGGAGTGGCAAAAGGAACTCAGGATTTCATCAGAACAGGGCTACATTCCTGAAATCGTCTTCATCGATGCTGGCCTCGTGACAACGCTTAACGCTACAAACCGCAAGAACTTCCTCGATCTTTTCAGGGCCATTGCTGAGTTTGATGGCTACCGAGCTGGTCAATTGATGGTCGAACGTTGCCGGACTCCTGAACTTGCGATCGACACCGAGACGTTTGCGCTGAAGATGCAACATATCGTTCTGAGCATCAAACGGAAAACGTTCTCACTTGGGCAGATCAAAATTTCGGACATTTTGACAGATGTTCTAACAGCTGTGCGGCAGCACCATGTCAAGATGGAGGCAGATTTCGTCAATACGGTTATTTCAATATTACTTCTTGAAGGCATTGGGAGACAGTTGGATCCGAGTTTAGATCTGTTCAAGAGCGCATTGCCGATTTTGCGACAGCTCGGACGGCAGATGACAACTCAAGAGTCGATGACACAGTTACCCTCAGGAAACTTTGGAGCGTTGCTGAAGGTAGATCCTGGATGTTTTCGTTTTTGTCACAGATACTTATCCTCGAGACAGGTCTGGATGTGGGTAGAAGCCCGTCAAATGGCCTCGGCAGCATTCATTGATGTTGACGAGTTGGTCAAATATGACTTGTTAGTGTCCTGATTGTCGGTTGCATGGTTCAAGTGCTGACGACGATTGTAGGCTTGTCCCGACTGTATAGTGCAGAGTCCTCAAAGATATCTTCACGGCGTCCTGTAACATAACAGGAGTAATAGGAATATAGACACAACTAACGCACGCACGCATGCATATAGACTAGAGTACTTACATCACCACTTCAAATATTGCGATCGCCGAAGTAGCCCAGCCATCCCGTCTAAACAAACATCTTTTCTTCACCCCACAGTGCAGCCCTGCTGCAAACGGACTTGCCAGACCTTCAACTTCTTTCGAGAGGAAAGGTCCGCGACGTTTATGCAACTTCCTCGCCCGATCATCTATTGTTTGTCACAACCGACCGGATATCGGTGTACGATGTCATCCTCAACAGTGTCCGTGGATCTCCGAACTCTTTTCTGCCTGATTTTATGTGCTTTGCTCCTAGGGCATCCCAGACAAGGGCAAGCTCCTCACGGGTATCTCGCTGTTCTGGTTCGAGAAGCTGAAGCACATCATTCTAACCATCTTGTTATCGTCAATATCGATGAGATGCCAGATGGAGTCCGAATACCGTCATTGAGGGGATTCGAAAAGATGCGAAGAAGCCGGACAAATGCTCAAGTCGCTACACTCTTAGAAAATTATCCGTGTATCTCGGTAATGTAGAACGAGTATAGGGAAAGAGAAATCGCCGATTGATTGTTATGCCAGCATCTCCTAGGTGGGTCAGCAACATTCAGAATGTTCGGTCGCTGGTTTAACCGGGATAGAACAGTGTTGTTATTAACCCGGGTTATAACTGAATAGGTTATAACTGGTGCGTCTTGATTTGAATTAACCGCGAAATAACTGGGGTTAATGGGGTTAAAAACAGTTAATTACTTCAAAGTGCTAGCTACTCTGAGTCGTCGATAACGATTGAACTCGATGGACTATTTCCCATGCCTGATGACTCCCGACATTCCTACTAGTACTTTTTTCATCCTCGGGCAGGCGTGACATTAGCTCGTAGAATAAAGCCTCACTCTCCATGTTTTTCACACCCTGGAACCAAAACTCGTCCCATCCAACCTCAACAGACCAATTGAACATGTCGCGGATGCGAAACATTCTCTTCTGACTGAAGAAGCAACAAAATTTGTCGCTGCCTGCTACTTTCCGAATCCGAAATGCCTGAGATGTCATCCTCAACCTCAACTACTTGTCCTAACCCCGATATGTATTCCTTTTGCCATGATTTCGACCTTTCCGGCAATATAAGGGACATTATCGCATGCTGTTTGAGTCCGTTATACGGTATACATTAATCATTTATGTTACATGGCATCAATTGACAAAAACTCACCTTCCTGCGTCAAAATTGTGAAAGTTCTGACAGCCTGCAGTATTCCGTGTGCAACAGCCTGTTGATCAGCATTTGCGAGATCTTTAGCCTTCACATTGACACAATATTTACAGCGTGCTTGCCAGTGCACTTTGTCAACCTTCGCAGTCCCCTGATGAAAATGATCCCACAGCCAGGACTTCTCCCTACCCATCGGAGCGGCTTGGAGAGGTAATACAGTCCCAGGACGCTGGCACAGAGAGAATCGGAGAGATTGATGATAACTATTAAAAGTTTGGTGACCCCCAAATTAACCCAATTAACTCCTAGTACATTAACCCTACTAACCCTCCCAAAATCACAGATTCATTTAACTAACCTCTTAACCGGTTATAACCGGGTTATAACTGATTTAACGGGTTAGTAACAACACTGGGATAGAAAAGCGCATGCCGTGATCAGGGTCCAACAAAGATTTCTATGAGCTCACGGAGAGGAGGTCCTTAATACATTGATGGTTCGCGATCAAACCAACGGTTCCAAAAAAGATTGTCTTCCTCGATCATCGGATACCTGCACAAATCGGTTACCAACACCAGGGGATGATAAAAAATCGGTTTTTGTAGTTTTCCATTATGTCCGTGTTTTTTTATGTCACATTGGAGTCCTTGGTTCTTCGGCTAACACTGCTCAGGAAGATGATCGCGACGACCCGCTGTGAGAAACTTGATGAAATCGACACTGCATCTGGCAGATAATCTTCTTGCAACACTCTATTTGACCATCTTTCCACAACTTCTGCATGGTAGTGAGTCCACACCCGATTTTTACGAGACACGGCATTTGGGGATTGCGGTCACCTCCATGGCGCCTGCCCCAGGTCACGGGCGAGATCTCTGTCACTAACATTTCAAGCGACAACGTTGAGATTAGGCCATACTCCATGACGGACAAGATGCTGGCAATCAGTCACGGTGGGGGCCTGACCCTAGCCTGCGTAATTGGCGACTGATGACGTTGATAAAGTCACTTACTGCAAAGTCCGAACGAAGTGCAGTTAATTCAGATGTACAATACAAGCATCCTGTTCTTGAAGGCCTGAAAAAGTGCAGGAAATTCTTTGGACGTATGGTGCGGGAAGACGTCGTGTTTTTTGAGTCCCTGCGGCTATGCGCAGAGTCCTAGCTTTAGAACTATTTCATCGTTATCATGTGCGAAGGACAAAGGACACAGGATTGTAATTGGCGCCGCTACATGGAATATCTACACAAGGTCACGACTTGGAGACAGATATTAATACATGAGAATCAGAAAAAAAAAGGGAATTGATAACAGACTGCTTTATGAACCAATCACGGACCCCGACAGAGGTTGTGCTTTTCCCGTCAATTCAGCTAGACTACGCACAAGCTGGTCAACCTGGGTGGCAAGGCTACTAATACGGAGATCAAGCTCAGTAAAGCGAGATTCAACCATTGCGACCAGATTCAAGTGGTCGACTCGTGAGCCAGACGAAAGCGATGCCAAAGCACTTGTCTTGTCCAAGTTATCAATAGGTTCGTCGTAGGTTCCATTTGTGTCTTGAACCTTGTCTTTGATCTTGACCAGCCAGTGTTTATAAGGGTGGTGCTGTGTGACCACGTCGAATACATCGCGGAATGCGCAATCGCCACATAGGGTAATCAGGGTGTGTTCTGTGATGGTTGTCACACTTGGTAATCTTTTTGAGTTGCATAGAAATATACCTGCGCAATGAAGGCATGCATAATAAATGCCCAGTTTGACGCCGCATTCGGCACAAGTATGGGCATCCCTCATTCGTAACTGAGGTTGTGGCTGTCCCAGTGAGTGCTACTATCGCATCTCCGCGTGACTTCTCCTTATCTTCCTCAAAATTGACAGAGGTAGTAGACACGTCCTCTTGAGTGGCCTCTGTCGAATGCGGAAGTTCTGGTGCTGCCTGGAGCAGCGTATTTCTGGCATGATAGCGGGCTCTTCCATAGACGACAGATGGTAGCGAGGCACGGAAAACAAGCATGTTGTGTGTCGACTTGTGGTTGGATGGGTATTTGTGTTTTGAAACCGGCAGAGATTCGCATTCTGCACACAGATCATAATCATCTACATATGTATGATCATTCGCCTCGTGTGGGACGGTTGCGTTCATCAGCACTCACCCTTCTCGCAGTCTAAACAACGGTGGGCCACATCGGTGACAAGGTAATGACATGCATCGCACTGACACCTATAACGCCAGCAAAGCAGGTGGTTGAGAAATGCTGTGTATATTGAAGGAGGACTCACTCGAACAATCGGCTGCGCAGATGGAGTTCAGCTAATGAATCCCAGCGCTCGACGTCTGCAGGCGGCAGCTCTTGGCACAGGATATTGAACCTTTTTTTGTCCTTCGATGATAGGTAAGACGGCACATCATGAGGGTAGGAGCTCTGCCATTTGTCAGTGTGGAGCGCATTCATACACCACAAACGGATATATTCTTCCTTGGGGTCTGCAGGTTGTTGGCCAGCACACAATGCAACAAACGTCACAGGCCTTTCCAACAGTTCCCGGTCCTCTGTCGGACAAAAGGGACCAAGCTTCAGCGCTGTCGCATCAATCTCCAGTTCAGTGTCATCAAACCCGAAATCGTCACAGTGGGTTTCCCAGTATTCTGTGTCGCGTGTAATTTGTTCTGAACTGTACCGAAAGTCGTACTAGTGCAGGTGTCAGGTCCGGGAATAAACTGCTGCTGTAAGTTTCACGCACCAAGCCATGCGCATACCACTTGAATCTCACCTTTGGATCGATGCCCTGTTGGCGAAATGATTCTGCAATGGTGGAAGGAGACGACTTATCACGACACAGTTGAAACGCACCTGCCAGTTGCTCCACACGCTGATTTACCCCACCGAAGATATTCCATATGGTTTGAGTTGCAAACACGAGTTCTCTCTCCACCAGAATCACTGTACTGGCGAGCTTCATGATCTGTAAATGCCTGCTGATTACGAGGTAAAGTAAAGGCAGCAAGAACTGAACAAGCACTTGTGTGAGCATTCAGTACAAGCACTAAGTGAGCGACTCACATTTTCGATGCGGCCAGATTCGAAGAGTTTGAGAGAATCTTTGGAGTCGATTTCATACTTCGTGTCGTTAAGTTTATGCGCCAACGTCTTCTCCTGAGCCTTGCGACGCTGATCAGCCAATTGCACGAGATCCAAGTCCGAATGCTCTGATCCAAGTTCTGCAAGAGAACGGACAAGCCCTGTAATGGCTGTCTACGGTGTGAATGCCCCCGTCAAAAGGTGAGCGGAGCAACAAACCATCGACAACATCGTTCAAGTATGTGGCGATACACCCCCTGTTTTCTGGTAGTGCGTCTGCTTGCGCATCGATCATGCTCGCCAAGACCTGTTCAATCCGTGTGTGGTAATGTTGGCTATCCACTCTCCAACCTTTGTTGATGTAAATAAGGCAGCTTCGACCTGACAATAGTAATCCTCACCTGCGGCCCAGTATGCAAGTGCTTGTAGTAGACTCCAACCCTGAGGTATCATGGAAGTGAAGTCGTTCACCTCCCTTATACTGACCAAGCCATTTGCATCAACGTCGAAGCTTTCAGATAAACTTGGCAAATAGAAAACGGTCAAGTATTTGATGCACCACTTGTCTGCAGGGTCAATAGTAGGATGTTTATGGTGTTCTCCTTCTGATTTGGGCATGACGGAGCCAGTGGGGCTTGATGGTGCGATTTGCACCACCAAGGATGAATCACACGATGTGGCGTGTGGGAAAACAGTACCACGACGCAGGCGGGAGAAATGGTTCGCGTAATAATCATGGAGTTCTGCAATGAAGTATAACGTCTTGACACTTGTTGGCCATTTCTTCATGCTGATAAGCATGTGCTTTGTTCACACCTGCACAATGACGTACCATTTCTTTCCAGATATATTGCATGTGCTGGCGAAATAGACCGAGTCAGCCATGTATGAGGTCGACTTAACTGGTCCTTACCAGATCCTTGACCAGTCGGAACTTGCTGTTGAAGGCCCATATGATGCGCGTCTCGGAATCCTTGACAGCATCCTTGATGTCAGCTGTCTGTTTGTCAAGTTTGAACATGAAAACCTGATGGTTCTCATCAAGTAAGCTGCGTAAAGGAGCACGTAGATCGTGAAGCAGCGTGGCATTAAGACGGTACTGCTCGCCGCCCGATCCGTTCGCAGAAGCGATCTTGGAACCAGGCTTTTGTGGCCCCGTGTCCCATCGCTCGCTGATCTTCATTAGTTCTGCTAGTTTGTCGTTGTTTGCCAGACATTGATCTCTTCCACCACGCTTCTGCACTTCTTTTTCAAATCGTGATTCGCGTTCGCTCGGCTTCTGGATGAGGATCGTGAGCTTCTCTAGCGTATCCTTCATAATGTCAACTTTCAACAGCGTGCTCATACTTAAGGCAAGCTGCAGGTCCTGCGTACGCTTGGAAAACTTGTTGCAAATGTTCACAAACTCGCTAGCCCAATGGGATGATCTGAAGAGTTTCACTATGAAAGTGGTTCTCAATGTGAAACACTCATGAACCTGAGGGAAACTAACCCATGAGCTTCGACTTGTAGAATTTGTCAATGGCATTTCCACAATCCACAATATCTTGCTTCATGCCATTCAACACGGGTTGAAGTGGTCCCGGAATTTCACCATGAGGTCCTATGATAGGGCGCTCTTTAGTGCCCTTGAGTCTACCAACGAATTGAATCAGCGAAAGCCGTTTGAAATTTGTATCAGCCGACGAACTGGTGAAGCATATTCATCAAAGCGGATGCCTGAGATATGACTGACACAACTTTAACATCATTCTCTCTTCGGTTTAGTTCAAGATTCACGACACCCCTGAAAAGGATTATAGCCACTGCAAGCTATCTATATGTCAAGGTGGAAACAATGGCACTGGGAAACACACCATCAACGAACGGGTGGATATGTTGCAGAGAATCCAGAGAGTCCACCACCATCTTTACCTCTCCCAGAAAGTCACTCGTACTCTTCTTTGAGAGGTCCACGGCGGCCTGAATCACTGCAGTATTTTGGTTGTAAGCTGACCTAATTTGTTGTGTGGTCTGCGTGACGACATTCTCTAGGCGAGGACATAATAATATGAATACCACACTAATTGCTTGGATAGAGCGACGACGACGAACCTGCCCGGTCCAACTGGTTGAGCTTTCTAGCTGACGCCGAATTTGAACTTAATATGACATTATCCAACACCTTCTGCGTCTGATCAACCAAAGTGTCAGATATGACTTGCTCTTGATGATCCATGGAGGTGGTACCGAATGGGAAGAGCTCGCTGAACAATGAGGGAAGATAAGTGTGTCCAAAGTGGATGATTAATGAATGAGCGCTAGCTCGTAACTCGGTTTATATCCGCAGAACTTGACGCCTGGAACGTGTGCTCCACTATAGCTATAGATCCTTGTTATGGGTTAACTGGATAAAAAGGGCTGATGGCGAGTGAATTGACGCTCCTGCACAGGATTACTGCCACCAGCATACCCGGCATATAGTCACCCCTCGACAAATGAAGATAATTGTGGCGCCTGCGATAAGTTATTGCACCACCCGAAGCTTGTTTAAAGTTCGCTCAACACTGCCACAATCACAGCAGTAGTGACTACTAAGTGAGCGCATCATAATGGCTCATCTCCAACCGTGATATATCTCCAAGACTCCAACCCACTAGTACTTACTAGAGTCAGAGACTCACGATAAAGCAATCAAGATTTGATTGTAGTACGTACTAGACGGTTGTGAGTTGGGCTTAGTTAGCCAATTGAACGCTCGGTGATTACAGTGTCCTCGAAAGCCTACCCCATCTCCGGGAATCCAAAGAAAGCATCCGTTGAAAAGTAGGACGGCTTCTGTCAAGTTTTTCCTTGCCGAGAGAACCTGTCCGAGGAGCAGCAGGGCCTGGTGAAGAGGTCTTTGAATAAAACAATATTATTATTAAAACCTCGTGCCTCAGAATTTGTAATAGGTGTGATCAACCGCCGTTCCTGATTCGTAAGTATCCAGAACGGGTTTTGCCAACGCCGCTCCCATTTTCACCAGAAATTCATCACAGCCCTCAGGACCCGTTATTTCCTTTTCGTCGCATCCAAGTCATCCACATTATATTGACAGCACACTCATGACTTCCGAGCGACTACACGATGACAGGTAAATCATTTGTTGTGATCATTGTGCTCCCTAAGGTTCGCCTCTTCCTATGTCCCAATAGAACGTGCTTTCGTCAACGGTGTGCCTGGACCATTGTCTGTGGGACAATAAGCGCACACGTGCTCTCCCATACGGAACGGTTCTGTAGTAAAAAAAACCCGTCGCGTGTTTGTCAATAATGCCAAGACGATCCCAATTGCAAGATTACAACCTCCGAGATAGAGACGGGATGAACTTGGTTTTTGTCCTTGTCCCTTGCTGCAAGGCGTTTGGACTCGACTATGGATCGAATGCTGCGAGGCAGCATTGCAACCGCGAAAGGATTAGAAAAAGGATCAGGCATGATCTAATGCGCGAAATTTCGCTTGGACGTCTTTAAAAGCACGAACACAGTTAAACTCAACATCACATGCGTGCACTCGTAGCATGTCACGTAAGTGTTCCTTCTGATCATATGTCTGAACGCGAATGGAATGTGCGCGAGCAATAGTGGCACGAATCATAGATAATTCCCTGGAAGGACCCTAGTAGAAGAGGGTAGCACTGGCAAAGCACTGGTCTAACAATTTTGATGTCGGTGATCACGAATTACGATCACACTCAGTCACTCAGTGGCCGCGTTCATAGCCGGTCCGATTTGTTCATGTTTGTTTTTGATTTTCGTCGTCGTTACTCTAGTCTCTAACGACCTCTTTCTGAAATTATTGTAACTGTCGTTTAACCTGCATGGTGAGGTATCCCCCGGTCTAGACTAAATGATCCCGCTCCTTGCAAGCGCTTTCAGGATTTGAATATATTGGCACCCGGCTTGCAATATGTATAGCGCTATATATATTCATGGGTACCGGCGACTACGCGCCCAAGACCCCCGGGCCGACTCCACTTTTGGGACAGCAATTAATCGTTCATCGCACTTGCAGGGCCAAAGTTGAAAGCTGTCGGCGTTCAAGGAACACGCAGGGTATAGTGCCGTACGAACAATTGTCTCGTTCCGGTAGTGCAACTCATTGCCCGCGCAAGTATGAGTCAGACAAAGGGGGAAAACTACTTTCAAACCCAAGATCAAATCCAGTCCAAACACGACGAACGAAGAAGTGTACAACAGCTCACAGATAGAAAGGCCATGCACGAAAATCCAACCAGACGGAATGGCAAGGCATTAAAACTTGCTGCCTCAGGCGGAGCTAGTGAAGCCCATGACAACGGTTGACGCGGTTCAGGTTCGAGGGCTACGTCTGGTTGAAAGATCGTGCTATGATATGGTTCAGAACAATGTCTGGTTCATGGATCGGTATAGGGTCTGGGTCAGCAAGGAAATCTTTATACAGACGAGGTGGAGCAGCCGCAACCACTCCATACAGCAGGTACGCAGAGTAGCGAAGAAATACGCACCCTTTCCAAAGAGAGGGGAAGGAAACACGGGCGAGGAGGACTTGCTAAGGCATAGTTCCCCCTAGTCGGACTATATAGAAGGAAAACAGTAGGCCAGGATTCAAATACGTGAAAGACCTGGCGGGTGAAGGTGTTCGACCGGTATGCGACATCAAGCTCGAGACATAAAATGTTATAAGACGGTTATAGTGCACGGTACAAGCTCTGCATGAACGACTAGGAGTAAAATTTGGATGGGGAATGATTGAGATAATGATAATCGGATCAAGTCGTGCAGAGAAAGGTAGGGAAAGGATGTTCGACGCTCCTCCACTAACGTGGGAGTCGGGGATGGAATCTAGGCCCGCGCCGCCTACTACTACGTGCTCCACCGAGTCACTTGGTTCGATACCACATAATGGACAAAATATTTCTCCCTCACCTGCAAAAAATAGAGCCACATGCACATTTCACATTCAGTTTTCCGATCATAGAATCGTCAATGGGGAGGAAGTACTATGCCAAAGTAGGTTCGCTCAGTGAACGAGAACAGTTCGTGGGAGAGGCAGAGTCACTCAGAGCCATACACAATGCTGCACCAGGACTGGCTCCTCAGGTGCTCGCAGCGGTCGGTCCAGATGATTCTGCTGCGACATCCGAACGGCCTTATTTCCTGTCGGAATATCGGAATATTATAAGTCTTGCTTCAAACCACAAAGCAGGGGAGGAGCTTGGGATGAGGCTAGCCACCGAACTGCACGTGTACAAGAGCACTATGGGCTTTGGATTTCATGTTCCTACCTTCTGCGGAGCAACTCGGCAAGACAACGGCTGGCATCAAACCTGGGAAGAATGCTACAGCGCCATGATTGGAAATCTCCTCGCCAAGCTTCGCGATGAAGGCAGGTTTTCAGAACTTTGCACTAAAGGGGAACAAGTAAGGTCCAAGTAAGTGCATGGTGGCTTATGACAGGAGTCAGCTACTGCAGCAGTACAGAGTGATACCATTCTTGCTTCGGTCCCTCGAGGTTGAGCCGGTGCTATTGCATGGTGACCTCTGGGTAAGCGTCTTGTTGAGCATTCACAGCCATTTGCTGATAATAGCAGAGCGGTAATGTGGGCATAGATAATTTATCGGGTCAACCTGTTATCTTCGATCCGTCATCTTACTACGGTCACAATGAAGCTGAGTGAGTCCAACAGCAAAGGCGGAGTAATCCCAGTTTCATCTTAACATATGCGGAGTTCAGTCTGGCCATCGCCCGTATCTTCGGCGGATTTCCACGTGGCTTTTTCGAAAAGTACCATGAACACCTGCCCAAGACCGAACCTGTGGATCAGTACGAGCTCAGAGCAGACCTTTACGAGCTCTACCATTATCTAAATCACACAGTTCTGTTTGGAGTATGTTCGACTTCTCTTCCTTGTTCAATCACAACATGAGTCTGACTTTCACAAAGAGTTCATATGCAGGAAGTGCTCTGCGGAAGATGACTGTGCTTCTTGGGGCTTGCGCGTAACTGGACACACGAGCCCAACGCAACAGGGACTGTATGTAGCAGGCCAACCAGTGCAGTGGTCAATGTATCAATATTGTATTTTCATGTTTCCCGACCAGCTCGAGGGTTACAAATGGCCAGCGTTGGCGGCGGAGTACTTTGATCTGATCATGGCTGGCGCTGCCTTGCTTTCAAGCACACCTCGTATGTACTATCCTAGTTTAGGAGTCTCACTTCCGTTGCCGTCAAGATCATAGCGGTGGCTGTGCATCAGTCGCTTGCTTATGAAGTGTTTGGCTCCAGGTTCTTGCCTAGTTATTTCTAACCCATACAATTCAATCTAGTTAGGACTCTTCGTTTTTTTATACTACAGCCATGCCCCCTCGTCGACAAGCTGCACCAGAAGGAAGCATGCCTCCTCCCAGCCGACCATCGAGTCCAGGCGGTGAAGAAATCGAAGAGGTGAGGTTGCTTGCAGCCATTGAAATCCGCTATAATGCTCACGCGTACGCGACGTGTTACAGACGCCATTCTTTGATAACGTGGATGAATTACAGCAACATGTTGGTATCTTTCATGCGAATATATGCTTTAGACTCATAACGTATTGTAGGGCATAAACGTACAAGATATCTTAAAACTCAAGGTATTCACCCAGTATATGCGCAATGTTTACCAGGCTTATGGAGGCTCTAGAGCGCCTCCATCAATACTGTGTCTGGTGTCGTGATGACTACGCGTCGTCAGTTGCTGAAGATAAAAGTTCGCATAATTCTACTACAATTTTTCCAGGGTGACTTTGGTGAATTCGATATTTTCTTTGTAGGGTATGTCGGAAGCGAAGGTTGAGAAGATTAAGGTGCGCATATATTCATACTGGTGACCGTGTTCCGCTCTCAACCCAAAATGTCACACAGGAGGCAGCACAGAAAATCACGGTGGCTGTCAACTATCCCTATTGTCTTCTAATACTCATAATATTTCACAAGGGGTCTTCCTTTGCAACTGGCATTGAAGTTCAGGATCGAAGAAAGCGCGTGCTTATCATTAGTACTGGAAGCAAGTCGGTAGATACAATCTTAGGTGGTGGGTATATCGATACATTACGACAGGGCTCATGTTTACTGGCTTTCAGGCGGGCTGATGTCACAATCAATTTCCGAAGGTAGTTAGCCCTGCCAATTTTTGCGTTTTTAGCATTCAGCCGTTTTAAACCAGTCTACGGTGAATTTCGCACTGGAAAAACGCAGCTGGCCCACACCATGTCCGTTGTCGCGCAACTCCCTCCGGAGATGGGTGGGGCTTCTGGCAAGGTGAGCAAGTCTTTCTTCTGCAATCAAGTCAAATCGAATCTTAGTAACAGGTCGCATATATCGACTACCGAAGGTGCGGTGGTTATTATCTTACGAGTAACAACCTATCGCCGACGCTCTTGTTATATTAGGGACATTCAGACCAGATCGCATCAGGTCCATCGCTGAACGCTTTGGCGTGGACGGGAACTATGGCGCTCGAAAATATCCTTTATGGTATTTTTCTGACTGTATACTTTACATCATTGAGACATAGCACTCGCAGCGCGCGCCTTCAACAGTGAACACCAGGTTGCTCCCCTTCTCTACTATTATGCAGCCATCGTTGATATGTTGCAGATGGAACTCATCAGCGAGTGTTCCATGCGCTTTGCGGAGGACAAAGACTTCCGTCTTTTAGTAGGTCTTGCAATCATCGTTGCAAAGATATCGTTTACTCAGTAATCAGATCGTGGACTCCATTATGGCTCTCTTTCGCGTCGATTTCTCTGGTCGTGGCGAGCTCAGCGAAAGGCAACAGAAGGTAGGTCTTTGAGCCTGCGTTGCCGGATGCTAAGACTCACCACAGTGTAGCTAGCACAAGTGGGCATAATGACTCAAAAATGACTCCTGGTCATGTTTTCTGACGCGATACATTCGCATTTCAGGTGATGTCGAAGCTCACTAAGCTTTCAGAAGAATTCAATGTTTGATGTTTGTTGGCAAACTATTTTACAAGACTGACATCTCTGCAGATTGCTATTTTGATAACCAACCAAGTACAATGTATGTATTTAACTGGTCGTCATGCTTCGAAATCGCAGCTCATCCTCTTCGCATAGCCGACCCAGGAGCGACAATGACGTTCGTGGCTGGCGGGGCTCTCAAACCCATCGGCGGGCATATTCTATCACACTCCTCAGCTACTCGGATGTTCCTTCGCAAAGGCAAGTCATTGACGCTTACCACAGCTTACAGTGTTATCCAGAAGGAGTCTGAGGCCAGATGCAAACCGTACTAACATTATCCACCTAACTTTCAGGACGGGCTGAAGAACGTGTCGCGAAGCTGGTGGATAGCCCCGATCGCCCTGAGAGCGAGGCCTCTTACAAACTGGACGAAGGTGGATGGACCGATGTGTGATCTTGCTAGCTGCTCTTGGACTTTTGCTCGACTCTGGACCTATTAGTCGATCCTCAGATGAATCATGTTTTGATCTGCTTTGTACTCTCGTGTTGTTGCTGCAGATATTTTGCTATTAGAAAATTCAAGCTTCAAGTGTCCAAACGAAGCAAATTAAAATTAGACTTCAGGGCCGCCGCAGGTACTCTTGCGCTTAGCCGCAATTGAGCCGCAACTTGTAGTTGAAGTTAGCCCAAACTTAGCCGATGCCTTTTTCACTGAAGTTCAGGTCAACAAACATGTCGATCCAGGTCGATCTCCTTGCAATTGCTTGGTGCACGAAACATCGCTCACAGTCATTCATGGTTCGTGAGCACAATATCGAATGCTGGTTAACGTTGAATAGGTCCTCCGGGCCTTGTAGTGACCGCGTGATCCCACCCATGCGCGTTTGTCACTTCCATTCACTTCTGCGGCTGTTGCATGTGGTTCAGCTTCCCGATACGCACGTTCCTGTTGGTGCTTCGGCTTTGGTGACTCGTGAGCAGGCAAGGGTTACAGGTATAAAAGTCAGCAACATGATCCTCCAGTATGAAGTACCTCTGTCGAACGCATTCTCTGTGATATGTCGTCCCTTATTGGTCTCGCAGTCTTGGTCTCCGTCAGTTCACGCCAAATTCAATCATCCGTTGACTCAGATTTTAACCACGTACCCGAACATCGAGGCATGCGTCGGTCTCCCAGTGCAATATTCTTGCGAGAACACGACGGTCCTAACGGATTCATGCTGCAATGTCGTACAAGGTGGACTTGTGCTACAAACACAGTTCTGGGACACCTATACTGGTCTTGAGTCTCAGGGACAGCTGCTTCCACAAGGCAGTTGGACCATTCACGGCCTATGGCCGGATAACTGCGACGGGTAGGACAAATTTCTTTGTAAATCTCATGATCACTGACGAATGTCTTTCTCCCTGCATAGCTCGTACAACGAGTACTGTGACCTTAGCAGGCAGTATGACCCTACGCCGTCGCCGTCAACCTTGCCTGATGGGACGGTTGTTCCTCCTTACCACGGACCGAGCGTTAGAACATTCATCCAAGATTTCGGTCGTTACGACTTGCTGCAGTACAGTATGTGGACCAAACTCGCATGTTCCTGTGTATAATCCATTCTTTGCAGTGGATGAGTATTGGATCAACCAGGGCGCGCCTAATGAGAACTTTTGGGCTCACGAGGTGAGCCAATATCACTCGCCTGGAGGACCTCTTGACGGAGTAGCGCCTAGTTCTCAACACACGCTACTTGTACATCCACGTTCGACGTTGCCTGCTACGAGCCTGGATACCAGGAACACCAAGAAGTCGTGAACTTCTACGAGACAGTCACAAAGGTCTTCCAGATGTATCCTACTTACAATATGCTCGCTGCGTAAGTTCAGGTTTATTTACCATAGTCCGTCACCGCTGACGACTTTCGGCGACAATAGTGCAGGAATTCTTCCCTCTAATACAACGACATATACCCTCTCCCAGATCACGAATGTCCTTTACTCCCAAACTGGCGCTGTTCCATATCTTGGCTGTTACGGCAATGGCACTATTTTGGACGAGGTCTGGTACTTCCACCATGTTCTGGGCACGGTATGTCGCGTTGATAGAGACCGTGTAACGATTTCCTTAACCTTGACTTAGGAGCAATATGGTCATTTCAAAACCCTCAACTCCACCACTCCGTCGAGCTGCGCAGAAACCGGAATCTGGTATTATGAGCGGACTACGACATCCGAGCGGGTTGTTTCATACTAAGTCAAATGCAAGACGCACATTGTCATCTTGTTCTACAAGGTCACGTATGCCTTTACTTAAAGCTGCCGTTTTCTGTTCTACAATCTTCGTGAGCCAAGAATGGAGGGTGCCAAAACGTTGTGTGGTCTCTTGCAGTCACTGCATCGACGTCTTGAGGGGTTGTCGTAATACACCTGGCTTGGTCTCGTTCAGCCGATATGCTCACCGTGCCTAACAGCCTTTTGTGAGCGCCTGCAAAACAAATGATCTCAAGGGCTGGGCATTGGAAAACATGTCTTGATTACTGTGTCATTTTGCGAATCACGAAATCGAAGGTCCCGGGTTTACCCTATGCGCACAAATCTCACAGCGGAGAAGAATACCGTAGAGCGGTCACTTCCGTCATACCGCAGTTATGGTCAGTCAACATGTCACTAATCTAAACTTCGACTCTCAGGCCTAGCTCAAACCGGGTGGCAACTGAAAGATACGATCTAGCTTAAAAGAAAGTCATAACTTATAAGTGAGTGAGAACTGTTTGAACACAAAGTGATAGTCAGTTGGCAGAGACGCGTGCGAAATATTTGGCGAGGCGCACCAAGGTGCTCCGCCACGTAGCCCCCCTGTCGATATTTTGACGTGTCAGGTCAGACCCTGTACAACAAATAGCAGGTGAGACTCGCAGGTATAAATGTCGGCAACACAATCCTCCCGCGAAGAGGTACCTCTCTTGAACACTCTGTGACTCGGATATGTTGCACCTTGTCATTCTCGGAGCTCTGCTAGTGGTTTCTGTTGTTCATGCCACATTCTACCCCACATACCCGAACATCAAGACTTGTGTTGGCCTCCCAGTACAGTATTCTTGCGAGAACACAACGGTCGTGACGGATTCATGCTGCAATGTCGTACGAGGTGGGCTCGTGCTACAGGCGCAATACTGGGATACATATACTGGTCTCGAGTCCCATGGCCAACTACTTCCAAAAGGTAGCTGGAGTATTCATGGCTTACTGCCAGTTAACTGCGACGGGCAAGTTGTGTTGCTTTTCAATTCTCATGAATACTAATGAACGCCTTTTCCCCTGCGTAGCACGTTCGGTCAGTACTGCGACCTTAGCAGGCAGTATGACCCCAAGCCATCGCCGTCAACTTTGCCCAATGGGACGGTTATTACTCCTTATAAAGGACCGAGCGTTAAAGATTTTATCCATGAGTTTGGTCGTTCCGACTTATTGCGTTACAGTATGTGAACAAAATTACACGTCAATATGCAATATGTATGGTTCAACACTCGTTGCAGTGGATACTTTCTGGATCAACCAGGACGCACCTAACGAGGAACTTTGGGCTCGTGAGGTGGGCCAATATCACTTATATAGAAGGTCTCTTCACGAAGCTGCTGCCAGTTCTCAAAACATGGCACTTGCACATCCACGTTCGACGTTGCCTGCTACGAGCCCGGATACAAGGAACACCAGGAAGTCGTGAACTTCTTCGAGACTGTCGTAAAGGTTTTCCAGATGTATCCTACTTACGATATGCTTGCTGCGTAAGATCAAGTTTATTAGTCTGTGACTGCTGACGACCTTTGGCGACAATAGTGCAGGAATCCTTCCCTCCAATACAACGACATACACCCGCGCCCAGATCGCAAATGCCCTTTACTCTCAGACTGGTGCTGATCCTTGGCTTGGCTGCCATGATGGCTCTGCTTTGGAGGAGATCTGGTACTTCCACCATGTTCTGGGCACGGTATGTCGCGTTGATAACGAATGTACCATGGTTTACTTAACCCTGGTCTAGGAGCAATACGGTAACTTCAAAACTCTGGACTCCATTACCCCGTCAACCTGCACAGAAACTGGAATCTGGTATTATGAGCGAACTCCGAACTCTGAGAAGGCTGTCTCACATTAAACCAAATGCGAGCGTTCAATGTCACCTTGTTCTGCGGGGTCGCGTCTACCTTTACATATGACAGTCACTGTCTGCTATTTTCTTGACTACGGGTACACATTAAGTCGTTTATGAGGTATCTATCTTAAGGTACTCTACATCAAATTTAAACTTGAGATTAGAGTCTGTATGTTTTGCCATCTATTAACACCTCGATGACATTAAGGACGCGTCAGTCACGTGACAGGCGCGACGCGACACGTCCACAAATAAGTGACAACAAATATTCGCCTAAAATAGTGTTCACCCTGAATTTCAGTTGAGTTGTCGGCAGCGTGTCAGCACATCCGGAATTCCCAATTACATCAATCCTGACCCTCCGACCACCACCATAGCCAGCAAACACCTCATGACAATTTCACTACAGCTTGATGCGGTGTCTGGACAGTCCAGTACGCGGAGGGCACTCTCTGACATTTCTTTGGCAGTAGCCAAATCCAAAAAGATAGTTGTTGTCACCGGAGCAGGCATTTCATGTTCATGTGGCATTCCGGTGAGTCCTCTGCACGTGTAGCAGATGCGATAGCTTGACAATTCTCTCGATGTAGGATTTCCGGTCTTCAGATGGTCTTTATTCGCTCGTGAAACAGCGATACCCAGACATCGTCATGAAAGGTCGCGATCTCTTTGACTCGTCTCTGTTCCGTGACTCCGCGTCCACCTCTGTCTTTTATACTTTTATATCGCAGCTCAAGCGCTCTATCGATGCTGCCACTCCTGCTCCTACGCATCGATTCATTAAAACCCTGGACACAAAGCAAAAACTAGTACGTTCGTACACCCAGAACATCGATGGTCTAGAAGAGCGAATAGGGCTCCGTGGGAGTTCCAGTCAACAGGCGAAGATCAGTGGGAAGAAGAAGTCGAAGCTAAAAGTCAAGGAAGTAAGGAACGTCCAGCTACATGGCGACATCCACCGCGTGCGGTGCACTTTCTGCTCCGCCGAGATGCCCTGTACCGAAGAGCATTTGCATGCGTTCGAGAATGGCAAAGCCCCCAACTGCCCAGAATGTACCTCACGATGTAAGTTAGCTCTCGTGTTTATTTTCGGGCTTAGCTAAGTCTCTGGTAGCGGAAGCACGAGTTGCTCGTTCTGCACGTGCTCTCAAAATTGGGACTCTTCGTCCAGCTATTGTACTCTACGACGAACCACACCCTCTTGGGGACGATATAGGCACAATACAAACGATGGATATCGCTCGCAAACCTGATATGCTCATCATCATGGGTACTTCACTCAAGGTTCACGGTCTCAAAAAGCTGGTTAAAGACTTTGCGAAAGTCGTACACACCACTGGGACTGGAACTACACCTAGTGGTACTCCCAAAGTGCAAAAGAGTTGGCAGGGAAAAGTCGTTTTCGTGAACAAGACTCCGCCTGGCAGCGAGTGGTCTGACATTATCGATTACCACGTCGCAGGGGAGACTGATGCATGGACCAACAAAGTCTTGGAAGACTGGAAGAAGATGCGACCATCAGACTGGGAGGTACAACAGACGCTTGATCACACTGACGAGTCCAATGGGTTCAAAGTCATCAAAGATACCATTTCCAAAACGAAGGGCAAAGGTAAGTGCGGACTTGGCTTCTTTCAGTGCGCCGCTCATTTCAATTCGATAGTTGCACCAAAGCGGAATATAAACGTCGAGAATGTGCCACTGAACGATCCATTTTCCTCACGACCAGCTTCACCATCGAAAAAACCCATCAGTGTTCCGTCATCACCAAGCAAGCGACGACAGTCTGCGTCACACTACTCAGATGTGGAGTCAAGTCCGCGCAAAAGACGTGACATCGCCAAAATCGCGGATGGTATGGATCGGTTGGACATGTCAGATAGGTGCATATTGTTTGCAGATGCGACAAATGCAGCCAAGAATGCGAGAGGAGATGATCTGGTGACGGGCGAACTGCAACCTCCAAAAGTAAAGGTACGCCGAACAAGCGCATCGGTCGTCTCCAAGGAGTGCAAACCCCGGTCTCGAAATACTGCCAAATCAAGGGTGGAGGTGTGGGTGGAGATTGGGAAGAGACCTAATATTTCATAGCCGGCTGTAAATTATTGTATGATATACCTTTGCGTTGTCGATATTCTTCCAGTAGTATTTGCATGTTGCAAAGATAGTTTAAGTGTTGAGGTAGATGACAGTAAAACAGGACAATGTAACAACCGAAGCGAGAGCCCGGTAAAATTGCGAGAAGAGGATTCAACAAGATGTGTCAGTCGCTAATTAGCTCAGAGACACTCCAATCCTCAAAACTTCCGTCGGGTAGATAGCGCCGGATGATAAGGGGAATTTTTCGTTGCGAGAGCTCCTTAATTGCGATTTGCAGAGCATCTGTCTCGCCATCCAAGGGAACAAGTACTGGGGCGTTCATGCTTGCGATGACACGCCTGCATAAGATGAAATGCAAGCAAGATGCAAAAGACCTCTCACCTGATCTGAAGCGCTCTCGTCCCCAATATTCGTGCTCGTTCGTACTTGGTCAAGTAGGGTGTTGTTACTCTAACTTTGTTTGCCTGTCTCTCTCCTTGAATGCCCACGTTTGATGGCGCTGGCTGAGGTTGTGCGCCCTCCTCTCCGTTCGCCATCTCCTGATCATGGTCTGCTCCATTGATTCCATTGACGTGCGAGACTTCACCATTTGCTTCCTCCCCTTCTGCCTGTTCACCCTCCTGTTCTTGTGCGAGGAGATCATAGCCTTCATCCTAAACAACATGCGGTGTCAAAAGTTTGATCACAGTATGATTCGCCAGGTACGCACGAAGGCACCCTCGTTGAAACTAGAATAATATGTCAGAAGTTCCTTGTCGATGACTTTGTAATTAAAACATACCTGGGACCGTCGTAGTCGTAGTCATCGCCGCCGCCGCCACCACCGCCATAGCCATCGTCGGACATCCTGAACTGGGTCTAAGGTGGTTAAGGAAGTAGACCGGTCGATCCTGAGATGCAAGATGAAGGACACAAATTTCTGGACGAATGCATGGAAGCAGGACAGGATTACATAATCGATGGCTTCTTTCTTCCAAACCTTCGTTCGTCGAAACTTTGTAAAACGTCATTTTACTCTTTTGCACCGGATCAGAGCGACAGGTTTGCGGAATCCTATTGAGTTCTACTACTGAGTTTTTTCAAGTGTTTCCTCATGAATGCTCTTTACTGCCAGTTACTAGGTTGTTTACACCGATTTCGTCAGACATATGTCTCCATATTGTGCATTTGGCATCAATCAATGAAACACCGGGTGCTTCCCTCATATCTTATCACTATTTCTTCTTGAACCTGGAATGGTGCGCTTATCTTGATTGATTCAATAGCGAAAATTCTAATAGATGAGCTTGCAGCTTCCGTGTTACTGACGGTCCGGTATCCGTTGATATATCTTACCTCGCGCTTGCGTTATAATTGTACTCCGATAATACGTTACGCAGTAGTAGCTGGGGTAAGCTTCCAAGCTGAGATAGTCCACGAGCTCTCTGAACATGACAGATCTTGTTCTCGCACTGTTCCGGTCGCTGATCTTGATTATCGCGTCCCTTGAGTTGGAGCTTGCGTCGTCTTAACTGGGCGTCGCAAATACCTTCTCCGAGCTCGGACTCGTGTCTCACGCAATTCATCAATTGAATAAATCATCTAGATGTGAATTGATTGTCGTTTATTCCAAGCTCAACATGGTTCTGCAGATTCAATATTTCATGTGAGCCAATCACAAAGAATCATTGGTTTCATCTGAATATCTTCTCTTTCCCACTTGGGCTCTACAGCCGTCGGTGGAGGGATAACTTAATTTTTTTTCTGTTTTTCACTCCGTGGAGCTGCGGAATTTTGTTCTGACAAGTTGGTATTTTGACACATCATAGAGCAGTTTAGGTAGACTGCGCCCGCGAGCCGCGGTTGTTTGTTTCTCTGTTTTGGACTCCATCTCTCCACCTACAACCTCTACCATCACTAACAAGTACTATTCCTTAGTTCATTCTATAGACATGCCGCAGCATACCCAGGCGCGATCTTGGGGTACTCGTTTTGACACATTACTCTCTGCTCCTCTCTCCCCAACAGAAGATCCTAATGTCACCCCCTTGACCGTCAACGAGGCATGTGACGACTCTAAGAAGTCTGCAGACAGGATCGTTCAAGACGCTAGCATTTTCATCGGAAGGTACGCTATTTAGACACAAATTAACTTGCGTGCTCATCGTAAACTTTTCCCCAGTCTACCAACTAATATCGATCATTTGGAGTTAACTCGTATGCTCTCTGATCACCTTTCTGATCACCCAGAGGTACAGACCATCAAAGTCGTTCGTGACTCAAAGGGCGGCACTTGCGCATTCATCCAGTGTCAAGTCTGTCTCTACTATTAAATGTTCTGAGAATATTTCTAATGCTTCACCAGGACGCCGAGACGGCGGCAATGCTAATCGCAAATTTGCATTCGTCGGAACCTAAACAATTCATGGGGCGTTACTTACGCTATGAGCCAGCACGAGCATTGAGAACGCTACTCATATCCTACCGGTGAGTTTTCGCAAAGACGCGTCCCTATATGCGCTTGAATACGCGCATATATGAAGTAGTCCTGCTTCTAACTCGGTTTCTAGTACACCACGACAGTTTGTACCTTCGTCAGACATCAAATCAAACTTTGGCGACCTTCAGGATGGTAAGCCTGTCGACCTGGATTTGCCTTGGGCGATGAAAATTTCTAGGGTCCCGGGCACTCGGTATCTCTTCTTCTTCAATTTTCTTCGTTCTCTCTGATGGAAGTAAAATCACCAGGTACCTGTCAGTCCTGTACAATTCAGATGCGCGTGCCGCAGCGGAGAACGAAGGCCTTATGCCTCTCGGCGATCGAGAAGCAGATGAATCCGGGGCGTATTTTAACCCCCTGCTTTACACTGCCGAAGTACTCGTAACCTAGCCTATGACCAGAACTGTGGGTTCTGACTTTGCCCTAGACTCTAAGGAAGATATCAACCATTTTCGGGGGCATCGAACATTTTGTTCCTCACGAGTTCGAGTCAGGTGTTCAGCAGGAATATCCTCCTCCGCACGATGCCCCCCGCTCTGCAGGAATGGAGACGGGGTGCTGGGAAATCAAATGGTGCCACCGCGATGACTGCGTTTGCGCGCTGATGGTGAGTTTACAGAGCTAATTAACTGCATATGCTGACGCAACTGCTAGACTCTGCGCCGAGTGCCTCACCTGACCGTGACTTGGGCTCACCATCCAGCTCACCCACGCCAGCCGATGCCATACCATGGCGCCCAGCTTGTGCAAACTAACCAAAACCACTGGCAAGCTCAAACAGCTAGTTCCACGCATATGGCTCCATCGCATTTCCCATTTCCAAACCGGTTTTCATCCGCAGATTCACTCGTTCCCTATCATCCTGGCATACAACCGATCTCATCGTCAGCTAGCCTTGGCAACATCGAGCGTAATTCGAACCGAGCGTCTACTGCATTGTGCGATATGACCTGGTCCTCGCAGAATGGCGTGTTGGATACGAAAGGCACGACACCAAAACGTCCTCGAGCTCTATCCTTGAGCCACAAGCCATCAGGTGTCAACAAGAAACACTTTCCGCCCATCTCTGAGACAGTCCGTGAACGAGAAACAAAAAAGTATTGGAGCGACCGAATGGAGGCTGCTGACGAAAATCAGAGGCTAGTTTTTGTTTACCCTGACGGTGAATTTCAACTGAGCATAACTTACTCTAGCATCATGGCGCACTTACCATCCATGTCGGGTATTTCAGACGTTGCAAGTTCTACAGCGCATTTCAATACAACACCGGTACATCAGGAGGAATCCTATGACATTGAACTTGGCATCCCTCCGACTCCCGAGTTTGGGACCTCGCCTATGACCCCGAAAACGCCGGGGTCTTTGATACCTCGTACTCCTACTAGCGGAAGCTACCTAGGCGACTTTCAGTCCGGATCTCTACCTGAGTTCGTCACGAAGAATGGCCTGCAATGTGATACAAAGCGCGAAGGTCCATTGGATCCTACAACCATCTTCGTCGGAGGATTGGAGATGTATGGCCCGAACGCCTGGGATGAAGAACGCGTCCGTAACTTGTTCTCAAGGTATGGCGGTGTGGAGAATGTCAAAGTTATCCGGCCAGGTAGGCTTTAATTATCGTTGTCCTCGCTCAGTAACGATTATTTTTTGTAGTCAACAAGCGTTCCGCGTTTGCCTTTGTCACATTCAATAACAAGGAGTCTCCTGCTCTAGCTGTTAGTGAAGAGGTGCGATCAAAATTTCCACTCCTACTGTTCCCAGGCTAATCCATCTGTCATAAGCATAACAGGATCCTTGATGGACGTCCAATCCGGGTCCAGCTCCGTGACTGGAACCCTCCGCATCGCACGAATTGGAGATCTTATCGTAACCGCGGGCGAAACCTTGAGGGGGGTATGGTCCGCCATGGGTCAGAACCGTCCCTTGTCTCCAGCGACGATCTTCGTGTGGATCCTAATGTTCGACGACCATCTACAATTGCCTTAGAAGAAAGGCTACAGGAATTGGACATTGGCCACAAGACAGCTACTAGAGGTTCAATACCCGACGTCGAGCAGTCAGATGAAAAGCTTGACGTTGCCTCTGAACCTCAACAATATTCTTCTCTAGTTGCGGATGACGTACAGACCGTCGAGTTAGACAACACTATCCCGCCTCAGGCTGTTTCCATTACTCCTTCCGCTTCACAAACGTCGGTGACATCTGCTCCTCCCCAACACATGGCTTATCCCATGCCCACAATGGGGTACTATCATCCTCAAGGATGGGTGGCTGGTTTCCCACCATATCACATGCAGTATATGGGGGCATACCCTGGATTTCCTCTTCCGCCGCCGATGAGCCAATCGTTTCCCCCAGCTAGTGGCGCGGATGCTCGTGGAACACCTTCAGCAACACCTACTCCGATTGTTCACCCAGGCATGTATGCTGTACGTTTAATAAATCTCAAGCTTCTTATGCTGCAACGCTGACGTGCTGTTCAAGCCATTCATTCCATATTCGTATCCTGCGAGAACACCCGTGCGAGAGCAAGGCCGGGGACAGACCCCTGTTGCAACACAAGCGCCACTGATACCTACGGGGTTCATTCACGGAGATCAGGGTATTCTAGTTCCTGTTTACCCTCCAGACGCTCTAAATCAATACATGTCCGGTGCTCAAGGCGAACAAACTTCGACCTCCACAGAGGCTGCTCCTGCCTCGCTCCCAGCTCAACCTCCTAACAATTGGAGGCCGTATCTTCCACCTGCGTTCGCACCTGGTGTACCAGGGATTCAGCACCCGAACCCAGGACCTTTTCCGATAATGGGTCCACACGGCTGGATGCCGAATCATGCCCCATTTGGCATCAATCAGCATGTGCAAGCCCCATCAAACGTTCCTCTAGGTTCTGGTGGTGCACCCATGCAGCCGATGTTTGAGCAGCGCAATATCACTGTACCTCCTCGTCGCCAACATCGCAGAGACCATCAGTCCAATTTCAAGAATGGAGGTCGCGGTCACCCTGGGCGTTACCATCGTGGATCGTTTGCGTCAAACGCGCCAATGCTGAACGTACATCCCACCCCAGGACCTGACCACTTCAGTAGCTCCCAGCGAGACGTGCAGAGCGGTCCTGAATGGAACCATTGGGGTACCCAGTGATTGCATCAGGGTACATCTCGAGTTACTTAGGCATGGTTTAATTTCTCTTTCACTTTTACACGTACATTTTCGTTCTATCTTCCTTTCTTCCAGCCAATTATTCTAATATATAAATCCGTTTTTCGCTTCTTTTATCCATATTTTTTCATCGAGCTAGATAACAAAAACGACACTCATTCACCCATAGATTTGCGCATCATGCTCTGTCGTACTCTCATCGCTACTTAGTCATCTTCCACCCACCAGGTCGTCACTGTCGTTACTGCATTATCTGACCGTGTAATATGTAATACTTGAGTATGTGAGATACCTCTGTACCAAGGATCCAGACACCGCTACACTGCCCGCAACCAATTTCCTAGTTCCTGATATAAAATTCATTGGGTGGTCCAGGTGGTATCGAAATCTGATGCATGATGGTAGATCACCAAGTGGGCAGAAATTGTTCCTGCAAGAATTTTCCAGATACTGCAGACCGCCAAAAAGGCCTCAAATATTTTTGCGCCTGGAAAAAAATCCGAGGTAATGATCATGATGGGCGTTTGTGGGCGCCAGATGATCGATGGTGATGGCAGTGATCATGATATGAACTGCGACCGTGACTATGGCTCCCTGTGGCTCGTTACAATATCGCTGAGGTCCTTGAAGTAGCGAATTCAAGGGCCATTCGGAATTTTGGATAATGTTGCAGTCTTTACTGTCAGCTTTATCAAGAGACGTCGCTTTACTAGAACAACTCTGGCATTTCAATATAACAGTACAAGTCACGTCAAACAGCTGATGAGGACATATTTATGTTTATATTCACGGCAAGGCAGGTGCACTTGCGCATGGCACTTAGTTCTTAACACAGTTGCAGTTACCAACCTGGCAGTTGCAGCTGTTGACAGACAGTCAGAAACCAGTCATATTGAAATGTCGCAAGGTAGAACTTACGAAGTGGTGCAGTTGCATTGCTCGGCGTTGTTGTTGAACATGATGATGGTTGTGAGTGCGGTTAAGCTGCAAGACGGCGTCAGCCGCGTCATGGTCAAGGGGCTCAAATCCGAGTCAGACAACTCACCTGGTTTGTGAGGCAGTTGATAATAGAGCGGATTGCTGAAGGAAAAGTCAGTCAAAGGGGCCATTTTATATTGCTGATCATCAGCAGAGTGACCAAAATGGACAGCGTGCATTTGTATCCACTAATCCCAGGATTGTCAACACCAGGTCATGAGCCCCACAGGGCGCAGCAAGGGAGGTAACTTAAAGGGTCGGCTTCTGCTTCACTGGCAAGTCTGCCAAGATATGAGCTGCGGGACAAGTGCCACTGCATCCAGGGTTGTCACTAGTACTAGTAAGGTAACACAGGATCAACTTCTGCTCCACACCTGATAGATAACTCCAGGGCCCTAGAACTTGAAGAGGGCTGGTCTAACGAATTTTTTTCAAATGTCAGTGTTCACGGTCACAGGGCCGAGTTGAAGCTTTGAAGTTCTGAGAACGGTCCGATTTGTTTGTGTTTGTTTTCAGTCAACAACGTTTTCTTCGCCTGCCGTGACCCGTCACTGCACAATCCAAAAAACACCCAGCTCTATATCATCGTCGTGTTTGACTTGTCATGGCTGCAGCTTCGTCGTCTTCTGCTTTGTCACTTGCGCCTCTTGCTTCCTTGGCTGTGTCGGATCAGGAGCTCCTTGATGAAGGGACTCATCTGTCATGTCTCCCTGAACTTTTACGCAAGTTCTTTGGTTTTGTTAAGGTATCTCTCGATCGAGTTCGACGAGCAGTTCGTGATCAGTATACGGTTGGACGTTTGTTGCCCGTTCACTGCTTCTGCTGTACGGCATGTCGTGGTCCTGGAGAATTTTCCTTACATGACTCGTGACAATTGTGCGGCGTGCCACTATCGCTCGCGCACGTTCCTTTCGCGTTCAGCCATCTGATTGGAAGGAACACTTATGTGACATACTACGAGTGCACACATGTGATGTTGAGTTTGTCAATTTAACTGTGTTCGTGCTTTTAAAGACGCCCAGGGCCGGGCAGGCGACATCTCGCGTATCAGATCATGCCCGATCCTTCTGCTAATCATTTTCGCGATTGTAATGCTGCTGAACATCATTCGATCCGTAGTCGAGTCCGAACGTCCTGCGGCAAGGGACAAGGTCAAAAACCAAGCTCATCCCCGTCTCTATCTCGGAGGGAGCAATCTTGGGACCGTTTTGGTGTTGACAAGCATGCGACAGGTTTTATCTATTTACATAACTACAGAACCGTTCCGTATGGGAGAGCACGTGTGCGACTGTGCGCTTATTGCCCACAAACAAGGTACACCGTCGACGAAAGCACGTTCGACAACCCAGTCAGGGTCGAGACAAGCCAGTGCGTCGCCGCGTCTAACAAGCACCAATTTTTTTTCGCTGGTTTGACTTCACATTTACTTCACAGACTCAGACCCATAGCATAGACCTGCTACAGCCAGTCCTACCCCAACCCCACATATTTCGATGGACAGTACACTCCTAGCAAAACGACTTCTCTCACCCGTGACGGATATGGTCCTACTCCCAGCATACCATCCGTATCCAGCCTACGATAATGGCCAGTATTATTTCAACTCCGGTGCTGTCAACCTTGTCAACCCTACTGTTGTCAACCCCGTCCCCCAATTGCGGCTCCACAGGAACAACGACCGCGACCTCCCAAACGGACTAACTGCCCTTGCGAGTCGCGACCATGAATTTTCCAGCAATAGTAGCCTCCACGTCTGTAGCGGAGATGGCGTCTGCAACCACTACCACGACAGTAGGCGACTGATGTAGCAATGCGCACCGTAGCCGGCGAAGTTTTTTTTTTTTGTGTCCAATTTCTGTCCTTTTCAGAGTGATACCCTATGTAGGACATTACAATCTATACTAGAGACCCCCAGTGTCTCGGGTGCATCTCGGGCTCGCGAATGCCCTGATGTGAGGCATGCCCCCAGCCGGCGAAGTTTGACGATGGCCGGTACTATCCCAATCCTATGTTTAACGACAGCAAGTATCATGTCAGGACCACCCGGGGAAGCATAATGGGAAGGAGGTTGACACATCGGGGCAAGGTGCGCACTGGCAGGAAAAGAGCCATACAATATTAGGCATTGGGAAGATGTATATGCTACTTATTGGACTTTGATGCAAGTGCCGCTCACATAAACTCTTACGTTCTGTTTCACTCAACCGCGTGTGATATGGACCAGCGGGCTTTACCGATGATTGAGCATGCCCTCGTCGTCCGACTCCTCGAGCATCTTTCAGCGTGCCCAGTAAGTCGGCGGTCGCATCATGGTTGTTATCTTCGGGTGTGACCACAACCGCCGAAGGAGTCAGACTGTCTTTCTTCTCCTTCCTTCTATCGGGTTGCGTGCCGGTGGCTTTGGTCTAATTTGTTTCCTTTGCAGATTATGGTGTTTAGCCTTCGCGAAGACCATCGGGTTTTCGCAAAGTCCAATTGAGGCTTAAGCGGCCAGATTATCTCTCCAATGGTCACAGTTTAGCTTCTCGTGATCGCAGCTGTCCCAAAGATCCTCAAGTTGCCTAGTGAACAGTAGGCCGCGTGTTCAGATCCTCCGAAACGATTGAGAAGTGGCGTTATTACTGCCACTGGCAGCACCCCGAATGACCACAAGTGAAGTCACCCTCAAAATCTTGCCTTTTGACGCTCGTTCTATCACGATAACTCTTGACGGTATCTGGTGAGTAGCAGATTATACCATACACGCTGATCCACTGGATGAGACTAACCAGTAACCACCCAATGTCCAGTCGTGATTTGCACTCGCAATGCACGCTTGCCTGCAGATCTCAGAGACTTCACAGGCCATTTTTGCGAAAGTCACAGAAGTCACGGCGGGCGGCGTCCAACCATCATATACCACTCTGTACTACCTGGCGTTGACGTGTCGAACTTTCCGAGAGCTGGCACTGGACGCCCTATGGGCCCACATACAAGAGACATATGTGCTTGCAATGTGCCTGCCTCAGGACACTCGTTCTCAACCCGTAAATTTGGGAATATATGTTGATTCCAACTGTGTGGTGAGTTTAGTGTCCTTCTCTTTTGAGTGTAGTTCATGGTACATCAATTTTAGAGGTTTCTCAGACCATTAGTCGATGATGATTGGACTACTTTTCAAAAGTATGCACGCCGAGTGCGCTCGCTCACTTTCAAAAATATGATGTGAGACATCAGCGGCTGCATGATAGCGCTGCGCTTGCTCTTTTGGGCTCTCATCCTTCTCCGTACCCACCATTTCCCCTACTCCAGGAGCTGTACTGGTTTGACAGGCGTGATGTGCTTCTACCTTGCCTGCAGCGCTGCATTTCCACAACCCTTACTCGGCTAGTCGTTTGTTCGGAGCGTTGGCCATCAGCAATGGTCGATCTCTTGGCAGGCATAGGAAAGGCTTGCCCTAAGATCAAAGAATTTCGTTGTTGGATGCCACCCTCTAGCAGTGCATGTACCATGCTTTCAGATATCGTCACTTGCTGGAACGATCTGGAGATCTTGGAGACATTGGCTATAAATGCACAGGCATTGAAGCATCTTGCATCCCTCAAATGGCTGAGGGAGCTGGAGATGCTCGTCCCAATAGGTTACAGCTTGGGATCGACGTCGCGGTTCAGCGTCATGTTTTCGGTGGACAAATTCGGTATAACTGCCCCAAATGTCCAGTTTCTTCTCGCTTTTTTGACCCCCTTGCAAATTTCTGCGAAGAGCGCACAGCTGGATATCAAGACAGCTCCAAACGCAGTTGATCTCCACCACCTACTTTCCTCCCTCACAGAGCATTTCAAATCCAACGTTTTAGAGTCGTTGAATGTTATGGTGGCTCGCCCCGCTAAATTCTCCGATCCCGCCCTTTTCGAACTGACTGCTTCCGCCTTCCAAAGGCTACGGGCCTTCGCAGGGCTCACCGATCTCAATCTCGGATCAATGCATATCTCTATCAACGACGACGAAATTCAAGACCTTGTTTCTGCTTGGCCGCGAATGAAACATCTTCACCTTCACACAAACTGGAGATGGGAAGTCACCCGCTTGGGGGTGTCATTTCTCGGGCTTGCAGGTATTCTCGAGCGCTGTCCAAACCTGTGCTCCCTGGGGATCAACCTAGATACCACAACCCAAAAAGACTCACCTTCCCCCGTCCACCACCAATACACTGGCATCACCAGCGAGCAAGTCACTGACCTAAGTGTTGGGTATGCGGAATGTAACGATGTTGAGGCCATTGGCAATCTGCTAGTTGGGATGTTTCCCAACTTGGTCCATATCTATTGCACGCGTCCCGTAGATCCCTACTACGAAGATGTTTCCACTCGTCATGCGTGGTTCGAAGAGCCAGGAACATGGAAAAAGGTCGACGATTTCATCACTCAAAGAAGAAGGGAGCAACTAACACAACGATGGTAAGTGCACTTTATAACCATGTAATCGTGCTCTCACATCTCCTGGTGTAGGGTATATACTCACCGTTTCTGATAAAGAAGTTGTACAAAGCTCCTGAACGAGTTTTTTTTCGTGTACAAGACAAATGCTAGTGATCGTTCAACCTGTATGACCCGGAGACGTCGTACCAGTATGTTCAACTATTATGATGATATTTACATGTAACGGGACGCGAGTGGATGCAACGACTTGCTGTGGAGAGGGTGGGAAAAGAAAGACTATGGCGACGAAGTGCACGGAGTGAACAGTCGTTGCGGTAGAGAAGTAATAGGTGACTGCCGGCTGAGTGCCCAATCGCGTTTGCAGAGCTATTGCCGCAGGGAACGAAGAGACGCATCTCGGTATGACAGAATCGCTTCCGCGGCGTGTAGCTCAGGAGTAAACGCTCGGTGTGGGTGGGTTGAAGACGCGGAGCATCTTACAATCGTGCAAGTGGAGATCAGCTGATGATTTGTATCAGTAGAAACCCGGTCAGGCCTAGTAACTAAAGAGTTTAAGAATGATGAAGCGTACAGAATCGCTTCCGCTGCGTCGTAGATTTTCATATTGTGCGCGAAATACGTCCTGCGTAATTTAGTATCTAGTAGCACCTAATTTGAGCACGCTAAGAGCGTAGATCTTTGTCTGCGTCATTGCCACGGACGAGCCCCAGTGAAGATCTCTAAGACCTTATCGGACAGACCCTCTCATAGATCAAGTTGCGGTGTGTTAATTTTTGGTATCAGAGAGAGAAACACTTACAAGACCTCAGAACATACAACCCGCGAGAGTGGTTGTGCTCAGTGGTACAAAGTTTGTGCTTCGTGATAACCGATTTACACAGTAATTGGGATACGGAATTTGCGCTCTGTGATGCGCTGTTTGCACCGTTGGATATACGAAGATGAGAAGGTTGTGTCGAAGATATTAATCAGAAGTGAACACCAAATATTGACCGAGTCTCACCTAAGGTGCTCAAGAAATACCAAAGTCGGGGTCAAATCGAACGCCGCCTATGAACGAGCACATTGGAACAGGGCCAGCGGCCTAAGCCTAAACTCGTGACCAGCCCCTCTGCGACTATCGACGGTTTGCCTCATAGAGGGGCTGGTCACTAATCTAGCCTAAGCCCAGAGCGAGGCAGACAAGCTGAGATGATGATCAATGCTAGCTACGAACATGGCGAAACCTAGTCTACATGCTGACTAAGCTGTGTAAAGGGCCGATAGGGCCCTTGGTGCGTAGTAGCTCCTGCCCTTGGGACCCCTGGTCCAACATAATAGTTCATGTACGTCCCTGTACTGCGCAACAAGAGTCGAGATGGAGGGCAAACACTTTGAAAATAATAGCCTTCCTTCTATTCAGTCTGCCTACGGAAGGCCAAACGGGACATGATATTGCTGACAGCGGAAGGAAATATCGTTAAGTATGGGCACCTACTCGTCCAACGTATTGTCCAAGCAACTAGTTCGCGAAGAGTCATCTTGACGATGTGGAAGGTATGTATCGTGAGCAAGGGATATAAACGAAGGAATGCGTGGTAGATGGCATTAATGAGACTGAGATACTAGGGTATGTAGATGATAGATAGGATGAAATGCTCAAATGGGGTCATAAATGGTCGTCTGTGTGCATGGCGGTGTCAGTTTGATGTCGGACAGAACGGGCAATATATACGTACGCATATATGGTCGTGGAATCGATACAAGTCATCAGTGAAATTAGTGGCCAGAGACCTTGGGGAAATGATAGTTATCGAATTAGGCGGGTGTAGAACGTAATTCCAGCGTTGTACACTGAAGGTACCCAGTCAACTTATGGGCACTGTGGCAATCCATGTCTGCTCTCACCTTTACAAACAGACGAGTATGGTTTGAGGGCGGTGACGAATGCTATGGTCGTTTATTTCCGGAATACCAAGAAAGATGTACGCTACCTACACCCGAGATGTAGACTTTGGCGCGCACACGACACACCTGGTAAGAAGAACTCAGTTAGCTCTTCCAACAGTAGGAACGACTGTGGAAGCTATTTACAGTATCTGCAACTTCAGCCTTATGGAAGTTCACATGGAGATCGCCATTAGGCATCCTCGTGATTTGATCCACTTCGCCAAATGACTAATGATAGGGCAAGAGTCAGTAAAAAGAAACCGAAGCCAAGGATGTGAGTCAGACCTGACACCACTTTTGAACAGCTTCAAGACGTTTAACGTCATTCGGCGCGATACCACCGATGACCAACTTTTTCTTGGTGCTTCGTGACTGACTAGCGATCGAAGATAAAGAGACTCTGGGAGCGTGGCCTTTGCCGGTGTACACGATGCGCGGTCGTGTAGCGTCTGACCCTTCCACAAATATATTGGGAAGGGCACTATCCGGGGCCTTTGACTTTGGTGAGAAGGGTAACCGAATTGTACTCGACTTCCGCGCCAATGAGCCTGGAAAACCTGGCGGCTGGGAGAGCTGCGGTTCAGATGCTGGTAACGAGAATGACGTCGGAAACGAGGAACTTGTTTCAGTGGTGAAAAGCGACAGTGAAGAAGTCACAGCCTTTTGGGAACGCATCTTCAAAGATCCAAATAAGTGCGACTTTCGAGGCGTCGAAGGAGGTACAAGCGATGCTCCATCCTCATACGTCACATTGGTGGATGGGGTTGCGTACGAGGAACTTGTGGTGGTTGAGGACATGCTGGGGCGGGAAGAACTACCTGGGGAGTCACGGGTACTTGTGCGTGTATCACCGTCAGAGAGGGACACGAAATGCCCCAGCACACTCGGTCGCCACCGCCACGATGAGGGGCTCGAATGTGTACAACGTTCCTCCGATCGAGGTTCAGCCACAAGATGTGACGTGTGAAGGCTGGAGGAGCGACTGTGGTTGTAAGGATTGCTCGCCTCCGAGTTGGAAGTGGCACGCGAGGAGCGTTGAAACATTGACAGGCGTGATGGACTGCGAGATATCGATGATGCGGCTGGTGAAGGAGATCTGATTGATAGACGGAACTGATGTCGAGATGGGGGGGTATCAAGCCATGCAGTCGCCGATTGATGACATGTACCAGCAGTATCGGCAAGCGCTGATTGACCATGTGATCCCTTTGACATATGAGACGGCCTATCTAACACGTGTCGTAGATGACGTACCTTTATATCCACGGGATCCTCAGGAGGAATATATTCTTGCACGTCGCCGTCATCGACTACGACATAATCGTGCATGCTAGTAGCATCATCCATACTTTTACGAACAGTTGCCAGGCTGAGGTGAGGATACGCCAAGTAGGGATTACATTCAGTTCCAACGGTTTCCACATTAGTAGAGATATTGAGGCTACGCGGCTGCTGAACGGTGGAGGAATCAACCCGTAACTCCTCCAACCACTTTGACAGGCGACTTGAACGGCGACGAAGGGTTCGGGTGTGATGCTGGGTCGTAAAAATATCGTCATCCCCAACATTGGCGCGAACGGACGCGCTTAACCTGCGAACGGTCATGCCTGATGATTGGGAATCAGGTCTCTTCTCGGAGGGATCGCCTGGAGGGGAAAAGATCATGGGGATAACTTAAACATCAACAAAAGGGCACGCGTCATGTTATATGTTGCAAAAATTACATACTTGTGTCGGTATGCGGTCCTAAGCGTGCAGGCTGAGCGATATCATAGGCCGAAGCAGATGTAAGTAAGGGAGCGGGCGTCGATACGGAGCCGAAAGACGGTCGATGGTCATGCATTGAACTTAGACTGTGGATACAATGGATCAGGCCGCGGAGGTAAAAAAAATACAGAGATCGTTAGGGATGAGCAAGATTTAGTCAGACGTAAAAATTAAAGACGCCTCGAGAATGAATCTGCCAAGTCGGAGGACGATGGATGGGTATCGGATGGCTGGATTCATAGAACAAAAGCAAGGAATAAAACGCGAGGCTCGATGCCAAAACTCGAACATGCTCACATTCATATCCGGTTTGTTGAACTGGAACGTGGTAAATCTTACGAGACTCATCTACCGAACCTTCTTCCAGCCAGATTCCACGGTGGAATATATATGTAGTTCTGTCCAAAAAAACATATTGAAATTGACGGACTTGCTAGGGCTGATCTTCGACATTCGCATGTAGGAGAGGTGAAGCCTTGCGCACGGCCGGTTATGGCCAGGTCACTGCTGTGTCGGATCCTTTGTATATACATCGGTATCATTGAAATGCTCAATTTTCAAGTTCGAGTCATGTTCTAATTTACGATGACGGAGGTTCTGACGATATCATATAACTGGTAATACGTACTTATAGTCTACTAGTGCTAGCTTCTGTATTTTACCTTTTCGCTTTAGCTTGAAATGAACCGAGCAGGGTTAGGAGCCTTTAACTTTTGATGTATATATAGCTGCCAAGCTCGGGAGATTGAAGAACCAAGCAATTGATTTCCTACTGGCTTGCAGTGCAAGTTAAAATAGCCTGTGGGGTCCCCTCCGAATAGCCCGTCGTGCGAAGGACTTTCGGAATTTGCAATATCATGTGGTCTGATGGGCCCTCCCATGTGAGATAACTATGCTGATATGGTTCGATAAGTATGCTTCGCGGTTGACGCTTCTCTGATCAAACACTTATCTGGATAGATAATGAAAGCTTCCCCCGAGCTGAAAGCCGCGTCAGCATGCTCAAGATCATATGCCCTGTGATCCAGCGATGTACATCGGGATACATTCTAATGATACATCAACGGTATATGTATCGATACAACCCTGCATAGGATGTGTAAGAAGTGGCGGACATGGTTTAATGACGTACCCTTGAGACTATTTAAGCAGAGCTGCTCACTGACGCGTGCTCTACCGATGGCAGCGTCGATATGAGCTTCTCGACGATGGCACTCAGAAGTTTCGCAGACGATGTCTTCTGATACCGTTGTAAAACTCCAAATGAACGAACTTCGCTAGCTTCATCGCGTTGTCCGTCAGCAGCGCTTAGATCTGTAGACTCGGCAGCATCCAACAATGTGACCAGCTCCGTGTCGATAGGCATACTACCAAGGAACGGCACCCCTTCTCGTCTGGCCATTTCTGCACCTCCACCTGTAGAGAACACATTGCTAACATCTCCGCAGCAAGGGCATACGTATCCACTCATGTTCTCGATAAGTCCAAGAACAGGAAGTGCGACAGCCCGAGTAAACGAGAGACATTTCATAGCATCCAGTAGCGCAACAGCCTGCGGTGTTGTGACAATAACAGCAGACAGCCGTGAATGCACCGGTGCAAGATGTTCGATCAGCGACAAGTGCTCATCAGATGTTCCTACATATTAATATCAGCTCGAGATGCTCTTGTCTTGTCACACCAAGAGATATCTAACCTGGAGGCGTATCCACGACGAGGTAATCAAGCTCTCCCCACCTGACATCGCTCAAAAATTGCCTGATCATAGCGTTCTTCTTCGGTCCTCTCCAAACTACTGAATCCCCCTTATTCTTCAATAAAAATCCAACGCTCATGCACGCAAGTCTGGGTTCACCATCCCCAAGCGCATCTGCGTACACAGGCACCCATCCATCGCTGCTCTGGTGCACACCATGTCCATCCAGACCAAGCATGCGTGGTATTGACGGACCGGTAAGATCGACATCGAGAACTCCGACCCGAGCACTGGGAGAAGATGCATGGAGGCTGAGCGCAAGCTGGGCGGACACGGAAGATTTTCCGACACCGCCTTTGCCAGAGCACACTATGATAATATGTTTGACTGTCTTTAGTCGTCGCGACACAGGTGTTTCTTGGACAGCCATGATGTCGGACAAGCGGGTTCCGGTGAGTGTAAGAGAGGTGTAAATGCCTTACGTAATTACATAAAGCTGATGACCATGCGGAGGGTCAGTGACTCAGTGGCGTAGTCGGCCAATGAAAATCGTTCGTCAGTCAATATTCTATTTTCTACCCTGAGTCCAGAATGTGACCTACTTGAGCCTGGCCAGGTAGACGCGTTAAAAAGCGTGTCAACCAACCACTTCTGCAATCACAATGATGGGCAAACCGGTGGTTTTGGGGCTCCCTCTTGATGTGCTTTTCGAGGTATGGATGCGCTCGAGTTGGGTATTACCAGTGTTCTAGGCTCGTTCACCCTCTTGTCCTGCTAGATTCTTTGGTATCTTCACCCACTGGACCTTGTATATCTTACCCGGGTATCCAAATCGTTTCGTTCGTTTCTGCTTAGTCGTCGCAAAGCAAAGTCAATATGGACAGAAACCTTCAAACGTATCGACCGGCTACCTCAGTGCCCATCGTACCTTTCCGAACCCGCATATGCAAACCTGTTGTTTTGGCCGTTCTGTCATGTATGTCCAGTCCTTTCTCGATAAATGTCTGGATAACTTACGTCACTTCCAGCAGTGCCACTTGCCGTGCGATGTAATTCAATGGGAGTTGCGCATTCGTTGCTGTGACGGTTGCACAAGTGACATGTAGGCATTTGTGAAGCTCGCGTCATCTATGCTTCTAATTATTTGTAGGCTCGTTGGTCGAGAAATGCTTCCTTCGTTTGTTGACCAGTTGAACTGCCTCGATGCCAAGCAGCTCATACCCATGTCGGTCATAAGTTCTGCTGGGCCTTGCGGTAGACAGACAGACAATACCTACAGAAAGCCGCTCACTGTGGCTTCGCACGCCGATGTTAACAAACTTAACATGCAGTACAAATTTGTGAAGGATAGCCCATTGTTGAACGACCTGATAATTCATCGCGAGAAAGCCACCCAGGAGATTTACCAGGTATCGTGTAACATTCCCGATAATCTTTCGAATGCATTATCGATGCGCTCTTAGCACGTAGCTTTGTGTCGCATCTGGGAGGCCGAAGCGGCTGACCAGCGTCGCAAAGAGCTGGTAGACCAGAGAAAAAGAGAGTATGTAATCTTAACTAAAGGTATATGGCGAAAACTTACTTGTTTTCAGCGTCGTTGAAAAACTCGAGAGCCTCGGATTGGGAAATGAGCTTGAATTACTACGGTCCGACGCCTCGGTATCAAAAGAATTCGACAACCTCGTCGTCAGGCAAGACCGAGAGTTGACTGATTCTTGTACGTGTGTAACATACCCTTGGTCTCTGTACCAAGTCTCACACATTTACAAAGCATGTCAGGTTTCTCTACCGAGGCTTCAAAATTTTCTGGAAATCAGAAGAGTTCGAAGGCTTACTGTCCTCCTTCAAGACCGCTTCAAGAATCTTGCCGTTGTTGTAAGCGATATGACCAAGACATTCAAAAATAATAAGACCAACAAGGTCCTGCCTCAAGCGATAGACATCTGTCTACTCTCGGAAGTTCGATGCATGATAGATGGCAAAAACTCTGAGGTCATGTCAGCGGAAGCCTTTGTAGACGCACTTACCCTTCGTCTACCTCCCTTGTTGTCAGCCTGGAACTGCCAGGCCACTAAGCAACTTGCAGATCTAGTTCGTAGGCAGCTGTGCATCGATAATGATGTCGACCCTCTCAAACTTGCCGCTTTGGTGTTCCGCTGCTCCGATTGTCGATTACATGTCACCTATCCATCAGCACTCACCCACCCTTGCCTACGTACTAAGACATTTGACAAATCGTGGGTCCAACTTCCGATGGAAACGACGGCGCTCGGTAGAACGATATCGCCAGTGGAAGTTTACGAGAAAGCAGCAATCGAGGCCTTCGAGATGCACCCATGGAATTGCAAAGTTCTGGAAGCAGACGGATATACCAAGCGAATACATAATCTCTTCCGAGCTCTCGGACGAGACCCGAAATCTACTTCGGTGGATGATATGGCATCTTGTCCAATTCGAGTAACCTGTAAGAGTTGTTCTGGAAGTCGGAACCGAATGATTCTGACTTACCGCACCGCTGTGTGTATATTCTTTAATCTGCTCAAGGGTCCATGTTCATTTCAATCCGCAGCTCATTCATTTGGTACGAAACCACAGCGATAACAAGGACGATGCCGTGTGGTGTGTTGTATGATCTCCAAGTTGTGTGGATGGACCTGCTCGAGTTCGGAATTCATATACCCAATACCCTTTTCATTCGGTGTATAACTGGTTTTTGGTGTAACGCCTCAAACAAGAAGCCTTGTCTTGTGGTTGTTCATAGAGTTCATCCGTGGATCCCTACTATTGATACAGTAACGCTTTGCAGCATTTGTACCTGTTATATGCAATTGACACTCATATCTCCAACTAAGAGGATCGGCTGACCATGGCAGGCGTCCCAGCGGCAGAGAGCGCCAATCTCGAATATGCGTGCATGAGCCTTGGCTATGCACTGCATTATTCTTTGCAGTATTGCGAACTTGCGTTGTGTTCTTCCCAAGTTCTCCCTGCACGATATCTGTGAGCACTCGTTCCGGCTTATCGGACATGCTGATGCTATTCAGGCACATATAGCACTATGGCCCGGAGAGAGAGTACATTCATTCACATTTTCAGTTAGTGCTTTAGGTTCGCCAAATAACTTTTAATATTTACTCTGGTTGGCTGTCCAGTTTCCAATTGCTCCAAACACTACATTAATGTACAAGAGTTCATGGGAAGATATAGAAGCGATCGTAAGCGAGCAGGACGCAGTAGAGGAGGTATCGTACTATCCTGAAGCTCGAAGGTATATGAGTGCTTGACATATTTGCAACGATGTTTTACGATTTTCCTAGCATGAGCCGCCACAACGATACCTTGTTCCAATCTGCTGCATTTTCTCGCTGTCCTCGGCTCTTTTGTTGCTCGACAGCCCAGTCGTAGACGGTCTTCATTTGAGGATAGGCTTCACGGCCTAAATTCAGTTGTGATTCGAAATGCTCATGTTGCCCAGTTGTTCGTGCCGTGTGGATATTTTCAAAATGTTGAACCCTGAATTACATTAAAGTTAACGTCAAAAGGGAGAACAGCTACAAACTCACAATTCTTGCGTTGAATTATTCAATGCTAAAAGGATGGTAGCTAAAAATCCAGGAATGGAAGGAAGCGTTCGACCTGTTGCGCGTTTGTAGGATGCATGTTGCTCAGACATGGTGAGCACATCCCCGATAACCACGAGTATCTGGTGTTTGTATTTCTCAAGATTCTTCCATTGAACTGTCAGCTGCTGTTTATGCTTCTCTCGTCTAAAATACTTCACCTTGAATACGGCAGCAGCCACATGACCAATATCTTTCGGGTCCTTGGCGGAGTTTAGAGCAGAATATAAACATATGCAATACGAACTCACAATCACCCCGAGTTTGGTGTCCTCTTTAAGTCCATGAGTCATTACAGCTACAGTAATAGAACCAATGAAGTCGTTGTAATTATCTAGGAAGAATCCTGGGCGCAATATCCTGAAACATCAAAATTAGTTAGATCTAGTCTTAAATTGAAAGGCTCACGTCCATGGGAGACCCCTCTCACCGAGGGCCTGGACATGCCGTTCTGCAAGTACTTTGGCACGACCCGACAGCTTCTCCATGTCATCGCTCTGTTCGCCACCGCGTTCGGCGGTCGAGTAAACATATGCTGACACCCCATATTCGAGCGCTAGATCCGCCATAAACTGTTGTATTCCTGTATAAGTATGCTTGTACAGTAATTATTCGAAAAAAAAATGCACCTTTCCCTGTCGCTCCTCCCCGTCTGCGTTCGCACCAAGCCCAGGGAATGCCAGAACGCAGAAGACACCCCAGATTCCACCTAAACCTTTTGCATCTTCGTAGACTTTCCGCATGGACTCTGACGAGTCGAGGTTTCCCTCGACTACTTGTACATGTCTTTCCTGGGCCAAGCGCTGTGCGCTCGGACCGGAAGCTGACCTAGTGAGAGCCAGTACTCGAAAGGGTATTTCATCCGAGTCCGAGGTGGGTCGAAGAGCCTCGATGAGAGCTCGGCCTTGTTTGCCTGTAGCGCCTGCTACTAGGATGAGTTTTGACATTGTGCTGGATTAACTGCTGGATCGCCAATTGAGTGGGAATACCTTTAACCTTGGGACCCAGGCTTGCGTGTGGCCGTGTAGAGTTCGTATGATGACCTTATGTTGTGATGTACATATTTTGGGTTCAACTTGGGTTATATTTGGCCGTGATGCGCATCACTCAATGAACACCGTGATCTGGATTTTCAGTCCTCGAGTTGAAAAGCTTCCGCCAATCTGACGATGATACTCCCCTTCACTACTGATCTTGATCAGGTCCTTACTCCCAACATCAAACTGTCACCACAAAGGAGTTTGCTAAACAACCGATAACTTATTCAACCGGCGGTGGAACGCGTCGATTAAACTTCAATCATTAGCATCGCTTGGCACTGCCAGGCTGCCCTCAGTCTCCCAGGCCTAGACAGCCCTTTATCATGATAGACGAAGGAGATAGTTGTTCCTTCTAGGCTGTGCTGGAAAGACGGACTGGACCCGCGACCGTGCTAGGATTTGCTTGAGCTGTAAGTAACATTTACATTTCCCTGGGGTAATGCCAGTGCGGTCCAGCTCGGTCATAGACGAGAGAGGCACAGATATAAGCTGTTCATGATTCAGCTTTTCACGCACTGGCGGCGTGAAGGTGTTGGTATTGACATATTTCTGGTGGGTGATGGTGGCTTTGAGCTGAGAACTGCCAGCAAAGAAGACGATGAACACTGGGTATCGGACAGGGAGTAAAATGCTCTTTGTGTATTAACGTTTTAACACTTGTTGTAAATAAACGTCAGTTTATCATGGCGTATTGATACAATGTTGAGATAAATATTGCTCTATGTTGTTGAATAAGAAGGTAAGTCTGCAGGCGCGCACGAATGGCACGAGCATTGGGGATCAAAACAACACGCTCTTTATACAACGTCATTACTTATATCCAAATGATATCCCTTGACACTGGTCATAGACATCTCCATATGACTCGAGAATGGCCCAGATAATGACGGTTGGATGAAGCTAGGGTTCAGAACAGTGGTCCCATGGCTCAGGTTTGAATCATCTTCCGCGGATGGGTCAGAATAGAAATTACGCGTGCCAAGCACGAGCCGGGTCCCAAGGATGATCGTAGTTGCAATAAGCGCCGAATTCGTGATCTCCAGGTAAATTGACTAAATGGAAAAGCTTAAGTGACCTGAAGGGTGAATCGTCAAGAACCACATTACCGGAAGACCAAGATACAACGCCGTGGCGATACCACATCCGGCCATTTCGCTAATAAGCATAAGAGAGTTGAATCGACGACGAAAAAGATAACATGATAATACTTACACAAAGAAGTAGATCGTGTTGTACTTGACCAGTGTCGCCATCGTATTGTGAATTCTCTTCCCAGAAATTGTACGGGTGTTCTTCATGTGCTTGAACACAACGAATATGGCAAGGACGAACAGAAGAAGCTCGAAACAAAATATAGGCACGTAGATGGCCGTGAAACTTCTATTGATGGTTGACGTTGCGCACATATTGAGAAGCCCGGGTATGGGTTCATTGGTATATGTTAAGGAGTGATCGAAGTTTAGTGCCAGGACAGTGCAAATAGCTGCGATTTCGAGGATAAAGCAAATTCCTGTGAACGCCAGAATCTTCTTGGACTTGCGATACATGGCATAAATACGCAGTTGCATGATCGCTAGCGATGCTTTAGTACTTTGCTGCAGATGTGGACGAAACGGCGTACTTTGTGTGGCCCATACTGCTACAAAAGGCCCGTAAGATTGGAACTGAAATAGAATACGACCTGCAAATGATATCAGCTTCAAAAGAAGAGTGTCTGCAGAAGACTACGCACAGCTGATGCAAAGAGTGTCGTTCATTAGCGAGTGAATAAAGATCGGACATGTAAGCTGGTTCGCGCGGACTCACGTCTGATAGGAACTTGTTAGTATCATATGTTACAGGACAGTCTCGCTTGTCTTACATTGACCGAAAATGTCGAGCTCATAAATACTATCGTACGGTCGTCAGCAACACAAATAAAGACTGAAAGGATGAGGTCGAACATATTGCACTAATTCTGGAAGAAAGATGAGTATGTTTTTTTTCACATAACATAATGTCTTGCTTACATTGAGATAGCATCCCCAAAGTAGCGGGTCTACGGGAGTCGCGGCATCAGACACCTGGTCAATCGGCGAGCTATAGCATCACTGACCGTAAAGTAAAGATATGACACAAGAGACTTTTGTCTTTTCTGAAGGACCATGTTCACTGTTGTGAGGCTTCTACAAGCCACCGACTCGGAAAAGACATACCCAAATCAAGTCCACCTATTCGTAGATATGTGAATTAACTGTTCTCGGCTGAGTACCAATTAAACCCACCTCTCTCTGAGAACAGAGCACTAAGTTGAGGTTCATCAGATAGAACACTTTCAAGTATTACGAAAGAAACTCACCATGATCGTACAAGACAACGAATGTCGCTGCCACTAGCAATAAGGGGTTTAGCATCCGGGTGTCGACTCGTACGACCCAAGATTAGTACTCACACTGGAACATCCTCCCCATCTGAAGGATGCGAATATCGTTGAACAGGATGGATAGCTCAGCTTCCATGTTGATCTACCCTCTGGAATTGAGTGATCATTACCAATATATACGTTCAACACTCACCTATGAAATTACTTTAGGTTAGGGGATCGCGTCGTCGGCGCTATGAAAGCGGCCCCAAAAATCATCCATGCACTGTTATATACCTATCCCCCCCTGTCTACCGTGAAACCAGTCCAGAGTCCAGACGCGCTATGCCTAAAAGGCAGCGGAAATCGGATCTTTCCCACACTAGCACTCGTCACGATCGTTGGACATTGATCTACAGCCAGGGGATCATCTTGCACAGGTATCGATGACAGAACTGCAAACCGGGCCCCTGGGGAAACAAAAAAGCGCTGCCTCGCTGATTGAAGTTGTCAGGCAATTAAAACGCAAGATGAGCATCTTGATGTTTATCCATCAGTGATAAGCACTGCAGTGGATATTTGGCGAGATAATATTCCATCGCAGTAAGGCGTAGAGCAAGCCTATGCTTTGACAAATTTGATATCAAAGATCTGACACCGATGGGGAAATCATGGTCGACCGATGATGAGAGCGAACGACTCGGAGCAGGAAGGTTCCTGATAGCAAGTACTGTGCAGTGATACGACTCGTACGGGGATAGTAAGGGATAGTACGGTTATCAGACACGGATTAGTAAATTTAGCAGACGCAACAGCTGTGCATGGGCGCTTAGTGCTAAAGATAAATTACGGCTGTCTGTCCGCAGATCAATGAACGGTGATGAGCGTGCATATATGGTAGGGCCACCCACCGTCTCTGTGTCAGGACTTTGCGTGCAGAGTATATTCAACACCCGACATTGCCACAATATGCATAAGTGTATATCTTCACATCGTCCTACGGCCCAAGGTCCAGGACAAAATCATGAAGAAACTTTAACAGATCAAGTAATAAAATTACACACACGAAATTACAGTAGCCATCAACAAAGGACTGTGACTAAAAGGTTACTGCCAAAAGGAATGACGGCGAAGAAGAGATCGACTCTTGAGAATAGTACATTCTATGGGTATTCAAGAAATGTCTCAGTGTCCGAATAATCGGAAGATGAGATAGAGTAGGGATCCCATGAATCGGACTCCTGAAAGGGCAGCACTGTGTTGGGGTCAGCAAGGATGACTCTGTATCGATGGATGTTGTAGTATACTTACAGCGCGATAAATAGGAAACTCAAATAAGGATTGAAATTCGAGCCCTGGGATGTCGCAATATGGGTGTCTACCCAATTCAAGAACGCTTGCGAAGTGAACGCAACAACCATCAGCCTATAAATTAAGATATCCCATCAACAAAATCTCCTCAAACCAAAAAAAATGCGCAGATCAACTCACATGTTCGTCCCCACCCACGCAAGTACAACGTTAGTACGGCTGTTCCGGTCATGGTCGGCTTGCTTTGTAGCAGCATCACGGTGAGATTTTTCTTCTGGGGCTTTGACCTTGAGTGCTGAGCGGGAAGCTGCCCACATGCGGTCGACGTCTTCACGGGCGGTGGGGATCTCCACTTCCATCATGTCCTTGCCATTCTGGCCTTTGACCTTCTTGGCCCCGCCAAGATCCTTTGTAGAGCCGTTGTCTCCCTTGGTTCCCCTGGACATATCGTCAGGTTGGAGGTAAGGGATCAGTGGGACCGCTCTCACCAAGTAACATCGTGCAAGTTACACATAGCATACATCACTGTCAACCAATATTAATATCATGTCCGTACACAATGAAAACCGCTCATACTCAGGATATTAACATCTACAATAATAACATCAGCATCGCCGACACAGACAACACAGATACTCACAACTCGGGAGAAGGAACATGTATTGGATGAACGAAGTAAACATGTGCCATGGCTCCAAGTGCATGAACGACGAGAAGAAGTACAAGCCATACGTAGCAGCGAGTGAGATGACGATCTCCCGGAAGGCTTGGTTCGTAGCGACGAGACTAGTCAGAAATGATAAACCATCGCACCAATATACTTAGGCCACTAAAATGCTCACTGAGGGAAGTCCTCCCATCCAGCGACGGAATGAGGTACAGCAAGGTACACCGTCCATCCGGCGCACCAAAGTGTGATGACATTACAAATACCGAAAAGTACCATGCAGAGCGAATAAATCCATTTGGAGCCCTGGCAAGAATGGAGTTAACCTTTGCAAATTGTATGTCATGGGTCGAAGTACATACCTGTGGTCGGTTTCCTAGCGAACAGACGATGACGACGAACAGGATGGCGATGTAGAGCTAGAATGACACTTTAGACCCCTTTTCGGTTATAAAGAACTTGATCATTACCTTCAGGAAAATCTGGAAAACATCTTGTCCCGCTCCTTGGCTCAGGAAGTTGAAGGCACCATCTGTGGTTGTAGTTGCCGAAGACACCAACTATGATGACCTACATCAGACTTATCAACGTACAAGGACAAGGGTCTACTGACAAAGAAGAAAGCCAGGAAAAAGTTCGCCAGTGACGTCCACGTAAATATGAGCTGGACTGCATTGTAAATGAACTCGATCTAAATGAGTTCTTTTTAGTAATGCGGTGCTGATGAATCTCCATGCGTACGAACCTGGAGTACAAGCATACGAATGGGATTTTGTCCAGATGTCCAGATCCTGTAAAAGAAGATTGTCGAATGGAAAGAAGCGAACAGGGACCCGTTCAGCCATCGGCGACGCTGAGAGATGAATTCGGGAACCTGGGGAAATATGTAAAAACACATATCACAATGGCAATCTATACTCACAGTTGTGGGAACATCAGTAGCAGCCTTGGCACTCTTGACGTATCTAAGACTATCGAGCGCGTCGAGAACCGTACAGTGTTGAAGGTAATATTTAACTTACATCCAGGCTTCCCGTTTCTTGGTGACAATTTCGAAGCACAGAATACGATCCTCGGCCAAGTACATGTTTCGCTCTGCAACAATCGTTGATGGGACAAGAAATTGGAGGAAGAATGTCGCATACCAAAGAGACCAGCACCGTCAGCACCTCCGCCATGCATAGCCTCTCCCTTGAAATACGAGGCAAGGGGACCCTTGCCATCAGGACCGTTCAGGAGGGCCCTGTATCTGTAGGCGCTAAATGCACCAGGAAGCACGCTAATATAACCGAACACGCTCTTTTGACAGATCAGGATATTGGTCGTGAAGCCAATAATAGGTCCACCTACCTCGAGAGGTTTGTCGAGGATATTAGACATTTTATACTGTCATACCATGTCAAAATCAACGTGTGAAACCAGAGCTACAACCGAATTACCTCGAAGTTCTGAGAAGCAGCTAGAGGACTCGTCAGGAGCAGTGAGCAAGCTCTGCCAGTGTCAACACAAATCCTTGACAGAAGAATTTAATGAAACGAAGCACAAGACGATGAGTTTGACGCACTCTCCACAGGCTCCTCCAACATTAGAATGTTTATCGAAGCCTAGAGAGTATCATCAGCCAAAATCTCGAGCGAACAATATCCACTCACATTTCCACAACTCGTAGATTGACGTGCTGGTGGGTTTGGTACCAACGTCCAGGAGAACACAGACTATGTATAGAGTCAGTGTCGTTAACCCATCGTGGGAGAACGTGCCTACCATTTGGATTGATCAATGGACCGAAAGCATTAAAAAACCAGCGGTGGCTGTTGAGCTTCTTCTTGTTCTGCTCTTTCAAGCAGAAGATAATCTGAACTGGGCAGTTCCCAGTAGACACCTCCCCAGTCTCCGTAACGACTACGTTTGAAGTATATCTGCAGGTCATGAATTAAACTGAGGTATACCTTTCCACTCAATCTACTCACTCGAAGATGTGAGCGGTCACATCCTTTCCTCCCACTGAGTCCTTGGCGATACCCTCTTGGTAACAACCCATCTAGGGACAACTTATAAGCAACAGACCCAACCGACAACGGGTAAATTCACAAGAGTGAGAACTTGAAGCGTCCGCTTATTGACTTTGCTGCGTCCATCTGAGACGATACATACAACGACCTTCTTCCACCCCTCAGGGCCCCATGTTCTTGATCTCGTCCGACCACAGAGGTGGGCAATATTCTTGATAACGCTGAAAATAGATCAGCCAGTGTTCCGACATCCGCGGACGGAACTTACGCATTCATAGTCTTTACAAAAAGAACTTCGTCTTCATTATACATGGTCATAACAATGAACAGCTCAGTATGGCGATTGTAGAGATACGGCCTGAGGGAATATTTCCTGCGCATGAATTCGTCGGGATCGCATGTGGCAGCAGTGTACCGCATTTTGGTCATTTCCTCAGCGCCGCCCATGCCCTTTGGCACGATATGGGTGGGGACTGCGACATCGAGAACTAAATTACCGTTCTGAAGCTCGACATGGCGGACAGAGCGACGTTTCATGAGTTTCTCCCTGGCTACAGAGTATCCTGTGTTCATTTCTCTGAGTGGGCCAGGGCGTCCCGGGACGGGAGGGTAGTCTGGTTGGTATGCATTGTATGGCATTGAGGGGACGGGGGGAGTGTGAATGTGAACCTGGCTCATTTCGTACTGGGGATTGAGGTGCACCTGAGAACCATGGAATTGGCTACTCTGGACGGATTTGGCAGATCCTGGTCTCTCGTCCCATTGGTTATCATAAGCAGGGTATTGTTGGTTATGAATAGCAGACGCCGGAGGGGGGAAACCTGGGTGAATCGGTGTACTGTGTGCAGAATCATAGTAGGGATCTTGCTGGTGATATGCCATGTTCTGCTATAGGATTTTGCGGGTGGGAAGAGGCGATAGTCTACGTGGCTAAACAAATTCGGTTGTTAGTCGCACAAAACGAGTGTAACGATTGAAAGAGAGAGATTTAGAGATTTAGAGAGTAAAACGAATGACTGGAGGATCCTAGTCGGAAGACAGGGACTTTGTCGAAAAGTACTGTCGATGCGGTTTAGGACCAGGAAGAAGAAATAATATTAGCGCTGGTCTCAACCGTTGTCTGCTCGACAATCAAAACTATTATAACATGGCGGCCATAAAAGGAAGCTACGCTCCACCCTAAGTGCAACTTATTCTAAAGCTCTCTATAGAGCGATAAGGTATTTCTTATACTAACAGGACTAGTTAGTCTGGCGTATTATATCTTTCGGAGGTTGTCGTCATTGGAATTACATGAAATTGGTCTCGAATGGTGGCGCCTCCGACGTACGAGAGCAGGCCATCCTGGGACCCTCCTGGGACCCGCTGTCGTCGCGCTTTCAAGGTACAATCAAATGGTCTGATGGTCACCTGTGCCCAAGCAAGGGTTATGGCAGATCTTGGATCCTGGCTTGATGTTACTTGCTTGCATTTATCACGCTGGCAAGGACGGCGTTCTGGTTCTGCTGAGAAAAAAAAGAATGGCTATGCTAATTACAGACATAGTATATGATCTAGTCTCGTTCTCGTCACATTGTGATCAAATGGATCAAGTGCACAGAACGTCGAGAAAGAATAACGTGGGATGCAACGGCTTTATGAACCGGAGCCAGCACTCATGGGATCAGCGCATCTTCGCACCAGACATTAGACGAAGATAATATTACAGCAACCTGAATGATCATTGTTTCATGCATACCTACTGTACGGCATGAATCCACGCGTGGCTCACCGAATTTGGGGCTCTTGGGGGTCAAGGGCAGTGGAGTAACGGTATATTTTACAATGGATGTCGACAAGTCACGTATGTAGGCAGCCGAGCTGCACCACTGACCAATTTAAACTCCGGTTCCCACGCGTTTCCCCCATTACTTGTTTGTTTTCTCTCCTTGTTCATCTACGTCGAGCTCCGTTCAGTTCTTATCTCTCAAACTACCACTCTCAAAGTGCAGCTCAAGACCCGCCCAGTGAGTAGTCTGGTTTCCCTATTTTCAAGTAAATTTCCTTGTTGTGGGGCATCATAATGAGCGGCCTCGAGGCTACCACGTTGGCCTTGACATTACACCAGCTCAAGTTAAAAGCCTGGATAGCTTGTCTGGCTCCCTATCGCCATCAAGAACCCTCGGAGCCCATTCTTTTCTTTCCTTTCATAAGCGATTACCTCTTCCATGTGTTTCCCCGCACTTCCTACTTCGACGTCAGCCACCTCCGATACAACCGTAATTGCCACGACCGGAACACACTATAACCTGCCCTTCTTCTCTATTTAATCTGCTTTTCAATTTCTTCTAGTCTCCATTAAACCCCCCATACTTACTTGACTTTCTTTTTATCAGCCCCCATTCCATCGAACACCCACGTAACAAACAATGGCAGACAGCTCAGCACACCGACTTGACCTTCGTGTCGGTGGGAAATATAGACTTGGCAAGAAGATTGGCTCGGGTTCCTTCGGTCGGTTCACCACATCCTTATATCCTCCCATTTTCACTCATTTTAACAGGCGATATCTATCTCGGAATCAACATCATCTCCGGTGAAGAGGTCGCCATTAAGCTCGAGTCAGTAAAGGCCAAGCACCCCCAGCTCGAGTACGAGTCAAAGGTCTACAAGACCCTCGCCGGTGGTGTCGGCGTTCCCTTCGTACGCTGGTTCGGCACCGAGTGCGACTACAATGCAATGGTCTTGGACCTTCTTGGACCCTCTTTGGAGGACCTTTTCAATTTCTGTAACCGCAAATTCACCCTCAAAACTGTCTTACTCCTTGCGGACCAACTCGTGAGTAAATACCACCGCAGCCACTGTCTTCGAGAATTGACGCGCCACTGTATCGCCACAGATATCCCGTATCGAGTACATTCACTCACGCAACTTCATTCACCGGGATATCAAGCCAGACAACTTTCTCATGGGCATAGGCAAGCGTGGCAATCAAGTCAATGTCATCGACTTTGGTCTCGCGAAGAAATTCCGTGACCCAAAGACCCACTTGCACATTCCCTACAGGGAAAACAAGAACTTGACCGGTACCGCTCGCTACACCTCAATCAACACCCATTTGGGAGTTGAGCAAGCTCGTCGTGATGACCTCGAGTCTCTTGCCTATGTCCTCATGTACTTCTTGCGCGGCGCCCTCCCTTGGCAGGGACTCAAGGCTGCCACTAAGAAGCAGAAGTATGACAGGATCATGGAGAAGAAGATGACCACTCCCACCGATATCCTTTGCCGCGGCTTTCCCAACGAGTTCGGCATTTTCTTGAACTACACTCGCGCGCTTCGCTTCGATGACAAGCCTGATTATTCTTACCTCCGCAAGCTCTTCCGCGACCTTTTCGTTCGTGAGGGCTTCCAGTATGACTATGTCTTCGACTGGTCTGTCCAGCGTGGCGCCCAAGATGACGGCGCCAGCACCAGTCAGAAGGCCGCTACTGGCAGGCGAAAGGTCGTTCAAGAGGAAGAAGAACACCGTGCAAGCGACAGGATGTAGGTGCCCGTCACATTTCTTTCAACTCTTTGCCTCGCCACGGTCCTAACTTTCTTTATAGGCTTCGTTCTCACACGCGTCAGCAGCAGCAGGCAACTGCTCCTACCACGCAACCCCGTCCTCGTGGTAGGGATGACGCCTGGTAATCGCATTCTGGTTCCTCTTGGTTTGTTTTTGTGTGCAGGGCACGCCCCGAGTGCGACCGAGAATGGGGGTGGAGGGAAGGTGCAGAGGTAGCTCGGTCGCTGTTGGATATGGTGTCATAGATGGTCTGTCGCGGTTTTGCAAGTCCGGTTGGGTCATCTCGCGGGTTACGAGGTCGAAACGTCACGGTGAGGGCACGCCAGGTCAACTTGCGCTGGTTTGCTTTCACATTTTTCATTGCGACGTGTTCAATTCCGACATCCCGCATTCATGCCCTACCTCGCAGTCACTTTGCATTCCTTGATCGCTTCGCATTTCGAATATATCTGCGACTCGTCACACCGTCGATGAAGATCACACACTTGCCTCCCATTATGTATTGTACGGACGCTATTTCTCTTCACGTCGCTTCTGAGCTTCTCTACGTGTACGCAAGGATGCAAAGAAGACGGCCGCCTACTTCCTTATTCACCTGATACGTATATTCCCATTAGCGCCCGTTGGTGGTTCTCATTTTATTGAACCCCATATTTCCCAACCCACAATCCTGTTCCAAGCCATTTGAACTCGCAGAACCTTTTTTTTTCCATTTCCTTTGCACCGTCACCGTTCATGATCATAGATTCTCCGCTACGACTACACGGTTGGATATCTCTTTTTCATATTTCTTCCTCTGGGTTTTCCTATCAACTTATCACATCCCCCATGCGCCAATATTTTGTGTCTTTTTGTCCTTCTGTTCTCCCCTTTACGTAGACTTTGGTAGTTCACTGCCTTGGTTTTGTGGAGGTGCGCGAACGGAAGAGGGCGCCACGATTGGGTTTTTGGAGTGGAGGAGAAGAGACCTGTGTAATCATGACAGATATACGAATATTTGAAATTCATCGAGTTTATTTGCGTGTGGTCCCAAGCTGACACGGTGCTAAACTGACCTAATCTAATAATTCAGTAGTGGCGCGGGTGCCCGTGGTTGAAATCAACCAACCAGGTTGTTCACAGCGATACAGGAACGAATCAAATTGTCTTCATCACAAATTATCTTGAACCAGTGGTGTTCTGATCACGAAGGGCGCTATGTCCATGTCAACTATTTCAATTCAACGTAACTACTATATCACAACTTGGCAAATGATACGTAGGCTCGGTCAGAAGACCGAGACTTTCGTCCTGGGTTATTTAATTTGAGACACTAACAGAATCGCTCCGGTTGAACATGCGCAACCACCGCGATGCATTCTTAGGCAAGTACATGGAGTGCATCTCAGCAAACCAGTGCGTAAGCCAAGCTATCATGGCGAATGGAACGGGCAGAAGGTCCAAAGTCGATGCCGTCTAACAGAAATACTAAGCAATGGATCAGAAAGTAAGAACAACCGACGTACCAAATAAGTTCTGGCGCCTTGAGAGATATCTCGAAGGTCCCAAAACTTTCATTGGGAAAGAGCCAAATATGATATATAAAGCTGCGATCATCATTTGATCAGATCGTGTTTAAGGATCATTTCTAAGAGAAAGCTCACCTCATCCCCTCAGATTGCCAGGCCACAGCTCAACACTCGTTGAAGCAAAATGGGAAGGCAGACCACAACTACCACGTCGGCAGAAATGGAGTAAGCTCGAGTCGCCCTACGTTACAGTAAGAACCATGGATCATGAAGGTGTTCAGGAACTCGGCTTACTGTGGCTTGCCAAGGGTCGTCTCGCAAAAAGTGGGGTTACGAGTAGATAGTACTAGTTTCCCGAAAGAAAGGAAGAGAAGGGCTGCGGGGTTATATATTGGGATATCGTGTTTAGGGGAGGTCCATTGGAAACCTCGCTGAATCCAGCACTCAGTACTACTCATTATTGACAATCCACTAGAACTTTCTTGGATGATCGTAACTACGTCCAAAGCCATGCGTTCTATCATATCGATGCATCATGCACGACGTGTTTTAAGGAAGTGCAACAGCCATGGAGCGCTGTATGTATATTTCCGGTTTACCCTGACTGATGGAAAGGACCTAACAACAAATCAACGTTCAACTCTCAGGAGGTGCATCGATATCCTTTCTCTTTCCAACGACCAAGGCCCTCTGTCTCCTCGTTGGATGCCTCGTTTTTGTCTTTAGATCCGCACCTGGTTGAATCTGAGGGTATCCCTGACATTTACATCATAGCCTTATAATTGTGACTTCTGTGTCCAACTTGGTCGTTCTGTGATGCTAACCGCCATGAGGCCGTTTGGAGAGTGCTGGGCCGCATTAATGATGGCAACTCAAAGGAATCCTATCAGGCCCTGACCGGCGAAACCAGTCTGTCCAGTGCCTAAGCAAGGTATTGGTCAAGTCCGAGGGTTGGAGACCGCAGTACAGCCTTGGGCTGTAATAGCAGGCTGCAGGCTGAAGATATATAACTACTTTTGCTAATCACAAGTTTCCAGTAGATCCTTCAAGAATGAAAGTGCTGTATCGATCGCCGGTGATCCAGCGGGGTTTCGAATGGACCTCCCCTAAAAACGAGATCCGTATATATAACCCCACAATTCTTCTTTCCCTTTCTTCGAGAAACCAACACGATCTACTCGTGGTCGCACTCTACCAAACAGTCTGCGGTTTGCCGATGAGTTGACTTCCTCGATATCGTTCTTACTTTATATATCTTGTACAGGAGCTTCTTGAGCTACTTCCGTCTACTACATGGTGTGATATACCGAGCACCGTGTATTAGAACTCGCCGCAAAGCACAACGCTGACGCCACACAGATCGACTTAAATGAGGGCCCAGCTTTGGTGCGCGGTCGAAAAGTTCCATGAAAAGTTTTCACATGTCTCTTCGACCACGCACCAAGCGCGGAGGTGGGACTCAGGAGTATGCTTCTCTGAGGCGCAGATCGTCTCTGACGAGAGTCCAGCTTTCCGCATAGTTCATAGCTGAGTATCAGTTAGGAGTCAGACCACAGATGTACCACAGATCGTTGGTTGAGAATGGGCCAAGAGCCTAGGTATTTCTCTGAGCAAAAACACGCATAACATGTGCGCGTTTCTAAGTCCGAATCGTTGTCTCTGGCAAAAACGCAATCTTCATTGAAATACCAGAGCTGCCTGTGTACCTGCCCACATATGTATATCCCAACGAACATCGAACCCTGACGCAGCCGTGATTATACTCCTTGAAGGTACCAGTCAATCAGACAATGGTAGTTTCTTTTGAGCTCCCTAAATTGCATACAGTCAGATCGTCAGATCGTTCTGTCAAAGTTCTGTAGCTTCGTCTTGACAAGTGACAATGGTAACAACTAGTACGCCAATATCCCACGTTCAAGTCCACCGTATGATCGAAGATGCACCATGCCAGAAAGGCTTCAAAGTGCTGGGTAGATCAAGACCCACTGGCTTGCCTGCTTCGTCGAACGTTGCACCATTCTCGATAAGAGCAACAATCAGACGGGGGATGGCAGCCGCGGTGCCATTCAAAGTGTGGGCGAATGGTATCGCAGGTGCCGACTGAGTCGAAGCGGATGAGGACGATGGTGGGGTATGCCTGGGCATACCTGACGACCGACGGTAGCGGATGTGAAGGCGACGGGCCTGGTAATCAGTACAATTAGACGTGGAGGAGATTTCTCCCCAACTCCCTCGACCTGGCATCCACGCTTCCATGTCATATTTGCGATACGCGCTGGCGCCTAATTCTTCGGTAGGCATGTCTAAAACCCTTGTGTCATAATGTCAGAGCGGGGGCCTCGGTCTAACGTACAATACTTACCGAAACGGAAAATTCAGGCCTTCAAAAATTTCCGTTTGTACATTACGAAGTTCTTCCATCGCTTGTTCACTGGCATCTTCACTACAAACAACGAAAAGCTCGAGCTTTGAGAATTGGTGGACTCGGTACAGTCCACGAGTGTCTGCGCCGCGGGCACCTGCCTCGGCTCTGAACGAACGGCCAAGACCGACCACTTTCAAAGGCAAAGCTTGCTCCGTGAATATTTGATTCGCGAACATACCGCCAAGCGGTATTTCTGCGGTGCCAGAAAGTACGAGTTCGGGATGAGAGGGATTCGAAGATGAAATGTGATACATTTGCGAAACAGGTGGATCAGCATTTTGATCTCTAGGTTGGAATCCGCATCGTAGGGCAATGTCTGCCCGAACAACGTCCGGCGTCGTGACGAACCGGAATCCGTGTTCAAGAGCAATTGAGAGGGCATAGTTGGTCAGAGCCATCTCCAAGAGTGCAGCTTCTCCTAGTAGGTAATACCATGATGAACCCGTAACTGTCGCTCCCGCTTCGAAGTCGAGGATACCAAGAGCGCGACCAACATCCATGTGGTCACGATTGTCACTGGCAGCAATGGGGTCCGATCCGTGAGTAGAAAGTACCACAGCAGCTTCCTCTGGACCTAGTGGTATATCAGGATGTGTGTCATTCGGTATTTGCAATGCAAGCCCCAGTAAAATGTCCTCCACTGTCACAAGTTTCTGCTCCAGATCTGTGACCTCCCCCTTGAGAAGTTTAGCTTCCTCCAAGACAGCCTGCTTCTCAATTGGATCTTTGATCGTTCGCATCTTTTCGCCCAAGTTCGAGCGGGCGTGACGCTTCAAGCCTAACATGCTGGAGAGTCTCTTCTGTTCATCATAATGACGCACGACCGACTGCAATGCACCAATCGGAAGTGGAGCCTTTCGATTAAAGGCATTGTGAGACTTGTATACTATCGACTCTGAGATAGCGCGGTAGTCGAGGCGTGGTTTAGGAAGGGCTGTTGTCACAGGATGCACCTCTGGTGCCTTCGCCGACAGAAAACGAGACCCTTTCGGACCTATGAGCAGATACTGTGAAAATTGACTCCAAATATTGAATGCTCCACTTGCCATGCTGCAACACGAAATTGAAGCATTGACGCCGACAACAGTGACTGAGGGAAGGCAGCAACGAAGAGGACATCAAGCCCACTCAAACGTAAAATGGAATAAACGCGTATGGTCACATGTGATCACAGGCATGCTATGTCACAGCGTCACGCGTCGCGACTTGCACATGGCTTCATCCTCAGCGAAAGGGAAGGCACCAGCTAATGGCGCTGCAAGTTCAGGCTATGAACTACCGTGGTTTGTGCTTCCGCTTCTATGTAGGTGTTTTAACTGAGAATCGGTAGGGTGGAGAAGTATAGGCCACAGAGCTTGGATGATGTGGTCGGAAATGTTGATACTATTGAAAGACTGAAGGTCATTGCAAAGGATGGAAATTGCCCTCATATTATCATATCGGTGCGTCTTCATAGAGATGGATCCCCTTTCTTGATGCAAATGTCATTGCAGGGTCTGCCGGGTATCGGAAAGACAACGAGTATACATTGTCTAGCGCATCAGTTACTCGGGGATGCATACAAAGAGGGTGTTCTCGAACTAAACGCTTCTGATGAGAGGTTTGCAGCTCTAATCTTCGATACCAGTCTCGCTTTGACCTGCCCCTAGAGGAATCGATGTCGTACGGAATAAAATAAAGGCCTTTGCACAAAAGAAGGTCACCCTTCCTCCTGGGCGGCATAAAATTGTGATTTTGGACGAGGCTGACAGGTGCAAATATCGACGAGATTATGTCTTGGTGATGCTCACTCCGTTGTACAGTATGACTGTTGGTGCACAGCAAGCGCTGAGAAGGACGATGGAGATTTACTCGAACACAACTCGCTTTTGCCTGGCATGCAATATGTCTAACAAAATCATCGAACCAATACAGAGTCGATGTGCCATCCTACGATATGCAAAGCTCAGAGACACCGAAATTCTGAAAAGACTGTTGGAAATATGCGAAATGGAGAAGGTGACAATCCAATTACTGCGCCTGTCATCTTCTTAGTGACCAAACCTGCTATTAATTTAGGTCGAATACAATGACGATGGTCTGACTGCTCTCATATTCACATGTGAAGGTGACATGCGTCAAGCAATCAATAACCTTCAGTCAACGCACTCCGGTTTTGGTTTCGTGTCTGGCGACAACGTTTTCAAAGTTTGCGATCAGCCCCATCCTGTCATCGTACAAAGCATGATCCGATTGTGCTTGAAGGGTGATATTGATGCTGCGATGGAGAAACTAAATGAGCTCTGGGAACAAGGATACAGCGCTGTTGACATTGTGGTCACAATCTTCCGAGTAACAAAAACATTCGATGAGTCAGTCCCGACTTACTGAGTTATCGCTAGTTCTGAGAATATCTTTCCTGTCAGACTACCCGAGTATATGAAGCTCGAATTTATCAAGGTAAGAGGAAGTGTTCCTGCATTACATGAGCGTTTCAACGGATCATACCATCAGGAAATTGGCTTCACGCATATGCGCATACTTGAGGGTGTAGGCACTATTATCCAATTGGGCGGTTTGCTGGCCCGACTGTGTAAAATGGTACGCTTGATCGTTGAATGCCCTGTTCACTGTTGCTGAATGAGTGTAACGCAGAATATGCAGCCTACATTGTTTCAATTGTAGTATTCGTCGTTGCCAGCGTGTTTGCTATAGCGTTACTGCCTGGTAGGCTTAGACCCCTCTCTCGATCGAGTAGCTCGACTCCGTTGACATTGAACCATTGAAGCCTTGCCGCAGATTCCACATTTGAGACGCGATAGTACGATCGTCGGACGGCACGAAAACGTAGGGATAATGATAACCAATCAAACATTTGACTTTTTCCGTAGGGCACAAAATAATTATTTTGGGAGGAATCTGTCGCCCAGGATCTATCTAGCAGTGACGATTCAGTATTCAGTATTCAATATTCAGTATCATCAGCGTGAACTTTGAAGTGTGATAATACAGAATTTCCAACACAGCCACATATCCTTCAATGTGACTTTGAACTTGATCTCGAGAGTTTGATCATCTAAAACTATATAGCAGAACGGGATGGCCGAGACTATGCCAGATAATCGCGAACATGTCATGGATCAGATATTAAACCCTCGGCGAGAGGATGCAGATCAGATATTGGAAGATCTTGGACTTGCTGGTTTCCCTACTCGAGACAAGGTCCATCAAGAAATTGAAGCCAAGTTACTCCTTCCACCAGACAGGATACCCGAACACTGGCTTCCAACATATCAAATGTACGTATACGATTCGTACATGTTTTGAAACCAGCAAATTTGATTTCTTTCACCTCAGAACGTGGCAACCCGAGATTTCTATACAATCACTCTTGACCTCCGAACCTTCTCCACCGCCGACTAGTCTTACTTTCCTGCGCGCGGGTCTGGAAGGACGTGTCATTGGTTATGCAGAAGTGAGCCCTTAGTTATGCTCCCACGTTTCATAGCTGTAAACCCCTCCAAGACGCCAAATGCATCGGTTTCGACAGCGCTCACATCGACATCTATGGACCGTGCTCCTGCCCCAGTTGCCAACTTTGTCAGGGGAAAATCCGGTTATGTTCCCTTCAAACCTGGTGGACTTGACGATGTGATTCTGGCAGCAAAACAGACCACAGAAGTACCTATCAAAGGATTGCGGAGTGTCCCACCGGGGTTTTCGAGAGGATTGCGACTCTCGGGAGACGATCCGGAAGACGAGGCGCTTGCTTCTCTCGATGATACTGCTGATTACAACGAGGACAAGGTATATTTGTCATTCTCGCATGTACCGTATAGCTGCTCAGCACATATCGCTCAGCACATTGATGAGAGTCGTGCGTTGGATGACGAAAGAGATCTCTTACCAAATGGTGATAGTTTCGGAGAAATTGACGAGCTCTTACCAACAACAGTGAGGACCTTGTCGTGCGGGATCAATTAATGCTCAAATAACATGCTTCCAGCGGACACATCTACGACCATCAACGGCTCCCCGACGGACCAGGAAACCCAATGTAGTTAAGCGCGATTGGGCACATGTGGTTGATATCAACAAGCCTATGACCAACTTCCATGAACTTGTGCCGGATATGGCTCACAAAGTCGGTCATCGTTCTTTTCGTGACTCAAAATCTCATGATCTAGCGCAGTATCCTTTTGAGTTGGATACTTTCCAGAAAGAAGCAGTGTATCACCTCGAAATGGGAGATTCAGTCTTTGTCGCAGCGCATACTTCCGCTGGGAAAACTGTCGTTGCCGAATACGCCATCGCTCTCGCTGAGAAACATATGACACGGTTTGTCGTGTGCTTTGTATAGCATGTCAACAATTCAAGTTATCTTCTAGCGCCATATACACATCGCCGATCAAAGCGCTGTCAAACCAGAAATTTCGAGACTTCAAACAAACTTTCTCGTCATCATCTGTCGGAATACTTACAGGCGATGTGCAGATTAATCCCGAGGCGAGCTGTCTAGTGATGACGACTGAGATCCTGCGAAGCATGCTGTACAAGGGCGCCGATCTAATTCGCGATGTCGAATTCGTGATTTTTGACGAGGTGCATTACGTGAATGACGCAGAGGTATGGTGCCTGCATTATTCCCGAACTTACTTTTCTTAGAGTTTGGCAGAGAGGTGTTGTCTGGGAGGAAGTGATCATCATGTTACCTGATCACGTCAACATCATCCTGCTATCAGCAACTGTTCCCAACAGCAAAGAGTTTGCGGACTGGGTAGGGTGAGCAAAAATGTGACGCTTGCACGTAAAGGCTTTGACTTTTGCCCGTGAATTTACAAAGGCGAACCAAAAAGAAAGACATCTATGTAATCTCCACGGCGCAAAGACCTGTCCCCCTTGAACATTATCTTTACGCCGGCAGGGACACATTCAAGATCGTTGATGCTTCTAGGAACTGGGTTGCACGGGGGGTAATATGTCAACCGATTAAATATCGTGCACCCTGACGCTGCGAGTACAGGTACCAGGATGCTGGCGATGCTCTCAGAAGGAAACAGGACAAGGAACGAGATGCTGCAGGTCTACCTCCTGTACAGCGTGTCGGTGCTCGAGGCGCTGCAAGAGGTGTGCAGCGTGGCGCAGCACCAGCACGCGGTGGTCAACGCGGCGCAGCCCCGAGCGGATCCGCACTCCGTGGGCGTGGCGGCGGACAGTCTAGAACCATTCACACTGGGGCAGACAAGAATCTCTACGTGCACCTACTAAATCATCTTCAGAAAAAGGGGCTTCTTCCTGTCGTCGTGTTTACTTTGTCAAAGAAGCGTTGCGAAGAAAACGCTGCGACTCTTACCAATTCAGATCTGTGCACGTCTGTAGAGAAAAGTGAAGTACATGTCGCCGTCGAAAAGGCCCTTGCACGACTAAAGGGTAAGTGTAGTGGGAGATGACTTTACTAACTGCGTTAATTCCCATCCTAGGTTCGGACAAGAAACTTCCGCAAATCGCTAGGATGAGGGATCTACTATCTCGAGGAATCGGTGTTCATCATGGTGGTTTGTTGCCCATCGTCAAAGAGGTCTGAAGAGTTCACGCATGGTTGTAATCACGACTGACTCGCTGCTGACAGGTCGTAGAGATATTGTTTGCACGTGGGCTCGTCAAGGTTCTGTTTGCCACAGAAACCTTTGCGATGGTGCGCTTCTCATCGCGTGTCATTGGCAAGGGAGTCCTGACGGCACGCGCAGGGCGTTAATATGCCTGCAAGATGCGTTGTGTTTTCTAACATACGGAAGCATGATGGGCGCAGCTTCAGGGACATTCTACCCGGCGAATATACCCAAATGGCAGGTCGTGCTGGACGGCGAGGTCTGGACCCTACCGGAACGGTGATCATTGTTGCAGGTGACAATCTTCCCGAGGCAAGTTCACTATCAATGATTTAGGCACACTTTAGTAATATCTTGACTTTACAGCAAACATCTCTCTTGAAGATGATGCTCGGCACACCCGGAAAATTGCAGTCGCAGTTCAGGCTCACCTATAATATGATACTAAACTTGCTTCGTGTGGAGGCACTGCGCGTCGAGGAAATGATCAAACGGAGTTTTTCTGAAAATTCTTCGCAGAGACTGCTTCCCGAACACCAAAAGCAAGTTGCAGAGGTGTGTTTCTATCTTTTATTTTTTCATACCTGTTGACTCACGACAATCATTAGCATGAAAGGACACTTTCTAAAATGCCCAAACTCGAATGTGATGTTTGCTCGGTTGACATCGAGAGCTATTACGATCTTTCCCTTCAGATCGTTGGTTTGAATAACAAACTTTGCACTATGGTGACATCCAGTCCTTCAAATACCAACTTGTTGGGCCCAGGGAGGGTTGTCATCTTACGAGACGGCGTATGTTATCTGCCAATCACGACTCTAATGCCTACTGATCACGCTCCCGTTTACAACCAGCATTTTAGGCGAGGCAACGTCGGCGTTTTGCTTAAACCAGATCCACGGCAAGCGAGTTCATTCGCGGGCAAACTGTTTTTTGTGCTGGCTATGGTCGACCAGGAAACGAAATTAGGTGACACAGGTATCTATTTGATGGCATACGCTAGCACATGAAGCCCGTTCATTAGATTTCCAGATGTCGAAGATCGAGCTCTGCCACCGAGATGGCCACTGGATCCCGCTTCATTAGAAGTCGAGAATCTCACATACGACTTAAGGAGTGTCCCTCTCGACAGCATTTCTGTGGTGACATCCGAGACTATGAAGGTGTGCAACATTTTTGCTCGGAGCTCTGATGCTAAGCTAAGGCAGGTGGACGCAACTGGAATCGTCGATCACCATAGGAAGTCTTTGATGCTTGAGATCATCAACTCGCTACAGATTCTTGTCCACAATTGGAGGGCTGTTGGAACCATACCGGAGGTTAATTGGGACCGCATACGAACACTTGATTTCCAGGAGGCATTGCGCAGCAGAAACGACCTCGCCAAGCGTCGCCAAGGTTCGTCATGTACACTGTGTGGCGAGTTTCATGATCATGTCAGTTCAAGTCACTTTCATGCCTTCATTTGACTGACTGGGCCGAGCAGTATCTCATTCTCCATGGTCAGAAGACGCTGCGCACTAACATCGACAAACTCAAGATGGCAATTTCTGACCAGAACCTCGACCTTATCCCGGACTATGAACAACGAATTGAGGTCCTAAAGGAGTTGAAGTTCATCAACGAAAATTCGACTGTCCAGCTGAAAGGTCGTGTTGCCTGCGAGGTCAGATTCGGCCCTGCTATACCGATCTTAAATATTGTCGGCTAACTGAAGTTCAGATCAACTCTGCAAACGAGCTCGTCCTCACTGAGCTTATACTTGAGAATACTCTAGCAAACTATGAGCCGGAAGAAGTGGTTGCTCTTCTGTCTTGCTTCGTCTTTCAAGAAAAGACAGAGGTAGAACCTGTTGTACCGATCAAACTCGAAGAAGGCAGAGATGCAATTCTTGCAATCAGTCGGCGAGTGGAAAGTGTGCAAGACCACCACAAGGTTTCGGCAGAAGAATTCAAATCCAGCTTAAAATTCGGTCTCATGGAAGTAGTATACGAATGGGCGAAGGGCATGGTGAGTCAGCGAACGTGCGTTACCCCCAAGGGGCGAAAACTCATAGTCGACCATTTGTAAAGCCCTTTGACCAGATAACGGCCTTGACCGACGTCCAGGAAGGTACGATAGTGAGGGTTATAACGCGATTAGATGAGACGTGTAGGGAAGTCAGGGATGCTGCACGGGTGATCGGAGATATGGACCTATTCAAGAAACTGGAAGAAGCTCAAGTAAAAATCAAGAGGGACAGTAAGTCAAAATCACTCTGGAGATCTGTTTGTCTCTGATTTGCATACTTTGCAGTCGTCTTCGCTGCTAGTTTGTACTTTTAACCCGAGAACATGGTGGCTGTACAGTCGCAGTATATGTAGTTTTTACACTCCGCGGAATAAGACTATAAGATTCCTATCCTAACGCAGCGAAGTTGATTTCGCCCGAAGTTAACGTGAAACCTTCTCATATCTTGTACAATTATTCTCCGAGCAGAATGGAAACCATCTCTCCAAGTGATACCGATGCAGCCAGCAATTCTCGTTTTACTCGTCAAACTGCCTCTTCACACTCTACCTGGCGGCGTCTCAATGGTTCCAGCTCCCCTTCATTTGATCAACCGTTGGGAACGGAAACCCCTTCCGCTGCTCAGAATGCTAGCACTGTATTCCAGAGAAGGCGTGTTAATCCTGAAAGCCTCGCTCTCCGACTAGGACCGGATCTCGTCCGTGATCTTGAGGCACTGATACACCCTGGAAACATCGAGATGCCGTCCTTTGCCGTCCGGAAAGAGCTGCAAGAACGTTACAATATCGACAGGAGGCATGTCTATGATTACTTTCACAGCCGAGGCTTGCGCGTGATCAAGGAAGATAAGAATGGCAACACAACTGTACCAAATGATTTTGCTCCAGTGCCGGCGCGATCGGTTCGAACATTTGAATAGATCATCAAGAACATGACTGATATGTGATATGTTTTCTTAGCCGAAGTCGAACTTAAACCTCCGCACTTTGCGCCAAGCGCCTGTGAAGGAGTCGCAGAGAGCAACTGTAAACTTGATATCGAAACTCAAGGAGACCAAGCCCCCAAGCAAACCTCGTGGAGTTACGAAGGCCAAACCTGGCCGACCAAGGAAATACGCCGTTAGATCCATTCACGACGACCCCCTGCCACCTGCAGTTATTTGTCCGTCATCTCGGATGGCCCGCGCAATCAGTCCAATCCTCCAACCTGACATCCTTCCTGCGAGCGACCCAAACGACGAATTTGACATGGCAGTCAGTACTATTGACGAGTCTTACTCATTTGCACAAGCGATAGACGAAGTCGCTTACACGTATCGTGGCCCACCAGTATTAATGTTCGAGACTAGCCCACTCCACACCCTTTCCAATGCGGTGCCAGATCTGAGAACCGATGGGGCTGAACTAGGTTTATCGCCACGCAAGGCTTCTGCCGACCCTTTGTCACCGAATACTTGTACACTCTCAGCTACTGAGCGGGTGGCACTTTATCAACTTCTTTCTGGAGCGTTTGGCACTCCTCGTGACATCCATGAATGCGCCGGTACATACAGAAATCACATGCAGGAACGGTCGAAACTTTACTACGAGGGGCTTCTTGCAGTGCCTTACCAAAACTCTCGCTACAATGACAGAAGACCAGCTTCTTCTGACAATCACCAATCGGTTCCTTGTAATGGCAGCGAGTATAGCCGCTGGGTTAATCCAGGAGAGTTCTGCATATTAGATGACAAAGCTTCGGTCAGGAATTCCAAGCCGGTCAAACCCGACACGAGTACGATCAGACAGAAAGCACAAGTCAACTTTGACATAGATAACGAAGCACATCCCCTGGACACGTTGTTCCCAATATTTGACCTGAATAGGACCAGCGTCCATGATTCAATCGGGGAATCACCTGTTATCCGCAGTCGGCGCCAATCCTACGTACCTTTAGATTTCTATTTCCTTCAGAACGAGGAAAGGGGTGAGGCTGAGGATCTCCTTCTGGATGCTGCATCTAACTCGGGCACCCCTGAACTTCCCAACCATTCGGTCTCATTACAGTCGAAGATCCGTGGAGGATCTCTCCACGGACATCCGGATTTCCCAGGATCTCCGCCACTGCTGCCTTCGGCTGAGTTTCACCATGTCGATGTCAACCCGCGCCCCGCGCTCCCGTTACAACAACCGGCTTCTTCACCGAACGTCGATGAAACCAGTGCCCTCACATTGGCCAAACAGAAAAGTAGCCGAAAAAGTGTAGCTCCACAAACCCGTTTCGCTCCCTGCACTCCGCAAAAGCACCTACGTCAGTGTGACAGGATCAGGACGAGGTCCTTTACGTCCCGCAGCGCTAGAATTCGGACGACTTCTGCTGGCGGAGGAATATAACAAAACAATAGCTATCTGACGGTGTGAGATGATGGGCATCGCCGGTAAGTTCAATTTATATCCTGATCCAGTGCACACTACTTATCCATTGATTGATATAGCAAATGTTTCGTGTTTATTTAACAGCAGTTCCCCTTTTGACTTAGGCCGCGCAATACCGTCAATCTTCTTCGCGAACCCCTGATTTCCCAGCGTCACCTCATACCATCGCACGACTTGTCTTTGGATTCCCAGATCCCAAAGACAGGTTCATGTTCCATTATGACATTCTCTTTACGGTACCATTTTACGATAATAATAATTAAAAGGTTACCCTGCACCATAATTCAGAAACGCTTTGGTTTCAGTCGTCATGTTTTTTTTTCAGCCCTCTTTTGGTTTACTTATTCACGTATTGTTTCCACGATATCACTAGGTTAAGTAACTATTAACGAGCCCCGAATGAAATGAAGACATGCAATAAGCTACGCCCGGTTCAATTATATAGTTTATCTAGTTACTAGTAGGCCTGATCAAATATCCAAGTAAAGCGTTATCATGAACAACATCACAACATGAACAATTGACATGGATAAAAAAAAATCACCGCCTACTCATTTTCCTATCACGCCTACAAGTACACATCGGAGTGTGCGTAGCTCCTGAGCAGTTTCGGGGGTAAGCCGGGGTAAAATGATGAGCTTGAATAGAAGCTCTAGGTGACGGCTCCGCCGTAATCTGGTGATCATATGGCTCCCCGTCACCCTGAGCGTTCCTAGGGTTTGCGCTCAATTGATACCTCACGGCATCGGAGACTGGTTGGCAAAGAAGTGGAAGAGGCGAAAGACTCCGCTCCCGAGGTCTACGAATGCCTTCGTCTGGAAAGACAGACTCATCAACCTCGGCAGCGGACGATGCTAATTCGTCTAAAGGAATTGGGGGGATTGGGCGGACTGGTTGCGGTTGCAAAATGGGCAGACGGGTGGATGAACTTCGTGTCGCTCCAGGTGTAAGGCCAGGTGGAATTGCATTGGCTAGAGAAGATGACGAATTTTGGTACAATGCGGGAGTGGGTGCGAATAATGCAGTCATTGAACTCGAACTGTCGTGGGTATATGAAGAGCTGTGATGAGGGTATGAAGGTGATGCTGGTAAAGAATCGTTATGAGGTCTTGGGGAATACATGTCACTGTCCTGCCGTCGTTGTGCATGGGAGGGAATTTGTCGATGAGACGAGATAGGATATCCAGGTGCAGACACGGACATTCGTCGGTCTGAAAGTATATATGACGATGATGGCTGTGGCCACCAAGGGCCAGATGACCGTGAACTGTCCCCTAGCGCGCCTTCGAGCGCAGAGGTAGATTTCATCACCTGGGGCACAGTTACACCGTAAAACGGCATGGTTTCTTCTTCGATCCCGTCCATCTCCTCAATGTCAAAATCGGCGTCCTCATCTTCGGAGTCAGATTCATCAAAATCCATGTCTTGCCGAGTGTCGGGGTACTCGTGGACAAAGGGGGAGGACGGTGTCTGTAATGACTGCGTCGATGCAGACGAAGGGGTGTTAACGTCGGAGGACAGTGATGGTTGTGTCGTTAAAATTGTGACTTTAGGATTGATGGATGGAACGTGGTGCGGAGCACGTAAAAGGCTCGAAATATGACTATAGGCTGACCATGAGTTGAACCTTGGTACGGTCTCAGAGGACTCGTACTTCGGCTGGCAATGTTCGGGAGGGGAGTATAAGCCGTCGGAAGAATAGACGCTATCGGGAGAGTGAGAAAGGATGTAGGGACTCATGATGTGTGTATGGGAGGACTGAAGCTGAGGGTGGCAATATATGTATGGCTGCATGTCTAGATGATGAGGGAAGTCACATTCAGTGTATGATGGAGCAGCAACGAAAGCTGCGCGCGGAAATCGATTCGGATATCATATACCCCAAGATCAGCCGTAAAGAAGCGTCAAAATCTGGATGAGTCAAAGAACACAAATAGAAAGGCTGGGATGTCAGTAACGTATCAAATTGGAAGACAGGCGATTTAAAACCAGGCCCGCATCGCTAAGTCGGTTGGATTGTATAGGGTCTCGAATGATTAACTCTTGGGACTGCGTTACTTCCATTGATCAATTCCGTAATTCACGATAGCAAACAACGCAATCGGGGGTAAAGTGGCTCACGAACACGTTGAAATCTGTACTAAGTGATGGCGCAAGAATGGACGCGGAAGTGAATTGGCGACCTTTGTCGTCAAAGTCATCAACCATGTGATATATCAGGAAAATCACCGGTCAAGAAGAAGGCCGCATGTATTAGCTACGGCAGCAAGGTCATTGACCAGTTAACCGTGTCTACAAGGAGTTGGCTTGAGAACCGGATAAAGAATACTGGAGTGTTGCTCTGATTGTGAGAGAAAGACGCACCTGAGCCTCGTGTTATTGACAGCGCCATGAAACCTTGGCTGACTGGCAGCCGTCAATGGCTACAAGGCATTATACCACACATTTGGCATTACTTTCTTTGTTCCTCTCCCGTGATTAGTGGTATTCCCGGAACGGGCGGCCTCTGGTCATTTGTCAACTTAGCCTGGACCCGTGTAGGGGTTCGTAACAAGATGCGCTTGAGATGCGCTTGCGAATATCAATCAAGGTTGTCCATCAAGCCAACTGGCCGAATAAGGAACCTTACCTGTTTCAATCTTCCGTTTCATCTTGATCTGATGAAACCTCATGATGCTGCCACCCAAGATGAGCCAAGATGTCAGGTAGCTTCTCCGTGATGTCGTAACAGATGGTGCGTTATCGCTGAACTGCGCGCGATCATACAGCAGAAGGCACGGAGCCTCAATATCAATCAGGATCTAAAACAGTTAGCATAGCTGGCTAGAGCTGTGCTACATAGCTCCAGAACTTAGTTTGGGATTGGCTGCCGCATCATTGGCATTGGCAGCGATCATGTCGTGTCACAGGTAGTGGCACTGCCAAAATCAAAATCTTGCCATGACTAAATTTTACCATGCACGGGCAACGAGGTCGGCAGTAGGGTCCATGGCGTGAGGGGTTGACGACGGGTGTTCTAACTTTCAGGAACCAATGGAACTGCGGACACAAACCCGCTGTTTTTATGACTAATTCTAGAGTTTGATCCAATGTTAGGCAACACGCTGGCGCATATCACACAGTCAGGATGGAGTGGCCTAGATGCGGCACTAGAATGTGTAGTAATTGGTTGGCTGCACAAAAACATTCGAAAATGAGGGACTACGTATCGTGACACGAGGAATGCAGGAACTAATAGCACAAAGAAACTGAAAAATATGAAAACCTCCAATTATGAATCAAGGGATGCGTATCAGCCACGAAAACATCAATTACACGCACTCAATTGAAACAATGAAACACCACGATGTGAATCCGAGGACGTATCCTCAGACATGGTGTATTAGTATTCACTCGGCGACAGTCAGCCCTCCCATCGCCCTCTGCATATCCCTCATGGTAGAATCAAGTCCATTGCCCCTGGGGCTAGTGCCGGGACTTGCACCTCCCATCACATGGCTTCCATTAATGACCCGCGGTCCCAGTGCAGGGTGTCTCACACCCAATGCAGCGCCCAACATTCTCTTCCCTGGATCTCCAATCTTTGGTGGGCCTTCCGCGTGAAGAATAGCGGGATCATCGTGTGACACGGCCGAATTTATGAGGTCATTCAGAGATGGGTGAGAAGGGAGGGTCGGAAGGGTCGGAGAAGGCTCACGCCCGTTGGTGAGTCTTGGTGAATGCTCCGAAATAGTAGCATTCTGCACGTGGCCGTTCTGGCCGTTTCCGTTGCGTAATCCGTTGCCGTTCTGACTCGTGTTGGCACTGCGACTGGGGAAAACAGAAATAGAGGCAGCGCGCAAATTGTGACCGCGAGAAACGTTGCCTGTGTGACCACGGGTGTTTACTGTCTGAATGACAGTCTGGGCGTCAGGCCCATCATACGGTTTGATGGTAGCAGAACTGCCGGTAGTAAGGATAGCAGGAGGGAACGCGAGCGTGTGGAGATATGCACGTTTGGCTGTCAACCACGTGGAAATAAATTGATAAGACACAGTTTTTACTGGAAATCAGATACAGTTAGTACTTACCAACTGAAGCATCTTGAAAAACGATCAAGAGGCTCGTATCGTCTCTCCATTTAATCTTGAACCCTCCGCCAATATTCTCCCATTCCGAGAATGCAGATTGGATATCTTTGGTCTTGAGCTCCTTTGCAAAGCCTGTCAAAGACAAAATGCGCGTGACTGACGCCGATAGACCAGATGTTGAGGTAGATGCCATGATTGAAACGGAAAAGAAACTTGATATGAATGGACTGAAGACTGATGAAAAAAAATGGGGAGGGCTGAATGTAACGAGAAAGCCGAATAAGAGAGCAGGCGATGATTAGCGAGAATAAATGTATAGTCGAAATTGCCGAAGTTGTTGTGAAAAGGAGATAAACAGCTGTGATATAATCGCTAGTTATTTCCCAATTGATTATCGAAGAAGCGAGCGTTTCAGTTTGATGTTATACAGAAGGCTGACGAGGAAGACTATAGGAGAGAAGTGAACAAGTCGCAAACTGACCTCTAACATACTTTCCCACGAACTCTCACCCAGAACCCAAGCTCACAGATTTTTTGTTAGGTCAGTGAAACACTAGTCTCCTCAATTCAATCCTAATTTCCGCAGCAATCCAGGACTGCCTTGCCAAAGTGTGCTAAACGTTGAGCTGCCATTCAAAAGTTCAAACGGTGTACTTTGCATTTTTGTCAATCCTTCCTATTTGGGAAGAGCAAGCTGCTCTCAAACATGATCATGGATAACGATATTCTGCGCGCATGGCTCCTCATTCACGAGCTCAGCGACCAGCTTGCTCATAACCAGAAGATATCAAATGCAATACATTCACAAGCTACTTCAATAAAAGTGTGTCCTGTCACTGCTAATATCCGTTCCTTTCACATGTTTTCACCAGGACCAGGCCGTGCACGCCAGCTCAGGTTTTGCTTTGAGGCGGTTTAATACCGACATTTCGAAAGGTCTGCTTGCATTCAGGTTGTCCATCCGCAGCAGGGCTCAACCTTGTTCGCAGAGGTTTTCGACTCCGAATTGGAGCGCATGAACGCCCAATTCATTATAGAGAACCAAACCCTACTTCACGAGAACAAGCAATTTAGTATCCTTCTCAAAGAATATGAAAGCACTATGGAAACCATTATGTCCAAATTTCGGAATCATGCGGTGCGTCTAACACCCCATTGTCAACTCTCCGATGATAACGTCCTTCGAATCTAGTTAGCAGCTCAGCAACACGAGCTTACCCTGACGCGCCACTATGAAGGCTTACTCCTGGCATGTGATTCCCAGAACCAGTATGCGGACCTAACTTCCGAAACCAAGACCGCAGTTGGTCTTCAGCGCCTTGCTCACACCCTCCGTGCATTGCATCGTTCCATGTCTGGCGAAGAGCCCGAACTAAACGATGATGGCACCCCAGACTCCCCGATCGACATCACTGCTCTCCTTCAAACATTAGACCAACAAGCAGAATCCGAGATTCGGGACGATTGGGCGTTGGAGCGTGAAATTGAAATTTCCCGTCTGGAAAAGGAGAACGAGGAGCTGCGTAAGATGCTAGGCATTGACTCCGCCTCCTTGAGCGAAAAGGGAATCACACTTGATCTCGAGCGAGAGGAGAGTGGTCGGATCTCGACGTCACTTTCTGTCGCATCTCGGATGCGGAGTGGGTCATCTTCTTCTGGTTCACGTATGAGTCCGTGGGCGTTTGACATTGATGTGCCACAAGAGCGGGATAGCAATCCTTGGAATGGATGGGAATCACAGCCTCAACAACAGCTCCAACAACAACCCCTCCCCCCGCCCCCGCAGCCCCAACGACCACAAACACAGCAGCGGATCCAGCCGCAACATCCTCCTCAACTCGGTAGTGGTTTGCGCATGCAAGATCCAATATACTCCAATCAACTTCCGTATGCCAAGACTATGCGACGACCCGCAAATTTATTCTCGCCAAATCCTGGGCCTGCGCCACCAGTAAGCGTGGGCTCTAGCGTGGGTTGGGCGCAGTCGACACCGTCTAAACTTGACCGTTGGACCCCACCGAATATGGCGGATTTCAATCATTAACTCGCGGTAGTTCATTTCGTTACAGTGTTGTATCCCTAGACTCTTTTGATACCCTTCTTGCTTTGACAGTACTCCGCTTACTGCAACGTCTTTCAATGACATATGAACTGCACTGCGTTGCCCTGGAATTGTAAGCTACACGTCTGTTCGAACGTACAATTTGCAAATGTCGAACAACCACTCTGTCACCGAAATAGGTGAATTTCATTACGATTACCCGTCTGTCGGATTGAACTTTGGAAGCTTTTGGAGGGTGGCTACCGGCAGGACAGGGACTCACAACAATGTCTCGAATGGTCGAAGTGCCTTCTAGTGGTTTGCTATGATCAAGGTTTTTAAAATTATCTACTGTGCACCTGTCACCATCTCGCCACTAGAATAACAGGTGAAAGGGCCATTTTCCCTGCCCGGCCGATTGCTCGGATACTAACCTTCTTCCTATTTTACAGCGAATGGTGCCTTCCAGAACAGCAGCCGTAACGGCAGCCGTAATCACACTGACCTATCAAGGACTTACTACAAATACAAAATTACTACGGTTCTTTGTGCACGACCGTATATGGACAGCAGGCACCATGCACATCGCCTACAACCAGAAGCACCGGATGCTGATTGGATGTACAACTTCACCCCGACAACCGATAGGCTCAGGAGCAACTCAACATTGCATCTGCTCAGATTCTCGCCCCACGGCGGCCAGTCAGATACAACTATCTAAACCTGCATATGCATGGTGCACTGTCATCGGCAAATGTACATCATCTTCACTGGTTTGAAATTCATGAAAGGCCAACCTTTTCGAAGGAGCCGGGGAATCAAAGACCCGAGACCGAGATTGTGTTTCACCTCATGGACACCCCAGTATTTAAGGACTTGGAACATATGATGAACAAACATGAAGATTGCATTCGATCAGCTCTTTACGGCAAAGTAGATACGAAGTACGTAGGAGGAATCGCAAAAGAAGGAAAATGGTAAGTCTAGATGGATGGGATGTCGCAATTGCAAAAGCGTTGGCCAGGTATATATATGAACAATTGAAGAGGAAAAGAAAAATCATATGTACGTGCTCGTCGTGCGAGGGTATCGTCAGCTAAAAACCTTCTATAGATACAGACAACAGATGGACCACCTAGATCATCACTACCTCCACTCCACTCCACTCCACTCCACGCACTCGTACAAAACTAAAATGGAAGGTCCCGGTTCCAACGATTAGGATTAAACAGCGCATAAACTGATTATAAAGTCCAGATACCACCAAACACATAGGTCTCACCCGAGGAAAAATCATCATGCGATAACGAAGCGCATCTCGCACCCTAGGCCACTCGGTCCCCGGCCTTCAAAGGCAACGCCAAGTAAACGCTCTTTGCCACAGCCAAGTCCGCCTTCTCGTCCGCGGCCTTCCCATTCCTTGCCCCGCAAATACATAAGATTCTGGAGTGCGCGTAGACGGAGGATTTCGGGGTTCGCGACGGGGCGCATGCGGTAAGCGAGCGCAGTGGGTGGAGTGCGAGGGCGAAGGGGTGAGGGGATGATGGGGGAGTGAGTGGCCGCCGAACGATGCACAACTAATGTAGTACTTGACGGGAAAGGAGCTACGAGTGGAATGAAGTGAATGGGCTCGGGTGAGGTGGCCGTTGGTGACGGTGTAGTGAGAGAGGTAAATTTCTTCACGTCACCTGGGCGAGCACGGTAGCCATAGGGTCGGAAACTCCTTCTGCCGGATGGGCGAGCTTGAGACTGTGAAGAAGACGTAGAAAAGTGGGAGGGAGCGGCGCCAACGGAAAACATGGTTGTAGAGATGTAGGCTGATTGAAGTCCTTTCGCCACGTCGACTATCCCATGGACAGAACGACTGACATGTCGAACAAACGATTTCCCCATGCTCTCCAACCCACGAGATTGACCTGCTAATGAGGGAACATCGACAGCAGGTCGAGATGTCTGCACCTCCCGAGTATGTCTTTGAGCCTTGGGTGGCGATAGTGGTGTTTCATCAAGCGAAACACGGACAAAGGAGGAGCGCGGGTTAATATCTCGCTGACTGTCATAGAGAGTAGGCAGTTGTAGGGATGACGTGGAGCATTTGGGCGAGTCGGTGACAGGCGAAGATGCTTCGGGAGACGTAATGCCTGTTACCGAGGAGCGCCAACTGCCAAAGGACAGCCAAGAGTTCGATCGAGACGTGGCAACAGAAGACGACATCGGGGTTATCGAGTCAGTTGAAGGGATCAAAAGCACAGGGGTGGGAGTACTGCAGAGCGGAGATTGCTCAAGAAATTGGGCAGGTCGTTCCACGTCCTTGCCTTTCGCCTTTCTCCTTTCGCCTTCCTGCCACTCAACTACATGCAGCAGGCTGAGCAGTAAATCGGATCGCGCAGAGTTATGATGGCGGTGCCGCGAAGGGCTGGTAACAGTACTGATTCCCGCAATACGCCTCGCCTCCTCCGCCCGCTCAGCTGCGTCGAGGGGGAACAGCTTACCGTCCATAGAGGATACGACCTCCTTGAACGACACTGTGCGCTGCTGGCCGCCACCTGGAGGCTTCGGCGTGGTGTCATTACAGAGCGGTTTCGGGGATGTGAGGCCACGCTTGGGTGGGGTTGTGCTCAAATTCATGGGTCGCATGAAGCTGTACTGAAATGGATCTTCGTCGCGCTTCGACGAGCACCTCTCTAACCGTGCCTGCGACAATTTACCATAAGATACAGTGTGACGTTGAACCATCGAGAACCCCACCCGCGTGGAACGCTGTCGGAGAGCGAGCTCTGCCTCTTGGCGCTTATGAACCTCTGCTATCCGCCTTCGCTCTTCCTCTACAGCAATCTCCTCCTCGCGACGGCGAATAGCGCGAAGTCGCTCGGTGTGTAGACGGTGCTTCTCTTCCTCCCAAACCCTTTCGCACGCACGCAAGCGTTGTCTTCGTTGAGCCTCCTCCCATTTCTGTTGCTGTCTCCGTCGAGTTTCTTGGACGACAAGTAATTCAGGTTCTTCAAGTTTGAGTGGACCTGATGGTACGAAGCACATGTCAAAATCCTCGTCTCGGACTTCATCTATCCGAGGATCATTGTCCGAAGTGACATCGATCCCTTTAAGTTTAAGAAGTAGGATCTTGGCAAGACGGATATCATCCAACGCGTAAGCCACCTGAACTTGGTCCTCGAGTGATCGGGGCGGTGAGGGAGGCGAGTCATATGACTCAAGGGAGATAGAAGATGGTGCTGATGATTCAGCAGACCCTAGAGACCCCGAAGGAGTCGGGGATAAAGAGCGGGTGGACGAAGGAGATCTGTCCGCCGACTTCATGCAGTCGGCCTTAGAATTTGTAGAGTGTGAAGGAGAGCGGACCAATGATGATGCGTCTGAACCACAACATTGTTCCTGCGGATGCGTCAATGAAGGATCCGTCTTCTCCGACTGGGGTAAGATAGGTGTCTGAGGTGGGCCTAAGAAGTTCGTGTGTATAGCAATTTCTGCTTCCCGCTGTTTCTCGACATATAAAAGTAGTCTCCGTTCTTCAGATGCCTGCCTAGCTAGTGCCACTGGCGATATTTGGCGTGAGCGGCCGCGGCGCTGCATTTGGGGTGGAGGACGAGAGTACCAGCCACCGCTGGGCGGACGGAGAGAAGCAGTAAGCATAGACGGGGGAAAAGGGAAAGGAAATGGATTCACCGATGGTTAAAAGGGAATTGTTCCACGGGAAGATCTCGGATCTGATATTATGACCGTATGAGAGATGGCTCTTCGGGGATTGCCTCAAGGCAGGAAATGAGCGTCTAGGAGTTCGCGATATGAACAAGTGACCCAGGCCCCAACAAAAATGGCCGTTTGGATCCAAGTCAAAGGTTTCAAATTCACCTTTGATAGGCAAGTCTACAGATAAAGAGAATTGTACACGCGTCATGTCAGTGCCATGCACAGGAAGAAATTTTGGAAAGGCCTACCGAGTAATATAGAAAGGCTGTGTCAGTCAACGAAGGACAACGTTTTAACCAACGGTTGAAATGAGTTTCGCCGCTGTGTGGTACGACGTCAAGAGCAACCTGTTAAACTTCAGTAAAAGTGTAAATTTTTACATTTTGATTACTCGGTCCACCATTGTCGTTGCCAGTGGACTGTGGAAAGCAGTTCACGGGGTATCTTCCAATCACAAGTTACCCGACCTCGATGGCTGTGCTGAGGCAGGTGCCGTAGTGGGTCCGTAATTTTTCTGCAACGACGACAGGTCGGGCTCACTCTTCCCTTGGATCGTTAGCCCTGACTCGCTATAGCTCCAATTAGTTACGGTTGTGGTTCAAATCTTTATCCTATTCCCAGTTATCCATGCGGAACCATGCCTCGAGGCCGCCCCCTTACCAGCAAGCAGTCCAATAATTGCACAATGCCACTCCATGCAAGGGCTTCCTTTGTATTCGTGATCAGTCACCGAGAGTCATGCCTTGCAACGAGGCAGGCCACTTCGCCAGACATCCTCTTTCTTGGGGCCAACACGCTCAAACAATACCAACCCAGTATCCATATTCATTTGTGGTACAGCGTGTCGTTCCTGAAGGGCCTGACCCTCTCATATCACACAGTCATCAATCTAGCTCCCACATCACGCATAACAGTGCCATCGCAGTGATCGTGCATCATGTTCTCTTGTCACATTGCCATTGGGCCTGCCCCACGGGCACCACCTGCCAGTGTCCCGTTTATGTTTTATCTTGCGCTGTTCAACTATCAATCTCTGATCGCCGCATGCAGTGTTTCTAGTATTTCCCCTGCTTTCTCCCTCACTCCAATCAGTTTTTCCCTGTTTGTCAAATGGTCAAAAACCATGTGTCCTCCATCTAGTGCGTATAGAAATTTGCCACGCACTATTTTCTCCGAGAAATGAAATTGCCGGTAGTCTTCCAGGAGCACTTCTTAAGAAGTGTATGCTATAACTCCATCCATACTACCAAGCATTTGTTACACGTCTTCTTCCCTGTTGTCGATGCGTACTCAATTTCATTATAGTCCTCGTTTTCCTCTCTGACACCCGACTTCTCCACGTAAACTGATTATCAGCTTTACCATCTCATCGATCTTATCCTGATCAGCATTCCGAATCTCTCACCGCCGGTTTTGATATATCTGTATCTCAGATAAAAACAGATCAATTCAAACAGCCCAACTTATCTCATCGGTAATCAGTCAGTCCGCCTATACTAGACATATGTCTCACGACATCATTTTTGCGACACATCCTCGCTCACACCGCCCGCCCGAGAACGTAGCGGCGCCTAGATATCATCTTTCCCATTTAGGACATACTCTAATACCACGACCCTCGAAGCTTGCCTCGTGTCCCAGCACTGCGCGCCAGCTATGACATAAGATCAATCGCGCAGCCTTTCTATTCAACGTGACAAGTACAATCTCTTTAGGCCGCTCGGGCATATCTGGCCTTTGCTATGAACTGACTTAGGCCTAAGTTGGTTTTACACATAGCTCATATCCGCGTCACCGGCCTCATATCAGTGTTGCTAGTCTCATATCAATCATGACTGTTGCATGAGCTGATAGTGGCACCGCTACGTACCCTCATAGGCAGTGGGACTTGCTCTTATCGGTCGCGAAGGAACGATGGTTACAGCATCGTTATTCCAGTAATAACCACAGTCGGGAGCTTCTGAGTGGCTCATTGTTCTCGGGTTCGCACGTGATCGTCGTTGAAAACGTCCGTCTGTTTTCACCGACAGCATCTGTTCGTTCCGATAGTATGCCAGCTCAAAACGGCTGGTTCTTTTTTCTTCTTTTTTCTTCCGTCTTCTACGGCTAGCTACCAACAGTTGACATCCCAGCAATCCGACGGTGCCTAGCGTTACTCGCGAGAACCAAGATGAAGCAGACTAGCGGGATCATCATGGGCTGCATGGAGACTTCTGGGATTCGTCCGGCTTATTGCCGCTCGTCATCTCTCCATATTAGATTAGGAAAGTATATTGTTTCGCATCCTGACCATAATGTCCCGAAGTTATTCCCTTTTGCCTTTCATTAATGTCAGTTGTGATGGCTGTATTACGTCGAGCGGGTGCTAGGGCCAATCAGGGTGGCCAAATCCCCTATGTAAATAGGTCAGTCGTTTACGTCCTTCTCGAATTGTACGAAGTAAAGACCACGTAACACAGGGGTTCTCCCTCCTTAAAGTTGTCACAGCCCAGTGCCTTGTTGTGGAATTCATAACTGCGCGGGGAAGTCGCCAAGCATTCCCTGTGTAGAAATCGGATACAAAGAACTCACCTGGGGTCTTTTCAGGAGCTAATGTGATTCGTTTTGATCCTCACCAACCGGGGATTCATGTAAAGCTTCGAAGCCCCTAGCACTGTTTAGTGATGTGGTAAATGTGCCATGCTTGCATACCTCGATATGCTATCTAGCTTCAGTTGAAGCCTTGACAGCGTCAGGTCCTGTTCTTTAATATCCGCAGTCGTCGAAGGAATCAACAGCAGGAAGGCACGGCAGGATCTTGTTCGCTAGCTTGGATTGGCCAGACCAGAAGCTTGCACATGGATCTCATTTAGGTTCTTCTGAGCTTTGTTCTTACAAACGCTGATAATCTGCCAGTGGCCCGTGGGCCAGACAAGAAGCACAGTCTGAGGCCTCTTTAGGTTAGATCAATGTTCTAAGTTTTGGTCTTACAAATGTTGATAATCCGCAGGTGACACAGGGAACTGGAAAGTCTAAAAGCATTACATGTACATGATTCAAGGGCCTGGTGAACAAACCTTAGCTATAGAGCTACTGTCGATTGCCGCCGGTACCTTGCTTGCACCTGAGGTCTCTTGCACTTCCCACGAATCAGGAGGGGTACAGATTTCGAAATGGTGCGAGCAAGGCAACGCAGTTGCGCGGCTGTTCCCGAGTCCGCAGACTTAGTCCCGACATACGGTATAAATACAGAATACTAGCGGCTCCCTGAGGCAAACTGACTTGTTTCTCTCGTTCTGGATGTTCTAGATCATCGGATGGTGAAATGCGCTTCCGAAAGAAGATGGGCGCAAGCTCCGAGTTCAGCAGTCTTGGTCCGTCTACTTATCTTTGTATAGTACAACTCGAAACACGCATGAAGTAGTGGACAGCCAGTGAGTCGAATTCTAAATTCCAGACCCTGACGAAGTTCATTACCGAGTTGGCCTATGCCAATAGCTGTATTACGATATGCGGGGACCACGTACGGGCCCTTGGCTACAAATCTTCAAGCTCCTAAGCTGTTCGCAAGCCGTTTGACCGTGAGAGGTGCGACTATCGCAGTTCCGAAATTCATCAAGAAACACCGAGGAGCTCGAGCTAACTCTCGTGAAGATGATATCGTGCAATCCGGCGTTGGATGTGGAAACCACCGAGTAGATGAGTCACCTGCGCAGCATGCGAAAACAGCTTCAAAGTTTAGCATCACAACAAAATGCCATACACCATATGAACGATGGTACTACTATTTGCAGTCTGGGTAGTCCCGACGTGTTTAACTTGACCCTGTATACAGGTGCATTGAGCGATAGCTTGTACTATCATGCGTTATCCGCCACGTGTTGCAGTACTATTACTAGTAAGTGCAAGCAGCACATTACCCCCACTGCCTCCTATAGGACTACCTGTGTGGTTTACTTTATATTTGAGCTTATATGCAGCACTCGTGGGTGTTCAATACTGTGTAATAGATTAGTAAACAGACTTCAGAATAGTACGCAGTGACTTTGCAGCGACGACTAGTCTACTACAAGCCATATTCCCACGATGTTCTTGTCTACCGGCTCCGGCTTCTTCATATCCGGAGTCAAAAACACGTCTGTTCTCTTCCATGTGCTTTCCCTCGGCCCAATGCCCGGAAACTGGATTCTATGCTTCTTCCGCTCCATCCTCAGAGACACCTGAAGCCTGTCCGGTCGATTCTCATATCAAGGTCGATTTACGCATTATCTACTTCGCTTCCGCAGGTATCAGGGGCCTCGGAGTCCCGAGCACAGTAACTACTTTTTTGGTGGACTTTGAGTGGGACTGAAGGGATGTTTGCTCGACTGTCACGCAAATCTGCCAGGTGGCTGGACGTACGCGTTGAACATGCGCTGTCTGGTAATGACAATGCCATGGTGAGTCTATTCCAAGGTTATTTACCGTCGTCATCTGAACTGGCGGACGCCTTACATTTAGTCGGTCGATGTAAATGTGCTCACCTGTCTTGACTTATCGTGGCGCGGGCTGTGTGGCCAAACTATTGGGCCTGTGTATCGTAGCTTGAAAAATGTTATGGAGGAAGACTTGGACACAGTTGCTAGGCTGTTGTCCGAACTAGACCCCCTTGGTGAAGAACTAGAACAGGTACGTCGCGCTTCTGTTTGTCTCACCAGACTATGTAGTTAAACAGGAGCAATTTTGTAGATAAGCGAAGTACAGCCGCAGCCACAGCCGCCGTTGTCGCCAGGCCCCAGAATCTATGTAGCAGAAGACAACGCACTTGCGGCGTGTCCTGAAATTTCACTACCAGAACGATCGAGAAGAAAGCGTAGGCGATCGTCTGCTTTAGTGAGTCTGATCCAAGTATGTTCAAATTCATGCTTAACTTGGTTAAAAGGTCGAACCGCTCGTCATCAAACCTACACACCCTTCTGCTCCGACAATTATCGTTTCACCGTGTCCATCTCAGGCACGTGAAACCTCGTCTTGGGTACCGTATCAAGATGCAGCATTTGGCGCGCGCCTCACAGTGCCCACATACGCCCCATCAAACCGCGCGTTTCCGCCCCTTGTAGCTCCATCCAATCTTGACAACCGCGCTGATGTCTGGAAGTATGTCAACGGTCATTGGTGTGCTGTCCTTCCGACACAGGATGAACAGTGTAGAAGAGGGTTGTACTCTAAGAGCATAGTTTCCAGGCGACGTTCAACGCTACGGCCTCCTTGTCGGACGGAGATCTGAGTTTCTGTTGCGCCGATCTACTACTGACTTCAATGTCCCTCGTTTGTTGCATTCGCCGTCTTGGGCAATTCATTTCATGAAACATATATCATTCTCATGCATTGTATCTATCATGTTATCTAACTCATATTTGTTCAATACCGTTGTAGAGATCAACTTATTGTTGTTGTGATTCAGCTGCGAGTCATTGAGCGGAAATGGGAGACACGTTCACTTGACGTGGGAACTTATATGCAATTGGCCTCCTCACCCAGTTGCCCCACAAACGTCCAGACCCATTCTTTATCTCCTCTCCTTTCCTTTCAAGCAGACTGACTGCTAAAGCCAGTTTTATCAGGTTCAGTGCTAACTAGAAGTTAATCTAGTAGCACTACGTATTGTAGTGGTGGCCACTCCACGCACCCAAATCTCTGACATGTCGTTCAAAGCGCTCTTCTATGCGTACATCTTAGGCGGACTGACGTTCATCCCCTTGGTCATCCTTATCGTCGTTGGCATCGCAATATACACCTCTATCCCCGTGCCAACCAACTCAGGCCAAGATGCCAAGCCAGAGCTCCATACCGAGTCGACTGAGCCGCAGGCAGAAACTGAAGATCCTGCCTCATCGCTGGAAGTCAACGACAAGCCCAGGTCGCGCAAAGGCTGGTTGACCATGCGTAGAACGTTTGAGGAATCCGCGTCATCTGATGGCTCGTACGTCACACTCGTCCGCTCTTACCTTGATGCGCGCTCCAAGGACCCTAAGCGCTCACGCCCGAAGGACATGTGGTATGTTGTCCTTAAGGGCACAGTGTTGTACCTGTACGAGGACGAAAGTAGGGCGGAGTGCGAAGCTGCTATAGAGTTGGGTGGACATGAGGTGTGTGTTTATCCGGAAGGACTTCTGGACGGGGAGCTCTACACGAAACGGAACGCCATATGTTTGCGTCCAAGACCAATACCCGAGGAAAAAGTAATGCCAAGCGTGACAAAGGAGATGACACTTCAAGATATTAGTATCGACGAGAAGGTGGAGGAGGCAGGTGGAAGCTTGAAGAAGCGGACGGCTGAACGCGAGCGACTTATTGAAGAAGAGAAAATTCGGGATGCTGCACGACAAGAGGCATTGAGTGCATCGACACCATGGTTCATCTTCGTGCGCTCCTGCGTCGAGATGGAAGATTGGTACTTTGCACTCTTGCATGCATCCGAGCACCCGACTGGCACGCCCACTCTCGACCCACTCCAGAACGTATTCCTCCCTTCGGAAATGAACAAGCTTGTCGTGACTCTTGATGAGCAACCCGATGTCATCCCCATGCGCTGGTTAAACGCGCTACTTGGGCGCATATTCTTTAGCTTCTACCGCACACAGACGTTAGAGTCCTACATCATCGGTCGTCTCATGAAGAAGCTCTCCAAAGTCAAGCGCCCTGCATTCCTCACAGACATTTCTGTCACCGAATTCTCAATTGGGAACAAGGCCCCGACACTTAGCAAGCCGATGTTGAAGGAGCTCACAAAAGAGGGCGACGCATCACTCGAGGTGCGCTTTACATACAAAGGGGAGGTCCGTGCGACCGTCGAGACTACTGCCACAATCAACCTCGGTGCACGATTTAAGTCGTACACCGTTAAACTGGTGCTGGCTGTCATTCTGCGGGAGATAGATGGAAACCTCCTCATCAAGGTCAAGCGACCACCGAGTAGTCGGATATGGTACTCGTTCACGCAGACCCCGCGTGTGGTCATTGATGTCGAGCCCATCGTGAGCGACCGCCAAATTACGTGGAGCATGATACTTGACACGATCAAGTCAAGAATCATCGAGGTGGTGAGTATGCTTGATAATCCATCATATTAATCACAATCTAAAATTGTACGACTTAGATACAAGAGTCTGTCGTGATGCCCAACATGGATGATATCAGTTTCTTTGACAGCTCGCCATATTTGCACCGTGGTGGACTTTGGTCAGACGCGGCGCGGTGTCAGCAGTCAGAGCCCGCCTCGACTTCACCAGAAGTTGAAGCTGAAGGTGTAAAACCTGCGGCATCCGAGGCAGACCTCCCATCCATTTCAGGTCCCTCCGAAGATGTCACGGCACCGTCAATAAAGCGTTCAGTGTCTGCTGAAGACCTGGTAGTTGATGCATCATCACTTGGAGGTGTGCCAGTCATCCGCTCCGCAACCACTGGAACCTCAGACAACAACGTAAAAGCCTCTAGGCTTCGGTCATCTGGTGGGGACGACTCGGATGCGGGCGAGGATGTTGAGCAGTCGGATCTTCGTGGACGGCGGAGTCGCGCTGCAAGTTCTACAACACCGAAACAAGATCTTCCTGCCAACTCCTATCCAGACAAACCTACTAGCGAGATAGAGTTGGATGAAGAGAGACCTGGGTACCTGTCGCCGCAATACCGCGGCCGGTCCTCATCAGCACACTCTCAAGCACGTTCTAGGTCTTCTCGAGCAGATTCTGTCTCATCTTCGGTCTCGGTCGGCGGCGACGAGCTCTTCAATGGCCTCTCCGACTCTGGCGCACCCTCCAAGAGTCCCCGACTTTCCGCCGGTTCGAATACAGCGAGCTTCTTGTTCTCTACGCTCAAATCGAAAGCCGCAGACAAGCAGGCGCTGAGCAACTCTGCTAAGGAGGCAATGCGCAAATGGGGGGTCAATTGGGGAGGTCTTAAGAAAGATAGCAGTGTCAACTCTCATGATGATGTGCCGGATGTTGGGCCTTCGGATGCTCGTGTCCGGACAGAGAGTACACATGGCCGTCCCAGTTACGCAGAAGTGCGTGCTGCTGTTGCCGAACGAAGAGAACGCAGGGACGATGGTGGGTCCGCCCCTATTCCCATCCCCAATGGGAAAGGAAAGAGGTCCACAAGCCCGTCGAGCGGTCATATGACATTATCTGGTGCACCTGCATCGCCTCCACACATGATGCAAGGCAGTTCATCGGAAGGGAGCTCCTCGTTTAAATTTGTTGCACCTTCTCTGTCAAGATCGGCGACGGAAAGTGATCCACTCAAAGACCGCGATTTCACGGATGTCACAGAAGAGGCTCGCAGGCCATCTATTATTCATACCCAACCTTCACAGGCGCGAACAATGACTATTCCGGGGATCCATGCGAGCCACCGCGGGGAACCCATGTCAATGGGGAACATTGCACCATCGTCAACACCCCCGGAGAGCAAGCCGAAGGGGCCTGGCATTCCAAGCATGTATCGCTTGTGGAAAAGCCCGGTTCTGACAGGTCAACCACAAGGTTCGGACAACCAGTCGACGCCTATACGCGCAGATACAGATGGACGTAATGCGGATGTTGCCCCACTCAGTCTTTCTGCCGATGTCGCTTCATCATCTGTTCGGCCTGTTCCTCCACCTCTTCCTCCACGGACGGTATCATCGGTACCACGTACGCCTGATTCATCCAAAGATTCCGCTGTTCCCTCTGTATCACCTGCATCAGAAGAGATGAGAGGAGCTTCGCCGGTACAGGGATCATCAAATCCATATCCAGAGTCAGCTGAAACGTCAGCACTTGTTGGCATATCTGAACCAGTGATTGCCAAAGGACCAGACAACAGGCCTCCATTGCCTCCGCGCAGGTTACAAGCACCAGCACAATAGCCTATAGGTCAACGTTTGAAAATGTCCTAGTTCATGTACATCACTGATCTGCATCGCATGGTTCTTATCTCTCGCTCCGTACTCTGTTCTCGTTAACACACGTATTTAAAAGTCAACTCAGCATACTCATGATGACCAGTCACCCCTTTAAAGCATGCTCGAGGCTCTATGACGCAATAATGTGTCACGTCTCACTGCATTTAAATTTGTCGGGATCGTGACGGTTGGACGGCGAAAATTATTTGCATTTTGCACTTTGAAAAAGAAAACAGCTTGACGATGATCGACGTGGCACCCGAGTAGAAATTTTAAATTACCTAAGCTTGGACCACCTCTACGGTAGCGGCCAACGCTTACACTTACTACTACTTACCGACTTACTTCGTACTAGCGTCACTGACGGGATAGACTCGGAGACTGTTTCGTCTCGTAAAAAGTTCATGTTTTCGGTTCGGCACACCAAGCGGTCGGTAATTTGACAGGAGGTTCCGAAGGGGTGGTCGTCAGGGTGTCAGTGGCCGTAACGGAGAGCGTGCCGTGCGCAAAAGATGACCCTGGTCCAAGCTTCGACATTACTTATTGTTTGAAACGGAAGACCATCGACCATCGATGTTTCTTTTTGCTCTTCTCTGTGCTCCGTGATCATCAAGTTGAAGATTTAGACAGCTCTGAGCTGTGAACTCAATTCCAGTTTCATATTCCTGTCACCGGCTTCACCCTCACAGTTATATAGCTTAAGCGGCGGGAGGAACTTGGTTTTTTTTTTATCCGGCTCAATCTCCAACTGGAGGCTTTCTTTCCTACTGTCATGTCCAATGTCATGTCCTACACGACCCGACGTAAGAATTCTGCATCATCATTCAACGTTATCTTACCCTTCTCAGCTGCTAATTCTCTCAAGATATCCCCCAATCTCGAGGCCCTTCTCCAACATGACGAACTTGACCATGGTGGTGGCGGGTCTCCAACTAGTCCATATCATTCCATCTCGCCCTCGTCCGGATTTGCTGTCAGTCTTGCACCACCACCGCCCCGGAATACAACGAAGAAAGTAGCTAATCATGAGAACCGCGTCAAGAAAATTCGGCGGAAGAAGAGTAACGTTAGGTCTGATTCATGGCCAGACGCTCTACCTGCCGTGAATAGCCCCGCATCCTCTAGATCTGCTACGCCCATTAATCCAACACTACCGACTATTAATACACGTGATGGTAAGTACTTCTCTCGACCATATCTGGACAGATAGCTCACGTCAACTCGCACGACAACAGGTCCGATATCACTTCTGTCACTACAGAATGATCATGCAAGTTCCACCGAGACTATAGTTTCGCTTGCACACAGGAGTGAACCAGATGTCTACCACACTTCTGACCCACCGGTACATCTCACGACTTCCTGTCGTTCATCGCCTACTTTGCACAAGGTCGAGAAAATCTTTACAAAGGGGCGAGAGTCCTTGAGCATTCTCACAAGTGCTGCTATTCCCAGCAGCATAAAGCCAAAACAGGACAATCACGTTGATTTCCGACCTCATCGCACAGAGTTGGCAGAATCTAGCGCCTATCAGTCATCTCTTTCAGGTCAGCTTCTTCGAAATGTCACGGTGAGTTGCTAACGTTGGTTCATGGCTGTAGTATCCCAGGTGCGACAAGTACGAGGATCAGGATACCGAGCAATGTCGCATCAACTATCCGCGTTTGGAGATGCAGAGACAGCCTCAATTTCTAATGCCTCCCCTGGGACAACTGAAACGCGGCAGTTCTCTCCTGTGCAAATCAAGTCTCCCTTCTCAACTGGTACAGACACGAGCGTCAACTTGCCTTCGGTTTCATCTACCCGTTCCCCCTCCCCTAAATCTGGTTATTCACCGTCAGCACCGGCCATATCTTCTAATTCGTCAAGAACATATCACGCATCTTCATTGCCTCATTTACCCCCCATATCCCCGATCGAAATGCCACTTTTGCCTTCGGTGCAGAAACGAGCAAGTAATGACCAGCAATCATTCATCGATTTTTTCTCGCCTTCTTCTCCAGCCTCCCAGCATATGCAGGACGACCCATCTATTATATCCACTCGCCGTCCATCTGCACCAGCTATATTATCTTCAAGCATATATTCTAGTACTTCTTCTAATTCATCTTTGAACGACCTTCCTAGCATGGTTTTTGCCCCGGCCAGTCCTACTTCTGCCGCCAACGAAGCCCCTGACTCCCCACAACACTCGCGACCGAGCTCTTCAGCATCCTCACACTCAGACGTTTCGGCAATGATATTTGCTCCTACAAGTCCTACTTCTGGTGTATATTTGTCGCCTATTTCTTATCGCCCTAGTTCATCATGTTCTTCGGCGACCTCGCTTGCAACACTTGAGTTTGCACCTCCTAGTCCGGCATTCCCCGATACCACAGACACCTTGAAACCACCTATTCCAACTACTCCGAAGCCTGTGTTTGAGAAAAGGGGTCGCAAACACCGTTTCCAGAAACGTTCTTTTTCGTCTTCTCCTCAACCACCCCTTCGTCTCAAAGTACCCCTACCACCGACGACCAACACGCTTGACGCCAATGAGCGAGCTGATCTCATACGGAGAAATCGCAAGTTGGTGCAACTGTTGGGGCAAACTCCGGCAGTTGAAATGGCTGCGTCAGAAGTAGAGGAGTCGCGTCTATTTAAGATACTGCCACAACCCCCCTTCTCTGCTTTTCTGGGATCAGCGAAGCAGAAGCATCATCGTCATGCAATGTCTGTATCTGTTGCTGTGAAGACCCCCGGTTTTAAATCGGAACCGCCATCGTCATGGCAAGTTATAGACTATCCATCAACACAGAGCGGTCGCAGATATTCCACACCCTACACTCCACGTAGCTTTACGTTCTACCTGGATGATTCACCGGAGCTACCAGCCACTCGCGATCATCACGGCTCACATCGCCATTGGGATCCGCAGCACCAATATGGTTCCCCAACTTCTTTCATTGATCTTTCAGATGAAGATAATTCACATGATGCTTCGGATGCGATCAGTTTGGAAATGCCGAACACGGCAAACGGTCGCCGAATCTTCCATCATTCATCCTCGACACCATCTGTGGTGGAGACGTTTACGCCCGAGGAACAAGCCGAAGCCGAGAGAAGAAGAAAGCGTGACAAGCTGGCTAAACTCCACCGTTTTCTTGGCTCTCGCGTCCCTACCGACTTGGTCGTTGGTCATATAGCTGGTCCGTCTTTACCTCCATCGTCGATGCCTGTGGACGGCCACGATATGTGGCTTTACAGGCGAAGGAGCGGTTCATCCGCCCCATCATTCGAGCGTGTCAAGACAGAGCTCGATGACGAGGAGAAGGCTTTGAATGTCAGACGTGCTCAGAAGATGGAAAAGGTTTGCTATTCCTTGCTCCTCGTCATGAAAAAGGCTCATCATTTTAATCAGCTTTTCGGGATTCCCCCTCCTCAAACCTTGTACCATACTCGCCATGCTCCTGCAACAGTGGTCCGGTCTCAACCGGCATCCCCTGTAGCGTCCCTTATGACCCCGACCTACGCATCCGCCAATGCTCCTGGTTTATCCCGGCGTAATCCAAACCAGTCTGCGTATATGAAAGGGAAGAAAGTGCATCGCCCAGGAACTTCGGAGTCAACTACGTTCCTACTGCCGCTCAAGACTTCCAGCTCTCCAGAGTCTGGTCAGACGTCTGGCTATCAGGATGCCCTCGCACAATCTTCTGTGTACATGAACTATCAGCATTCTATCGCTTCACTGACAGACATCATTGACCGAGTGAGTGAACAGATGCGGAATCATGTACGTCACTCACCATTCCAAAGGATGACAGGGCGTCTCTTGCGGAGCTCCATCGGTTCCTCCACGGCGATGTAGTGGATTCTCCGGTTGAGGAACAGCCCTTGCTAGAATCTCATAGGATTTCCGGCTCGTCGCATTCGTTCAAGTCGGAACGTAGACTCTCGTTACCAACGCGGACATCCATGACGTCGTTGATAACCACTGAGATACCTATGCCATCGCCCAAGGGGTCATCTGACTTCCAATTGCGTAGGCGACGAGCTGCTAAATTGACGCATTTCTTCGGCGTGGATTATCGTGAGCTTATTCATGATATCTTAGAAAGCATTGAGAAGGGCGTGGAAGAGGAAAGGAAGAGAGGGACGCTTCGGCCCGAGGAAGTTGAAGTGAGTTCAATAATCATATTTGAAATAATCCACTCACGATTTACTTGGTACGCTAGTCTTTGCTGCATAAGCTTCATGATCTTCGGACGAGACAGGATGGGTTTTTATAATGATCAGTACTATAGCACTCCTTTACCGATTTCAACTTTTATGTCGCTTTGTCATGACCTCTTGCATGTGATCTTTCTTCAATTTGAACCTCGATGGTCCAGAATCCAGATATAGATGACATGTACTGACCACATGTGAAAGTCAAACTTGTAATCTAGATATGTAAGATGCAACTAATAACAGGGATATCATAGGATAACTAACTCTCCATCACACGAATGACACCAGAATATGTGAGACTCATCCATGAACTGTGGTCGCCGGTGTATGTGCTGCGCATGCCAGGAAGGAGAGTCAGGCTCTCGTCCTGATATTCCTTCGTCACCTTGTGGAACAGGGGAAAGCTGTCGCGACGAAGGATAGCCACCAGCTGATGCTGCGACCCTCGCTATCAATACGCGCTTTTAACATGCCAAGACTAACTTGACGCTTGTGACGAGTTTCAGGTGAGAGTCCAACGTCAAAAACAGTCCGCGGGGAAGGCGGGGCAAGGTTGCTTGATCTGTGAGAGAAAGACCCACGTCGTAAATCAGTGGGATTAAAGGTGCGACTGGAGGGTCTGCCTGGCACTCCGGGAGGAAAACGGTCTTGAGGTTGCTCTCGACGTGGAGCGCTGTTGTGCGAGCTGATCCTCTAATATGCTGATTTGCTTCTGCAGGCTATGCGACTTTGCCTGAGCTTCGAAGACGGCGGTCTCCAAAGCGCGAATTTGGGAGTTGGCATTGGAGAGATCCATAGCATGTTGGACTCTGAGTGCACCGATCATCTCGTCATCCAGTGAACGAGGAGCATCCTCGTCTGATGAAGAGGTTCGAATGTGCTCTATCTCATCATCCTTGGCGTTCAACTCTGCCCGTAGAGCTTCATGCTCGTAGTTAGATCGTTCAATGAAGGCACGGTGTTCTTCGTCAAGGTTCCTGTATGACCGAAGGTCCGACTCCAAGCGGGACATTACTTGTGAGTGCTGATCGGATTCCACGGAGAGGCGGTCAATAATTTCTAGTTGACGCGCCTCGACTTGTCGCAGCTGTGTACGATCCCCCTCCAAACTGAGCACTGCCGCCTGCGATGACTCTAGTTCAGCCTGCAGTTCGGCATAGCCTTGCTGTAGCTCAATGACCGATTGTTGCAGTGAGGCCTCGTCCTTCTCATGCAACGAGTCTGCTTCTTTGTGAACTCGAGCCGCCTCGGCCTCCCGCTCCATCGCCTCGCTAAGCGCATTTTCGAGCTTCGAGATGAAAGTATCTCGTGAATTCTTTTCATGCTCAAGCTTGTCGATTCGTTCCATCAAATCCATTTTGGTGGAGGTAAGCTCCACAAACTTGGGTCGCATCTCATCCAGAGATTGTATCAACCTTGTTCCCTCTGTCTGCAGATCTTTCTGCGTCCTCTCGGCTTCTTCAGCTCGCCGATTGGCAACCCTCAGGTCGCTATGGGCATTTTGAAGAGCGCGGTCGCTCGACGACAACTCCGACGCGACCTCACCAAGCTTTTGCTGAAGCTGCTTGATCGCGCTTTGGTTGAAGTTAACCTGGGACTGGAGTGACGCGCGCTCTTCAAGCAACGCATCGCGATCTTGGTTGGCAGTGTGGATACACTCTTGGAGGGATAAGTGTTGCTCCTCGAGACTTGCGTGCTTAGCCTTCCACTCGGTTTCGCTATCATCTCGCAATTGAAGCTGAGACTGTAGCTCATCCTTCTCGTGTTTTGCGTTCGCGAGAGTCTACTTGTTTGATGAGCACCAGCGGACGGAGAGGGTAAATAGCTACATACCTGTTTGAGCTTAGAGAGCTGAAACTCGAGCTCCTCGGCGCGATCCTGAGTGTTCTTGAGTGACTCCTCCAGCCGTTCGGCACGATCATCACTTTCTATTTGCTCCTCGAGTTCGCGAACACGTTGTCGATGCTGTTCGGATGCAGACCTCACTTCCTCCAGAGAAGCATTGAGAAGCTGCAGTTCTCTTTCCTGAGAAAAGTTTGAGCGAGACACTCTTGTTAGAATTAGATTACTCACTTGATCTCGCGACTTTTCAGCCAGGTCTCTTTCTCGTATCAGGGTTTCTTGTAGTTGCATGTCGAGCTTAGAAGAACTGTTCTCCAGGTCTTTGACGCGTTCATCGAGCGACTGCGATTGTTCGCGTTCAGCCTGAAGCAATTCACCCTTCTCTTGCGTCTCTAGATTTAAAACATAGTTAGACGAGAACGTCGTCGAAGTAGTCAACATACCCATCTCGAGCTGCTCCAGACGAGCAACTGAAGCCAGCAATGATGTCTTTTCTGAAACAAGGAGGGAAATGGTCTTCTGATGGTTTTCATCCTGCTCGTTCCGACGTTTAGTGGACTCCACCTCTTTAGAGTGACAGTCTTGTATTTCAACGCGTGCTGCGCCGAGCTGGTTTGAAAGCTTCTCGACCTCTTCCTTGTGTAAATTCGCTATGTGGCGATGATCATCAAGTTCCCTTGCATGACTCCGGCGAAGCTCATCAGCCTGCGACTTCGATTGCAGAATCTCTGCCTGACTTGAGCGGTGCGCATCCTCCAATGACCGCTTCTCTTGGACCACTACCTCCACACGTCTCGACGTATCTTGAGCACGCTGCTGTTCCTGATGAAGCTGAAGCTTAAGTGTGCTATTTTCTTCTTCGAGCTTCTTTAGCTGGGCTTTGGTGTCTGTGACAACGAATGAGACTCGGCCGGCATAGAAATATAAACTGACGTGCCTGTCTCGAGTGATTCTAGCGAACTCCGTAAGCTACTGTTCTCACTTTGAACAGAAGCAACTGTTGTCTGCAGGGATGTCACCTGAGACTGCAATGTCTCTGCTTGCCCAGAAAGAAATGATGAAGTAGGCGCATATGGCGGCGGAATATTGGAAGCTGTCGAGTGCGGCACGTCCGCCCTAGATAGAGACTCGATCCAGTTCGCGTCCGAATCTGCTGGTGTGAAGCTAAGGGATGATGAAATTAGTTCAAGCGCGATAAACAGGTCAGAGATCGCAGACATACAGGTCAGCGACATCATTCTTGGTGTCCTCCGTGGACGGTGCAGACTCCTGGAGAGCAGGAGTGAACGACCTCGACGGAGGTGGACTTGCCAACGCGCTGCTGCCAGCAACTTTCTTCCGTCGTCGCTTGTCGAGCTACAGGAATACGTGAGCTTGTGAAATAACAAAACTTTGCGAGGATGCAAACCAAGGCCTTTGCCCGAGCGGCCTTCGCGGCGCGATCATCATCCTCAGACATTTGTGAGAGGCTGAATTAATCGTCAGTAGTGGCCAACCTCGAGTGAGCAATGAAGGGAGAGCAAATCAGTGAAGCGCAGCAGTAAGAAACGTTTGTGTTTGAGAAGTCTGCTGCAATTGTAGACTTTGTCGCGACTTGGACACGTTTCATAAAGTTACACGCCCGCAACCTATTGCAACTTCAAGCAACATAAATGAATAATAGGCTACTACTACTACTTATCTCCTATAGGCCATTCCAATCTTCTCAATTCACGCAGACAACAGTGCAATTGGAAGAAGCCCGATTGCAAGGGCTAACCATGATGCCATCGAGAATATGGGAGGAACACAAAATGTTATTGGATGTTATACTAATATACTGCATCATGTACGAGTATACCCCCAGACTTTCAGAACACTGAACTTCGTCAGAGACATAGACCCGTAAAAAGATATCCTGCACCAACTATGTGAATAAATAGAGACAACAAACACGTGAGTCAGAGCAGATTATATGCAAGCAGTCATGATCATGTCAAACAGGAATTCCCTGTGGCTGGCCAGAATACACCGGCTGGAATTGCTGGGGTTGCATATGGGCAGGCGTGCCACTTTGAGTACCATAGGTGCCTAGCTGCTGAGGCTGCGAAACAGCAGTGTACCCCGTAGGAGGAGCGCCAGAGTACTGATCCAGAGGAACCTGCTGTGACTTTTGTGCAAAGAACGTGGCCTCTTTAACAGAACGCGTCCATACACTGTTTCCGTGACTGGATCCAATGATGGAAAACACTAGCAGCACACAAGTGTAACCCAAGACTAGAATGACGTCGTTAGGTAAAGACTCGACCTAAACAGTGTAAAACTTACATATGAAGAAGTTGAGAAATGCAAAAGCCTCCATTACCTGCATCTCTATGCAATACGTGTTGAAGGTAGGATCTGGCGGTGACTGAGTATGATGCAAATGATATTTGAAGTTCACGCACCTGAATCAACACAACCTCGAGGGTAGTAATAGTTGGAGGCGGCGACAGTTTCGCCGGCAGTGGCAACCCACAGAATCGCAAGGATGACTGTATATCAAAAGAATTAGACTAACACGCATTATTCCAAATACACTACATACAGAGCCATGAGAGTTCAAATACAATCATGGAAGTGAACGCTCCACGTCGTGTAAAATCGACGATCAACCTGTGAATAACTGAGACAATCAAGATGAGTAGAGAAAGGCATGCGCACATGATTGGAATGGTAACAATTGTCAAGACCGCGGTCGCAGTGTCCAAAGCAGTGAAGATGTAATAGAAATCATATGGCGCCGTCAACGAGAGGAAGTAGGCATTGAGGCCTAATCCAATGAGGGAGAAAGCAATAGTGAGTGCTATACGACCACATTCGAAAGGTGAGCTTCTAACAAACATATTTAGAAATAGATCCAGATCTCACAGAAAAGGGTGATACGGGCCACGGAAAAGTATCCCATATTGAACAAGGTCTCGTTCAAAGGGAGGCAGGGACGGAGGAACGGAAAGCAAGATTCTCCACTGAACGTTGAAGCTTATATTGGTAGACTCGCTCCCCGTAAGTCCGCTCATGCAGGGACAAAAACAGTTGCCCTGAACAAGGTCCCAACTCGCCCTTGACAACTCTCCCAGAACATATCAAATCGTTTAGCAAGCTCCGTTTCGGGGCATTCAAGTACTTACGTTTAGCACTGGTTTGATCCAATATTTAGTCGGAGCCTTTGCATACACGATCAGGCACTCGATACTCCTTACACTTCGTGCGGGTCCTTCTGAGTTGGCAAGTGCTTACTGCTTATTGAAGCTCGAGTTTAGTCGAGGTGCGATGGCTGTTTTTGTTCATGCTGGGCAGATTGAAAGTTTCGGAACAGACACACTTACATGATCAGTGTGCACCTGGCCGCTCATCGCCGCGAATTCCGTGCCTTGTCGGCAATTGGTGATCGAAAAGAGTACCGACCACCAACGCTTCGAACATAGTTCCTGCAAAGAGGAGAATATTAATGTCATGTGCGTTTCACGCGCCAGAACCATAACCCCACTCAACAACACACTGATGATTTGGTATGACAGACTTGGACTAAATGTGACGAGCGCTTGAGTATCATGTCACATCTGCCGTGTGTCCAAGCTCTTAGAAGTCAGGACCTTAAAACTGATTAATATCATCGCTGATAGATTGACATAAAGGCTATGCCACGACACACGGTTTCATTTGTCCTGTCTTGACTGTGGCGGTTTTAGGTGTTCTCCAACTTACCCAAATCCCAAGCTCTAGCAAGGAATCCTATAGTAGGCCTTTGCTGATCAAAATCGGATCAAAGTCATTTTTCACTTCGAGTTTGGTACGAGACAGCCCTAACGGGCATGCCTAGACCACTACCGTAGCAGCATCTCAAACTAATTACGTGCAGTTTGCTCGTTTCCCTCAAACCCCATAATCACCCAGGTTGCGTGATTTCAGAAGTGTGCTTTCCGGTTCTCCGGTATGCAATTGCCTCGCAACTAGAACGGGATTTTGCTTACATCTAAGAATTCTGAGATCCCTTTTTCGCTGCTCAGGTGTGTTTGATCGCATGCTTCAGTCGATGGCAAGCCAGAGAAGGTTAGTATATAGAACAATAAAACACCCACCTCCCCCAACTCCCGTGTCCCTAGCCTACCCTGGACTCCGGTTCATATCGGCCAAGAATTATGGCAGGTATCTTCGGAGATTAACGGCAGAGCATCCTAGGAATATCGACAAACGGCTCGCACCTTCCAGGGCTCGACCAGTAAGTGGATCTGCTCGGGGCCGTGGAATACCTGCACGTTCACATTGTGTTTGCTTCCAGGTTTACTTCCGGGTTCTAGATGAGGGGGGCGCTGATGAAGAGTGCAATCACATGTGTACAACTTGCTGTTGGGCTCTGCAACTGTTGGTACCGCTGTTTACGTAGCCTTGCGTAAGCTTGTAGGATGAGCTCCTCAAGTAGACTCGTGACCAGCGCGGCTCGGACTGGTCACGAGTCTACTCCTCAAGGGCAGTAGACACGTTCCTAGGTTGTATCTGCTATGTACAGACGGCCGCGCGCTAGCCGTGTATAGCGTATGCAAAGGCTTGAAGATAGGCGCGTTGGATATCATGCAAGTGTCCATATCATATAGGCGTTTTTCAAATTGAGGCTTGTTGCAACGTATGCAGAAAGTTATCGGGTACGGTTTGATAGAAGGTTACGATACCTAGTCGAGGGAGAACTGGAACTGTCACACAGATAAAAAAAATATGCCCAGGCAGCGACGTCGATGCCCTTAGTCTTCGCTGACAGAGGCAAATCCAGGGGTAGACTCAACGTGTAAGGAAATTTATCCAATGGTCCGGGGATGTCACGGATCTGCACGATGATTTACTTGGGTCCTGCGAGCGTGAGCTTGGAGCTTTTGGTTTGATCGAGCGTCAAGCCCGTCAGAGGCTCCGCATTCTCTCTAATCGCAGAGACTACCGTTGCTCAGAATCAGCAACAAGGACGCAAATCCTGCGCAGCACATACATGGACGCATCGGGGAATCGTATAGGTATCCTCTACAACTGTGCAGAGCTTTGCGTGCCAGAGTCTCCAGATGAAACAAAAATGTATTACTCGCGCAGCTTCGTTCAGCTTCGTTTTGAGGAAGCCGCTGCTCTTGAAAGTTTGATCATGACGGCACAAGGGTGCTCTTTCCATTAATCGAGAACAGAACGTCATCGATGTATAGGTTGGTAGATAACTCATCCTTGAGTTTTTTCATATGCGCCTTGAAAGAATTTAGCCAGGTATACGATTGCTTTGGGGAGTGAGTAGTTGGGAGTGGGATGTAAACCAATCGATCGCGCTACTCTCCAGCGTGGGACAACCATTTTCCGTGGGCCGGACGTTAAAGTTCAACTGCTTTATCCCTCAACCTAGCACTCTCCAGAACCGGTCACTAGCAGTTCCAAGGGACTAGCTTAGTCCATGTTGAAACCCAGTGATTCGTCTACTATTTCTCGGTCAATGGAGCCGTGTACTTCCATCTAGGACAGCAGTAGTGCGACCCACAACGAATACTGTGTGTCGAAGGTTAGTGACGGAGCCTTGTACTTCCATCTAGGCCAACAGTGTTACAATTCGCATCACATACTGCGTGTACACTAGGTCGAAGAACGATTGTATTCTTTCTGAAGGTTCTACTACGAGAGACCAACCGTCTGCACCCGATGTCACGCTGTTTCTGAGTAGGTATGGGGCTTCATGCTACTGCATTGCAGCTGACATTAATGATTCCGCTTGCAATATATAGCAATCGTAAAACGCATGAAAATGGCGGTCAAGGACTCTAGTTGTACCTCTTCACCAAACGAAATATCCCAAGTACGCTGACCGTTGTCTAGAATACCTTCAGGTCAGACACAAATACAGGGTAAAATTTAACATGCCCAGTAGCAGTTTTGCCGCATTCTTACGGCATCGCCTGACCCATAGCTCGAGAATGCACAACCCAGAGAACAGCTGCGAATGAGCACCGCCCGCCTCAGAATCCTCTACAGGATACAATGCGTACTGTTCGTTGTTGGATTCTGTAACTGCGGAAAACTCATAGTGAGCAACTCTGATGTTTCGACTGCGCTGGCCATTGCCTGCGGGGTGTCATTTGCTTCGAGGTAAGCAATTGGTGTATATGTTTCCTCGATATAAAAAAGACCTCAGGCGCACTCATCAACCAATTCCCAAGCCTAAGTCTAAATCATTGACCGTCATGTCACGTTACGCCCACGACCAGAATTACCCCAACGGCAGAAGTCGCCGCAGCGATCAGCAGCATGCGCATGGTCGAGGGGATGGGTACAACACACAACGTAGACAAGGCGAGCATGTCGCTCTTGGCCAGCAGAGCGCACCTATCCAAAATCGTGCGTCTATATATCTTCACTATGCGATGATTTTTGATTTTTTTCTCGTAGACTATCGCATGCAGTTGAACAATTTTCTGCAACATAGATTCAGATCTACACAAGACCTCCGGCTCGATAGCTCATCGATCGGTCCTGAGCGCGCACTATGGTGGACCGTGACCGTATACTGTCAGTTGTTTTCCAACTGCTTCTTGATACATACCTCATTTATCCTTAGTCCGAGACTGTAAATATGGCAGAGGCGAGGGGGCAACCAAAGCGTCTGCCACAGAAATTGCTTGTCAGATCGCTCTGCAAGCCCTCATGTAACCAGGAATTGGCCATTGAATTTCTATCGTTTGATTTGGCGTGTAAATGCTTTTACTGCTTTGTTTTCCTCTTATCCTCTTGATCACAAGACTGTTCTGGATTTGCTGATAATTTGCTTACATGATTTTGTTCCGGTTCTGTCGTTCGCGATTAGTATTTTCCTCTTCAGTGTAGTCCCCGTGGTCCCCTACTTGTGTTATGTTTCTTTGTAGTTATCGAGTCTATCAGAATTTCCAACGAATATCATGAGGGCGTGAATATCTGGCAGCAGTGAAACACGTGGCTGTGCTACTCCTCGGCTTCAAGTTGGGTGAGAAGAACCGTGGCCCGAGTCGCTTCCTGTTCCCGTACAAACTATGGCCATGCAACAACGTGTAATCGTTAAAGGCGTAAATGCGTATTCCACATGTCTGCTTTCCACCGCACAGGGAGCGCACGTCTGCCTGGTGCCATTTTCTGATCTTGTTACTGCACCCTGAGTATATATGACAGGCGTAATGCGCAAAAGTTTCAACAACAGATCCAATCGTAGTCACGAGGTTCCTGGTTAGGTCCACTAACGTCGTCACACCGGACGGGATCAACTGACTTATCACCGGCTCGTAAGTGCAGTCTAGAAGTCTGGTATGTTGCTCCAGTTTATGATTGACTACGCCCCACAGTATCATCCGAGCTTTTCCCGTACCCAGAGGGAATGCGCATCATTCATTCCGAGCTCGGTTGTAAAGCGCTTGGAACGATCCACTGCACAAGATACATGAGGGGCACATGTCACCTAGTCCCTCGCATCTTCTCACTGAGTCGATCGTCATTGCATGCAGCTCGCCCTATTTCATGCATCTTGGGAAATTTTGGTTTTCCGTTTATTATTTTCCTCAACGCCGTGATCATGAAAACATTATTCTCCTAGCTCCATCGGGTATCACCTCCGCTCAACACCGTCTCTCTTTTTCCAAAGTCTCATGAAGCGTAGGTTTCAGTGGTATAATAACTGCTAGTAAGTTCAGTTATGATCGTCAATTCAAACATTCGCAATGTCTCGAAGCAACCAGGCAAATGGTTTGTCACAGTCATTAGCAGTCCTCCACCTCAGCTGACGACGTTTGAAGACGCTACGAACGCACTTAACAATTGTTCGTGCGATTGCCTTGGTGATTTCAAAGACTTACTGTATATTTCAGATTTGCAGTCTATCGGGCAAAGCTCCGCTGTGAGCTGGATCGACATACGAGAGGGCGCCACCCACCAGTACGTATGGACTTCGACGTGTAGAAGCAAGTTTTTCTCGTCTTTGTATCCACTTATCAGACGTCTCTGATCCGCCATTTCAAGTTTCCGGGATTACCTATGGAGTCGGGTCAGGGACTCACAAACATCAGGCAAGAAATGTGGCAGCTAGTCACGCGCTGACTGCATTAAGGTCTGATCAAGGCTGAAGTACAAGACACCACCCCGGAGGCTAGCTCTCTCGAATGACAATGTGTTAGTAGACAAGCTCATATTGGATTATCTTCATTTGTTCGCATTTTTTCCATTTTTATTGCAAGTTGTGCATCCTTTCTACATTCATGCTCATGTATTTTCATCCATCATCATCCATCATACATACTTCTTCAATGGACGTTCCTGTACCTGCATTGTTTTAGATTATACACGTCACTCATCTTATCTAATCTGTCTTGTTAGAGCATAGGGTCTGTAAATAATTTTAATGTTGCCTCTTTTTCTCAAATATTTTGTCCATCCCAAGTTAGACGCCACTCACATAGTAAACCTCGACGCATGGATATCTCTGCCTTACCACACTGCACTTGCTGCTGACCTGGGTACTACACTGTTTCTCATCCAGACCATCACGGATGGCATGTTGCTTTGCAGTTTTTCATCCGCTTTGGACCCTGCTATGCTGGATACTCACTAAGACACCGGAAGCCTCTATGCTGATTCCGAGTCGATCACGGCGATGTTACTTAGCTCCTTCCGATCAATATCTGAATTCCTATGTCGTATCAAAGTGTTCGTCGAGATGGACTACAACGAAGGTATCATTCTGCACTGCGGCCCTTCCGTGTCTTGGATCGACGCCCACAACAATTAACCTTTCAACGTTCACAGTTTAGAGGCACTCTTCTTGCCAATGATTCCCTATCGACCCTGATCGACCTCCATCAGTTCCCAGATTCGTCACATGTCGGTGACTAGACTTGAGCCCCAAGTATGATCGATCTGCTGTCGGACTTATGGAGAGAGTGCCGACCATAAATCTCCGCTATATCTCTTCGGCCCTTGCGCGTGTGTCATATGGCCACGCGATTGCTAAGTTTTCTTATCTACATCTGCTCCGGGCCTCTCTCGAGCGCGCAGAGCCGCTGTAGCCAGGAATTGTTGTTGGTTGCACTGCACCACAGCATAATGCGGACCGCATCTGGGTCATTTCTTGGTTCCGCTACCTCGATATGGGTTAATAACCAGGCTATCCGTTTTAGCTGGCCTCCTACGCGTCGAGATCGGCATTCAAATTGGACCGGGGCGTTGCGGGTGTTTTTTTAGCTGTTATTGGTTCGACAGTGACGCATACCAGTCTTGGTGCCGCTCTGTCTTCCAGGAACTCTGCATTCTACGGTTGTTACAACAAATGAGCGTTCTCACAAAAAAAGTGACGTTTCACCCGGTCTTCAAGAGCACTCCCCTACGGCCTTTGAAATCAATTTCAGTTATGTTTATCCTGCGCAGTTTTTCTGATTGAACACGACGGGACTTTCTTCGTCGTGGCTACGGGAACCGCGGTCATTCGGTTTTCCTGATCAAATGCAGGCGATATCGGTATTCACTTTGACTGCCTCGCGGCATGTCGTTGGACCTGCAGATTTAAATATGCGTAAGTTGTGGTACAGGACAGACATTGAAGTACTCTTCACTCCGCCAGCTTTACAAGATTGTTATCTGTCGCCTGCACATAATGTCGCGTATGTTATCGCGTCTGGATCATCACTGAATAATGCTGACATTTCTCTAGGTTATACTATTGCCCTAAACAACCGCAAGTCCTAGCATTTGCTTTATTAAAGCAAGGAGACGCTAATTCTGACACTGTACAGACTATCAATCTCGCCGCAAACTTCACGCTGTCACCTGGGCTGAGGTTCAGTCTGGACCGTCGCATGCTCTCTCATGGACATTGACTTGCAAAGGCACGTGTCGTCCATCTCTCGAGATCGAAGAAATTTGTCTAAGACGTCATCATCCACAGTGGAGGGCGAAGTCGTTGGTACTGCGACTGCCAATCAGAAAAGTGTCGCCAAAGAGGAGGCGGCGCGGATTGCTTGTGAAAGATTGGGCATTAATTAATATTTCTGCTTGACGCTACATTGTACAAGTTCAACAGCTAGTTTCTATCCGCTACGTTACTATAAACATTCAACTGGGTTAACAACAGCATAAAGACTTAGTGTGTTCATTTATGAGAGGAGTATCACTAGACTTTCGACAACACACGTGTTGACCTCTTTGACCTCGAGGCAAACTCAGAGCCGCTGAGTTTGATTTGCTCTCCCAAAACGGAAAATGAGGTTGCTGTGTTTGTTTGCTACTTGCACACTTTACGCAAAGCCATCATCATGTTACGGCGGTTCACTCCATACATAGTCGCAGGTTTAGCAGGTATGAAGTAGAGTCACCCCAATCGCTGTCATTAATGTTATATCCGCTGTGAAACTAACCAGGCGTCGCTTCGGGGGTTTACATATTCAAACCTCTTTTCGAAGAAGCTGCTGCGAAGTGAGTTTGCCATGCATATTGTGGGATCCTATCGCAAACTAAAATTGCCATCATCAGCCGAAACCCACTCCCTCCTATGAACATGTCAACAGAATCACCCGAGGTGCTAGGGAAATCCCCTGCATCTTCGCCGTCGCCGCATTCTTCGGCAAAGTGACATTACACTGCGCTAGCACAATATGGAGTAACGTGCGGCAGGGTATGCGCCCCTAAAGGCGTGCCCACGCGCTCTCTGATCAACCAGACAGGTGTGCCAGTTATGGTCACCGCGGAGAATGGCGGCCGTATGATCACTTTGTGCCCAGGAAAGGGGCGTAGACAGCCATACATTTTCATGTGTTGTCTTGGACAATTAGTAACGCGTGAGCTTCGCTGAGCTGCATTGAGATGCGCTGGTGTATATCATGACATGTAAGATGTACGTTTGTATCTCCGGTCTTATTTGGGGCGGGGATCCCATCTAACATATGTAAGGACGGAACCCCGGTATCTCCTCAGCCTAATGTCTAACCAACGCTTCGGTATCACCGTCGATCAACATCCATTTTCATTGACGCGTTACCGTTAGCGTTCGCAGCACGCCTCTCCCATATCTAATTTGAACGCGTGAGATCATATAATCCATAATACAGGGATGGCGCACCTGCAGCACGGTCTCCCCAAGGAAGATCATCTCCTTGCGCGTTTCTTCAACGATGAGGTCTTGGATCTGGAACCATTTCTCGCCCTCGCCTCCCCCGCCAGCGGCACGGAGATGAACTTTCCAAATCGTGTTTTCCTTGTCGCGAGTAGTTCCGGCAACTGATTCGTGGGTTACATTGGCGATCAGATCATAGACGGTTGGCGGATGCGTTGGTGCTGCATCCAGATCTATAGCGCATAAATCGTATCATCAGTCATTGGTTACGCTAATGCGATTATCACGTGAGTACGACTCGAAGCGCTCACATTCACGGAAATCAACTCCTCTGAGTGGGAATGTGACGATCGTCGGATTTTTCTCCTCGACGAAGGCGTTTTTTGTAAATCGCTTGTAGTGTAAGATGATGTACTGTGGGAGGCGTTGACACTTGTATCTGCGTAACTGGCCAGCAGACTCCTACAAGCGCCCATGTATCCACAATAAATTAGTTCGGTTTAATAAAAAGAAGCCGAAAGCAGAGCTAAACTCGCCTGCGTAGTGACCCCATCATACTTGGCCAGTACAGAATGGATGCTAACTTGTGGAATGATGTTCTTCTCGATCGTATCTTGGAAAAGAGGTGGTGGGGGAAGATCAACCGCTAGAAAGAGAAACGGCGACACAGTAGCCTTGATGTCTGACATACATTATTATGAATAAGGGTCCAGGTGACCACGAAAGTCGATCCCACCTCTGTCAATATCAAACTGCGGCTTCTCAGAACCGGTAGAGTCCGGACGGACAACGACCTGCTGTGTCTCCACGCGGAGTTCTCCCTGAAACGTTGAAAATATAATACCTGCCCATTTCATGTATCAATTCGGAGGCCGAATAAGGGTAAATAGCAGGCCAGTCGGTCTGCACATGACGCACTCGATTTTTTCTTCTTAGTTCCACCCATGTCTTTGTGTAATCGGTTAAGTAACCAGCCGAGAAACTCGACAGGATCGCCTTGTTGCTCGAGTCGGAACTTACCCGCACTAGCGCGGTTGACCTCCTGGAGAAACTCGTGAGGGCTAACTTGACTTTTGAATAGCCGAGGGTTCCATATTTTCTTAGCAAGAGCGGCGAATCGCTTAACGAGTTCAGACTCCTTTCCGCGAAAGGAGGACAGAAGGAGGTAGTCCCGTAGAGGAGGGATGTGGAGGAGGGAATGTATGATAACATTCATGTGGTCGTTTCGCTTGATATTGTTTAAGCCAATATAACCAGAAAGATAAGGTTTTGACGAGAGGTCGTAGGAGGGTTTCAGAAGATGGGATGGCGAGGAGAGGGTGGATGTGGAGACCTTCGTGAAGGATGGATTAAGGACGAACGAGATGTCTTCGAGAGATGGGTCAGAGACAAGATAACCATCTGGAAGGACATACACCTATGTGACATGAGTCTATGCACCTGTGATTAGCTTTTAGCTCACTTTTGTTGTCTCGAGGTTGATAAAAACATGGTGGTCATCATGAATGGAGTGCGCATAGGCGTACGAATTACGACCTCGTCCTTGGAAGTACTTTCCACAGACTAGGCAACCGTATGTGTTGATATTTGACATAGATACGGAGCACACTTTCTCGAAGTCAAAGTCGAGCAATGCTCGATTGATCTAAAGGCCTTGTTAGCGAATACGTGCACAATGGGTTTCATTGAATGGCGCACTGTGTCAAGGTAAAGGTCTGACGCTCTAGGTTCATTTTTCGATTGCCCTGATTCAACCTCGTCTTCTAAACCTTCTTCCTCTTCCTCTTCTGTAAGTCGTGCTGCTCCAGTAATATCCTCCATGCCGTTTGACGGCTCCGCAGAAGATGTACTCGCCTGGCGTTCATCATCTACTTTTGCACGTTTCGCAGGACGCTCACCAAAGCTATGAGAGTCATTTGGGATAGCTTGTTTCCTGCTGGCCATTGGAATGGACGCGTCTGTGCAAAGTCTGCAGATGCTGACGCCTGACTGAATCCTACTTCCATTACATAATCACACAATTTCGACTTAACACTTCACGGTGAGCTGAGAGCCCGGGCCTACTTCAACTTTTCAAGGACTGCTAGGATGCTTCGAGGTACATCCGCTACTTTACGCAACCTTGCGCATAGTATTCGGCATGTTAGCCCCCCATTCTCCACGTCAGCAGTTGCGGCATCAACCCAGCCTAACGCAGCTCTAGAACTCGACCCAACGCTAAAGGCGCTTTTGCAAGATATAGATATATCCTTGACAAGCCATAAGCAGGTAATGGCAAAGAGACCCCCACGCGAGCTTGAACCTGTCGCGATTGAATACCCAGAGGAGGCCGAGGACGCGGAGGACTTCGTTGAAGGTCACTCTGAACGAAGCGAGCACCGCAAATCTCCTGCAGCGCTGTTTGGAAGCAAAAAAAATCGGTGCTGTTGTTATTCCCACTGAATTGCAAAAGGCAATCACTGCTCTGATAGATGGTTTGTCGGGTGAAACCAGTCTCTGCACATTCTAATCATTCAACAGCTTCTGACAAGGTACAGCTACATAGTGATGCGACGCGTCTCTTCTTTGATGAGAGTGAAGGATGGGATCACTCATACGACGTGAAATACCGCTCTCGTAAGCAAGGGGCGCGACACTCTGACCGTGACGGGACAGCGTTCGCGTCGGTCGTTCTCCCTGCACATTATTCTGCCATCTGTGCTGTGCTCCACCATGTTAAGCACAGATTAGGTCCACAATGGAATGCGCAGCGTGTCATAGACTGGGGCTCAGGTGCAGGCAGCGGATTATGGTGCGTTATAGATGTTTGTAAGTTGTAAATGCTAAAGAACGTCAGGGCATCGATGAATACTTTTCAGAAGCCCACTAGCGCTTCCGAGGAACCGCGCCTCTCCACATCCAACATCTTCACATACCTCGGTATTGACAAACGTGATGGACTTGTTACAATAGGCAAACGTCTACTGAGAGGTGACGTATACGTGCTGCATCTCGCTGCGCACTCACTAAATTAATGAAACAGATACAGACTTGGGCACCCTCAGCGCAACTTGGCAAAGGTCTTTCCGGGAAGATGATATAATTAAGCGAACGGAGGGGCATGATACTCTCGCCCTGTCTGCTTTCATGCTTTCAACTCTACCGACGCCTCTTGCGCGGAAGAAGTTCGTGAAAGAGTTGTGGGAAAGTGGAGCACATACCATCGTGAGCTTTTATTTTGTCCCTTCACTTTAGTCACTGTCTAATACTCCTGAATTATAATAGGTTCTGATCGATCACAAAACCAAAGCTGGGTTTCAGAACATTGCAGAAGCACGCGAATATCTCCTCGAGATGGGGCGTAAAGAACTCAACGACCCAGAAACTTCAGACTGGCCTGTTCGCGGTGCCCACGTTGTTGCTCCTGTGGGTATTGGACTCCTCAACCCTCCGATGAGTCATACTGATACTTGTCTTCTTGCAATAGTGCCCACACGATGGTTCTTGCCCTCTGTACTCTGGAAAATCCGTGAGCTTAGTGTGTGGCTTCTCACAACGTTTGCAACGTCCGTCCTTTGTTCGTCTCACAAAACATGTACGTGAGGGTCACGAAGATATCGAGTACTCTTATGTTGCAATTCAACGCGGGCCACGCCCAAGTACGGTGGGCGAAGGCATCTCCACGCAGGTGAGGAGTGTAGGACGTATTGGCGCTGTCGGTCGCGAGGAGGCAGAGCAGATCAGGCTAAAGGAAGGGAGGGTGACGAAGGAGCTTGTACTTGATGCAGATCATGTTGAGACGACGGATGAAGCTGAAACGACCGATCACATTCCTGCGGAAATTTTGCCAACTGAAAACTCAAAGGAGGTTGAAGCCGCACTGCGAAATGAGGCATTCTATTGGCCGCGCCTCGTCTTCCCACCTTTGAAGAAGAGCGGGCATATCATCATTGATGCATGCACTGCGGAATGTTTGTCGCCATTCATCATTTCTGGCCCCGAGACTGGTCTAACATATGATACAGGCAAAATTATGCGTCTCACTATCCCGAAATCCCAAGGTAAACAACCATTCTATGACGCGCGGAAATCGTCCTGGGGCGATATTTTCCCTCATCCACCAAAAAATCGCCCACAGGAGAGGTTCCAGTTTACGCGGGAAGGTGGATCAAGGGGGGATGATATTGGAAAGAGGGCAAAGGGACGGGACCGTCCGAAAGGCGAGAAGAGTTATTCAAAGGTAGAGGAGGCGTTGAAGGAGAGGAAGAGGGCTTCCAGACGCGATCGTGCAGTGCAGAAGGAAGACTTCGAATTGCTAGCCGAGCGATAGTGGAAATCTTTTTTTCTTGTTTGGATCTCTTGCATTTGTTCTGCTCGTCTCCACTCACACGTTACTACACTACTGAAGATGAATCTAATGTATCACCAGTATCATTGCTATCGAACTTAGTGTTACTCCAGCCACCAATCGGTCAGGAAACCCGGTGAGTTTGCACCTGAGTGCTAGTGGTCTATTTCCTCCTGTCAACCAGCTACCATCATCACGCTGTCAGTCAGTCAATATTATCGATCCGCGTATATCTCGGAGAGTGCTACACACGCCGCCTCAACGTGTTATGTGATCGTACCATGGGACAATTAATACGTGAACCGTCTAACCTATCTCTCTACCCTTCCTACAAGGGGCCCAAAAATGTAGGATGGTGGTGGATTCACTTCATGAAACATCTACCATAGAACGTGAATGCACTTCTGAATGGTTAGTGACAATGAAAAGGTGATCTGCGCAAGGATGCACAAGTAGCACATTGCTCTCAAGCAGGATATTTGAAATCGGAACTTTCATTGTGTAGTAGTCTAGTACCCGATCAACACTGCTCTATCAAATGTCCGATATCTGGATGCTGGGCGCCTGCGTCGAGCTTAACATCACACGTGTGATGGCATTGACTAGTAGTCGCTCAGTCAGCACCGGAAAAGGTCAAAGTAACAGAGAAACTCACCGGGCTTGACGCTCTTGCTCTTTCCCTTCTCCTCGGTATCTTTCTGGTTCCCGGTCACCCGTTTGACGGCGGTCACGAATTGCTTGACGTTTTTAACTACGTCTTCTATCGGGAAGTGGAGCTGTCGGTAAATAAATGTATTTAGACATAACAGATCGCGGCCAGCGGACGCGGGCTTAGCAAAAACACTGACCTTGCCAATGGGCACCCGAATGACGCCATTCTTGTCGCCTTTCCATTCTGTAGTGCCAGAAAGTCGCCGCAAGTAGCCGGCAAAATCATCCGTAACCGTCCCTCGACGCTCAGAAGGCATCAAACCACGCGGGCCGAGGACACGTCCGAGTTTTGGGGTGATGGCCCGGATGAGGGCTGTGGAGCATAGAATGGTGGTTGCATGGTGTTTGCCGCTGATTATACCATCTGCTAGCTCAATTCCACCGACGATGTGTGCACCTGCGCTCTTTGCCTCGTCTGCCTGACGGCCCTCGGCAAATACAAGGATGCGGTCTTCGGGCCGAGCTTTGGTTTCACGATGGAGAGCAATACGGCCCTTTGGAATAATGGATCCGCGGGACATTGCAGTCTTGATTACCAGCTCGTATGTAGCATTTGCTTTAGCAACTTCAACCGCCTACCGAGATTTTTGGTTAATCAGTTGTAATAAGACCCGGGGGACATACACGGATCACGTCAATAGCACTTTCAAGAGTCATTTTCTCATTCTCATATATGTGCTTGCGAGCCTTTGCTGCGCGCTTTCTTGCCTTCGCTGCAAGGGCTTTCTTGGAGAGCACCGGAATCTTTTTCGTTCGCCGTAGGGCTAAGATGGGTGTTGAAGAAAACTCTCGAACGAGTGCTGGGCGCTGCACAAATTCAGATCAGAACATTTCAGACGAGTAGACACTTACTGGACTAAGAATTGAATGACAACATTGCCGACAGAGCAGCCCAAGGGAAAAGGACATGTTCTGTTCAATCAGCAATTCACGGTCTCTTGAGAATTTCAAGTAAAGCAGCCGTGGGAAAATGAATAAAGTAATGAAATTTGTTGGCCTCACCGTTCACTTCACTGTTGCGCATTGCAGGTTATGTTAGTCTCATTTTTGAAGTCGAACGGCAAGCCGTTCCAATTACGGGGACTGGTTGCGCGGCTTTATTCAACCCGCAAGAGCGAGGTGTCTTCTTCTGACCCACAAAAAGACACCATCCGCCGTTACTTGTACCCTCCGAACATCCGCAACAAAGCCTCTCCTACTGGTACATGGCGCCCAGACGTCGCACGCGCTCTCCAGCGCGCAATACCTTCTGTGCAAGCGCACGAGACTATCGAGCGCGCTTGGCTCCTCCATCAGAGACACCTACGCAAGAAACGGGATGCGGAGCTGCAGCGCAAATTTAATTGCATGAGACAGGCAATGCAGGAACTGGAGGAGATTGACTCGAGGTTGTTTAGGGAAGCAAACAAGCAAGAGGATCCAAGAGCGAGGAGTTTGGCTGAGGTGGAGGCTATGAAGAGTATGTCTGAACCGGAGAAGCGAGCTGTCGAGTCCAGGGTGAGGGGTTTGTTTCCTAGAGAACTCCGCATACCAACAGATACACCGCCGAAGAATGGCTGGCCTAATGAATGGAGGGCATTCCAGAGGCCCTTGGCATGAGTATGTCATCGCTTTTGGTGTAGACAAATATTAATTGCATCATCTCGCAGGCACAGTCACAGGGCGCTTCCATCGTTATCAGGAGGTGCATACGTAGAGTATGTAATCGGACTCTTGTTTGTTGAGGCCTTACGATGTGCCATATACTGGCCGGCTACGAGTTTCCACAATTCTGTCTATGGGAGCTTGTTATGAATTTAGTGGGTCTCGACCAATCATGACGCATTTATCGCATATGGCGCGTTGTCAGACATGCCGAGACTTGTCTTGAGGAAGCAACTAACGTCCTTGACGTTGAAGGGAAAGCTCTTTGCTCACCCCCACTCTTATGTGAAGGTAGCGTCGGTAATCATATGGGCTTGGTGATGTGCTGCTACTTCACTCACTTAAATTTGAAACTTGCTAGTGACATACCTGCCAGATTTATCCAAAATCTGTGTGCGTGTCTCGTGTGGCGAGTCCTGCCTTTTTAGTGGAAACACTACCCTGTGTGCGAGCTGATTCCGTTGTGCACTCATTACCATCCGAGCATGATTCACGTCTTAATCGTGAAATTGCTGGATCCTACAGGTCCTGAGGTAACTTGCGCTCAGAGTGTTATCAGGCATTACTGCCCAAATGTTGTCGCGTCTCACTAGCCCCTCGGCAGTGAGAGCAGACTCGAGGTTGTCCTCCCTTAACAAGGCGGCTGGTTCATGAAACTATGCGCCTCACTTGCTGAGCATCGAATCTATTTGAGCGTCTCCGCGTCTTTTTCTGTCCTTTATGGCCAACCTACCGTGACCCCATTATCCAAGATTCTGATGAGAATTAATATAACACTGTCTGAATGTGAATATGACTTTGAGCCAACAAGTCTTGAATCTGTCTTCCAGTCACATTTGCTCACGTACAATATTAATGCTGTGCGTTTTCAACACTCCTTAATTAGATAGCACTAAGGGGAGAACTTGTGACTTTGCGTGTAGCGCGCCACCTCCACGCGAAGCTGCACACGTCCATCACTTCGTCGTTTATTGCATTCTTTTCATAACTTAACCTCACGATGGATGATGATGATGCCGATTATATGCAGGGCAGTGATGATGAGGTCGCACTCCCTTCAAGATCAGCCCCTTGGACGTTATGCTGACCCCGAGCTATTTTACAGGATTACGGCTTCGACTACTCTGATGGAGACGAGGCCAACGAATCTGGAAGTGCTGATGTAGAGAATATGTACTATACTGCAAAATGTGGGTAATCCAGTGTACAGCAGAAGTTATTGATGCATCTCTTCTTCCAGCAAAGAAAGAAGATACTCCAGAGGAAGCACTAAAAGATTTTCGCGCTATAGTGGACCAGGAAACAGAGAAAGGAGACTGGTATAGTTTCTCTGACCGTTAATCAAACTGTATGCTAACGGATACCTCCCAGGGGCTTCAAGGCCCTGAAGCAATCTACTAAACTCCTCTTCCTACAACTACACCGACCAGCAGATGCTTTGAAGACCTACATACAACTCCTCACATATACCAAGTCTGCAGTCACACGGAATTACTCCGAGAAGACCATCAATGGCATCCTTGATTATGTCGGTGGTGGCAAGAGTGGCCCCGTCGAGGTGGATGTGCTAGAAAAGTTTTACCAGGTGACCAAAGATGCGCTTGAGGAGGCGAAGAATGACGTGAGTACTGTGATGGTGCAATACGCTCTTTGAGATATTGATATCCCCTCTAGCGTCTGTCTGTCAAGACGAACTTGAAATTGGCGAAGCTTTGGCTAGATCGAAAAGAGTATGGGCGTTTGACGAAGGTACCTATCATTTATCTTCGTATATATGACCTCAACAGTCTCTATCGACTAGCTCATCCGCGACTTGCACGCCACGACCAAGGCTGCCATGGATAGCGAAGACCAGTCGCAACGGGGAACACAGCTCCTCGAGATCTATGCACTCGAGATTCAAATGCACAATGAGATGCGTAATGTCAAGAAACTCAAGGTACAGCCTTGTATCCCACTCAGTTGTTCAGACCTAATCAAGTTGCCGAACATAGGAAATATACAATGCATCCAATAGTGTGCGCTCTGCAATTCCACATCCACGGATCATGGGTGTTATCAAGGAGTGCGGAGGCAAGATGTGGATGGGAGAAAGTGACTCTTGTTCATCTCCCGATCCTCACTCATGTCTAACGCTATCGTACAGGACAGTGGAATCGTGCATCGGAAGACTTTTTCGAGTCCTTCCGCAACTACGACGAAGCCGGCTCTCCGCAACGCATCCAGGTCCTCAAGTACCTTGTCCTCGCGAACATGCTCACTGGATCTGAGGTCAACCCATTCGACTCCCAGGAGACAAAGCCGTACAAGAACGACTCACAGATTAAAGCAATGACTGACCTTGTAGACGCCTATCAACGCAGAGAAGTTCATCTGGCTGAGAAGATCTTACGAGGTAAGGCCTTTCATGTATCCAATGCACTGTGCTCAACGTGGCGGCAGATAATCGGTCAACGATCATGGATGACCTATTTATTAGATCCTATATCGGTGAACTTCTGCGCAGTCTGCGCACGTCCTACTTGATTGACCTCATCAAGCCCTATACGAGATTGGAGCTTTCGTTCCTTGCCAAAGTGATTTTCGATCCTTTTGTAACTATCTTTGATGCTAACAGTCGTCTAGCAACTTAATGTCGAAATTGCTGAGGTCGAGGAGCTCCTTATTGGGCTTATTCTCGAGGGAAAGGTTGATGGTCGAATCGACCAGGTCGGCATGCGCCTGGAACTCGACCAAAGGTAAGCAAATCGCTGTCGTTTTCCTTTTACACACCCCATACTGATTCAATCACAGCCACGCACTGGAGAAGAAGCGTTATGCCGCACTTGAGAGGTGGACAGAAGCCCTGGAGGGCTTGCACTCCACTGTGGCAGCGAAGACAGCTGCTGGAGCAAGAGGAGATCCGATGATGGGCATGCCGCCTGAGCGGTTCACTCCTGACTTTGGGGGTGCGACGACGACAGGGTTCTAATTAATACCTCGTGGAAGTCCTCTCCTGACGCTTTGCCTTATGATTGCACTCTCGATGTTTCCCGAAGCTTTTCATAAGTTAGACTGTGTTTAAGACTGACACAGCTTGACGCTGCAGTTGTGTGGCATTGCCCCTTCAAACCAAATCACTGACAAACAATCTCACAAGGTCGACACCAGTCCCCATTAAAAAGTGCAGCATAAAAATCGACTTCGGTTTTGTTCACATGCGGACAGCAGAACTCTACCAGCGGGGGACGACAGCAAATTGAGATCTTGCCATCAGGCAATTCACGAACTACTGTTTGTGGATGCCAGTGAAGTCTAGTACACACACCATAATAACTTTTGTTTGGCGCAGGGCCAGCGTGTCATATCGACCATTCATTGCATTTTAAAGGATCGAGCTTCAAGGATCAGTCACGAGAACCTTGGCTGATATTGTAGAAACCATTTCAGCATTGCAAGACGGTATAACATAGATATACTGAGATGATGGTGTGATAACTACAAGAACAACGTTATTAGCAGCGACGTAAAGCATGTTCGAGTGATAAGAAGCAAGCATATGTTACATTTGTGGATGTGGTGATATACAAGTTGACAGGGAGTCGATAAATGACGGATGAAGATTTGAACTGGGCGTAATGTGAAACGTAGCGCACTGGTTGTTGAATGCGAGATTCCTCACCACGAATAATAAAACGACCTTCGACGTGACGTGGGTCAGGAGAGACGAATAAAAGAACGCTGGATAACGTACGATAATAAGTGTCGTCAGTTTTCCGACGCCTGACACGAAGTACACCGCCTGCCTCTGGGACCTCGACCGCCTCTAGAACATTTTCCTTTTGCTTGTCATTACCAGGCTACGCTTGAAGGGTAAGTAAGGCTACAAGAGGGTGTGAAGAGACAACGTACTCGAGCGTCGGATTCGAGGATATCCTCGCATTCGATGTTGTGGTTTCTGAGTGGGTCGTCGACATGCTTCACAATGAATGTGTTCAGAAATAGCATTGTACCGAGGGTCGCATGGCTCACCAACAAAGCGTCATTCTCCTCAGTGATGTGCTGAAAAGAAGGGTCAATAGTAGCGCTAAAAAGACGTTCTCAAGGACTCACCATTAAATTTTCACGCTGGCTCAGGCCCACCCGAGGGTACGGGTGGTAGCGAAGCATGTGAGAGGATCTATACGAAGGCAATCTCATTTTGACGGTCGGAAATTATTTCGAACAAGCGAAAGCGAGGGGAAAGGGATGTGGTTTGCGCTAGGTCCAGGCATTGGGATTTTAATACCAGCAGAGGGTCGGGGACGTAAAATAAAATAAAATTGAGAGGCGGGTACTAACACCTCAAATTTGCGATGCTGAGTTAGTGCTAAAATAAGTGACGGGCGCTTGTTCCCGCTTGGCTTGCGCACACCCAAATGTCGAATTTTGCTTCAGCGGAACCTATTCTCAAGGTATCATCATTCGACGACTAGATCCAAAATCCACCGTCAATAGCGCGAAACAAGGGGCACGGGACTGGGTGTAAGAAAGATAGCATATCTGTAAGTGGCGCCTTTGCCAGTTTGACACGCGTGGTCCTTAATGTTGGTATAGACTTTGCTTCCGCTGGACCAATTTTCCAAGAATGATCATGGTCGAGGAGGACAACTATCCAGAGCCAGCCATTGATAGCACGAGACGCGATGCACGGGAACCGCAAAATGTGTTACTAGGTCGTCCCATCACATCGACGGACCGGAGTTGTAGGACCTGGACGTGCAGCGTCGACATGCCATCAACCTCGGTGGCCTATGCAGCCTCTTGGATTCTGCGCGACATCACAAGAATGCTGCACAGCCAGACGCCCAGATGATCCCAGGCTGAAAAATAATAGTCAATAAGTATACAATATTTGGGTGCATGAACTTTGGCTCTCGGTGTGTTGATACACGATATATGGCAATATACTGATAGAAAACATTCTCTGCAATTCGCTGGAAACCACCCTGAGCCCTCGTCGGACATGCCGCACTGTGCTTTGAGCCAAGGATAACGTGATATAGGAGTGTGACGCACAGTGACCCAAAAAGGGGCGTCACGCTAGTTCGCGTGCACGAACCACCTGAAGGCAAGTTCGCAACCGCCATCAAAAATCATGAAAGTGACTTAGCAGTCACCAGTGTGCCCTCAAGATTCATCATAGCAGCATTCGTGTGAGTCAAGATTGTCACTATGGCTGCATCAAGATCGCTCTCCAAGTCACCAATGGCGCAACTGCCTACATCAACGGAGGCAATTACATGAATGATAGCAATGACTGCCACTCCAGTAGTGATATGCCCCAGAGCTCAGCAACAAAACATGGTGGTTGGAGTGAACAAGACACTCACCGTTGACTATGATCTGGCTCGACACCCTAATGCACCGTAAGCTACTCAACCTTTCCACATATCCAGGGGAAATGTTAAATATGCAGTCCGATGATTGTAACATGAAAAGAAATGACACCAGTGATCGATATGCAGAAACCATGAAGACCCCCCCAGCTGCATTGCTGACCGAGAAACAGCAAATTTCCTGTCACAACGTCCAGTCTTTGTCCTTTGCCAACAGTTGGCGATGTTTAGCTGTGACCATCTAACTTGACGTTCGACCAAGTATTGCATCCCCTCGAGAAGCGATGCTTCAGGTAATTCCAGGTCTCTGTTTTGCGAGAAGTACTCAGGTACATGGGTGTGTAAGGGGGCCATCGAAGTCGCTCGTGTCATTCGTCAAGATCAGCAATTTAATTGCAAGCTGCCGTTCTACTGTGCACTGGAGTGGTTTGAAACTAAGCTGAATTTTATTTTGCAGGACGGGTGTGGCTCGGGTGGGCGCCAGGTTTGCGTTGGGTGAACTTCGGTCCAATCTTTGTAGGTCCAATACCTGAAATTGAAGTGGGGGATTCCACAACTCCGCTCGCCACTGTTCAATTTTCAGGTTTTAGCTTTCTCAAATCCAGAACAGCTCGTTGAACACGATTATCGGGGTCTAAAAATTCCATTTATTTTCTCCCCGAGAATAATATTGTCAATCGCATGTAGCCGGCCACCTGGCACCATCGTGTATTCAGCTACGCCAGTTCAAATAAATTGAAAAGACTCGCACGGCATTTAAACGTCAGGACAGCCCACCTTGCGGACTTTCTGGCACCTCCTTCACCTGGTCCTTGATTAGTATCGAGCGATTTTTTGGATGTTTCTAACTCGAACAAGTCAGTACTCTATTCTATGCGACAACTTTTGACTGATTTTACTGTAGGCTGCAGTCACCAAATGTTGAAACGATCCCTCGGGGCGGCTTGTTTTTGACATTGTGGGTTGCGAATGAGTATTTGAGTAGGGGTCGGGCTGGTCGAGCTGCCAGAACTTCCAACGCATGCAACCGCAGGAGTATAATCTTTCAGGTCTCTCTGTCATCGTACCAAGAAAGCAAAAGCCCCACAGAGCGGCTGGCTACTAGTTCGGGTAGGTGAACACGAAGTATGAACTGATGAAGGTGCGCGCATTGCTTGTTAAATTGTTCTCGAAATCCAAGTCACTCAGCCTTCCAGAGTAGGCAAGGTTCTAACACAATAATCTTTTGGACGATTGAACTACTGTGGACGCGTAGGATTGACGTCCTATATGTGCGTCCATGCGAGGGAGCTAAAGGCAAGACTTATTACGTCTACAATATATGCCGGCGTTTGCGTCCACCACGTCACGCTTTGTTGTTGCGTTCTGTCTCCTCTTTCCGTCCACCGCGACACGCTGTGTTACTGCGTGTTCGTTCTGTCTCCTTTTTACGGCTCTTTCCTCGAGGCCTCACTACTATGGCGACCTCTGCTTCATTTCACGACGTTGTTGGTCTTCAAAACGGAAGTACTCCAGAAATTGGAGATATTCGCGTAAATGTGTTCACATTTCGTGCCAACACGTCTTCTGCTGAAGATGGAATCTACCGGAATGCCATTCGGAGGAATTGCATTCGCAGGATTGGGAGATTTTCGGCAGGCAGGTCCTATTGTCAGCGGAGCAGGAGAAACAGCAACTTTGGCAGTATCAGTGAAATAATCGACGCTATGGCCAGACATGTGGATTTTGAATCCCAACACCGCAATTCGCAGCATGGGTGACCCGGATCGCATTGGAAAAGACTGCTCCAGAAATCGACAGAATCTCGCACTCATAGCAGTGACTACAAACTTCAACAATACCATTAACTTCCTCTTCCCACCACATATTCTCAAAAACGCTAAAACCCGTCTTCAAACCATCTATGTCGATGAATTCAACCACAAATTTCTGGACAAATTTCCGGGCGATTTTCGTAAGTATCGCGAACAGACATCGAGCACACACTCCACTCACAAGACAACATAGAATCTTATTCGAGTTCAGACAGCCTGAAAGAAGCCGAGCACACTCCATTGAATGCACCAGAACACACCCGACTACCTTGCAATGTTGACTCATCTTGGAGTACCCCCTCATCGCCTGGATCTCAAACAGAATTCTATTTGCGCCATTCAACGAAACCTCTCTGTAGAAAGGGATTGGTCAGAAACACGCGCGTCGCGTAGTTGCTCTGCATCGACGTTGAAGTCCAACTCATCAATACTTTTGAAAGCCACTGTATCCCCCGCATCAACTTTGCCTTCCATCCAAATTGTTCTTCATGGACGGTAAATCGAAGACAGTTTCCTTTTGCGACCCGTGTATGCAACTACAATTAATGGTCGTCAAGGTTTGACGCTAGCACGAACCGTGCTCGACCTTCGAACGTATACCTTTACTCAAGGTCAACTGTAAACAGCGTCGTCGAGGGTGAGAACGCGAAGTGTCTATTTGTAGAGGCGAACGAAGTACAAGACTGTGTTAATTGTATTTCCTGAGTTGCTACATAGTGTAGATACAGTATATCGTCGAAGAGCCGACCGAAGGGGTGTCCTTGTTTAATTATGTGCTAAATTTCGACTGACACTTAATTGCATTCGCAGCTATGCACGAGTCTTACTGTACTTCACAGTTATTTTCAAGTCCAATCCCGAAGGGTTGCAAGGTCCACTCATGGGTTTCACACAACTACAGGAGACCACTGTGATTGCTGCCTGCGACGCTTTCAAAACATCGAGTGTCGAATGCCTTCTGGTTCCTCGTTGGTCTAGCTGATCAGTGAACAGCTCCCTTGGTCTCCCCAGTAGCAAGTACATCCTGCACCCTTGCTTTGATGGCCGTTAGTTATTGAGGTGGATCAAACTTGAATGATCACATGCGCTAGTAATCTTTCTTGTGATGTTGGTATACATTTCCGAATCCGGGGGCTTGATGCATACCACTAAACGGGGATGATTCTTACTCTGCTGCAAGACGCGATACCTAATTTCCACGATCAACGTATCCACTGCAAGAGAGATTCATCAGACTATCTTGAAATGCATCGTCTCAGGTCGCCACTTTCTTCGACGCCATGGTCATGTTTGGATGTAGCAAATAATCGACGAAGTAACCACGCCATTCCGAGCTGACTGTGGAATTGCCAAAGGTCAATACGGTCGATTTTCATGAATTTCGCTGATGTACGCGGTTGCTCGCACAGATATAAGGACCATACCTCAAGATCTCTACATCTGTATACTCGGATTTCATTCAGCGGCCCATTTCTATGGTACTCTGAGGATAGCGAGATTTTGACGATCCATTGCTCATAATCGCTTCAATGCAACCGCGTGTGCGGTCATGATGCAGCGTATAGCATCGGGGCAGCCTTGATGCCGCCACGGTGTACCCGAGTTCCACTGCAGGGACATTCTCGTGCATCTTCTACTTAAGCATGGATAGAGTTATTCTACTCTGATCCCCAAGCTTAAGACCTGGAACCTCTGCAGGACTTCTCCGAGCACATCGCCCATATCCGGCATCTACACTTCTCTCAGTGGCAAATATTTTGTTTCATGAAGTGCATTGTGATTAGTTTCGTTGCTGGAGCTTCTTGGGCTGATATGGAGCAGTAGACTGGAAGCAATCTTGTATCATCTTGAATGTCGAGGTAGGCATATGAAGGATCCGCACCGACTTCGTCATTGACAAACTCATACTAGATGTCGTCATGCATAATAAATTATAGTTGATGCTATTCTGGTACATGTGCGGGGCTTCACTATATAAAGTGTCGCGTGTTTCCAATCGCTGAAACATCAAGCTCAAGCATCATCTAACAGGTTCAGCGTCTATGGCCTTCTCTTGGCAAGATCAACTGACAGAGTCAATAATATCGATATTTAGGCGAGGGTGGACTGCATCAAAGAGAAGCCAGCATGTCATCGACCATTCATTGCATTTTGAAGGATCAAGCTTGAAGGATCAGTCACTGGAACCTTGGCTGATATTGTAGAAACCTTTTCAGCATTGCAAGACAGTATAACACAGATATATTGAGATGATAGCGTAATAACTACAAGGACGACAGTATTAGCAGCGACGTAAAGCATGTTCGAGTGGTAAGCAAGTGTATGTTACATTTATACAAGTGGTGATATACAAGTTGACAGAGTTGACAAATGACGGTGAAGATGTGAACCGGGAAAGATGTGAAACGTGGCGCGACTACTGGGCGTTGAAAGCGAGATTCCTTACTACGAATAACAAAACGACCTTCAACGTGACGTGGTCAGGAGACACGAACAAAAGAATGCTAGCCAACGTACGATGATAAATGTCGTCAGTTTCCGACGCCTGACGCGAAATCCAGCGCCTGCTTCTAAAAGATTCGGGGGATTTTCCTCTTGCTCGTCATTACCAGGCTGCGCTTGAAGAATAAGTAAGGCTACAAGAGGGTGTGAAGAGACAACGTACGAGAGCGTCGGGTTCGAGGGTATCCTCGTATTCGATGTTGTGGTTGTCGATCTGCTTCATAATGAATATGTTCAAAAATAGCATTGTACCGAGGGTCGCTGCACGGCTCACCAACAAAGCGTTGTCCTCAGTAGTGTGCTGGAAAGAAGGGTCAATAATAGTGCTAAAAGGACGTTCTCAAGGACTCACCATTGAAATTTTACGCTGGCCCATCCGAGGGTACGGGTGGTAACGATGCATGTAGGATGATCTATACGAGGGTAATCTCATTCCGATGGTCAAAATTATTTTGAAGGGAAAGTGAGGAGAAAGGGACGTAGTTTGCACTAGGTCCAGGCATTGGACATTTAAATACTAGCGGAGGGTTGGGGACGTAAAATAAACGGGCACTAGCACCCCAAATTCGCAATGCCGAGTTAGTGCCAAAATCAGAGGTGGGCGCCTGTCCCTGCATGGCTTGCACACACCCACATATTGAATCCCGCCCTAGCGGAACCAATTTTCAAGGTATCGTCATTGGACAATGGCTGGACCCAAAATTCACCGTCAATAGCGCGAAAAAGAGGCACCAAACTGGATGTAGAAAAGATAGTATATCTGTAAGTGGCGCCTTCACCAGTTTGACACTCGTGAGTCCTCAATGTTGGTACAGAATTTGCTTCCGCTGGATCAGTTTCCCAGGCATGATCATGGTCGAGGACGACGAGCACCCAGAGCCAGCCATTGATAGTGCAAAACACAAGGCACAGGAACCGCGAAATAGGTTACTAGGTCGTCCCATCACATCGACGGACCGCCATTGTAGGACCTGGACGTGCGACCTGGACATGCCATCAACCTCGGTGGCCTATGCAGCCTCTTGGACTCTGCACGACATCACAAGAATGCTGCACAGCCAGACGCCTCAGATGATCCCAGACTGAAAAATGACAGTCAATATACGATATTTGGGTCCTTGTCATGAAGAGCTCTTGGTGTGTTGATACACAATATATAACAATATGCTGATAGAAAACATTCTCTGCGATTCACTGGAAACTACCCTGAGCCCCCTCTCGAGAAAATCGCCCATGGCCGCACTGCATTGAGCCAAGGATAGCGTGATACAGGAGTGTGACGCACAGCGTGACCCGAAAAGGGGTGTCACGCTATTTGCGTGCACGAGCCACCTCAAGGCAAGTTCGCAACCGCCATCAAAAATCATGAAAGCGACTTAGCAGTGTGCCCTCAAGATTCGTCATAGCAGCATTCGTGTGAGTCAAGATCATCACTATGGCTGCATCAAGATCGCTCTCCAAGTCTCTGATGGTGCAACCGCCTTCGTCGACATCAACGGTGGCAATTACATGAACGACAGCAATGATTGCCACTCCAGTAGTGATATGCCCCAGAGCCCAACAACAAAACATGGTTGGAGTGAACAAGACACTCACCATTAACAATGATCTGGCTCGGCGCCCTGATGCATCGTAAGCTGCTCAACTTTTCCACGTATCCAGCGGGAAAGAATATCCAGTCCGATGATTTAACATGAGAAGAAATGCCATCGGTGATCGAGAAACCATGAAGACCCCCAGTTCCATTGCTGACCGACAAACAGCAAATTTCCACCGTCGTAACGTCCAGTCCTTGTCAATTGTCAATGCAGTTGGCAATGTTTAGGCCATCTAACTTGACGTTCGACCAAGTATTGCGTCCCCTTGTGAACCGATGTTTCAGGTGACTCCGCGTCTCCGTTTTGCGAGAGGTACATGGGTGCGTAAGTTGGCCGTCGAAGCCGCTTGTGTCATTTGTCAAGATCAGCAACTCAATTGCAAGCTGCTGTTCTGAGGTGCGCTGGGGTGGTTTGAAGCTAAGCCGAATTTTATTTTGCAGGACGGGTGTCACAGGCTCGGGTGGGCGCCATGTTTGCGTTGGGTGAACTTCGGTCCAATCTAGGTCCAATACTAAGTACCCTGAAATTGAAGTGGGGGATTCCACAACTCCGCTCGCCACCCACTAGTTTAATTTGCAGTTTTTAGCTTTCTCAAATCCACTCCTTCGAACAGCCTAATTATCGGGGTCTCAAAATTCCATTCATTTTCTCCCCTCGAAAGTCGCTAACAAGCGAGAACAATATTGTTAATCAAAAGTTCTCGTCCGTAACGCTGTTATTGCATGTAGCAGGCCACCATCATGCCTCCAGCTGAGCGCCAGTTCAAAAGACCAAAATCTGCCCGCACGGCATTTAAACGTCAGGACCCACCTTGCGGATTTTTGGATGTTTCTAACTTGGACAAGTTAGTCCTCTATCCTATGCGATAACTTTTGACTGATCGTACCACTCTCAATTTGATTGTAGGCTACAGTAATAATGCAAATGTTGAAACGATCACTCGGGGCGGCTGACTTTTTGGCATTGTGGGTTGCGAATGAGTATTTGAGTAGGGTCGAACCGGTTGAGCTGCCAGAACTTCCAATGCATGCGACTGCAGGAATATAATCTTCTAGGTCTCTGTCATCATACCAAGAAAGCACACAGAGCGGCTGGCTACTAATTCGGATAGGTGAACACGAAGTATGAACTGATGATTCAAGGTGTGTGTGTTGATTGTTAAATTGTTCTTGAAATCCAAGTTGCTCAGCCTTCCGAAGCAGAGAAGGTTCTAACACAATATACCGTTTGGATGATTGAACTACTGTGGACGCGTAGTCTCGAAGTCCTATATGTGCACCCATGCGGGCGGACCAAAGGTAAGACTTATTACGTTTAATGACATGCTGGATTTCGACTGACACCTAGCTGCATTCGCAGCTATGTACGAGTCTTACTGCGTGTAACGCTTCAAGTCCAATCCCGAACGGTCGCAAGGTCAACCAACTCATGGGTTTTACACAACTACAGGAGAGCCCCAATAAGCACTGTGGTTGCTACCTATGACGTACTTGTTCGAGGACGCGTTCAAAACCTCGAGCGTCGAATGCCTTCTGGTTCCTCGTTGGCCTAGCTGACCAGTGAACAGCTCACTTGGTCTCCCCGGTAGCAAGTGCTTCCTGCATCCTTGCTTTGATGGCCGTTAATTATTGAAGCGGATCAAATGATTACATGCGCTAGTAAATTTTCTTGTGATGTTGGTATACATTTCCGGGGGCTTGATACATGCCACTGGACGGGGATAATTCTTACTCTGCTGCAAGACGCGATACCCAATTTCCATGATCAACGTATCCACTGCAAGAGAGATTCATCTGACTATCTTGAAATGCATCATCTCAGGTCGCCACTTTCTTCGACACCATTGTCATATTTGGATGTAGCAAACAATCAACGAAGCAACCACGCCATTCCGAGCTGACTGTGGAATTGTCAAAGGTCAATATGATCGATTTTTATGAACTTCGCTGATGTATGCGGTTACTCGCACAGATATAAGAACCACACCTCAAGGTCTCTACATCTGCACACTCGGATTTCATTAGCGGCCCATTTCTATGGTACTGAGGATAGCGAGATTTTGACGAACCATTGCTCATGATCGCTTCAGTGCAACCATGCGTGCGGCCATGATGCAGCGTATAGCATCGGGACAGCCTTGATGCCGCCACGGTGTACCCGAGTTCCACTACAGGGATATTCTCCTACTCAAGCACCGACCGAGTTATTCTACTCTGATCCCCAGGCTTAAGACCTGGAACCTCTACAGGACCTCTCCGAGCACATCGCCCATATCCGACATCTACACTTCTCAGTAGCAAATAATATATTGCTTCGTGAAGTGTATTGTGTTTGGTCTCGTTGCTGGAGCTTCTTGGGCTGATATGGAGCAGTAGACTGGGATCAATCTTGGATCATCTTTTGTGTCAAGGTAAGCATATGAAGGATCTCATCAACTCCGTCATTGATAAAACTTACACTAGATGCCGTTATACACGATTTATAGCTGATGCTATTTTGGTATGCGGGGCTCCAGTATGTAACGTGTCGCATGTTTTCAATCGCTGAAACATCAAACATCGTCTGATAGATTTGGCATCTGCAGCCTTCTCTTGACGAGATCGACACGACAGAGTCGGTATCTAGGCAAGGATGGACTGCCGGCCACCGCGCACTAGTAGAAAAATTCGCCTAGTGTATCCTTCGTTTCATGAACGCCTGCGAGCGACGGCAACCTGTTTCATCGCTTTCTGTCCGCAATGTACGTTGCTGATGCTTTCCTACGACAGTACATCACTTGACCGGCGATGGTAACGATGTTATCAAAGTTTTTGAAACCGCTAGTTTATCATGGGTTCATCGGGTACAAAACCTTCATCAGGGCATTCAAGGGTGATTAGATCCTTCTTGGCCAAGAGTCTCGACTGAACGTTTTTAAGGTTCTGGATTGTTATTTGTTCGGTCGTATTCGGTCATACGATATGGCTTGTGGATTCACCACATACCGTACCTCATGGGTTGGCTAGCAGTCAAACCCACCACTAGGCATGAGAAGCATATGATAGGTAGGTTAGGTCCAGCGTGGTTCATTGCTTGATGTGAGCACAAGCCAGGTGCGCTCACTTAAACAGTCCGCCAGATTCGCGCACGAGGCGGCGGAAGTGTCTCGGGGATCTCCGAGTTTGTTACTAATGTAACGTAGAATGTCGACGAAGGCAGTGAAGGACTATGCAAAGACTAGGCGCCGTCGCCAACGTCGACCTTGCTTGAATGACTCACGATTACATTGATGTTAGAAGTAACCCCAATGGCGCCATATGCACATGCCAAGTTAACACTATTACCATTTAGTTTGAGTACCCTCGACACTAGCCCCTTTCTTCCGAATGATGTTCAACGTCATATGTCATGTACGCCTACTTCGATGTTGACTGATGACACCGGTTTTCTTGTACCTTTACATAAAATGTACGCAAGTCGAATGTCATGAGGCCTGAGCCCGAGGCCTTTTATCAACGCTACAGTAATTTATTGAATATTTAAGAGTCTGGTCGAGGCGTCAGGAAATTAGTGAGCATATCGATCAACTCCACCACGAACTGCATATCGTGGGAACAAACACTGTAGCGAAACACTACTCACTCAGGTTGCGACATGTTCGGTCCGCCAAGCTCATCTAGAGAGAAATCCTAGATGCAAAGCGAATGACTCATACTCACACCCGTCGCACAGGTAAGGCCTAGGCAGCATTTGTCGTGTTCCGCGCTGTTCGGGTCACAAAGCCCTTCTGCAGTCGCACATGCGCTGACATACAGAGATGTTGTCAGAGCCGCGAAGAATGCAATGAGAAACGCATGGCTTGCGCTAGAATGCGTCGAGAGGAATAGTAGCTCTGATTCTGCTGTTAGTATTAGGAAGATGTGCTTTTATATCCTAGGAGAAAATGTGTTTTTCGAAAGTACTTGGCACAAGTTGGATCAGAATGGTTGCCACGCTTGCCAGCGGACTTTACGCATGAACTTGACACAACCGCTAGTACTGGGCTACGTAGTGGTTCGGAGACGCACCTTATAGTAGACAATGCCCAGATTCATAGGGTCAAACCTAGTCACGGTCAACATGTTAAGCGCAATTGAATGCATATAGGCACAGAAGGCACAGAAGGCACAGGTGGAATCTGAGACCTACTAGCGCTTTCGTGGCATCTGGTCTAGGAAAGTCCTAGTGCATAGCTATGATACTCCATGGAACCAGTAAGCATCTACTTCTGACACACATAGCCTGGATGCCAAGAACTCCTCTGGAGAGGTCAGCATACATGTCAAGAAACGTGGGCCTCCATGGAACCAGTAAGCTCATCTGCTTCTGACACACATAGCCTAGATGCCAAGGACTCCTCTACTAGACCCATCACCCGAATCACACGACATTGTACACAGCTGTCAATGATATTTCAACCCGAACCTGAACTTCGGGCGCTGAATCTGACCGCACGCATCGGCATTGAAAACTCAAAAGAGTGGTGCTCGCTTAATGGTTGTCTGTGTGCACAAGCAATCTCGCCACTGGCAGTCACACCATAAATTAAGGGCGTGACATGCTCTACATGATTAAATGCATCGCAAATATCTGGTAGAGGTCGCGATGTCACCAAGAAGTGTAGGTTAGTCCGGAAGGTTGGTGATACTGTATACAGGTTTCATCGTCGTCCAGCTAGTATTTGAAGGAGACGTTCTCGAGTATCAGCGTCTCAATGCTTCAACTTCCGAAAATGCTTTGAGAATAAACTCAGACCACTGCTGGAGGAGGTCTGGTAGGGCTTGCAAGGAAGTCCTAGTCTTAACGACACCAGCCAGCGCGTTCCGTATGTTTCCACGAAGATCAGCAAGATCTTGTGCGATGGTTGTAAAAACCTCGTGGTGGCGTCTTTCGCCTGCTTCATTGGGCCTGTCAAAACAAACAAAATCCAAGCGTTGATACATCGAATCCTGCTCCCCCCGCATACGTCATTCCGTCAAAGTCCCCTTCCATAGCTGGAGTGCACATAAAGTACTTACTACTCATGGTCTGGGGTGTCTCTGAAATCGTAACTTCATTGTATCTTTATAATGGTGTCCTATCTCGCCACCTCATACCCAGCGAAAACATAGGTACGGAGAAAGGGATTGTGGCAAATGCGGCGAAGGGGACATGGAGGAGGATGGAGTTTGGAGATATCAAATGCCGCCATCTAAAAAAACACCGAGGTTTATTATCGGCTATTCGTCCGAGACGTAATGAGTCGCGGACTACGATGATGCCCTGTCACTAGTATACAGCCCATTTTCAGTCCATTGGCCCGCTCTAGCTGAGCTTGAGCGTCGTTCACGGAATCTTCGTATGCCTCTTTACTTTCGCTATAAGGTACAAATCACGCTAGTCGGTTTTCATCGATATTATTACACTGACGTTGCACTGCTTGTTTCAAACAGCTACTAGCGTTTACCCCATCAGGTCTTTAATCTGCACGGCTTCAACTCCAGCGCTGCTATGCGCGCAGCGACGACAATAATGATACGGTACGTAAGTACGCTAGTAGCGGTCCACACGTACTAGAGCCCTGCTGCGCAGCCTGTCGCTCACGGTGATCTTAGTAAACAGCCAGACATCATATAAATTGTGATGAACTGGTCAGCAGGATCCCCATACTAACACATCCCTTCGTTCTTATCGGAAAATCTCCCACCAGCCCAAGGAGAGACCCAAAATGAAGTACAATAAAAGCTTCATGGCTATGGCTACCGCCGGCCTGGTTCGAGGTTCCCTCGCTCAGACATGGTACGTATTACTTCCATCATGCACCCTGCTTGCTTATTCCTAAATATTTCTAGGTGCGGAAAGAACTATATGGCAAATCAGTCTGTCGTGCCCCCTGGCGGACAGTTTGTCTTGCCCACACAAAGCGTTGAACCCCTTCTGTCGTTCCGCTGCGCCCCTGTCTTCCGTCCATACCTCGAAGAGGATGCGACGAGTGCAGCATTTGTAGTTGACACACCAATTGTTTATGATTGGATCGCCGGTGCTGAGTCCATCTCACTTCCTTCCAACTCGAACTCTTCTAGCGGCTCCAATAGCCTAGGAAGCCTCAGTGTCACTATCAACGTGGGCTCCATCTACACCACTGCAAACGTTCCTCTGAACGCTACCGGCATACAAATTCCCGTAAATATCAGCGTTCTCAAGGCTCAGAAGGCCGCATACAATGTCACTTGCTCTGCCACATATTCTGCCCCTTCGTCTTCGGGGTCCCAGCCTGCAAACGAGCAGAAATTCAATACCAGCTCATCCCTTTTGTATCTCCCTGACACAAATGCTTCTGTCACGAAGACGGACTTACGCACTGGTGCGCTCTGGGTGCGGCCTGCAAATGGCAGTGGTGGAGCATTTGCGCCATTTATCCCTCAAGGATTCTACATAAATTTCGAACAGTATCTGGCGACAAATTTGACTATGATCGATCAGCTCAAAGACGATGGGTTCGTCTTTCATTGCTACCACTCCTATACAATTATTCAATTATCTATCCAGGTTTAATACTGTATGTTTTGCGATGATCTGGTATGTCCCATACTGATCGTCTACTCCATAGATCCACCCGATTCCTCCTTATGATAACCTCACTATCTTCCAACAAGTCATCAACAAGACCATCAGTGACGGCATGTACATTGTTTATGATATGCGATCGTATGTCAAACTTTATCGCCTCATCTCATGATCATTGATATTTTTGTATTCAGAAACTACCAAAACTTGAGTGCCGTCGCCCAACAAGTAGACACTTACGCCTCGATTCCCAACCTATTGAACTGGGAGACCGCACACGAGCCCGATGGCAACTCTGATCCCCAAAATGCGGCGCAGGCAACGTATGACTTAATTTACCAGTTGGACGGATATCATCCTGTCTCTATTGTTCTGAATTGCGAAGACTACAACTTCTCGCCTTACATCAAGGGAGCTGATATCGTTCTACAGGTGAGTCACTCATAATATTTCTATCACTTGCGCTTCTAACCCTGGTGTAGGATGCCTATCCTATTGGTATCAATGCGACATGGTCTCCTGTGTGGAACACAGAGTGTACCCCGGACTTCGGTCACTGTGGTTGCGACAACTGTCAAGGGCAGGTATGGGATGTTAAGGCCCGTGTCCAAACCTTCAAAGATAGACTCAACATCTTGGGCTTTGACCGTACCAAGTCTGTGTGGACCACACCCCAAGCTTTCGGTAGTGCTGCGTAAGTCACCTTGAGTCGCCAACACGACTTGTGTTTTGACCCTTATTACAGATACTGGAACACAACTCCCACTGGCTTGCAATGGGCTGCTATGGGATTAACTTCCTTCAACCATGGTGCTCTAGGTAAGTTCGTGCTGATACGCGTATTTGAATAAAACTAACTTCACACAGGTTCGAAGTCTTACCAATACCCGACCGCAACCGGCAATGTATCGGCGATTGAGGGGACGGCAGCTTCCCTCACTGTTCTCATCAAAGACTACGTTCAGCCCTTCTTAGTCGACCCGAACGCTACATCTGTCCGCTACAACTACCAGGGCGTGGATGCTGGTCTCTGGTACAATGGAACTTCATACTTAGTCCTCCTTGTCAACATGGACAACACAGGGTCGAATATCTACGTACCTTACCAGGATATAGGATTGGGCTGGATCACCGATGCGACGAAACAGGTACAACGCGTATTTTCCGTCTACGAGGTCCCCACTGCCCCTAACAATCTTACCGGTGTAACGTTCCAACCTGGAGCAATTGGTATCCACATTGCGACGCCCTGAAAAGGTTATAGATCAAGGATTCTTATATCTTATATAGATTTCGATGTCACGCCTTGTATCAGCTATTGGAGGCTAACGAGGACTAGGAAAGTTGGAACTCGATGATCTTAACGAAAATTTAATTTGGGGCGATAGTTCGACATGTACATGGCTACTGCGACAGCAATTACATAGCAAAGAATAGCGAGTAATAATAGATACAAATGGATTATTTGCTTGACTTATGGTAATTTAACATACGATGCTCAGCCGAGCTTCACTTTCTTCGACGGCTGAGGTGTCCCTTTCTCGCCATCCTTGCGTTTCTTGGTCCCTGTACTCGCCTTGGCACCACCAAACAGCTCCTTGACCCGGTCACGCAGGGCAACTGCAATGTACCCGACCTCAGAGTCCGCGCCATTGAAGGTAATAGCGTTTTGGATCATGAGGTTGATATCTGCCTCAAATGCTTCCGTCGAGTCGTACTTGTCAGTGTCCAACTTCTGGCGGATCGTTCTCAAATCTCTTGCATCCCTCTTCGGTATGACGTCAAAGTACGTCGGGATGCCCAACAGGACAGGATCGACAGGATCTCGGAACACCCAAGAGCTGCGGTGAAGTTAGCGACTTGAACTATCGTAGACAGAATGAAAACATACACGTCCTCCTTCACCAATTGAGTCATCAGTGCTTGTAAGCTCCTCTTCTCCGTCCATGAAAGCTTCTTCTCTATCACCTTTGACCATTCTTTCTTAAAGACTTTCTCCACTACATCCGCACAGTTGACGGGGGTACGTAGTGGGTGGGTTGAATTTTCGACAGTTGCTGATCACCAACTCGACGTCTTTTTGGAAGTCCTCCATGGTTGAGTACTTGCCCTCGTTGAAATGCTGGGTCATAGTACCAAAGTCCATCGGGTGTTTGATCTCCTCGTAGTACCTATACCAATGTTAACGTTAGTCGTGATAGTGCAAGATGTCACATACGTAGGACATCCGTCTCTCTCAGGGTCTACAGGCTGAGCGAATATAACGCTCTCTGGAACCCTGAGAAGAATCTTTAAAATTTCCCGACACTTCTTCTCATTGAGTGGAGCCGATGCCTGCACCTTGCGAGGCTTTGATGGCGTCGGGGTATTGCTAGGCACAACTTCTCTCTCTTTGCCCTTGATGGAGGTGCGCGGAGGTTCGGAGGCGGATTCTGAATCGCGAAGATTTACAGCTTTCTCTTTCTTCGGTTTGCCAAGAGACACTTTAGGCGCAGGCGCAGGCGCACCGGACGGCTCCACAGCTGGAGTGCTAGAGCTCAAAGAGGGAACGCCAGGCTTTTCCTTCCTGGAGAGGGACGGGGCTAACATCAGTATCTCGTTACTATCGTCGTCAGCACTCGTCTTTCTGCGTTTTCCGGGCGGTCCACTGTCCGAAACTCTTGCAGGGGGAGGTGATTCCCGAACGGGATCCTTGGTTTTCCGGGTGCGCTTCTCCTCGTCTTTCTCTCGCTCGATAGCGATTACTTCTTGCAGCAGGTCATGGGATCCATCATCGACGTAAGGCGGAGGTGCCTCGTCAATGGCTTTGGGCTTGCGAGGTTGTTTGGGTTTCTGTAAAGCCTTGGGCTCCGCCGCCTTCTTCGAGGGCTCTGCTTGCGGTGTCTTGGCTTGTGGACCACCAACCTTGAGCTTGATGATCGGACGTGCTGGGGCCTCCGACTCTGCTCGTGGAGGTGGCGGGGCTGTGACCGCAGGAGGCATTGACGCAGCAGTTCCAGGTTTCTTCACTACGATAGTGGGCAAGTTCTCAGGCGCAGGCTCTGCATTCTTGCTAGCAGCTTCAAGAGTCTTGTGGATGCGGTTCCAAACTGGGCACAGGTAAGAAAAACCGATGATTCTGTGTCATTGAACTCACGTTTTTCAAAAAACGTCTCTAAGAAAATCGCCTCGGTGTGGGCGTACGTTCCGGAAGGGTTGTACTGCTTCGCATTTGCTATCATAAGACGGAAATCTGCCTCGAAGGCAAAACGGTCCTTGTACATGCCCGCCTCGACTTTGGCACCCATGGTGCTGAGGTCCATAGGATTCTTGATGACCTCGTAATAGCTATATTATTGTGTCAGAAAAAGCCGAAGGTCATTATCAAAATACAAACTTTGGAGCGTGGTCTCGAACAGGATCCACTGGTTGCATGAAAAGCACTGCGCTCTTATGTATCTTGAGCTTTTTGAGAGCATTACGGCTTGCACGCAAATCGTTCAAGCTCATTCCAGCTGACTGTGCCTTCGGGATATGAGGGGGCCTGATACCATTCATAGGCTTTGGCTTGGCTTTGGCTTTGGCTTTCGCAGGAACTGGGGGCGGAGCCATGGAGGCGGTGCGAACTGGAGGCGTTGGAATAGCGGATGCAGTGACAGATGAACTAGAACTTCGGGCTTGAACACTACCAGGTATGATTTTGAGCTTTGGCGCAGTAGATGCAACAACAGGCACCCGAGCAGGCGGTCCCCCGGACTTGAGAGGTCGCGAGGCTTTTGGCAGCACCTTCACCACCGGAAGCGAGGGCGGGACTTCAGTCACAGGTGTAGGAGGTAGGTGAATAGTAACCTTCGGTGGAGTTTCTTCAACTCCCCGGAGGACAATGTCAGCCAACTTGATGACACCCCAGCGTACTTCCTGGTCAATATCCGGTGCACTAAAGGCCGATTGATTTGTGAGTGGACAGTCGCACAAAATCATCTCGGGGGACTTACAGTGCGATGGACATCAGGAACTCCCGCAACACCTCATTCTTGCCAATTTCTCTGTCTTTCCTGAGAACCTTGATCATCATGTCGACCTCGCTCTTCTTCGCTTCTTTCGACTTCTCTGGCAGAGAGCCATCTTCCTCGATGAGCAGTGACTCTGTATCCTTGATGGAGTTCTTCATCTCCCCCATGGACACCAAGAGAGCCAAGCTTTGGCATGCGCTACGGGCCACATGTCTCCGGACCAAGCGAGATGGGTCATTTGCCATAACAGCCAATACGTAGCGCATAATGGCGGGCGTGTACCACTTAGACATGAAAAGGCCATCGAAGGCGGCGAGACGAACTTGAGTATAATTACCTTCACTGAGAGACAATCAGATGAAGTAGTAATCTACGACCATCATAACATACCGGGTAAGAGGGAAGAAGACCCGGAGATCGTTCGGGATGAGGTTCGCGGTAGTAAGAATCAAGTAGAACTGAGGTCAAAGTCTTTAATGCGAGATGCCCTCTGATGCAGGAAGCTACTCACTTCCAATACTGCAGTAGTGACTACGTTCTTCGGTGATGGGATCAATCTGTCCATGCTCCGATATCTGCTGACCTCGTCAATCGCCTGCTTCATCAAGTTGGCATCCTCGGTGGTGTGCTCCGACTGAACTTCTTCGCGAAGGAGCTCACCACGTTCTGGAGGAGCAATCGAGACAGTTGCACAGGCAACAGCTGAAATCATAGTGCATATGTAGAACGCGTCCGAGTACTGAAGAGCGGTGAAATCAGTAACTACTTGTGACAAAATCGTACTAACTGGATTGGCTGTGTTGTCGTTGTAACGAAGTTGGTCGACAAGGAACTGACGAACCACTGAAGGTGTCTTGCCGTTCTCAAACCGCACTTGGGATATTGCGATGAACGAGGCTCTGAAGATTCATGAGTTGCGAGATAGAGGTAGCATCCTGAAGACACACCTTTCGAACAAAGTATTCCGCCAGGTCAGAGAAGTCATTAGGCTTTGGGACGTAAGTATGAGCGAATAAATCTTGGTTGGGGTCTTCCGGGTCGTAGCAGTAGCGAAGGAACAACTTGAACAGATGAAATAGTCCCAAGAAATCAAGTTTCCGAATGGCGCACTGATGTTTTCACGTCAGAGACAACCTTCAAAAGGTAACAAATCTAAAAACACTGACGTGCACTAGGGCCATCGCGGCCTCACACCGAATGCGATAATAGTAATTGGAGACGAGCACTGTCTTGGTGAATGTGCTCGAAACGATGGCGGTGGATTGCTTTGCGAGAGCATTAACAGCCTATGAAAGTTCAAGCAAGAAAGACGAAGTGCCAACAAATAACTCACTTCCAGCTGCGCAACGACATCACGATCTCGTTGCAACTGCGACACCCACATAAAGTCGGGCTGTTCAAAAGCGATAGCAGCGATCCATTCAAAATCGGCGTCCATGCGGATCCATTCGTACGTTGCACCCGACATCACCTGCTCATCCTCCTCTGTCCAGTCAGCCACCTTCCAGTTTTCTCGCTCCTTTTCCTTTTCCCAAATCTCGAGTCCAAAACCCATATCGATTAGACCCATGGCTTCAGCAGCTTCGGCGTCACCTTCTGCTGCAGCCTGAGCAGCCGCTTGTCGTGCCAAGTATCTCTTAGTGTTTCGTCGAATACGTTTGTACTTCGTGTTGAAAGGGACTTCAAAGCGTTTGAAGGACGAACGAATGTCTAAAACGTGCTCATATGGAGTGCCATCCGCTTCATGGATCCGAACAGTCATTTGGCCCTTAGAGGTCGGTGAGGGCTTGATCAGGATGCAACCGCTCGTAAACGTACCTCAAAGAATGGCACGGGCTTGTGCAACAGTTTCGACACCTCGTTGTACTCGAGCGCCTTATATGCTGGCGAATCTTGTCGCATGGTGATCTCGACTGCCATCTTCTTCCTGTTGAAAGAAGCAGAGAACCCGAATGCTGGACAACCACTGCCGTAGATCCACTGCTCAGCGAATGACCGAAGATCAATCCCGCTGACCTTCCTGCATGTACGCAGGAACGAGTGCGTCGATAGAGCATTATTTTGCAACTCTCCGCTCATTGCTGACAAAAAAATCTTTGGGAGAACACGAGGAAGACCAAGTGAGGTACCAGATTTGCCGAGACGTCGATCCAAAATGTGCAGCACGAGGGGCGCCTTCAAGTTGACAAAAGGTAACGCCATAGAGTCTGGGGGATCATTGAGCTGTGGTTGGCAGATGGGCGGCATCGATCCGTTGTCCCATTCGACGACTCGTTGCATGTCCCGCTTGAGTCTGTATCGGTACTCGTTATTTCCCAGGAGCTTGCGGACGAATAGGCCAGTGATATACAGCGCAAGACCATTTACGAGCCAAGTGTCCGACCACGTCTTCTGTTGGATGTTGATTCCCATCCATTGACAGGCCAGGGCATGACTGAGTGCTTGCCGGGTCTCAAGTACCTGCTCAATCGAGTCCTCGCCGTGAAGAAGATCCACATTGATTATGGAAAGCGTCGAGCTGTCGAAGCGCTGAACGGGCATCTCGTCCACCGCAACCATTTTGTATGACCCAAACGGGTAGGAACCGAACTCTGTGCTGTAGAAGTTCATCGCCGAACGCAGGAATGAAATCGACGAATGGAGCATAGTTTCGTGACCAGGCAAACAAAACGCATGCATCAGAGGCTGTGATATGCCAGACGTATCCTCTGATGTGAGCTCTGTCAGGATTGGATACACATGGAATGGGCCAGCAGCAAAGGCGACATGCTGCACGGACGTCAACACTGCTTGAGAAAACAAAAAGATGGTTTTATTCGAGTTGTTAGGATGTGCAACCTGTGCTGTCCTGGTTAGCTCGCCCGATGGGAAATACGTGGATCACATGCCTGTTCCACGAGGTCGCCACTGCAGACAACTACCGTAGGGATAGACTCCTGGGACTCTTCAAAATCACTATTCTCTCCGCGGTGGCCAGGATCAGGCTCTTCGAGATAGCGAGGAACTACAAATTCGAACTCCCAAGTGCACTTCTCCCACAAACTGTCGATGCATGGAACCCAACATCTCGCAGCGTCGGCGGACGATGGTGTCGTATATGCATGCGGTACGCGCTAAAAGACATCAGAATTTCTTAATCATGAACGCAGAAGTTACTTACATATGGGTAGGAGTCGGTGGGCAGCACGAACTGGATGCCATCCACGGGGTTTCTCAGGCTAAAGTCAATGTGGATTACAATGGGCATGAATTCGGGAGTGGGTGCAGGGGTGTGGGAAGAGGGGCCAGGGGTATGAGGCTCAGGCGTAGCAGCTTATACGGTAACAAATTGAATGCATGACATATAACCCTCAAAGACCGAAATTTACCTTCACTGAGATGACCATTCGCAAGCGAGTGGTTTGCATGGCCAGTTTGTCGAATCGAAACTTCCTTCGGAATTGCAATCGACAGTTCACCCTCATCACCTTCGGCTAGTGCAGAATATATCTTCCGCTTCAGCTCTGGATAAGTATGACAATCCTGAGGATTTGAGATGCTGATCTGAGCGAGCGGATCATGGTGAACAAAATCCGCTGAGTGTGACGCGACAGTAACAGAGTGAATCGCTGCAGAAAACACGTTTAATAAACCATCCGGAATTCAAGCGCAGCACATACTGCATTGCCTGGAGTGCAGATGAATAGTCCTCAGATTGTGATTAGTTGGAATGAGGGTGATTTCCGTGTAACCCTGTTCGAGAATGCTGTTGTATGAGCGCCTGCCAGAGTGGCCTATAGTGCAACGTACCCAGAGAGAACCGGAGAAATCAATCTCCAGAACAACTTTCTGATGACTAGTATATACGAAAAAAGGTGTCAGTACTGATGAAACGCGGGCTAGAACGAAAACACGTATATAGAGAAGCCACGACGACTGTGCTCGCGTTGCATGATTGACCGCCGGTCGAACAAAGAGCAATAACCAGAAGTTCAGCGCTCGTATTGAAAAAATATTGCGTAGGATGCACGAAGATGAATGTAAGAAGGGAAGGCGTAGAGGTCTTTGAAGGTGAAGACCGCTTGTTGAGTCAGGTCTTCCAAACTTCACGGGTGGGATTGGTGACGGCGTAGGGACAACCGACACGATTACGTAATATCCAGTCGCGACTCAGTGGCTGTGTATAATTTCCTGCTACCGTACTAGTAGCTGCCTCGAGGATTGAATCAGTGAATCTCACATTCATCACCTTTTATACCTTTCAGAACTAATCAAAAGAAACAGGTCATTGTAGTTTGGTGCACTATGCCCAAAAAATCAATCTTTAGACAACCGGGCACACAGCACTTCCAGCTTGTGCACCGATCTCAGCGAGATCCCCTTATTCATGATCCTGACGCAAGTCAACATGTCCTGAAGGCATTTGTACGAGGGAATGACAAGAAAGTGCGCATACTACGCAATACGTATTTTTTTGGCCTCCACTCACTTAATCCCCGCTCCTAGGGAAAAACTCGGGCCGATCTCGAATCATTCCTTTCTCCAGATGATGTTGCCCAGGACGCTCGCGCTCATGTCGGCGAAGCGTCATTATATGGTATCTATTTCAACGACACCGAGTATGACTACATGCAGCATCTGCGTACGGCTGGTGCAGAGGAAGAGGGTGTAGAAAGCATACTCATCGAGGCACCTGCTACCTCTCAAAAATCGAAAGGCAAAGGCAAATCAAAGGACCCGATCTCTTTGCGCGATCTGCCACCAGAGGCACTACCATCCGCATCTGAGATTCCCAGGAACTATGAGTCACAGGAAGCCGTCCCCTCATCGATCGCAGGTTTTCAGCCGGACATGGACCCGCATCTCCGACAGGTTCTCGAAGCATTGGAAGATGATGCATTTGTAGATGATGGTTTAGAGGATGACTTTTTTGGCGAGCTGATAGCAGAGGGACAGCGAGATGAGGATGAAGAATTTGGCTTCCAGTTCTGTGAGGACGGTGATACCCCACAGGATGCCCCTTCCACAGAGGACTACGAAGACCCTGACAGCTGGGAAGCGCGCTTTCGCCCAGTTCAAGAAAGAACAAAAGGATGCACCTCCACCCAGCGACTCCGACGACGAACTACACTCGGACGGAGGGGACACCATTGGAACTTTACCAAAGCTACCTGTCATTGGTGGAAAGCGCAGGCGCAAAGGCACTTCTGACGCATCTGGATACAGCATGAGCAGCTCGTCGATGTACCGCACAGAAACGCTAATGACATTAGATGAGCGCTTCGATCAGGTAATTGTAGTCAACTTTGCCAGGTCATCTTTTTTGATCACTTGCAGCTAATGGAGAAAGAGTATGCTCTGTGAAGGAGAAGAGGTCGATGAAGAGAATGATGACCTTTCGTCTGAACTATCAGACGAAGCTCCTGAGCTCGTTACCTCGCGAGAAGATTTCGAGGCCATGATGGACGACTTCATGGACAACTATGAGATGCTTGGCAGAAAACTAAAGCCAGTGCTTCCGGGGGACTCGGGCCCAGAGAAACTTAACACCCTGCGTCAAGCAATGGGCCAGGATGAGCGGGTACGGATAAGATCGGCAGATGATGATGATGACGAGGAGCTGAATGATGACCGACTTTTCGCCCAATATCATGCTGCAGAGAAAGAGGATACATGGGATTGTGAAACGGTATTGAGTGAGTCGAATCATTTCATGCAAACTCGCATCTGAAGCGTAATAGCAACGTATTCCAACCTGGAGAATCATCCCCGCGTGATCCGTGCGCGAGCGTCGAAGCCGGTTCCGAAAATTACACTTGATCCCAAGACCGGTCTTCCCACTTTAAATGGCGATCACCAAGCCCCGGAGTCACGAAAAGGTCGTCATGGCCTACAATCCGTTGCAGAAGATGAAGAAGATTCCCGAGAACCTTCAGGTAAATATCTGTTTGATTGCGCAATGATGTTCCACTAACACTTCACTGATCAGCGGCCAAGCAAACCATATCCCGCCCACGCGACGAATCGAAGGAAGACAAAAAAGCTCGCAAACAAGCTGTCAAGGCCCAACGTCAAGTACGTCGTGTAGAGAAAAAGGCGACACAGGAGCAGTTCTCCACGGAAATGAAGCACCAAACGCAGGGCCTTGCAAATAAGGCTCAAAGTAGCAGAACAAGAAAATTGTAGTATACAGTTCGCGGTGTAATAAAATGGTGTAATGTACAGGATTTAGATCATCGGGTATTTACTGGCACGGATGGTATGTGGTAAGGCTACAGTGGGACGACATGATGCTTGTGTCTTGAATGAAAGGACGTGATATGCTCAGGTTTCACCAGTCTGGCCACAGTTCAACCAGACTGTTCGAACTGCAAGGGTCTTCTTCTGGGATGTCTTTCTGCTTCATCCATCGATCAGGGACCTGGAAGAAAGTGACATTGAGACACTGTCAAAACATCCTTGTGTCCACTCACTAAGGGGAAATATCTGTCCATGGCGCTGATGAATCGCTGTCTATACTGCTTGGGCGTAACGATGGTGGGTTCTCCTCTGCCAGCGCCACCAAGGAAGGCAGACTCCTTCACCCAGCTCTCGAGTTTTTTGTCCCAAGTGTAGGTGCGAATGTAGTCTAGCAATAAGTAAATATATCGTCACAGGCAGACACAATTTTACCACTTACCAACGATACCAACCACTAGTTCATGGGTATGAGCATCAACGCCGACGAGAAGTGAATAATCCATGACATTGATGTCTTCCAAAAACTTGGTGTCGTTATACAATGACCCTCTCAGTATGCGCTTCGAATGTTCACGGAGATAAAACGGTGAGAGATGAGCAGCTGTGGAAGCGATGTTTAGTGACTTCAATATCTCCAAGATAGCTTACACACTTTCGACGAGGTTTTCATCCAGCAGTACTTCGTTTTCTCGTCCAGTGGATCGCACGTGTCGATTACGGGTCGATCCCTTAAGATCATAGATCTGAACAGGTCGTCAGCAAAGAGTGTTTATGTCGCAAGCAAATATCGCACCCGGGAGAATCGACGATCGTAGAAGAGGTTCTCCATCACAAGGAGGTTCATATGTGTTAGTTTGGCCTTGCTCGAACCCTTATCTCTCGACTTCTTGAACGTCAATTTGTAACACCCAAACACCTTGGCGAGTAAAGTGGGACGCTGATAAAAGTCGTTTAGAACGCTTGCAGGCTAAACAAAGGAGTAGCTTACGTTGCCACAGATCGCAGATGCCATATATTCAAAGTATGCTGGACCGAACGTCTCCATTGTCTGAAGCTCTGCCTTGGAGAGTTCTTTTGCAATGAAACGATCGTCTGGTGGAAGAGTTAGTAACATCATCACTTGGGAAAGAGATGAATTACAAACCTCTTGTCTTCAAGAACGCCGAGCCAGACTTGCCTCCATTGGCGTCCCACTTGACGCACCTTGCCAACGACTCAACCATACTCTTCTCGCAGTCATGCGTCCTGCGCAAAGCATCGAACTGTTCTGGAAATAACACAGTACAGCTGATGGTTAAACCACCACTTTCAAACGCTAGAATAGAGTAAGCACATTGCACATCAGGTCAAGTACAAGGAAACTCACTAATCACCCAAGGCATTTTCGTCGACGCAGATTTGAGCTCCTCCGCGGGGTTACCGGGTTCCGCAGTCTCCACGTTGACCACTCCCCACGTTGAAGAAGACTCTGCGACAGAATGGTCATCGGGCATGAATGCTTCCCCTCCATCAGTCAGCTTCGGCTCTCGCGCAGTCCGTTTCTCGGCTCGGGACTTGGCCAATATTTCTCGATATTGAGGAGAACTGCAAGCGATCAGTGATAAACAAAATGACAGGTGACAAATAACCTACTTCAACGCCAATGCAATAATAGATGTAGGCTCATCGGTCCTTACTACCATGGAAGAATCACGGAAAATGTGTTCCGGATCATTCAACGGATCTTCAGCCTCTGGATCCGATCTGCGTGGAGGGAACTGAGCCGAGAACAATCCCTGAGACAGTCCCTGAAAAGCCTGCTTGAATATCGAGTTCCTCCCAGGTTCATCAAGTGAAATCGGAGGCGGCGTTGGTGGGAGATTCATCGGGATCTCAGATTTGAGGAAAGGAGATGGCGGAAATGATGCCACTTGCCCGAGTTGCCGAGCTGGCGGTGGCAACGGTGGTGTCGATGATGAAGGTGCTGGGGAAGGCTCGCCCGCAGGTACCGGAGTTGATGTATCTGTAGCAGGCTGCACAGTGACGGAAGGAAGTGTGACAGATTGTTCTGGAGACGAATCCATTGTGGTTTTATCTGTTGGCTTTCGGGCTTCATCCTCATCACCGCCCTCATCGTCCGCTTCACTAGAGCTATCAGAACTCTCTGACTCATCTTGTATCGCATCTTTGATACTATCCAAAACCTCAACTGTAGCACGAGCAGAAGCGACTGGCCGTGCCTTACGACCCCTGATAACCGCATAACGCCTGTTTGCTCGCTCAGTATCCCGATTTATGCGCTCGAAGTGTCGTGCAATATTAGAAACCTTGCTTCCGACACTCTGAGGTGGCCGTCTGAACTGGGGCTTAGTGACAGGCACGACTGAGGTGGGACGAGAGGGCGCTTTGTCTTTTTGGATGGCTCGGGTAGATGGCTTCCGTCGCAAGGTGCGACCACCACCGGCGGGAAGCGGTTTGGATGTCTGCGGTGGCGATGACGTCGTCGGATCACCATGAAGAGGTCTCGACCCACGTTTATCTGGCGAAGGCCGTCGAGATGCGGTTTGAAGACTCGAATGAAGACCCAACTGGTCCAGGCATACGTGGATTTTGAGTGCCCAAGGAGCGACGGTTGAGGTGCCTCGAGGCTATATTCGCCGCATAACTGGACTCGAAGTCGGACACCGAGGGCTTCTTGACGGGCTCTCTGTGCCTGCGTATGGTAGACCTTTGAAGCGGTGGCTGCGCAGGATATTCTTGATCACTTTCGGACACTGGAGGAAATGGAGCCAGAGCGGTCTTCGCAAGCTCTTCAACACCCTGCGGGGGTAGGTACTCCTGATACCGAGCTACCAGCTCTGCAACACTGGGGTGAGCTTGCGGCCGTCGAGGTAGCCTTGATGCTCTTGTAACAACACGTCCAACACGGGTTTCACTTTGCTCCGCCTTGATAGTAAGGTGAGCTAAGAGCTTCAAAGAATAATATATACACCTACTTGTGTTGTTGACATTGCACCTTGGTCTGAGAGTGCCCCGTCATCTTTAGACGCACCAATAGTCGAATCACTATCAGCGTCCGATTTCTGTTCAGTGGCCACTTCAGGCTGAATAACTGAAGGAGGTGCTTCGGTATCAGAAGAGGCCGTCGCTGTCTTCTCTGCAACAGTTTCAAGCTCAGGCTCCGAAGCTTCTGACGCAGACGAAACAAAGGATCCTCCAGTAACCCGCCTACGAGTTAACGCTCCCTCTTCCGCCTCTGAAACGCTGGAAAAGGGCTGATGAGATTCACTAGGACTCGCAGGATCAGATTTCTTCGGCCACATCGCCCTCACAGACCCAAGGGCAGCAGATACCCTCCGCGCGTTCCTGTCCAGAGTCTGAGTGCCCCTCGGCTTTGGGAGCTTGTCAAAGTCCTGCTGCCAAGCTACGATCTTGTCCTGTCGGAAGGATCGAACTTGATTCAAGGCGAGCGTATCAGTCGGAGCCGACTCTTTGTAAATCTTGTTGATCAACTGAGCAATCTCCTCTCTCTCATCTTCAGCGCGTGTAATCAGGTTGTTGATATCGGCGAGGAGTTTTGCGTCCTGCTCTTCATCGCCAGTAGCTGCGTCAATGCTGATGAGCTTGAGATCATCGACAAGAGCAGTGTACCAGGTAGTATTCCGACGGTGCAGCCGTTCGTAATCCGCATTCTTGAGCTCCAGCTGCGACTCCGGACGGATGCGAATGCGCATAGCAGGGTAGACAACCTCATGGAGGACAACAGGATCTGCCTGGAACCGCACCGTCATTCCCTTCTTCGCAAAGTACCGAATGTGGTGCTGGTAGATGTTATGTTGGCAACCAGCACCTTGGACAAGCTGTACGTCCGCGGGGTAGAAGTGCAATTCCAAAAACTTCGCGAAGGAGTACCGCTGCATCTCGTCGGAGATGGGAATAAATGGCGTCGCTGAGCCACACACCCGACAAGCGCTCCAAGTCGTGATAGTTTCCGGAGACGGATAGAGATACGGACCCTTGGCCTTGATCTGCCCATCCCACTGCTCAACAGCAACTGCAAGTCTGGTTTCGTTATGCACATAGACCTTGCAATGCCTCGCAAGTGGCTGGTTGCATCCTTTCCCAGTGCAAATCGCTTTCGGGTCAAGGAACTGGACCAACGTCTCATTAACGCTCTTCTCAATGAACTGACCCAGCGTGCAATCGTTCTCGCCATAGAACTTCATATACTTCAATCCAGGAGCGAAACAGGCGCGATGAAGACCAAATTCTTCGATCGGGATGGTGTATTCCCAAACGCTGATGCACTGGTACTGGTCAATCACGAAATCGTCAGCGTTTTTGCGAAGATACCATTCCCATATACGTCGTTGCTCTTCGTGGCGATACTTCACCATACCGAACTGGCTTTCCAAGCGCAATGTCCGCAGCGGTCTTGAGAGTAATCGTATGCTCTTTCTCGCCGGGATCGATAAGGCGGGGGGAATGGAAGAACGATGACCCCCCAAGGACATGCAATGTACTTGGCTGAGGCTCGAAGTAACCAGCGGGTTCCTCGTCAAGCTCAGACAGACCGGAAGTTGGCGTTTTCGGAAGATCAGGGAGTGGGAGTGCTTCAATTTGGGCTTTTACATCGTCCATATCTGGTTCGATTCTGGACGTAGTAGCAGTTGCTTCACTTGCAGGAGTGGGAGTTCCCGAGGGGGCCTTACAATCATTTTGAACGGGGCCTTTTTCCTCTCTTCGCACAATCTCGTCTTCCCAAGCGCGTTGCACACGAGTGAGCTCGTCATCCAACTCCTTCATCCTCCTGATAGGCTGAGGGGGAGGAAAGCGCAGAGTAGCAGAAACGGATATGAACGTCTTGGCGTACGGCTCCAGTGACTGCTGAATTCGTTTCGAAAGACGAAGGCGCTCGGCATCAGCATCTGGAAGATCATCTTCAGCTTCTTTGATCTCCGCCTCCTCCGCCTCCTGCCGCTCCTTATCCCCTGGTGTCACAAGATGCACCAGCGATACCGATGCGGGCACAAGACCGCCAGGGTTCGATACCGTACCAGATCCTTCTGGATACCGCTTCGTAGCCACACCTGCCGGTACAGCCTCTGCGCTCAGGCTAGGGAGCGTGATCACGGAGTCCTTCCACAGGTGGGTCTCCAGCTTCAAGTTCCTCACGACAAACATCAAGAATCTGGTCACTTTCTTCACCCTCTTGAGCGTATCTACATCCCCTCCTCTCAGGACGATGGTGCACCCCAACTCACGGCTGCATCCCTCAAACCGCATATACGTCTTCCGTTGCCCTGGGATCAGAGGGTGGTCGAAAGTCTGCACACGGAACCGCGCGCAATGACCTAGTCGAGGCTCTAAAGCAAGCTTGTCGATCGACGAAAAGACATCCCCCTGAGTCATCCGGGCCACGAATTGGATCGCGGTGGGCTTTACAGCGCGAGCGACGGCGATATTATGCTTCGCAAGCCCTTCGAGCGCAATCCTACTCACTGACTTTTCCACCAACACCACGTGCGGCCTGAGCGCAGCAATCCTGCTCGCCAAGTTTCCGAGATACTCCTTTTCCTGCCTAAGAATCTGACCAAAGTGGACATATTGGCCCTCGACTCGATGAAACTCAAGTGGGAAGGTTACAAGCATGACACGCGGATTACGTTGTATGCGTGACATTTGCTTGTGGGCAACGTTCTTGGTTATAACGGCACCATCAACGTATTCCGAGTCGTTTGGTGCTCCACCGGGGATTTTTTTGATCTTGACATATCGTCGGACATCCATGTCTTCGCCTTGGTGGTACGGAAGGGCAGTGAAGGTGAGTTCTTTAGCGACGCGAAGGGCAAGTCTGAGCAGAGCTTCTTCCCATTCCTTGATGTTCGGAATCTGCTCGGTAGTGAGCATTTGCCGCAGCATGACGCGAAGGTGGAACATGGAAATTAGGTTAAGCTCCTGGGCATAGCTAAATCCATGACATGAGATCATGCAGGATGGCATATATTAAATTTTAACTCACGCGGTAGAATCTCGCCTCGTGCGCCAACCTTCAATAGTAGGGAAGCTATCGAGCCGACTATGCGCTCGGCTCCTGATAAAGGGCGAGGCGGCATCAAAATCGCCAAAGCTATTGAATCTGGAGCGCATGCTATTGTAATTCCCAGGACTGTCTGGTCCGTGTTGGTCCGGAGAACTCAATGGAAATTGAATTGAGCTCATTGTGCCCTCGACATTGATCGGCACAGTGACTGGAAAGTCAACTGGGGTCTTTGACCGAGGAGCCACAGCAGCTTGTGCGGTATTTTTGCTGAAGTTGGATATTGAGGGAGGATCCTTCTCGTCTTCTGAGAGGTTCCGTCGAAAGGGTGCAGTACTCTCGCGGACAGGCTCCCACTCGCCGAGAGCGGTAGACACAGAGTCATTGTCAGATATCAGTCTCTTTGTCTCAGCAATAGAATACAGATTGAACGGTTCGTCCGTCCTTCCGAACAGCTGGGACGCGGCGAATGGGGATTGCGGATGATGACCGAGACTGAGCGCGAATGAATCGCCGCCAAACTGGTGGGCGGGGAATGGAGAGGCTGTAGAGGAGACAATAGAACGCCTGTCGTCGTCATCTTCATCTTCAACCTTTGCAAGTTTCTCGAGACAGAGATTGCACACTCTGACCATGCCGTCATGACCAAACCTCGAACCCTTGATAATATTGGATGCACAACGCGAGCAGAATATTTGGCCTGCACTTGAATGAATGGAAGGTCTGAATTCAAAAGTTAGAGTACGCACCGCATATACGACAGTGATGTTTGCGTCGCCATGTTGTAAAGACGCTTTTGCAATCATAACACTCCTTTGCATTGGAGTCTTCCATCCAATACTCGCGAGAGAGACCTACGGCAGTGTTAGAAGCGATTAAAAAAGGGTCAGTATATTTACCTTCACCACGAATGCGACGTATGACTTTGGATACAGAGGTAGACTGATTTAATGAAGCAGTAGTTCGTATGCTACGGGCATCATCCGGAATGGGGAAACCAGGGATGGCGGTGCCAAAGAGACCACCGTCTTGAGTCTCATATACAGGAGTATATTGGCCATTGCGTGAAGGCGAGCGGTCCAATTCTGCACCAAAGGATGGCGGATCTGATACGACTGGTGTCAGGGATACGAGGGGCGGTGCAGTCTTGGATGGCACGACTGTCAGTGATGACGGACGCTCAGGTGCAGAGGACCGAGAAGAAAAGGAAGATACGTTTACGGCGGTCGCAGATGGACGCCTCTGTTCGCCTGTAAGGGCTCCAATAGTGCCATTGGGAGGCGGTGCGAGAGTGGAAGATGTCAAGGGGGCAGCGAAGCTATTCTTCATGCGTGAAAACAAAGAAGTCACAAGAGCATAGGACGAATAATCGTTTTCATCCTCTTCTGAGAATGGATTGAAGGAAGTCAATGAGGTGACATCGTCACCAAGTTTTGTGCTGCTCCGGGACCTTGACGGAAGGCCGGAATGGGTGCTCTGTACTGGAGAATAGGTTAGTGGTGATTCCATTTGATAAGTATGTCGTAGTTCAGGATCATAGGCTAGAATATTGGAGCTGCCTACGTCTTTGTTGCCGCTTCAGCTTCCCCAACTGAGCATGATGGTTCAACCGTTGGTGCTGGTCAAAGCAGGCGGTCAGTTTCCTTACTAGGTAATTCAATTACTAAATCAATCCTTCTGCGCTCTTATCCTACTGCATACGTTTCCCAAGTACCCCGAGTCAACTCCAAGTAATAGTTCATGCCCAAGGACGGAATTTAGGGGGATATTCCATTCGTCGGAAGTTTGAGCACCTCCGATATCATATCCTACATGCTGCACGCGTCTACGACTGATAGCAAAAGACCCCCATTTCGTTTTAGGGCGGCCCTGTCCTGATGCGCAATGTGACTTAACCCTTTCGAAGTGTTGCACAATAACCTTATAATTATGTCTCACAACGCTGACACTCTCACCTTCAGGGTCGTTCACTTAAGTATAAATTTTCATCGAGCAAGCACTTATTTATACGGTACCCCATGCGTGATGTCCCTGGTTGATCATTAAAGGGTAGGGGTTCTCCAGAGGACCGCGGGTCCTCGCCTCTACGCTGCGTCATGGGGGAGAGGGCTTCAGGGGAACTTTAAATGATAACTCCGTAATTTACAAACACAAATAACCGACTACAAACTGCTGCGCTATCAATAGCAGTATCAATACAAAGTTTTTCTTCCTCATGGCACACCGCCAAGAACCAGCGCCCATCCAAGAAAACGATCCATCTGAGATCGATCCTATATGGACGTCAAGCCGTACTGCACGTCAGATTTACGCCTTGGGTGAAGTCGAAAAAGTGAAGCCGTAACACACCGCATGGGGGGCGTACCGCTCACAAATCATGCTCCACTAGGACATAACTCGTCTCCTATCCCTTGCAGCCTCGTCCGTCTCACTGCTCACTCTCCCCCCAGACGGATGAGCCCGAGGACTCCCTTCCTCAGGGAGAAGAGCGATCAGAACAATTCGTTCTAGAAGTGAGCGAGTACTTTGAACGGTTAGACGTCAGTCAACTTCTCATCGCACATCTTGAAAAAATTATCAACTCAATCCCTGAAGTCAATTCAAGTAGCTATTCGTTCTTCACTGGCTCATATCCGCCAGTCACGAATTGCACCTTCCGCGATCACAGCCCCCTCTCTCGGATTTGTTCCCCCTTCACTCGGTGTCGGTCTTCCAAGAGCTGCCGGGTCCAGTCGAGGCCTGCAAGAAGAGCGCATCGATCGAGATGCATGGGTGGGCATCCTCGACGCCCTTACACGCCTCAGGGCATCACAACAGCACGAACAACTAGTACAAACTTCCTCATACGACGCGATGAATACATGAGTTCAACTAAACCATAATGAGCTGCACGTCTATGCCGAAACCTTCGAATCAAAGTGTCTAATGTAATGCAATCAAAAGTCAGGTTCATATCATCGCGTGATTGTCCAAGTTAACAGCCGAAACTTACACGCTCGCCTCCTCCAATGCTTCCTCCGCATGCAGCAGTTCAACATCTTCCGCAAACTCAGGTTGGGACTTGGCTCGCAGCTTCCAAAAGACGCGCACATCAGGGGGGGGCGCAAAGCAAAGATAGAAAACGACGGAAATACGCACGACGAGTTCTCGTAGATCTTGTACCGCCTTGCCTAGACGGTTATCAGAATCCTTGATCATTCTGTGTGACTCTTCCAATATCCTTCTCTGATCGGCGTGTTGTCATAAACATGAGCTTCAGCTGGTGATGAATGTAAAATGACTGGTTGTCACGCACGGCACTTTTCACGTCCCACTCTTCAGCGTTATTTGCGATAAGCTTATCGAGTTTCCGCTGTTGCTCTTCTGCTTCTTTTGCATACAGGATGTGTTCCTTCAACACCCTGAGAAATCGTGTTAGCGCTCTTTGACCCCAAAGTTGCTATTCTTACCTTTTCGATATGCCTGACTTGATGTTCAGCTGACGGAGAACGGCTGGCTTGTTCGACATGGTGGTATAGCTTACTAGATGACTAATTGAAATGACGAGGAAGATGGCCTTTGGCCTTATCGTTGCATCCAGATCGACCCCATCGATAAGGTCATAGTTATTGGCTACTACCGCCGCTCCATAATTCCAATTCATGTGCGTTTTGAACTCAACAACAGATCTCTGCAATCGAGTTGCAAATACCAGTATGACTCGATCGAATTATTCCTTATATCGACCACAAGCTGCATTCTCCCACATTTCAGAATTTCTGTTCAGAAAGCGGAAATATCGATTCATTGCTTGAGATACAGTATGACAATTCTACATAGATGCAGTACAGCCCGCGCTCGCCAGTGCAGCAAGTACAACTGATACCTACAAGAAGCTTGACAAAGAATCGACAAATATAGTGCGTGTGGAAATAGCGACAATGAAACATGAGAGCGGGACGAACGACGATGTGTGATATGCGGCGGAATGGGTGGCGGTGGGAACCAGAGCGTGAGGATAATCGAAGTGTCAGGAATGTCGACGACCAATGCATCCAAACCCGCAAGCGGGAGTGAACAGAACGTCAAGAACTGCAACAATGACCAACTCCTAAATCACCGTATGCATCCGGCGCTCAAGCCCTCCTCAAAGCACGCTACACTTGACTAGCAAATGAGGTACGGAGGATGACGAGCTGCTCAGAGACATGGGAATGTCGAAGTGGAAAATGTAGGCGGTGGTCGCAAAAAACCTTCAAAAACAAGTAACTCCGCTGCGCCAACCACAATGGCTGCACTTGCACACAAACATACAATGCTGTGGTCGCCATGTGTTATCCGCGAGATAGCTTGATGATCTCGCGAAAAGGGTACGGGTCACGAAAGAAGCGGTGATCAGTCGCCGGATCATGACAAAAGGTGATAAGTAGGATGATAATAAAACATGCCATGCGTGCTAGATGCGGAATAGTCTTCATAGAGGACGGAGATGAATAGCTACGTAATGAAAACCCATTCCAGAAAGGCAGGTTGCCCGTGAGAGTGTTGCCACTATTGATGCGCCTGTGTATCGGCGCGCACGAGGCACGTACCACAATAAAGTGGTCGTTCGTCTCAGTGCGAGAAGGATGAAATGGAACGGAAGGGGGGGGACAGAGGATGGCGTGATAACAAGAAGCACACGCAGATGCGGCGAAGCATGCACACCACTTGGATGTGACCGAGTGCCTCAAGCTGCCCTGCGGTCTTGTGTCGTATCGTGTCCTCCACACATCATCCGGATCCAGTCGGTATCCTATCTTCATCGTCAGGGTTTCCTACTCGTCGATGCATAGCAGTCGACGAACGAGCAGCGCAAGCGCTACTTACGCCTGTCCAAAAATGAATAGAACGTCACTAGGACGCCCAAAGCGCCATCCATGCAACGCAGGAAGACATAACAATGCGTATGAGGTTCATGACGAGTGCAGAAATAAAAAATGCGTGCTAAGTGTCCGTGTGCGTGAAACCTGTGGTCCGGCAACAGGTATTCCAGTGTCGTGTGATCATGCGAATAAACAATGCTGATAATGTAAACCGACGGTGCTTTTATTGCGGATATTTTCGAAGCGAGTCCACGTCAGTACGGCAATCAGAAATTTGACTGTGATTGCTGAGATACTGCTGCGACTGCGGCGGCAGCAGCGGCGTGACGTTGCTCAGCGGTGCCGAGCATCAATGCCTCATTGACGCTAAACACAAGGTTAGATTGTGTAGCAAAGCAGTGTCGATAAGAAACTTACGAGCGAAGTCGCTGTACTTCGGCCTCAGCCTGTTGGAGTCTCGTCTGGAGCTGCTGAGCGGTCATCTCGAGGTACTTGACGTGAGTCGTAGCGCGGTCTAGGAGCGAGACCTTGCTAGACTTCTGGTTGGAGACCGGAAGAGCATCCTTGAGTCTGCGGTAACCGTCCCGAAGCTCATCTCGACGCCTCTGCTCTGACTCGATGCGTTGACGACGGATCGTCTCGCGGCGCATGTCAGTGCTGGCATTTGCAGGGATGGAGGGCTGGAAGTCATCATCTTCATCATCAGAGTCGTCATTCCTCGACTTTCTCCGCGTAGCCTTGGTAGCAGAGCGCGTGGTGGGCGCCGCAATGGGGTTGAAGCGGTGCGACCGCGGCACGGCAGCGGAGTAAGGAACGGAGTGCACGGAGGAAGGGGAGTGGGTCCCGCTTCCACGGCTACGCCGGCCAGAAGTAAGGCCGTCCGACGAGAGCTCGCCAGCGCTGAGAGAGTACACAGCGGGCGGTGAGATGCCGTTGTCGGGGGGCGTGTAAGGGCGCCCCGGCGAAGCAGTCGTGTACGACGTGCTCGAAGAGTAAGAGTACTCGCCGATGGAGTTGGTAAGGTTCAGCGAGTTGAAGTCCAAGCGAGGAGACGAGGACGAGGGTCCAGGGACTAAAAATAGAACACGGTTAACTCGTGGGAATATATGAGTAATTCAACACTAACGAGACATCGTGGAAACACCATAGGGGGACTGAGGGTACTGCAAGTACGGCTCGAGATTGGCAATCGAGTCATAAGCAAATGAGGTGTCCATGAAGTGGGGGCTCCGGGGGTGCTCGAGGAGAGTGGATTCCATGAGGGCTGATTGAAACTAAAAAAAGGATGTGTCGGTGTACGGAGGGCGGGTGCTTGCACTGCAGCTAGGTAGAGATGATCGTCAAAATAAGCTGACACTTGAAATATGCTGGGGCTACATTGCGTTAAACAAAAGGACTACAATAGAATAATAAGAAACTTACCGGAGCCGACTGCACAATAGAACAACAAAGTTGAAGAAAGAAAAAAAAAGTCGGAACTGGAGAACAGGGAGGTAGTCGGGATCTGAGGATTTGAAGAGAAGAAGGGGATGAGGAGACTTGTTAGTTTTTTGATTCCGTCTAAATATCCCTGGCGCAAATAGCTTGTAATGATTTCTTTAGGAAGGTAAATCTCACGTTACTAAATTTGGAAAGTGTGGTATTCCCGCTATGCCTCGTGTTTGTGCCTTCAACCCTTCATGGCCAAAAATGACTTCGGAATTTCTAGTCCCTGTCTTCTTCTCTCTAAAGCGGTTCCTATCTTTTCACAAACGGGGCTTTCATTGACACGCATCTCTTCCCACTCAAGTCTCCTTAGTCTAGTAATTACTGCCTCGTTGTCCGGATCCTTTCCTGAGCCAATCCTAACACGGCCAGCCCCCACTTGCCATCAGATCATCAATTCCAAATCAGCCACAACCCGCTCTCCATTTTGTCTGTAATTTGTATCATCCATTTCCTTCCATTGCTAAATTGTCATCTCATCTCCATTCTTTCACTTCTTGCCCGTTACCCAACCCTTTCTCCGAACGCCATTCACGCTCACCCTAAGCTAACTCATGATCGTCTAGCCCATTTACCACCATAGCATTTTTCATGTCGCTTCCTCCTTCCTCTGGGTTCGCTTCTGGTCCCCCCCAGAACTCCAAGTCCCGATCATACCGTTCCCAACCCTGACGCGTTACATTTTTGCCCGCCGCGCCGCGGCTCGGTCAACTTGTAATACCCTGTCTCGCCGGTGACACTATAAATCTAGATCCGGCTAGCCAAGTAAGGCGCTATCCGGTGACCCTAGCAGCCGCCCGTGTTATCGAATCGGTATCTGTGATTTTGCCTAAGTCTGGTCCTCAAATTCGGTTCAATCAATTTTTTCTCAACATGAGGATCACAAACCTCAGCAACGTTTCGTTCATCCCCCCGCTACTCGCGCTAAACCTTATAAATTGCGATCCATATACATACTCCGATCATTTGTGTCACTTTTCTTGACAACTATTGGTATAATTTAATATGTGCTGTCACGCAGAGCTAGTTTTGAATTCACTCACTTGTGACTGATCACATGAGCCTCGGAACGTCTCCTGTGCAATTATGATCATCCAGCCGATGTAAATGCACAACTGAAACGCTTTCTCTCTAGGGCTTAAGGCGTTGCTAAACGCGACGAAGCAATGCCGTCATCTCAACCTTCCCTGACAATATCGCGGCGGTAAGTCAGAACTTCATAATATGACACCACAAAATAATTACCTCCTCTCATGTCTATAACGAGGCGCAGTTATTATATTCCAGTGGTGTTACGCCGTGGGTCCATGTTTGGTACGTGCCTGTGCAATTGGAATGCCTTGTCTACAGCCGAGAGCGCGCGTTCTTTTTGGAAAGTCCAAAGAACGTTCCATGTCTAATCACAACAGTGCCCTCTCTCGTCAATCAGTGGGCTCGCATCAGATCTCTAGTATTAACGTACGAGTGAGTTCGAGTGAATAGATGTGTGACTTGAGAATGGAGGATGATCAATCACCATCAGATGACGTTAGCGAGAAAACGTAATTAGACTTTAAGCAAAAACACGCAGCAGAGGCGAAGCCTGCGTCACTACACAGCTGTCAGGTCCGACTGTCTCGCACTAACCTAGAGGGCACGACCACAGTTATGCACTGACGGACCATTGCGATAGAAGAATTTCGTTACCGCGGCATTCATATCCCAGTAGATGGCTAAGCCCTGCATAAAACCTCTACCGTGTGGAATGAATGAGTGGGAAACCTTTCAACTGATCACAGGAACACAGCCACAACGTAGGAAGCATGTAGGTGTACATGGATGTTCCGGGTAGACCAAGAGACGGCCGGATGAGTTCACAGAGAACAAGCAGAGTTCAATATGCCCACTTGTGCCGAGAAAGAAGCGCAAAACTAGTCATGCATCGCGCCAGTGTCTAGACTTTCCTCGGATCGGAGGATTGTGAAATTCTTGGTTCTCCGGGGATCTACAAGCACCTTCGCCCGCGTAGTACTACAGAGACCCCGCCGCTTATCATGAAAGCAAGAAGCAAGCAAAGTTGAGGCGAAAATAGGGACGCCGTAAGCAAAGCGCATCAGCTGCGAGGCCCCTGCAAAACGAGTCGATAAGACTGTAACATCAGCCTATCAGGAGCCTCGTTGTGGGTGAACGAAACCCATGTAAGATCGACGGTTAGAATAATTGATTCTAGTGCACGGAGAAAAGTAAGCGATTAGTTTCATGAGTAGGACTTATCGTGCGCCGTATCAGGCCTTGTGGTTCCATTCCATTCTGGAAGCATTGAACAAACAAAGGCGATAGTATGAAGGTAAGGCCCCTAGATCGGTAGTTTACTATATCGCAGATTGAGCGCAGTCTCGAGAATGTCGAGTCACAAATAAGAGCCCCAAATTAGCTCCTCGCTGTGTTCATAGCGAATCAATGAAGTGGTGGAAGAGTTAGTGCATTGCGTTTCGCGGAAACCTGTGGAGCCCGTCGAGCATTCGGCTGGAACAAACTCAACTTGAGCTTGAACTCCGAAAGAGGCAAGTGTGATGGTTAAGCGAGTGACGCCTTCTTGTCACGAGCGTGACACAATTCTTGCCTGCCCCCGCAGTGCCCCCGCGTCGCTCGAGAGATCGCCTTTCCGATTTCAAGCCAGGAATATTTGCAAACACGAGGAGATCTGTCCTGATCAACCTAGCAGGAAAGGTGATATCCGCCCTGCGCATGGGTATACGTGATGCGGGCTCAATATTCAATCGTCATCAACAGCTTGTCACTACTAGCCTTGGATGATCTCGTTAAAAGCACTCGGTCTCACGGTCCAATGGGCCCTTGCATGACGGCGTGTTCGAAACTCTACTTTACTGAACTTTGTATGGACCGCGCGCTATAGGCTCATCCTGTCACAATATTTGGTCGAAGCAGTTCCAGACTCTTTTTTCAGTTTCACATTAGTTTTCAAGTCACTAAATTGTCCGCTGGGTAAGTTCTTGTGATCCCTCTAGGAAGGCCGTGGGGTTCGGTATGCAGATGGCTATTGATCTTTCCAGCTATACCCAAGGGATCTTGATCATCTCCTTGTCGATTTGGACAACTCCTCTTGACTATGTAACGTTTTACACTGATCAGGATGTCTTGCGTTACCCTTTCACGTCTATGAAAAAAAATAAACACCCGTTCTCTCTGCGCTCAATGGAACTGCCGATAGAACTGCCTCGCTATCCAGATTCATCTCCGCTGAACTTATCAGAGCCCCATTCTGGAAGGAGCTGCTAGCCTACTGTTTTGGTGGTGCTTCTCTCAATCGGCGATGGTTTGACGATTCGGGACCGGTTCAGTTCCTCAAGTTTCGGCGCGTAGAGGACTGCATTTTGACAGGTCCATTGTATGGGGAGAGGCTAGCCCCCATAGAATGTTTGGCAACAATGTCACTCACCATCCGGCAAGTACGCATCGCCAGGTGCCAACTGCTCTCTAGCTCCCGGGTCATCTGGTGATTGCTGTACATCATCCACGTCAGTGGAGAAGAACTCCCCCTGTATACTAAGAATATGAACTCAGAGTGCCCAATTCTGACGATACCTTATCCGAGGACTCCAGAGTCTATTTGACAGTGGTGTTAGAGCCCCGGCTTCCGGGGATCTTCTTCCTGTGGAGCCAATCGTGTGTTACTAGAGTTACGCGAAGTTAGAGGGCATTTTGCTTGTTTCCCGCCACAATTATAATTATGTGTTTTTAACGTGGAGCTGTCAAAAATCCGAGGGTTGTTTGGGACGTGAGCAAGGTGCTCCGCTACCGGTATCCCGACGAATGTGTATGATTGTCTAGGTATCCATCGAACGATCAAGTCTAGATCGGTCGATCGTACACGCTACTTGGTTTGCCCTTGGTCAAGGTCTAGACCAGCCTTCGTACAAGAATGAGGACGATAGAATGATATAGAAAAACAGAAAAGCGCGAGGCGTTGAACAAACTACTGTACTGACTACAGATGATAGATCATATCGTCGGGGGCTGTTCTACAACTTCCTTCGGTAGGCACCTTTTCGCTCCAGCCCTCTCCTAGAGAGGGCACCCGCGCTTTCATCAAGAAAGCCCTAGATTAAATCCGTTCACACCAACCGAAGAGACAGTTGACCATCGGGTCGAAAAGTACTTCGGCGAGCGGGTTATAATTTTGGTGCGCCCTTTCCGTCGGTTCCCGTCGAGTGAGTTCGTGCAGTATTCGTCAAGAATGAGTTCGTTCAGTCGTGTGAATTTCGTATATTGCGGTCGTAGCAAGCCGCACCTATGGTGTGTAATGGCGGGCAGGTGTGTAGACGCGTTACGTATGAGTGAGTGATGGGTGGGGGATGAATATATGGTTAGATGCAGTCGTGAGAGGAGTGCAATACATGTTAGTGATAGAATGGGATGAGTGGCCCGAATACTTGGCGGTTAGGGGATTAAGCTTTGAGGAAACGATAGTCCACTTGGGACTAGAGCATTCACGAGGTGATGTGAGGTGGAGACACAGTCTCAAACGCCTATCGATCAACGAGACAAAGCACGATTGGAGTAATCAAGCGCTTCCTCGGATCAAGAGGGGCGAGAATTCGTATCGATCCTGCAACATCAAGTTGTATGAGACGTCGAAGGAAGGCGGATTGACGATAGGACTGCGCATAGCGCCGAACACGTCCCCAGCGCCTACTCCTCGACCTGCCTCGTCCAAAGCTAGATACCTCTCGACTTCTCCCACCGCTGAGCCGCAAAACACGAATAAGAAATACATGATGTGCAGTGAAACAAGATGTAAAAATGATGAAAATGGATAGCAGCAGCGTCCGTAGATAATGGCGCGAGCCACAGCACCTCAGTAATCCGAGGCAGGACTGCGTGAATCCTCTCGCGGGGGTTCTTGGCCTTGAACATGAGCGAGAGAATGACTTTGCATCCCAGGCTCAGGGGGAGGCGACAATGGTCGGGCATCAACGCCATGAATGTTTCCCGGCGAAGGGGAGCTGCTAGTGCCAAGCGAGATTTTCTCATTGACGGCACGAAGGCGTTGTACCTCCTGCTCTAGCACCATGAGACGAGCCTGCATCTCCTGTGTCTGTTTGTCCAGAAAGATGATGTGATTGGTAGCTAAACGCCACAACGTTAACCATCCGGTGGCGAAGATTATCATTGATCGCCTTACCTCGCTCGAGTAACGACACCTTGCTACTCTTCTGGTTAGAAACTGGTAAGACGTCCTTCAATTTGGCATAGCCATCGCGTAATTCGTCTCTACGCCTTTGCTCAGCCTCAATGCGCTGTCTGCGTGTTGCCTCCTTTCTGGTGTGAGCCAAGTTCTCCACGTATGTAGCGCCCATGTTGTCTTCGTCGTCTGAGTCGTTTAAGGAACGAGCACGGCCACGACGCCCAGAAGAACTGGTGGTTGGGGAAGGGGTGGGGTTGTAGCGAAGAGATTGGCGATGAACTAAACTAGGTCCACGGGATGACGATGGGGAGCCTGTCCCGCTGCTGTTTCTCGAATGGTGGTGGTAAAGGCCGTCCGCTGATGTGTCAGATCCTGAAATGGGTGGGGACAAAGGATCGTACATGTGAGGTGAGGGCGGAGGGGGTGAGCCAGCAGGCAGATTCATTGACACATGTTGTGGCGATGAGGTATACACGGGTGGCGGATATTGATGCGTTTGATGCGTGGGCATGAGGCTAAGATTATGGAACTGCAGGCCTTGATGCAAGTCTGGCGCAGATAGATGGCCTACAAAGAATCAAGAACATGAGCACATTATCAGATCAACATGTGTTTAAGGTGAGTTTTGGCCTCGAGGATAGAAAAGTACCCACGAGGATGATGAGGGTTAGGATGCTGCACGACAGGAAAAGACTGCTGGTGCTGCATCGCGTGGTGGTTGTACGCGAGGCTGTAAGATGATTCTTGCTCGGCTGGATAGAATCCATAAGGACTTGCATGTCCGAGATTTTGGTTGTGATCATCGGTTATGTGCTGTTGGTGCTGGTGCTGGTGCTGGTGCTGATCCATTGGACTGCTGTGAAAAAATTTCGTAGATGGGTCGTGGTACAAAATGAAAACTTGTAGCGCACAAGTTTATCGTGAACTAAAAGGTAAAAAAGCAAATTTAAGAAGAAAAGGAGGAAGCTAAGAATCAAGTAACAATGGTCACCGGTCACCCCCAAAGTCTCCAGAAAGCGATCTCCTTCGCTAACAAGCTACGGAACCAAACCGTTCATAATAATTCGGGCGCCTATTCTATCATATCCATCAGTCCTCCTGTTTGCCCTTTATTTGCACACCATGAGGAACAATGGCAGTTCTACAGAAGAAGAAAAACCATCCAGGTCCTCTCATCAACCAAACGTCCTGCTCTCTATTGTACCTAGAGTTCACCCAAACACCACCCGGCCCAATCCAAGCCGTCGGCACCGTTATGTATTTTTACCATGCCTCGAGGCTACCGTGTGCATGTATATTCTATCACTGGCTGGATCTAAACAGCCGAACATGCTGCACCCAACCAACATGGCACATCAGCTGAGTCCACAGCGAACTTCTACGATGTTGAAGAACGATTTTTGGAATTTTTTTTTGGATTTTGGATGAGTAGATTGTGATGGAACGGCTGCCGACCCTCCGATCGTTCCTATCGATGGAAAGTCGATAATGAATTGATAGACAGCAACTTCCGCCGATATTTCAACACCCCTTCATTTCCGTTATAGGGAGTTACTCGTTCGTGGACTAGGTCACCTGCTAAACACATCAGGGTTCTGGTGGTTCTCGAGCGTCAACAGGGAGTCACCAACCTTCCAGATTGTACGACTCGTTGGAATGATGTCGAATGTCAAAAAACTTCAACAAATTTGATTGGAGATATTTACACACTAGAAGTCGAGATGTACAACTTGATTGTGACTCAAGTATGTCACAGGTCCTGAAGTTAGTCAAGTGTTTTCTAGCTCAAGGTTATACTTACCATCGTGTCGGGAGCAAGGGATTGCAAATGGACGGCTATTCTCCCGTATCCGTATCTGAAGGACAGCCATGGGAAATCACTGTCTTGTTAGGAGTAATATACCATCGCATCTGAAGAATTGCGAGTTGCCTCCGCCACCCTGCGTCTGTTCCGCATGGAAATTGTCAGACTTCGTAGTAGAATTGCGGGGTTCTCGAGTGTCCGTTCGTCGGGTCCAGCAACAGATAGAGTCACGCATCTGTCGATAGCGTCCAGATTCGAAAAAAAAAATCTTTGCAAATTCGACCACCACAACAGATAATTTGCTGGACGTCTATCGCGGCACTGTCCGCACCTGCCTCGCCCGAGCAAAGTGCTTTTGGAATTCGATGAGGATTTTCTTGCATACGCAGATTTATGCGTCCAATCGACAAGAATATGGCTTACTACTAAACCAAGATTAAGATCGTACCTCAGGCGCACTCTTGGTCCGGCGTAGCAGAGCGAAGTTAATGTGCGCTTCACCGCTGCTCCGACTGAGCGTACCCCTGAAAGCATCAGCACAGAAGAAATTAAAATCACACTATCGGTCCAGTCCACGGGAGAACGGCCGTCTCCTTTCTGGAACACCAGTTAAATGAGCCATATGAGCGGCTGGTTAGGGACGAGGATGACCCTGATGTTAGGGGATGGCGATGCGGCGGCGGCTGCGGCGGAGGAAGACGAGCTTTGCATAGAAGTAGCCTCATCAACCTATCTGACTTCTGCATGTAGTTTCTTCGCCCTATGAGTGTGGGTGTACGCGACACAGGCACACGAATGGCTGCGGACGTGGGATTGTTCCGGGAGCCATACTGGTCATTCTCATTGGTCACAATCCAGTAGAAATGGTATGATAAATCACGGCTGCCATGTACAACTTCTGCTTCCGAATGAAGTGTCTTTTACTGGTGCACTGGCATTGCCAGTTAAATATTGCCTTGTGATTGAGTAAGTTGTAGGCGCGTGCTGTTCTGTCCAAATGTTACCAAGTCAGTTTCAATCAAACCGTTAACGAATACTCAAGTACTCACAAACAATGGTTGCCAGTCGGTGCTGATACACGGGCCTGAGATAACCTGCACCTGTATTTAGCCTGGATAGATTATTGTTAGCATGCATTTCACGTTGAACTCGGCGTCGAGCACGGCGACTCTAGTAGTCAACTTCACAAAGGCTTAATACAAAAAGATCTAAAAATAGAAATTGTTTCTCACAGTTGTCAATGGAAAGTTTGAAGCAAAGCAAGCATGCCCCATGTAGTGTGCCCTCCGAGTCTAAGGTTGTCTTAAGGCCTACTTAAGGTACGACCATTGACCAAGGTACGACTGACCTTGTTCTCGAGCAAGGCGACGCTGGCGACAACAGAGGACTGTTATTTTATGAATTTTCCCGGAATAGTCGCGCCAATGTTCGTTCATATATTTCTGAACTCCAAGACCGCCTTGCTGACCCTGTGTATGATGATGGGTTCAGAACACGATCACCTAGGTTAACGTTGCTGATTCTAACACCGCTCAGTGTGACACCCAAGGACTATTTTACTCTGCTTTCCCTGTGCTGAGCTGCCAGAAGTTCTAATCAGTTGACACCACTCCGTGTCATGTCAAAAGTCGTGCCAGTAGAACGTTCTCATATCTCTGGAAACCCGCATAGTCTTCAGCCGGGGCAATGGGCTCCGCCTCGTGCACCTTTACCCCCGCATCGTCTTGTGAAGATAGCTAATGCCCTGGGAGTCTCTATGCCTTCTCCCGCAGGACCCAATTCTTCATCTCCATACTTGTCTGCTTCCTTTCCTGGTACATCTCCCACCATAAGTCATGCTGATCTTCCCTGGCGCGTGACGACGCCGTCTAATGCATCTACTTATAATGTTGGATCATTTGCGTCTTCATCTCAGTCCAAGTTCCTGCTCCATGTCATACCACCTCTTCATCTCCTTCACGACTTCGATGCGTCTGACCCATTGGAGCCTGCGCCTCCTCCCAATGCGTCAGGATATCACACACAGTTCCGACGCGGCACCCTTGTCTCTCTGCAGCCTTCTCTGCATGCGCAACTTCATGCAATTGCCAAAGAATATGCTTTACCTAGCACAATCGGCCTCGTTCTTTACCTTATTACAACTTCCGCACAAAGTCGCCAGAGCAGTCCAATGCCTTATGCGACCCCTATTTCAGGAAATGAGGACGCAGAGGAACCAGGTCCACGCATCTCTGAAGAAATCTGGAAACGTATCTGGGGTCGAGTTCTGAAAGCTGAGCGTGAAGAATCTCTCGCACTTTCGCAGGGATCAGGCTCCAGTCCTTTCGGTCTGGGTCTAGGACTAGATCCACCGGGCCAGTCCAACTTGCGCCCTTTGGTCACCCCTATGCGGACAGAAACGCCGCAACCGCAGCCTATCACATACCCAATTACTCCCTCGTCTACCACGTCTTCAGTATCCGATCTTCGGTCTCACTCTAAATCTGCCCCTCTATCATCCTCATCACTGACACACTCGGAACCAGATACCCCCGATACCTCCCGTTCTTCTGATAATGAAATACTTGGCGTTGACCTCCCAGGTCTTAATTCAACCTCTATAATACCTATACTTGCAAAAGTGGAGTTCGATATTGATCGACGGAAAGCAGCGTGGTACGAGCCATGGTTGCGTGGCCGTCGAATGACTCATGCTAAACGTGCCGAGAGTCGTCAAAGTAATCGAGCACACTCTCAACCACGTGCGGAGGGATATGGAGATGGGAAGCGTGTGCCGTTCGATCTAAGACTAGTGGAGAGGATGCAGAATGCAAGCTCTGTGCCTAGCTTTACTGCGTCACTGTCTTCGAGAGAGGAGGGCGGCACTGGTGGGTATGCTCTCCTGTCAGATCCCACGGACGACGCAATTGAAGAAGACACAACAAGGGAGGAAGGCGGCACGGACGGGTATACTCCCCTGTCAGATCCCACGGACGAAGAAGTTGACGAGGACATAACAACACACGAGACTGTCATCTGTCATCATGATCCTCTGGTGGACGTCTTCGGCACCGATGCAGATACCTGGGCTGAGATGCGCGCCGAATCGCAGGACAATCAGCCCGAGGCCAATCCAAATGTAGTCAAGCTTGCGTTGGATGTGTCCTCAATTACTGCTATGCCTGAACAGGAACAAACGGGAGATGAAGTGGATGATGCGGAAGAGGTTTGGGATATCATGCGCCGGATGTCAAAACCCACGTTGACCTTATCAATACCATCTTCACCGAACTCGCAGCAACTGTCGTCACCCCCCGTAGGAAGTTCTAAGAAGTCACCTCCCCCTCCTTTGGTCCTTGCTCCCAACGACACAAGAAATGGCCTCGTTCTGCATACTGGACCAAGCCCAATGCTGTCATCTTCCAGTGGAGGCGACAGTACGAGTCTGCCTTATGCGCATTCAAGTTCGAGAGGGACGCCGGTCGCGGATGAGATAGGTGACGATGATGGACTCTCCCTGGACATGGATCAAGAATATATGCGATCACGGAGTCCTGAAGAAAAGCGCGGCGGTGCGGTTTTCGAGGACCTCAACCTTGGCTTAGATCTGGGAGATGAAGACGAAGAGGTGCGTTTTCGCTGTCAGTCCTATGCCTTGCCGCTTAACTCTATTTGTAGTATGACGAGAACGATCCGAATGATCAACGCAGAAGCCAATATCTCATGAGAGCCCAACTTGACGAGATTGAACGGGTATGCCAGTAATACATGTGCTCATCTCGTGATTCTGACATCTAGGAAACTAGACTTTGGCACAGTTTTCTCCGAGACACATCAAGATAGATGACTTGGACCAAGATATTACGATAACTCATGCCCGAACGAAGTCACTCCTCGCACTTCATGCAGGAGGAACTTCGAAATTATCAATTGATCGTACACGTGACATTCAGGCGACAGGGTGAGTTCAATTACAGTTGTCAATAGTTTTTCGGCTGAAGAAAGCTCCAGAAACTCCATCGATCGTGCCGATGCAAGCGACAAATCGTGGCCTGCTGTCTCCTACTCATCTATCGCTAATAAGTCATCGCAATCTCCAAGCTCCCAATCACATCGGCCTCTAAATCTCACTCCGTCACCACCTCGGCTTGCTGTCAACGGTGTGTCTACAGGTGCCCCAAAATCGTTCGCTCCACCCTCGC